CTAATGTTAGTGGGTCATGTGATTTAGCGGGACTCGGTAAGGGGGCTCCGGGGCCCTCCGAGCGCTAAAGCGGGGCCCTCCGACCTACGACCTCGCCAAGATGTGCTAATCCGTATATAATGAATACGCGGAATAACCATATTCTCACAACCGTACTTGTACAGTATCAAACAGTGCGCTATGTCACGGCCTCGGAATAGTAGATGATATTGAATCAATGTTTTTATCTAAACTATTGTAGCCATCGGCGAGAATTTCGAATTTGGAGGAAAAAGGAGAAAGGAAATCTAACTAGATAACTAAGAGGCTTTATACAGTGAGTTGAAAACAGATTCCCCTCTGCACACACATACATTATTTCTCGGCCTGTATCCAAAACCACATTATTCCATATTTGGACATGTAATTATCTATTTTCTAAAGATGAATTTTCAAATACTAGGGCCGCTGCATTACGTATGATATTGTATATCACACGGAACTTTGATACGCTCCTACCTCCATACTCTCATTCCGTGGGTCACCCTTCTGCTGCACCGCTCCCTCAAGAATTACTAGAACTCTATGTCTAATATGGCATCAAGACTGCCTAACCCAAGCTACAATTCATTCATGATATGATACATAGCCAGTCGCTAACCACCCCTGAAATGGCTGATGCGGCTGAATGCAGCGAACGATCGACCAAGATTATATGCAGGAACTTGCGACTGTTCGGAAATGTCCATGCCCCTCCAAATAGTATCGGTCGGGAATCCACCATAACGCTACTGATGCTAGAATTTCTCCGCGATTATCTGCTGTGCAAACTGGGGGCTCTATCTTGACGAAATGGTCGTGTTTCTATGGGGACGAGTTTCGGATGCTCCCCACGACCTCGAGTATTAGGCGAGCAATTGCGTTTATAGGTTGGTCCAAAAAGAACACTCGACAGAGGACTTAGGAGCAACATGCAGAATTGTGAGAATTATATCTTCATAATCGCTCAAAGTTTGAGTCATACGGTACTCTATCCGAGCAACACATTGACGACGAAATTTGCGAATGGCTCTTATTTGGCTGATTATTTTAGTGCTCGGGATGCAGAGATGACCATCCGATTCTGAGAGCAGCTCATGTTTGAGCTCTCCATGCCTATTGGCCTGGCATTAATTGGATATTTAGAATGGCTGAAAGCGATCGAACAATATAGCACCGAGACTCCACACTTCTCTTGATGCATGACGCAACTGAACGCGACCTAGAAAATAGAAGACACCCACAAAAACCTCCCACTTATTATCAACATTCACTCTCAAAATTTGGTCACTAATACTAGCTGACGTTCAGGCTTTCAAGTTATCCCATTGTAATGATGAAACGACCCCACCATCCACGAGGATGTCATTGCCTGTGATGAAAGATGACTCTGCACTGACCAAGAATGAGACAGCATTCACAATGTCCTGCGGCGTTCCAACGCGACCAACAGGACTCAGAGTGATGAATTTCGCAGCTGGGCCATTGATTTCCTGGCGCCCAGCGCTTGTAGAGATGACCCCGGGACTAACGGAATTCACTCTCCCTCCAACGCGACCCCATGCTTGAGCTGAAGCCTGGACGCGTAGTAAATTTCCGCGTTTTGACAGGCCATAAGCCCGTGCAGTGCCATGAGGATCGGCCTTGTCAATCTTTAGAGCGGGGTGATCTAACAATTGATCCCTAGACGCTGTCGCGAGATGACGCTCTAGCTCCGATGCTAAATTTGATCCCATGTGACCGGCCATACTCGCGACACAGACCATGCTCGTTCCGGACTGCGCCACCTCTAAGAAAGCATCAAGAGCATTGACAGTGCCGAGAAGATCTACTTCAAGGATCTTTTGCGCACAACCTGCGGACGGGGACAAGCCAGCTGTATGGATAACTGCTTTGATGGGTCCATGCGACGCAGCGGCCTGTGCAAAGCGGCTGACAGAATCATAGTCGGACACATCCACCTGGGATATTTCAACCATGTAGCCATCATTTGTTAAGGTTTCCTGAGCCGCAGAGAGAATCTCGTTTGAGAAGTCGGCAACAAATAGTCGTCGACCAACGCCAAGGCGTCGAGCGATAGCCAAGCCCATACCTCCGCATCCAAGGATAGCAATGCTTTTGGCGGACATACTGATTATTCACTTTGTGCTTCGAGGAGGGGTTCTTGCTGATAAATAGACTGAATATGAACGTGATGCTTCGGTAACTGGGACTTCATCTGACCCTCAAGGGCCCTCATTCTCGTAAAAATTCCCACGCTTTACCCGATTTGGATGCATTAAAATGATGATTAATCTTAATACAGATCTGTTATTTACACCATAACAGGTTACTCTTGTTCTGTCAGGGTGCAGGGTCAGGTACAGATATATTAGGAATTGACGAACAGCTTAAGCTACAGGTCAGGCTATCTACAGATACATAGACAAGACGCAGCTCGAAGAGCTGCAATAAAATCAGCGCCCAGACACAGATAGATATTGAAATGGGTTCCGTCGGAAGTTCAGGGGAAACCGGAGGAGTCGATCATCCGACTGCACGAGGCCTATATGTAGAAGACCCAATTAAAACGAACGATTGATATACTCTATATAATGTAGCCTAGAGTACACGGGTGCTTGAGTGCTTGATGAGTGCTTGACTATCCATATGTGGCGAACACTGGCCAATTCGATGTCGACCATGAGTTGAACGATATCGGCGTTTCGTACCGGGTTAACTGGCAGAAGGATCGCAATGTGATGCTCGGTTAGTAGTATGTGATAAACAATGGTGCCGAATCCTCCTTGCGAAATGATTCAGTGCGTACTAGATTACTAGTTCAATCACTTAAAAACCACTACCGTTGCATAAATTATGCAAGTCACGAAATTACTATGATTAGTAACAAGTTGGGTATTTGAGTAAATTCTTGGGTATACCAGATGGGTTTTGGGTATACCCGAGGACAATATCCAGGTCTAAACCCCAACGTGAGCCACATTGATAAGAGCCAGTCTGGGCTCAATAGGGAGAAACTATTGATTCGTCCGACTATCTGCTTATTTACAGTTGCTTATTTACAGCAGCTTATTTACAACAGCCTCTGTCCTGGGCCTTAGACTTAAGAGCTCCAAGACGACAGAAGCATGAAGATTGGATTGGCACGTCAGCCACCTGCAGGGCAAGGTCAAGTGCCTGCTTGATAATGCGCGCCTCCGGTTCACGACCCAGGCGCTTAAGACATTCATGATACCCATGCAATGCCCAAACGTTGTTAGGATGCTGGTGAGCGCGAGTGAGACAGCTATCGAATCCAAGGTCCTCGGCATAGGCCTGGGCAGCCTCTTCCACGTGTCCTTGCTCGAGCATCAAGGCAGCATACGCATGCCGGGTAGGTACCATCCAGCCCCAGGGCTCGGTGTATTGAAGAGCATCATCAAAGTGAATGGCTTTCCGCAGGCTCGCGAAGGCTTTGTTATAGTCACCACTCCGGTATTCAATCTCACCGTCCAACATGGCATCCGAGATTTTAAGAATGTCGGAGATCAAGTTCGGGAAGTCCTTGCGAGTAGGAGGAATTGTCTTTGCAGCAGTGTGGTATAACCCTCGCTCCTTATCCGCCCTTTCGAGGTCTCCCGTCGCGGCCCAGGCAATTCCTTTACCGTAATGAATCATGGTGGTGGTGACACAGTACAAAGCTTGATCTTCAGGCAATGGGAGACCCTTGATCTCTTCCCACATTCCGAATCGAATGTAAACGTGGACTCTGACAGCCTTGAAAAATTCCATCCAATCCGCCAACGGCGGAACATCAACTAGCAAAAGGTCGTCAGTAATGGACGCTTCCATGTGGTCAGTAGCATCAAGTGCGATCCTGAGTTGTCCAGACAACATGCCGGCATAGATCAGAGAGTGATAATTATGGAATCGGTAGAAACTATAAAAATTTTTACCCCCCTCCTTAGCCAGATACTTCTCGTCCGCATTAACAGCCGCGGTGTTGGAGTCAATCGAACGCCGGTAGTCACCGATTAGGACATCCAGATGCGTCGGCATGTGATGAATATGCCCACCATCTGGGACAAGGTGGCGAAGCTTATCAGCGGCAGGGAGTGCAACACCAGGCATATTGGACATTTCCATGAAATGGATCCAGAAGTGGAGAATGCCAGGGTGTGAGTCGGAGGCTCGATTTGCTAGAGCCGAGTCAAAGATCCCTCGGACTTTGTGGATAGGAGATCCTTCAATGGGAGCACCACTCTTGACTTCAAACATCTTCCGAAGAGCAGTATGCATCAATGCATCGACGTACAAAGTCGTTATATCCATGTCAGTAGAGCCGTACTTCAGGAAGACTTCTTCCATAGCAGCTGCATAGGATTTGTTGAGAGCCGAAAAATCAGAGACCGGGCGGTTGACAGGGAATCGGAATTGAATTGCCTTGATTAAGGCCCGTTCAACTGGCTTGATATTTTCCTTGTCGGCTAGCTCCTCGGCTTTTCTCGATGCATAGTAACAAACCTTGAAGCTATGTTCAAGATCAGTGGGATCGAAAAGCTGCCAGGACTTGTTGTAGTTGGGCCCAGTTGCATAAGTCAGACCCCAGTAGGCCATTGCGCAATCGGGGTCGTGGGCAAGGGCTTGCTCAAAGCAGCGGTAACCCTCTTCATGATTAAATGCATACGACCAAATAAGGCCACGGTCAAACCATGTCTGAGCGTCCTGGCTTTTGGTGCTAATTGTAAAGCTGTGGGTTCCCAAGTCAAAATACCTTTCGGTTGGCGAGATTGGCGAAGGGAGGGGGGGAAATTGGAAGGTTGGCATATTTGCCATGAGATCTCACAATATTCGTGAGGGGCTCTAGTGGGTTCCAAGAGTAAAAGAGTTGAAAGGTAAGAAGAGCTTTTCTGACTTCCTTGTTGTTAAGCTTTTTGTCAAGGAAAAGGATTGACAACATAGGAATTGGAAGGATCAGGGACCTTTATAGCATGTGGTAAACCTAGTTAATGATGAACTAAGTCTCCGATATGTTGGAAAGTCTCCGATATGTTGGAAAGTCTCCGAACTATTGGAAAGTCTTCGAATTCTTGGAAATCGGTAGTCAATGTTTTCATGATCATAGAGATATGCGATTATTGTGATTCTCATGAGCAGAACAGTGCAGAGCTGTGCAGCTTTGGCAGCAGCAGCCTATACAAGATTGTTGTTGTCGGCTGTACCTGTGTCCTGTACAGATCGGAGTTTGAAGAAAAGAAATAATGCTCGTCGTTGGATGATGCTGCCGACAAAAAATTTACGATTTGTTGGTCGTCAGCATGAAACCAATGAACTGAAAGAATGATCATGATGCAAGAGCAAGATGAGCCCAGGAAGGTTGCAATTACAGGCTTAGGAGAGGTTGGGAAGACCTAAGTGGTCCTGGAGCTAGCTTAACGCTTACAAGACTGGGATATGGACTGCTCGGTTTTCTGGCTCCCATATATGAGCTGTGCGATGGTTGAACAGACATACCTGAATATTGGAAAGGCACTTGGACTTCACGATGTGAAGCCGGTAGAGGTGAAAGAATAGCTCAAAACATATCTCGGCTCTGAAGATGCCGGAAAATGGCTTTTGGTCTTTGACAATGCAGATGATATGAAAGTGTGGCTACCGACACCGTCAAATCATTTTCATAATTGCCTGAACCTATAATAAATGATACAAGAAGATAGTATGATATTTATTTCATTTAGTCCTGATGTCTAATAGCAATGTAGCTGTAGAAAATCAAGAAACTTAAGCTGTCTATTCGTGATCTCAAGGACGTTATATTTTGATAAATCTTTTATGGCTGCGGATATCTTTGGATATATGGCAGGCATCCAAGATATCCGCGCTAGCATCCATGGACATCAAATGATCTGATTATATAGTAGGTATCCATCCATAATTGCTTTCCTCTTTGCCTAATCCATAACTGAGTCGCGAGTCAGCTACGGTTGAAGCATCAGGAGCTTCTCTTGAGTTTGATAATTCTACTGAGATGCTAGTGGATTCACAGACCCATCTACGGGTTGAAGACCAGGAAAATGATGATGAACTTGCACGGTATCTAGCAAAAGGTTTATATTCCAGTTTGTTAATGTTCTTGATGGCCCCTTTTTGGTATTAACATAGGCTCTGGGCAGAGGCTCGAAGCCCAGTGGTATTTCCTTTCGCTCCCGCCGAGAGTTGATAAATGACCCGACAATTCCGAGAAGTGCGAGGTGATTAGGACTCGTCCATGTATCAAGGGCTATGGATATTGCCGTATGCCTTGGTTTTCCCGCCAACAGCTTCTGCTTCACTGTCTCAAACCTAGTGTTGAGGAGACTTCGCAGTTTCGTCCGGCGCGGGAAGGATATTTTTGGGTCCAGGAGCCGAAGGAGATCCACCAATGCTGGGCTGTCAATCGCTCGGAAAGAAAGGTTGAGAGAGATGATAGCTTTGAGAATATACTCCGTGATATTCTCATCGGTCTCTGGCGGCAGGATGTCGTTTGAGATGGCGGAATATGGTCGCTTGGAACCGGTTTTCCCTGAAAGGCTTTGTGATCAAAAGCAGATAATCCACTTGGCGCCATTTTTCTTGGTCAAGCTTGAATTGTACATATTGATGAATGATGTGTTGTGCTGGATGGCTTTTACGCCCATCTAAGATGATGAGGAAAGATCAGCATTGGGCGTAAATGCAACCACCCTGAGTAGTGGTTAATGGCTTAATGCAGTAAATACAACCGGATGCTTCACAATAGAACATTCAATTTGAGCTATCCACACGATTGATACACTCCATCGCCTCTTTAATCAACACCCGCGTCCCACCCTCCTTATAAACACCACTTGCAGCGATCAACTCCCGTTTCCAAAACTCCCATTTGTTCATATCAAATTTCCTGTCAGGGGTATTCTCATCGGTATGATCCCTCCCCATCTTGCAATTATACCGCAGCTTCTCAGCCGCATGTATATACCATATGCAGACTGTCCGCACAGCCGTTTCATAAACATCCTCAGACTCAAAGGCTCCATTCAATTCAGAGTATGCAAGGAGAGAAAAGTCCAATGGGTCGAAACTGTCAGACTTATCATCAAAGGGCTCGGATGTAGCAGTAGCCCTTGCAAAGAAGATGCTCCTATTCTCCCACTTTTCTATTTCCTCGGGCGTATGTTGGGTGTAATGCCCTAAAATGATATCTACATCAGCCACTAAGCATCAATATGAGAAAATTTACACTTACAGAAATCTTGCAAGTCAGAAGAATAGTAACCAACACATGGAAGTTCCGTCCACAGCTTCTCATGATCATAGATCAGCTGCTCTCCCGTCCTTGGATCCATGACTGCAACCTTCTGAAGCTTCCTCATGAAGTTGAGGAGATTAAGCTGGTTCTCAGGCTTGGTATTTGTTGCGATATCGAGAGCAAGGTGGCTAATGTTCCAGGCGAAATCTCCGCCAATTGTATTTTTGGGCCATTTACCAGATAAGGCTTCTGCTTTTGTAAGTTCCACAACTTGTTGAACCGCTTCCTCGGGTGAGGCATTAGGGTTCTTGACGAGGTTTTGGAGGAGTTGGAATTCGGGAGTTAGTATTAAATCCGGGTCGTATTCGGCGTATTCATCGTATTCGTCAGCCATAATGATGGTTTGGTTTAGGTCCAGAGGGATGGAAAGATGGTAAGAGAAATCGACGGAATTGATAGAAATCAAATACTATAACCCGATAATCACACCAAGCTTGAATGTCGAAGGATTCAATATGTAGAATCGGGAGGAGTCGTGTGGCTTGTATATATGTACCGTTGGCGCCGATCGGCCCGCTGAGACCGCCTGGCCTTGGGGCAGTGTTTCTAAATTAACTGCACAACCTAGTCTTAACAGCCTCGTGAGAGGGTCCAGGGTGCCAAATAAAACAAGGCTTCACTATAACACGGACTGCTGGTAAGGCTGACTGCCAAAAGTATTCCTAATGGGGCGATCGGAGCCTGCGACGAAAATATGCCAAATTAAGAAATCACAGCTTTTTCGGGGTCCATCAGGATAAGCTAGTAACGAGATGTACGCTATAGGCGGACAGACAAGGCTCTCTCAAACGCCCCCACGAAAACTCCAGGGAATGCATGATTCTATACAAACAAGACTGCATCAAATCAGGGTATTAAAGGCTGGCCGGTAGGCCCAGATATGTTTTCAATTCATTCCCATCTGAAAAATCCATTCTCCTCACACAAGCATCCTCAAAACCCCGGTTTACAAAACGTTTAACTATCGCTTTATAATCACCATCTTCAAAATGTTGTTCAACTTCAAGTCTATCTTCCTCCTCGTTCTCGCCGCTAATGCATACGCCTCGCCAATCTCTACGGCCGGTGACACTGCCCTTGAAACCCGCATTCTCGAAGCCAGGGCCCAGTATAAGGACGTTGATTGCAATGGCAAGGTCTTCAAAGCAGATACTCTGAGATCCTCCATCTCCAAGGCGAGAGAGGTCCAGGGACTTAAAGATCAGAAGAAGCCGGGATATAGTTATCCCAAGCCATACGGAAATGACGGCGGGAAAATGTTTCCTGGAGCTAGCGGCCTATATGAATACCCCCTGAACAGCCCAGTCTACTCCGGAAGTAAGTCTCCCCCTTCGTCTTAAGAAACACCCTGTACTGATTGCACGGCTACAGAGGGTATACCCGGCTCGTATCGCGTTATCATGACTTCAAACTATGGCTACAAGGGCGCCCTTCTTCACAAGGGCGGCAATACCTTCCAAAAATGCATTAATGTCGAGGACAAGAAGAAGCAGGAAGAGGAAGATGCGAAGAAGAAGAAAGAAGAGAGCGACAGACAGTCGAAGGAGGCAAAGGAGGCAAACGAGAGGAAGAAGCATGGAAAGGGTGGCAAGCGCTAGGAGCTTCGCATTGGATTATCATGGATTATATGTACTATAGCGATGGTGTTTTTGAGGTTTCTGAATTACCTCTGTTGGTGTACAATTACTTGATACTAGACCTGGCCTGGCCCACGGGCCGCCCATTTGGCCCAAAATGGGCAAAATCTCAGCTCGCACATGCCTTGCATAAGTTATCTCTCTTTTATTTTAATTTTCGCTGTATCAGCTTTACAAGAAGAAATCATCCTGAATCGATATGGAATGTAACAGTTATATTCGAGTTTATATAACAAGTTACATCACATTGCTTAATTTAAACTTCATATCAGTAAGCCATCTTAATCGTTTTCGAACCCTTCCTGATACGATACCCGCTGGGTTGACTGCTTAGGTAAATAAGGCTCATTATTTGATTTGGATGAATGCAAATATAAGATGAAACACTCATTTGCCTCTTTCTTCCCCAACTCTGCTGTTATGAAGGCTGCGTAGAGTTAGATGTAGGGTTCTGTTCCTCTGTATTGCTGATTGGATCGACTCTATCCTCTATATCCTGTTCACCTTTTTTCTTTTGTGCCAATTCTATCTCATCTCCTGTAGTGAGCTCTCGGGTGAAAGCAAGCTTGTTAGGATGGAATGCAGTTGGTGGTCTCAGCCTGTGCGGCTGATGACTTCAGCTCATCTTGGTATACATCTGCCCGTCACTGTACAATGTATATATAGCTCTCACATTGGCCTCACATTCAAGAAACCAGCGATTAGTTCTGAGGACAGCAGCCCATAGCCTTTCGCAAGGGCGGTAATACAGATCTATTTTCTTGTGCCTCCGTTTTTCCTTTCCCGTTATCAAACCTAAGTAGTGGCAGCCTTGACTCCACGTAACATTCTGGCACTGTGAACCTCCGGCCATGTGCCCCAGCAAGAAGAAACAACGGCGTCGCATCTCCAGACCAGTAGCAAATAAATCTGGGCCGGACGGCATGCGAGAAAAAGGTAGCTATGTACTCGTAGTTCGACGAAGAGGCGCTGATGAAATCGAGTGTCCGCTTCACTTCTTCTGCCGTACCCTCACTACCCTGTGGTATATCTTTCGAGGATTTCCAACCCTGGCTATGTTTCACGAATGTCGTTGGAAGACTGTCGACAAGCGCTATAGCAGTCCATTAAAGGTGGGAAACCATAGCATGCATATTGAGGGGCTCAATTTCACCGGTAAGACCTCTGCCACAGTAATCCGATAAGACTATCTTACCTCGTTTCACCTGAGGAACGCACATCCAGTCCCACCGCACAAATCGGATGTCCATTGTATTATCTAGAACCTCACGACAGTGCGCTAGATGGAGCCCTTCCACTGTTGGGATAATCCAAAGAAGGTTTCCTGGGGTGTGTTCAGCTAGCTCGTCAAATTCTGCCCACATACCCCAAGTGTATGAAACGATGCCATATCCAGTCGATTCAACCTGGCTTTTGACCTCGGCGTAAGGGTAGCTGCCGAAACACCACTCAGAGGAGCCATTCTGATAATTATTCTATAGTCTGCATTTTGATATATCCCCAGGTACTAATTTTTTAGTTGCCATGGGCGTCTTTCCATCTCTCGGTTGTTAAAGGGCCGACTTTGTGTGGCTTGATCTAGAAGGATCCATGTCAGGCCTTTGGCTCCTCTTGGCGGCCGCATTCAATGCTCGGAGTCGAAGGTACACGATATTAAGTGACCTGCGCAGTCTCAGTTGTTTATTCTGGGCAAAAGAGGCCATTTATAACCGAGTCGCTCAATGATATGCGTTTCGTTCTGGCTGGCAGTGGATTTCCAACTGCGTTTGCGTGGTTATGGTGTGCTTTCGCACATTGTCGGTTCCATCATTTCGAACTGGCTCCCTGACACCCGGATAGGTCTCAGAAGAAGATCCTAATTGGAATCGTTATCTGAATCTGAGTCGTCACCTTTCTCAGGGTGCTATGGTTTGGCGGCACCGCTGATTGCAGTAACCCGGTTCATAAGCTACTGTATTTCGAGCAAGCGTGTGTCGGGAAGTGAGTGCGTGGTAGGGCTGCTCATTTTTAGTGTGACCATGTCCCTACGCGAATGGAACGGCTCGTTTTGATATTATAGGTTTCATATTTTTAAATCACATTCATCGAAGCCCGATGAAAGTTGGGCAACTGTCGCAAGTGCAAAGTCACTGGTAGTACCGAATCATTTCAATCACCAAAATGTCACCGTCATATTCTTTCCTCCAGAGTCTCTATCTAATAGCTCAAGAGCAAAAATGCCTTTTATGTGTAGTGCATGAGCAGAAGGACTCAGGCATATCATGTTTTCGACTCTCTCAGAATCGCGGAACGTCGTGTCTGAACCTAACATATTTGCACAGGAAAGAGATAATTTATTAGGCTCTTGTCGGTCTCTAATGAAAGAAACTAGAATAACCCTCAAGACTGCAGAAACCTAACCCTCTGGGTTGCCAATGTAGTGACCTAGGTGGCTATAGACTCTGCGCCAGTCGAGAATAAGAAGAGTAGAGGGAAAGATGGATCGTTTCAATAGGCTTTCGCTTGATATTATGCCTAGCTCCTTTATCCAGTATAACGGAATACCTCAGCACACAAACAAGGCGACCAATCATCAAAGCAGTTAGCCGCGCGGGAGCTTGTTTGACGGCTTGATTTTTAAAGTTTACGCGCGCCATCCTGATTCCAGCCGATGACTTGCCTCAGGTACATAACCGTTCCTGCATTTGAATCCTGTCTGTATGGATTTGTTGCTTGGCTTATCTGTGAGCTTATTTCTGGTTGGTAATGTTCGAATAATTAATACATGCGTGGACGGAGACTGGCTTTTATTTTGAAATCCTGAATCGAGTCATATATTTTTTAGTGTTAATAATCCATCATTGTTTCTACAGAGCAAAAACAGATTACAAGTAAATATTGAATGACTCAAACAAAATAGATTCTTTTTCGCTCATCGTTAGATCAAGGTATCGAAAAAATATCCCGAGAAAAAGGAGAGTAAATCCATCAGATCATCCCCCAAACAAATATCACCGGAAAATGAAACGCCTTATAAATGCACCATTGCGTCCATCGTCATGAGAAGAGAGAAAAGAGTAGTAGAGGGAGAGAGGGAAAAAGGAACAGATAAAAGGGAAAGATGAAAGAATGGAGAACACCACCCATCAAATCCACTCAAACCACATCTATCGCCTGCCCTTGCTTTTATCGTAATTCATCACCCTGCGCTTGCGATGAGTCTGGGACAATTTCCATCGACAATAAAGAAGCAACATATCCTTCAGCAGGACAAACGCGCATCCACCAACCACACTTCTTCCCCAACGGGTCTGCAGCAGCCCCGGCCTGCCACGTTCGAAAAGCGAGTATGGAGTCGTAGTCCACGATTTCGGCAGAACGTACTTAAGGAGCCCTCCCACAGATGCAGATATTGCCGGGAATACAAGTGCTCCGAGGACCACATCAGCGATATTGCTGGTCTCATTGATAATATCACCTTGCCGCCGGCCAAGCAAGTGGTCATCTTGATTACCTCCCTCGTTTTGCTGTTGATTTTCCTCTGGTGCTGCCGGTTCATCGCCACCCATGCCCATCTGTAACTCAAGGTTGATCACTACATGACCATCTCTGGCGTCACGTGCCCTCTGATCCGCCTCCGCTTGCTCTTGTGGTGGCGCATTGTCGTCGAATTCGTTGACGTTATCCGCGGTACGCGGTTGCACCTCGGAAATCCACTTTCGTTCAAGCCGACCAAAGAGTTTCTCATACAGCGCACTGTAAAAACTGTTCACGTACGGTAACGCCGCGAAGGTCATGGCCGCAGTGGGCGGCCAGAACTCAAGAGTAGATTCATGTCCGGGGTGCTGGCTGGCGAAAAAGAGGATAGGAATGGCGGGAAGAAGCCCCTCCGCATAACGGGTCCGTGAAAAGATTAACGCCAACGGTATGAGGGGCAACCCGAGACCTAATCCCGGATTCCACCCCGCCTCTGCAGTTTCCTCAAGGACCTGTCGTGCGTCCTCCGGCCCAAACACAAAGTACATCGAATACACCCCATGTGCACAACATCCAGCCCAGACGGTACCTGCCATTGTAAACACCATACCGGGAAGAACCATTCGACCCGCAATCCGTTCCACCAGCCGCATAACATCCACGATATAACTTCGCGGACGCAAAACCACAATCTCCGTCTTACACTGCGGGCACATCATCTTCGCACCGCCATCGTTGCGCCGACGAGATCGCGGGTTCTCCATATCGGCCAACCAGTCGAGTAGGCAGGACTCATGAGCTGTCAAGGCACAGGGACACGGTGAGCGCCATTCTGCATTCAGTGGTGAATCCTCCGTCTCATCAGTGTAGCAGATCCAACATTTTCGGGGTTCGTAATCGGATGGATCGACGGGTGGGGCCTTGCTGGGCGATAATTCGGACTTGCTGAAGACCACCGTCTCTGTATTTTCTGCCGACTCCGTTGCTCGAGTTTGGGACTGTGAGTTGCGTTCATTCTGGGTGGTAGACGTCGAGCCATCCGATGGCCGTGCTTCGCGCGCCACAGAATACATATCAAGTGTATTGCGGTTGTTTTGGAACGAAATAGAGAGCATAAGACAAGAAAGAACCAAGAAACCTCCTAAAAGAGAGGAGCAGAACTCAGCATTCTTGCGTAATTATAGGACGGCGGGACGAGTACAACGAAGGCAAGAAAATACCCAAGTTTAGCAGAATACTAAGTGGTGCAAGGCACACACCAAGTCATGTGACAATGGAAGAAAGAACAGCCAGAAACAAGAAGAAAGAAATGAAAAAAAGGATTGTTGATGATGAAATGAGCCCCAGCATTCAACTCCCTTCAAGGCATTCTCGGATACGAACCGCGGCTTTTTACGGAGCGCTGGCTCAAGGGGCGGTGCACTCTAATTGGCCGATCCCTCTATTCATGTCAAAGGTCACGTGACACAGGGCGGGGACAGTCGGGATTATATAAGGATCTCCGTTCTAGGCAGCGATCACGTCAACCGTCGGCCAAATGACAGTACTATGAATCCTTCCCAGGTACAACATCACATCTCAATTATATACAAGTACAGTATCAGAACAAGATCAGGACACAAAAAAAAATAAGTAAATAAATAAACAGTAGATGCAGTATAACCCATCCGGAGATAAAACCAATCCATCTCAATTCATTGGCGTAAAGATATTCAAGCGAAAACTTTTCGTCTGTTTCTTCGGTTTCTCCATATTGCTCTTAGGATTGCCTCCTATCCTTCCTTTTTCCTTTTCAATGGCGTGCAAGAGATAGATGCAATCAATATATGAAGTGGTAGGGGCAATAAACCAAGCCCCCTGCTGTGTTTTCAGAACCCCCAAAAACGCCGTGGATATCAACAAGAAAGTAAAGATCAATGTGACCCCTTGGGTCGCTTCGAAGATAACGAGAAATCATTTGGCATGGTCATCTTGCGTCGTCGATGTCATTTGTTGGTTAGAAGGCTTAGATAGGAACGTTCCTACTCCTCATCACGGCCTTTCTTTCCTGCTCCTTGGCTGCATAGAATGTCAGTATTCTGATTCATGAGATAACGCGAACTAGACATAGAACTTACTTTCGTCATACACCAAGAATTCGTGCAGAGCACATCCGGCGGGCACCATGGGAAGCACTGGCACCTTCCGGTCAGTGAACACCTCGAGCAGAGCCGGGCCGTCAGTCTCGATCAGCCACTTGAGCTTCTCCTCAAGCTCAGCTGGCTTGGTGACCTTGTCAGCAGCAACACCCATTGACTTAGCCAAAGGAACAAAGTCGGGGTTCTGCTGGTGGGTGTGCGAGTAGCGGTCCTCGTAGAACAGGTTCTGCCACTGCGTCACCATACCCTGCTCTTCATTGTTCAACAAAAGAATCTTGACTCCAATGTTGAACTGGGCCGCCGTGGAGAGCTCAGTGAGAGTCATGTTGAAAGAGGCATCGCCATCAATGTCAATGACCAAAGCTTCAGGACGAGCCACCTTGGCACCAATAGCCGACGGGAGACCGTAACCCATCGTACCAAGACCGCCAGAGGTGATCATGGTGCGGGGGTGACGCCAGCGGAAGTGCTGGGCGGCCCACATCTGGTGCTGGCCAACACCGGTTGTGATGACAGTGCGGTCCTTGATGGGGGCAGTTAGGTCGCTGAGCTTCTCAATCAAGGTCTGAGGCTTGATGGGACCGTCGGCGCTCTGTTGCTCGTACAACGAAAAGGGGAAACGGGCCTTCCAGTCATTGATCTGCTCAAACCATTCCAGTCGCTCGGGAACGGAATTGATCTGCGGGAGAAGCATACGGATGTTATCCGCGCAGTCACCCTCGACAGCCTCGGTAGCCTGCACCACCTTGTTGATGTTCTTGGGCATAATCTCGAAATGCACAATACCACCCCGGTTTTCGGAGGCAGCGAGCTTAGCCTGCGGGGCGAACTTGGAAATGTTGCCAGTGACACGGTCGTCGAAACGAGCGCCAATTGCAATGATCAAATCTGCCTCCTGCATGGCCATGTTCGCATAAGCAGATCCGTGCATGCCCAGCATGTGTAGGGACTTGGGGTCGAGCTCATCGAATCCACCCAGACCCTGCAGGGTGGTAGTCACAGGGATGCAGGCCTTATCGGCCAGCTCCTTCAGAACCTGTGGGCCATCAGGGCCGGCGAGCAGACCCTGGCCAACATACAAGATGGGCTTCTTAGCCTTGTTGACGAGGCGAGCAACACGGCCAATGGTACCCTCGAGCTGCTTCAAACTCAGCTCTCGTGCTGCCATAGTCGCGGCACTGGGAAGAGAGGGCAGGGTGCTGTTCATCGGGATGGGCTTGCGGAGGATACCGGCGGTGATATCTTTCGGCAGGTCGACGAGGACGGGGCCGGGGCGGCCGCTGGTAGCGATCTCGAAGGCTTCCTGGATACGGCGAGGAAGCTCGGCCACAGATTTAACCATGACGTTCCATTTTGTGCATGCTCTTGAGATACCGACGACATCGGCTTCTTGGAAGGAATCGGTACCGATCGAACTGGTGGGGACCTGACCGCAGAAGACGACCATTGGGGTGCCGTCTGAAAGCGCATCCTGCATCGGGGTAATAACGTTGGTGGCACCAGGGCCAGAAGTCACAAGCACAACACCGGGCTTTCCTGAAGCACGAGCATAACCTTCTGCCATGTGACCAGCACCTTGTTCATGCTTGGGGAGGACGAAGTCGAAATGCTTCGAGTTGTAGATAGCATCGAAAACGGGAAGAATCGCACCACCAGGGTAACCGACTTAGATTTCCCTATCAGTCTGGATGCTTCATGATATTTAAGAGCATTGGAGAATAACTCACAGACATGCTTGACACCAATACGCAACATCATTTCATGGAAGATCTCACCACCACTCAAGCCGACCATCCTATTCAATTTCGAGATTGATTAGCCCAGGTACGAAAAGAAAAGATCTTTTGTGCCATGTAACTTACGAGTCATCCACCTCGGGGGCGGATCGGTTTTGCAGAGGGGAGACGGTATTCCGCTGCGGCTCTTGGTTGAAAGCAGGACTGGGGACAGGTCTCGCGGCCTCCCTAACCAATTGAATTCCATATTAGTTTTTTTTTTTTTTTTTTTTCGTCATTTCTTGACAGAACTCACGAAGCTGTTGCCGCTGCAGTGGTACTCTGATCACGTTTCTGGGCAGGAAAGCGGTGGGGCGAGTTGCTCGCGGCCACACACGACGAAGTGAACGACCGTCTCCCAGAGGCCATGTATCTCTGGTAGTGGAAAGCGCGCATGGCGCTCTTTGATGGTCTCAACGGCATCATCTTGACAACTGATGAGTGCCCAGGCCGAGAAGGAAAAAGAGAGGAAGGAAGATGAGGCGAAATTGAGGAAGAGGGGAAGAGAAAGGGAAAAGGAGGGAGAAAGGGAATTGAAAAGTTGAGGTTCGCCGTGAGTAAAAAGATTGGGAGAGCCACGAATAGCGTCGGCCGCAAGTCCGGAGAAGAAACGCTCAGAGAAAGAAAATGTGAGTGCAAATTAGGAAGGCGGGTCGGGTGAGTCAGTAAATGTAGACGCCATTATTGGTCGGACGTTCCGATCATCGGCGCTGGCTTCAATCCTCGGTTGTCCTCACGGGATACTATTGTATGCTAGGATGCAATCATACAGCTTTTTTTTTTTTTTTCTGTGCAATTTTGCTTGGTTGCTTTGTCCAAGAATTTATCTATTTTGAAACGACGAATTGAAAATAGAGTTCGAAGTCGAAGTTGAAGTCGAATTCAATTGTATCACCACCAATATATTCTCGGACACATGATAGTGGCATGAGGCAAATATTGCAATACTAGAAAGTGTGCATGCTCACCGTAGCCCTCGAATTGAATGCTCACGCCATTCCCACAGTCTCCTAACAATATTATATGACAGGCTAGCAGTAGTAGCTGTCGTAAAATCCAGCCGTTAGCATCTCCAATTCTTTGATACAACATTCGATCTTCGATCTCTGCCAAGTCCACCCGCCCATGTCCCCACAGTACGGAGTACAGCAATGCTACGGAGTATATGTACACTCTTTTCCCGACATTCTACGTGCTCAAAGCATCTATAGTTATCGTTCTTGATTCATGGAATGATCGGTAGAAAGCTCGAAATTGAAGGATATCATTTTAAGATCCTGTTTCCCTCTCGTGGCTGCTCACTTGACATTCAGCTCTTACAGAGTACCCTAAAGACATGTGAGCTAAGATAAGGCATACTCACGATGCAAGAGGTGATCCCGTACATACCTGGCGTATCAAAAGTAAAAGCAAATGCAACGACTGTCACCATTGCTTTTTGCATCGCCAAGATTCATTCATACTTCTTCTACTTTAATCTCGCGGCCCAATCAGAGTTTGCGGGAATTGAAAAAATATAAAAAAGATATGACAAGAGTGGGATTCGAACCCACGCCCCTTGCGAGAGTGGAATAAAGGTGCTGTTGCACTTTATCGTAGCCAGGTAAACCTAGTCAAGCTTATCACTTGAGTCCACCGCCTTAGACCGCTCGGCCATCTTGCCATTGATAGCATGATTATCTTATTAAAATTATAAGTACCAAAATGGTTTTACTAGACCGGCCAATGTTTCCGCCCAACGTCATATTATCATTATTGAGAGTAGAAATTATATAAATCGAGAGGAGATAGGAATATAGAGAATTGAGAATATACTTGCTACAGGATTTTATTCATTATTATTCAAGTATGCGCCCGTAGAGCCTTGGTTTCGGCTTCCGGGGGCATCGGGAACCTGTCGAGTGTCATAGTACATACGGGCAGCCGAGAACGGGGTATTCGCCGGTGCCACGGGACCCCGTGTTTCGCGGTGCTTTCCCCGCCATTGGAAGAGAGTGCGGGTTATTCTCCATATCCTCGTGAAAACCCTTCAAATTAATTCACGGACTAATTGTATTAGTATCACTGCCCTCCTTCGTCTTCTGATTTTTTTCATTTCAGTAGATTATCTCCTACTACTTTCCATTTCCACCGTTTCCGTCTTCATCCTCTAAAAGAGCTACCCCGCCATGGCCCCACAGGAACTTGTCCCTCAGACGGAGTCGATTGCTGAGGTCTACGCAACCAACGATGCCTCTTCCCAGGCAGTTGCCCCAGAGCACCAGACGCGCTTCAATGGCCTGGTCTCCCATTTCACCAAATCTTACGGTCAACGGCCTGATTTTGTGGCCCGGAGCCCGGGTCGCGTGAACATTATCGGAGAACATATCGACTACAACCTCTACGATGTCTTGCCAACAGCCGTCAGCGTTGACGTGATCATTGCTGTCAAGGTCGTTCCGACTTCTGGAGAATCGACCGTGAAAATCGCGAATGTGCAGCCGGACAAGTTCCCCACGCGCGAGTTTACTGTGCCGCGCGATACCGATATCGAGATTGACCCTAAGAAGCACGAGTGGGTGAACTACTTCAAGGCTGGGTTGTCCGGTGCGTTGAAGTTTTTGCGCAAGGAGCGGTCGTCGTTTGCCCCTGCCAGTGTCGAAGTTCTCGTCGATGGTAACGTGCCTCCTGGCGGTGGTATCTCGAGTAGTGCAGCTTTTGTTTGCGCTAGTGCGCTTGCAGTCATGAAGGCGAACGACCACAATGTCTCGAAGCAGGACCTTCTCGATCTCGCTGTGGTTTCGGAGCGCGCAGTTGGTGTTTACTCTGGAGGGTAAGCTGAGGTTACTATCTACTTTGATTTATACCCGACTAACAGTGCAACAGTATGGACCAGGCTGCTTCCATCTTCTCCCGCCGGGGATACCTGCTCTACACCCAATTCTTCCCTACATTCGACGTCCAACATGTTCCTGTCCCCAAGGCCGATGAAGAGATCACCTTCCTCATGGCACAAAGCTTCGTCACTTCCAACAAGGCCGAAACCGCACCCCGTCACTACAACCTGCGTGTGGCTGAATGCACACTCGCCGCCGTCGTGCTGGCCGCACAACATGGCCTGACCCTCCAGAAGGACAACAGCTCTCTGGGATACAGTCTGCGAAACTTCCATCATGAGTTCATGCGCAAGGAAGGCCGCCTCAACGACTCTCTTGAATCCCAGATCGACTCTGTCATTCAAACGGCCATTGAACTCTTGCCCCAAGAGCAAGGATATACTCGGGAAGAAATTGCCAAACTCCTGGGCATCACTGTCGGCGAGCTCGAGACCAAGTTCCTGTCCGCATTCCCCGTTCAGGCAGAGCGTTTCCTCCTCCGCCAGCGTGCCCTCCACTGCTTCAAAGAAGCCCGCCGTGTTCTTGATTTCAAGGCTTGTCTGGCCCAGTCCTCCACTCTCGACTCACAGCGCATCAGCTACCTGGGTCAGCTCTTGAACGAATCCCAGGACTCTTGCCGCACCACCTATGAGTGCAGTGCCCCCGAGGTTGACGATATTTGTGCTATTGCGCGCCGCGCAGGTACCTTAGGTAGCCGCCTCACCGGGGCCGGGTGGGGTGGATGCACCGTCCACATGCTGCCGCAGTCTAAGGTTGAGGCTGTGACCAAGGCTCTGAAGGAGGAATACTACCTGAAGAATTTCCCTGATATTAGTGAGGAGAAGTTGGCACAAGCAATGGTTATTAGCAAGCCATCAAACGGCTCGTTCATGTATTATCCCGCCCTTTCCCCTGCCATGCTTGATCTGTCGACTAACAACATCTCTATAGGATTACTGGGGCTGCCATTTCCCAAGTTGATGCTTAAAGGATATGGACAAATTCATGGAATAATTGACCAAACGTTTGCTGTGCTTAATCCAATTACTATAGATTTGAATACCAGGATATACACAGCAATTTCTGTTTTCGTTCTCCGACCACATCTTGCACGCCTGTCATGTGTCCAGTAGGTAATCAACCGGGGAACATTTAGAGGACGTGGCTTTGGATTTTGGGTATTATTCCAAACGGTTTAGTCTGAACGCTGTGACGACGTGCGCACGTCCTCCAAAGTGATTCCGAAGAACAAGTAGGGCTGTTAGATCAGCCCCCTAACTAGATCACTTCTGGATAGACTGGTAGTTCTAACCCTCCCGCAAGATGTCATGCCCGTGCACGCACACTTCAATTATATTCCTTCATCGAACATCCAACAAACCCCCTCAAGACTTTTTCTTAGCCGCAGATTTTCCAAAAAAATCACTCATCTTCTTCATCCCACTTGTATTGACCTTCTTCAAGTCCTTAACACCCCGCGACAGCGTTGCCGATTTCTTCTTCTTCTCCTCTTCCTCCTTGCGTCTCTTCTCCGCACGCGCCTCAGCGGCATCTTCGTCCTCGGCTCCACGCTTGCGACTGAAGTCTCCGAGGGATCGCGAAGCTAGTGCTTCCGCGCGGAGCTTAGCGATGTACTCTAGTCGTTCTTGGAGGGGTTTGAAGTCTAGGGGACTCTCGGAGGAGGCGAGAATTTCGTCGAGTCGGGTACAGAGGGATGGGGGAATGTAAGATTCTTTCATGAATGCTAGGGCTGTGGAGATGCGGAGGAGGTGGGTTACGTTATCGGGGGTGGTGGATTCGTCTGGGGTTGGTGTGGGCTCGGTACCGGGTGTTGGCTCGTTGGTTTCGCCGGTGCCGGAGGGGGTAGTAGAGTCTGAACTTGTAGCTCCGGGAGTGGCTGATTGTGATTCTTGCTTTTCGAGTTGAGATTCCCCTTCAAATTCATTGTTGCCTGTGGTTGCGCCAGTAGGGTTCTCTCGCTTAACAGCCATCATAGGCGTAACTAGGGCTTGACGAATGAATCGCTCTTCCATGCTTGCAGGAAGCCCTTCAGCCACCATGCGTTCTGCCTTGGATATCAGTTCCTTGAGAAACTTGATCTCACTGAACCGGAACATCTTTTCATCGCCTGCTTCGACCGTATCACAAATTGCTCCGACTCGTGCATTCAGCGCCTCCCTAAAAGTGTCGTTGTAGAGCACATAGCGAAAATGGGTTGGTAGCTCGTCCTGCGAGTCAATAATGTCGTCAAGGGGCTGGAACAGTTTCTTCGCTTGTGTTGATTCTGGAGAGAGTAGAGGAACCATGAAAAACATGAAATCAATCGGTGTCGCAACCAGCAATTCCGCCACTTTAGCAACACTTCCCTCCCCCCCCGGTGTCTCTGGTGCTATGTTCCCCTTGCTATTTGGCGCATTGTTCGGTTTAGATGTAAATAAGATGCTTCGTGCGTGTTGCGGCGATGGCGCGACTACTGTGAATTCATACACGCCCTTTTCCGGACAGAAGAAGTAGCGATTCAAAGCGCCTGTTCGTGGGTCCGGAAGAGAGACAAATTTGGCATCATCGCTCGCGGAGGTAGGAAGGATGAAGGTCTTGCTGGGTCGTTCTGCTGGTGTCAGGGCCTTGGGCGTCGGCTGGTTCTGGCCCGACTCGGTCTTTTTCGTTTTCGATGACGGAGTTGTGGATCGAGTGCGCATTTTGTCGCTGTGTATAACAATTCCTTATTCCAACGATGTGTATGTTGAAGATTACTTCAATAGCCAATGGCACCAGCAACGGCCAATCTCTCAGGTTGTCTATCTAGAAGGAGTTAAGATGGAGGACGCGTCGGAGATTGTAGTATCACGTGTCATAACTCCGACGCGACGCGCCTGCCTCTCCGCAGCCAATTAAAGACGTTTATATAATAGTGCCTGAGGCGGCAATTATTGCCCTGTGCCTTGCTGCGGCAAAGAAAAGGCGCATCCTCGACGAATTCACCAAGAATATCTGCATACTCCTAGCATCTGGTTACTTGGGCGCGAGTACTATTGTTATTCTTCGAGGACGATCCCGCGTTACAAATTAGTGAATTTACACCCCGCAATTCCTACCCATGAACATGGCTACAGTTGGTCAGGCATAAAATCACGAGCAGTTCTGGCTGCAGATAGTTCCCGCAGACTATTTCTTTATCTATCTCATTATCAGCCATCGAGACTATTAATTCCTTTTGGGTCGTCATGAGCAACAGTGAGAACATCCCTGGAATCGCACGCCCACGAGGCCGCTGCTGACATAGAACCCGTTACAGTGCCTCAGATCTCGTGGCCCCCGAAATCCCCGAAAGACGCTCTTCTGAGCTCTCCGAACGGTCGAAAACGGTTTGAAGAGTTACAGCGTCGTCGACAAGCTCTAGCCTCGCCCTTAAAACGTCCTATCGCTGCTACCCCGTCCTCTCAATCTAAAGCGAATCGACTCTTAGCTGACGGTATGGGTGACAACGAAGAGGAAGAGGAGGATGAGGAGGTGCTAAAATTGAAACTTGCTGCTCTTGAGGCACGCCTGAAACTCAAACAACTTCAGAAGAGCAGGGGGAAACCGTCCGGCGATGATGATGCGCTTCCTCGACCAGCGTCAGCGCGATCCCAGAACCCGACCTCAAGACTCGGGGCGATGTCTCCTCCGCCACCGAGGAGTAAATCACAATTGGATGATGTGCAGGTTCCATTGTCGCCTACGAGACGCCCTGTTGCTCCAACAGAACCCGCATCGCCGCGAAGAGTCGTTCTCGGAATTGACAAAGGTCTCAAGGGCCACGATATTTCCTTGAAGCGACCATCCAGCGCGAAAGCTGGCAGCCGCCCGACAAGCAGATTTGGAACCCGAGATGGTGCCGCGTCACGGACCGGATCTGATTTTGGATCACGACCGCAGTCCGCGTCGAGTGATGATGTCAAACGGCCAAAGAGCTTCAGCGAACGAATAGCGGAGAGCAGGAATGTAGAAAAGGCCCGAATGGAAAAAACAGAACGGGCTGAGAGGATTCAGGCCAATCGAAGCTCTGGGTTCCAATTTGATAAGGCAGAGGTGGAAAGTTTCAAAGCCGCGGCGGTTGAGGCAAAGACTGATGCTCCGCCAAAATCACCCACGAGAAGTCGGCCAGCAGAGAGCTTTAGTCGCGACGATGTTCTGCGATCATATAATGGTCTTCAACCTTCGGGTCGGAAACGAAGTCAAACTGCTCCTAGTAGGGAAAACGCCATCGCGAGGGAAACCGGGCCATACCTTCACAGACGAAGCAACAAATCGGAGATAGAATCCCCTCGACCCCATAGCTCTCAGGATATCACCGCAGACGAAGAAACCACTCTGGAAAAGACACCTGACTCGTCCAAATTCGAACCCTTCTCGAAACTACATCTCTCGAACCGTATTCTACCTCACTCCTTCTTAACCCGAAACCTTTCAAACAAGAAAGTTCTCCGTATCCCTGACCTCCTCCGAATAATCAAGGCCCCAGACTTCCAACTACCTGAACACATTGACAGCGATTGGGTTGTGTTTGGTATAGTTGCCTCAAAATCAGAGCCAAAAGAGATCAAAGGAACCGTACCTGTTACAAAGGATGCTGATCCATTCGATGACGGTCTGAATAATACCAAGAGGTACATGGCAATAACCCTCACTGACCTAACATGGTCAATCGATCTTTTTCTTTTCGACACGGCTTTCCCACGATACTACCGACTTTCTGAAGGCGCACTCATTGCTATTCTAAACCCTAATATTATGCCGCCCCCGAAAGGCAAAATTGATACGAATCGATTCAGTCTGTCGATTACCTCATCCGATGACAAAGTCCTGGAAATTGGATTTGCAAAAGATATAGCCTATTGCAAAGCTGTCAAGAAGGATGGCAACCCCTGTCAATCCTGGATAGACGGTCGTAAGACAGAGTTCTGCGATTTCCACGTCGACCTCCAAATTCGCCGTACACAGGCTGGACGAATGGGTGTGAACAATGGGACAGGCATGCTCGGGCCAGGCGGACGTTCAGGTCAACGAACTGGGTTCTTTGGCAGCGGCAAAAAACCGAACAATAACCAGAATGGATTGAAGTCAGATGGCGCTCGTTATGACTGGGGCTCTCAGTCAATTTACTATGTCGCACCTGGGCGGAAAACAGGTGGCGGTGGCGGTGGTTCTTTCTACCCAGGCCCTGTTGGTCAATCAGCAGCGCGTCTGATCGATGCAGATGACGAAGACCCATTCATCGCCGCAGGCATGATGGGTCGTGGCTCGGAGAGCAAGGAAGAACGTCTCCGCAAGCGTTTAGCAAACCAACAGCGCGAACGAGACATTGCACAGAAACTCATCACTAATAACGCTGGCGGGGTAGGTGCGGAGTATTTACGAGCTCGAACCGACACGCCTGATAAAAACCAGGAAAATATCAAGTCATCGACGACATCAACTTCCAGCGCTGCGGCCACTCTTGGTTTGACCAATTTTCGGAAGGCAAGTACTGTCAAGTTGAGTCCGTTGAAACGGGCTAATGATAAACCACATGGTAGTGGTGTTAAGAAGACGCGGTTTATTACTACTAAGGGGATTAAGGAGGCTGGTCGGGATAGTCTTGCAGGGGCGTCGGATGCGATGACAAAGGCTAGCAATGATGATGAAGATGATGACGATGATGAGTTGGATATCGTCTAGGTCTACATCACTTGCAATATACCCATTCTTTTTAGCCTATGTCTTTTGGTTCTTACCTCGGTTTTTGTTATCGCTGCATTAGGAATGCAAAAGGTTCTATGCTTATCTTCCAATCACTTAGTTGTATTGGCAAGCAAGATAAGTCAATTCATGAGGTTCATGATGAAAATTCTTTAAGGTAGTGTATCCAAAAGACCCTGGAATTTTGAATGCTACAAAGAAAATAGGGTTACCTGGGTAGGTCTATGGACCACATTCACCTCTCATCGTACATAAAATCTCACTTATACTATCAGGGAATGTCAAGGCTTAAAGACAGGCATCCACAATGAACATATATCTCCCTCTACTTCCGTCTACTGTCATTATCTCCTCCTCCCATCCGTCATCAAGGTCCATGTCTCTTCGTATATATTCAGCCTCGCTTCATTGATTCAAAAATCCAAGTACAATCGAGCTATCTTATATACTCTGGGCACTGAATACATATCCATGATTATACCGACGACGACCCAACAATAGCCGTCACCGATGCCACATGGGCAAAAAAGCCCGGAGAACAACGCAGCGTTCATAGTATGACACTGACTATAAGCCCGCTGCTTTTAACTGTGTCTGATATTCTGGGGAAAGACAAAATTTCTGGAGACTGAGCCTCAATTAATTTCGGGCTTACCAAAATGGTTCCACACGCAGCTTATGCTGCGTGGAATATAAATGAGCAGTTGGAACAACAAGATTGTGGGTTCCTTTCATGTGTTCAGTACATTCCAAGAAGAACCGGCGTTCCTCAAACTGAGAAAAATATAGAGGAAGTCGCCCGTAACAATGACAAACACTGGGACTTTTGTGCTTTACAATATACGGGATAATGCCAGAAGGCTCAGCGAGTACGGAAAGTTGATCCCGAAGGGCAGAGGCTTCTGTTGCTCGAATTGATTAGGGTACAGGGAATATCGGATAGCTTACAAGGTATCAAGCCATGAATAACACAATAGGCGATGGAGGACTGAAGAAGGGCCAGATATGAGCATCCTGAAACGAAGTACACGAAAACGATCATTCTGAGAGTTATGGGAGCCAGCGCAAAGCAGAGAAATGGCAAAAGGGGCAAGTTTGACTAAAGCGATTCTAAGAGAAATTGCATGAAGTTTTTGTGGTACAATTGAATGCCTGTACAAAATTGAAGCAATCTTTCTACTTCCATCTAAGTGGTTTGGTGATATTCTAAAAAACCAGTCAAAGCAGCAAATCTTGTGCCTAACCGGTGATGAAGTTGCCAATACATCTGGCCTCGAAGACTCTGCCCAAAGCTCGCAAAAGTAGAAGATCTATTACCTAGTACTTCGGTTCCAATTTTTCTGGAAAGATATTGTTCCCATTGAAGGGTACTTGTTGGAGCTGACACCGACCAAGCAAAGCGAAACCAAGGAAAGTTGGCTAGATGATATCCCACGAACCCTCTGAAGAGGAAATGAATATAAAGCAAGACAAGTGAATCAAGAATCTAAAAGGCCAGTCGTATAATGTCCTGATCTGGTCGGATGTCTGTTTACTATGACATGTATACTTTTTAAGGCATCAGCTTACACGAGAAAATCGGGCGTAGAACTAGAAATGAATGACCATAGTCCCAAGGTGCCACCTGTTTTTGTAAATGAGGAATAGCAAACTGAAACGAAGAGTAAGTCTCATACCTCGTTTTATATACAATTTCATCCTCAGCTCTAAGGACACCGATCATAGGGAACTCATCTTGACAACCAGCCAAACGATTCTTTCATTTCCGCATCAGCGAAAAAGTTGGACAACAAACGACTCTAGAAACAGTAAAAACCAAGATAAAGGCTGATCTAGACAACACCTGATCCATAAAACTCGCTAGGAGGTTAACCGGAAAGGTTCAAAGGCCCTACTTAATATGCTCATGCCAGAAGACATCCGCTCGTGAGCAACTATAATCTCTCACTTACCTTACTGAAACTACAAAGGCAAGCACAGCGCCAGTACTTTATTCTTAACCTCTTCGAAATACCTGGGCTATTCCACTCTTCACTCACTGGCAGCCTTCTAGGAGCGACTAAGAAGTCGTTCTATTCACAGCAGACCGAGATTTTCAGGGATGATGTCGACAACTTGGACTGTGGAAGATACAGTCATACATGTATCAATGCGCCTGGTATGTCTGAGAAGGTACTGCTACACACATTTTTCAAGGTCTGGTTAGAAGTGATAGCAGGAATGGACGCTAGATGAGACATGTAATGGTTGAGATGCATACACTTGACACAAATCTAACGCCAATGACAGATTGGGTTACGTAGCTGCTGAACAGAAGAAATAAATAGGATAATCGCAATGTCTAATCAGATACCAGTTCGACACTGGAGGTGGTCTTGCTGCTCTTGCCAGGAATAATCGTTGACGCTCATTGAGGACATGACATTCAAAGTTCATAGCGAAGCAGTCGACATCATCGTATCACAGTGCCTGTTTTTTACGTTCTACTTCGATGAGGTACTTGGCAGAATGAGGTTGGATAATGATGGGGTGTCTTTTCGTCTGAGATGCCCATCGCGAGAAGACCACTTACCTATGAATCCTGCACAGCTGCAAGTTGAACGCAGGACGCAGAACAATGCGAAAAGAGCGAGCAGGAATGAATGAAAAAAACTGATATGTATGTAACCGATGGTGTGAACTAGTCTATGGATTTATCTTTGTAGACGAAGTTGATGAGCAATTTCATTCATGTTCATTGGGATATCTAACCTAATCTGTACGACCTGAGTAAGAAAGACGGAAACAAAACGTGCCTAAAGCCTTCCTCTCAAATAAACCTTTGCAAGCGAAAGAAGGAGAAAAAAGAAAGAAACGGTTCCTGCGATATACCATCCAATTCCCATAATCCCTTATTCCATTCATTGGACAAACAAACACCGACAAATAAGCATACATGCAAGACCTCGAGATGCGTAACCGAACGACAAGAAAAGAGACAAAAAGACAATGGAACGAAGAAAGGTTGGGAATCTGTGTCCTTAAGGCCTGAAAAACTCCTTGTTCTGGTACTCCGCACGCAAAAAAAAAAAAAAAAAAAAAAACGAATTCGAAATTGTCATGACCAATGTGGTTAAGAATTGAAATAAAAAGAATGGAAGAAATAGTTAGGCTTGCGTTCAACAGTTGGATCACACATGTTGATCAACTTAAGAGGACGAAACAGCTGCTCTGCTGGCTCTTGTCTTCTTGGTCGAAGGGCCACCAGGGCTGCCAACGGCTTCATGGTCTCGTTTCTTGCTCTTGGGAGCTGCAGCGGCAGGAGTAGGTTTCTTTCGTAACCAACCGTCAAACGGGCTGACGCGCTTTCTTTTGGGTTCAGAGAACGCAGGCGTGGTATCGTGGGTGGCATCTTCACGTTTGGCACGAGGGCGTAGAGAGCGACCAGGAGATGGTGTTTCTTCATTTGACTTGGGCTGGGGAGTGGCTGACCGTTGCTGCGTCTCGACATCAGTCGCGGCGTCATCGGTGTCTTTAGCATGGTCCTCAATATCGGTAGCTGCCTCTTCATCAACCTCATTTGTAGGATCTGGCTGGGGAGTATTGTCCTTCGCGCTCGGGAAGAGAACGCGGGGCTTGATCGAAGAGCGAGTCAACGGTCGGACCCTGGTGGTCAACGTGGAATCGAGAAGGTCTGGTCGAGATGCAAGCAGACCCAGATCATCATCATCGTCTTCCACATCACTTTCGACTGGGTCAGCGAATTTGCGGAACATTTTCTTTCCTCGACTGCAGTAGTTTGTTAGTAATCTACAACATAAAAATATGGAAAAGTAACTTACAACACGTAGAACATGCCATCCTCACGTTTGACGGCGTCATTAATTTCCTTGTCGCGTTTGAGTTCCTTCACCTGCTTGGCCTCGACTACCTTGGGTTTTTTCGAGGGTGCAGGAGGGGGATTGCTAGGAGTCTGAGCCGTTTTGGTTTCCTTAGGTGGTTTGTAGAACAGGCTCTCCTCGCTCTGGGCAACCTCTGGGATTCGATCACGAGAATCGGTGTAGATTTGAATCTGAGTTTGATTTTGAGCGGTGTCGTCATTGAAGCTATCGAGGGTGAAGCCAGTGTGCTTCCTGCTCTTCTTGGGACGCGAACTAGGCGGAAAGAGAGTTCTTGCAGTGGGCCCCATATCAGCAACAGCCTTCTTTTTGGGTGTTTTAGCAGGCGTAGGCAGCATCCCGTTGGTTCTTGTGGCTTGAAGCTGTTGTGAAGCGAAAGGGTCTGCGAGTGTCGAAGTGTTGTCATCCTCGTCCTCTAGTGAATGCGTTAGACCGAAGGCCCGACTCCCAGCCGAAGACTTTTTGCGGGTAGGGCCGTGAATGGACCCAGGAGGTGATAATGCCTCCAAAGCATCGTGATTGTCCCGCTCTTCCTTTGCGCTCTTTGTCCCATCAACCTGCAAAGCCGGAAACCGGGGCGGCGGAGTAGAGTCTCGAGAGGCACGCTGACTGGCTAATCTGGTCGAATGCCGTGTGGCATATGGTGAATATTGATCATATCCAGCTCCAAACCGCGGACTAGGAGGAACTCGAAGCGTGGATGGCGGCGGAGGTGTGGTTGTCATGGCGGCGTATATGTATATATGCGCGTTTCTGTGCGTTCCAAACGTGCACCTCGCGAAATCGAACCAGCACTCGATTCTCTCTCTTCAAATCCAAGTGTATGCAATTTATTGACTTCAGTATTGAAAAAGATAACCAAGTAACAAGATGATCGTTTATCGTAGTCGTGGATAAGACGAGTGATAATGGATAAGCGACCGGTTGAAAGGGGAGAAAAACGCGCGCGAGATCTCACAGCGCCCGACCGTGGAGTAGACAATGAGTATAAGTCAAAAGAACAAAAAAAAGTATTATCGTGGCAGTGACGTGGCAGCAAAAACAAACAGTAGCAATTGAGATAGTAAGAATCGATCACCCAAGCAATAAAGGAGAGAAGATGAGAGAGAGAGAGAGAGAGAAGACTAACAAGGGTCTGACAACGTTGCAGTGCCTGACGTCGACCAGCCACCGCCATTAAAGAATGTGGCTAAGCCAATCAGGGGTCGCCATGGCCGCCGCCTTGTGGCTCGCTTCGTCTTTCTGGTTGCCCTGCTATGTCTACAATTGGTCATTCGTGAACAGTCCATTTCCACTGAATTTCGCGAAGAGTTATCGTGTGTTTTGGATTGGTCGATCTTCAATTTGAATTGATTGACCACTGACCGTGGGGTTGATTGACTCCGCCCGCCTCAATTTATTTACGCCGTTTTCTGCCCCTCTTCGCGCGCATTAGAATACATCGTATTCCCCGGCAGCAATGACGTTTCGCAGTGCTGCAGAGGAGATGGACAGGCTCCAGCTTTCCGATGAGGATACGGAGGACCTCTGGGATTCTCCCTCCAAACGGGGGAACAAGAACGTGAAACCAAAGATTCCGCACGACCATGGTAGCCCGACGCTAGAACCCAGACCCTCCCACGATGATGAAGGGACCATGTTTGACCATCAGGAATCGCGCGACGCAGCTTTGCAAAATGAACTACAGAGTGTCCGGAATATCAACGACGTGATCGAGGGTCTTCTTTCTAGCCTTGACCAGGCCAAAGGGAATATGGATGTATGCTACACCTCTCTGGATATGAACTCGAAATTATGAAAAGTAATTAATAATTGTGATAAAACAATAGACCGTTTCTCGAACCGTCAGTTCCGCAGCGACCCTACTTAACACCTGGACCCGAATCCTTTCCCAGACCGAGCATAATCAGCGATTGATCCTCAACCCGAACTGGCAAGGAGCGACTCAAGATGCGGCCGACATGGAGAACGAAGCGATTTTAAAACAGCAAGCAGCCGAAAGACGCGAGCAGGAACTGCAGAGGCAGCGGGAAGCCGCTACTCGAAGAGCAGAAGAAGACGCAAGGAAGCGGGCACAACCAACCACTAGAAGCACGCGTGGGACCACGACTACTAGCCGGGGACGAGTACGCGCTACCGGCCTGGGTAGAACTCCTAGTGTCTCATACTCTAGTACTGGTTCGAGCGCGTCAAGGACTGCTACTACTACTCGAGGGTCTACGACCGGATCTGCCATGACGACACGACGGCCTATTAGTGGGAATTTGGGGAGGGGCAATGGAACTGCGCGTGGCAGAAGCCGGGGTTGAGATATTGATTACGAGTAATGAGCAGATGTTTATTGTATGGTATATTGTTTTGGAACGAAATCAAACACCAGTAGAAACAAAAGACAATATCCAGTATAGACCAGATCATGTGCCAAGACAACACGCGGACAACGCGATAACCGTCTCCAACCACCACCACAGTTATCGATTGGACACAACTTATTCAATTGCGCCAGTATCGTTTTTCCATAGCAGGCACCATGGATTTCGCGCCCTATCAAGACGAGTCGCCCGAAGTCGAGCGGGCCCTTTCTCCCCCTCCGAATAACCATCTCCGGTCTCCTCAGTCACCTCCCATCGCGGGTCCTCTACCATCACCCAGTCACTTTGCCAACGAAGGACAATATACAACACAAAGCGGTGGACTTGGGAGCACAGGAAGTCTTGGGCCAGATGTTGAAGGAGGGCGATTGAACTTAGGGGCATTTGACACAAGTCTCCCGATTCGGATGGACTATGAAGCGATGTTGGCATATCTGCTTCTACCTCCGGCGGGAGGTGTCTTTCTGTTGGTGTTTGAGCACAAGAGCGATTACGTTCGGTATGCTGTTGGGCAATATGATAGAAGTCTATCGAGAAAAACCAATTGACTGACTGCTGCAGGTTCCATGCGTGGCAATCGAGTATGCTCTTCACGGCCATCTTTATCCTCCATCTAATCTTATCGTTCTCGAGCTTTCTCTCATGGCTTCTACTTATCTGCGACCTTGCTTTGATTGCATTCCTGAGTCTGCATGCATATAGAGATGGTACGTTTGTCCTGCAGAAATGAAGCTCATGAATGTTGCTTACTGACTGCATTTAGTGGACACACTCGAGCATTTTGAAGTCCCAGTTTTCGGTCGTCTTGCGAATTCATTCGTTGACGATGAATGAAGTGCCCACTACCTGCGCTCCAGCGTACTATCTAGATACCCATGCAATGGAAGTTCAATTGTACAGTGCCTTTATACTGAAGTCCATCTGCTTTGTCTATATCGTCCTCCTATTTCAAGTCATGACTGGCCCACCTCTCACAGAGTTTCTTTTCATAGAGATGTGAAATACTAATAAAAATGAGGAATGAATGGATGTTTAATACGAAGCATCGATGCCTGTCGCATTTTGTGCCCTTTTCATCAAAGAGAAATCCTGTAGACTGACTCAAATTCAATTTGAAAACAATCACTTTCTTTGCTTCTTTATATCTCTGTACTGTTTATTGTCATTTTTTACAGTATCTTGAGCTTCAATTTCCTCTTGAACCTTCGAACCCAACGAAAGTGGTGATCTGTTTCATACACATAAAGCAGCTCAATGCGAGAGTTCCTTCTGTTTCTTGTCGGGGTACCTTGTCATTCTTCCTAAGCCACATTTATATCTTAACCTATCCAAGACATCACAGCTTAATACCAGCAAGATGTGCCACGTCCAGCGCGTGATTAACACCTGCGGCCATCGCAACGACCACGTCTCTCTCTCCTGTCGCTTCGCCAAAGCCGGCCACAACCTGGCAATGCCTATTAGCGAATCGAACTCAAACCTTTCGCATACTGCCACTACCAGGAGAATGAGCACGTGCATGAGCGCCAGCGCCGCGACAATTACCACCACTACTACTATCACAACCATAGCCACGAATACCACTACCACAAACCCTACCGCCGCGAGCAGTAGCGATGACAGTAATGATAGTGCTATGAGTAGTACCGGTGCTTCGACCGTGATCCAACCCCACGGATTCCATGCTTATACGGATCCCTATTGCATCTATGCAACTGTTCGGACATTGGACTCGCCGGCAGGTTTTATGTGCATGGTTGAGGGATGTGGAAGAGCGGATTAGATTCTCTGGGCCATAGTTGCGTTGTTCTTTGTGATGTATTGCTTTTACTTTCTCTTAAGCATGGTGTATGGAGTATGGCTTCTACTTATGGTTTTTGTTGGTTTCTTGTGGATTTTTTTTATTTTATGTCTTTATATGTCCCACAAGGGCTATACTTTTCAAGGTGTTACTTCATATTCCATGCGCAGATCCCTCATGCAGAGTTTATATGCAAGTATAATCATTTTGCTTCATATATGTACGTGGCAACTTCAATTCTAATTCGTGTACCAACCCTCCAAATAACTTGTGAATCGAATGGGGATTGGTGGATGTCGTGGACTTTGAAGCAGGAATAATGGGGAAAATTGAGAGACATTTTGTGATTCTCAGATAGTTATCTAGATAGGTTGAGTATAATAGTCTGGTCTATGCTAGCTCACAAACAGGATAACTCACGTTCATTGACGCACCATTTGACATAAATCAAATTGCGCAGTTTGTCATACGTTGGAGGCCGTTTGTCGAGGACCGCGATCTCTTCCCGCAACTTATTCCAAATAGTTGGATATCTGGCTAGCATAAAGAACAGATTGCTCAGCAAAGAAGCGGTGGTATCATGATCAGCCATCAACATGTTAATCAGCTCACCTTGGACCCCGCTTCCCGTCATTTGTCTGCTCGACCAATGCGTCTTAAGAAGATATACCGCTTCTTGGTAGTACCGGTGTTGCTGGCCTTATGAATACTCATAGCTTTCCCGGCAAACTGTTTGACCACCCGACGGTAAGTATGGATAGATTCATCTGCTTTGTGATCACGGTTGAGGATCTTCAGCAGACCTAGACGGATATTGGTTCGGATAGCACTCTACACATGATTAAAGGCCTTCGCAAAGTCATACTCCAACACATTTCCAGGATCGGACTGCTGCTTTTTCTTTCACTTCTCCAGCGTCAGCACACTCTGACCGAAAAGAAACTCGGTATCAGTGTCGATGGTATACACGAAGAATTATCATATTCACCATACTCCCATCAGCCGGAATCAACTTGAATAGATCCTGTATAAACTCCTCGAACAAGCTCAAGTCCGCTTCCTGGTCTTAATTATATTGGACGGACCATAGCTCTCGACTGCGCCCAGAGTCCACCATCCCCGGTGAAAATACAATGGCCCAAAGGAAGCAAGACGGTCACCGTAGTTGTAATCCTTGAACCGTAGCGAGTGTACTTTTTTATGTTTTCCGGTTTAGAGATGAGAATTATCGGTTTTTACCAGCGCTCGTTACGGATCGTGGTACAATAATTCTGAAATCGGGCTTCATATAGGGCAAAGAATCAATGGTCCCGGGCTGATTTGAGAACCGCCCATAATTTATCGAGTGCGAAGAGAGGATCTTTGGAGGGGAGACGAGCAGGAGGCTTGTAATTGTTTTTCTTGAATTATCTGGGTTTGGGTATGTTTTCGCTAGAGGTGCCGGATGACGACGTAGAGGAAGATAAGAGCAGCCTCCAGCAGCACAAGCGAAGTCATCATGCCAACTAAGAAAGATCTTATTCGAAGTTTTGGATCACATTGCCGATTTAAAGCAGACATATCGATATTTATACATCATTTGAGCAGATAAGCAATAACTGCAAGGGATGAAGAACAGCAACGAAAGCGACAGGCACATGCTATGCATCTCTATATGTAGCCAAGAAAAAAGACATCAGAACTATTGCGTGGCTAGAATCTCAATACAAGACAAATCGTTCGAAAGCAACACAGAGCTTGAAAGGGCTGCCATATGCTTTGAACCATTATGAATTATTAATATCAACACGAGGAATTAGATTGCATTATCTAGACAAAGTAGGGGTTGCTAACAGGGAACATTGAGATAGAGCCATCAGCAATGAACGATATTTGATTTGATAGCTTTTTTTCCTTTTTTCTTCTTTTTTTCTTTATTATTTTTTCTTTTTTTTCTCCCATTCTCTTTCTTTATGATAAATTTCAGAAGCACTGGCAAAATAGAGCAGTTCAGGAGTGACCATGGTTAAGACATAAAATAGAGGAGCAAAAAGCAGGCAAAAGGGGGGGAGGAGGTAGACAAAAAAAAAAAAAAAAAAAAAAAAAAAAAAAAAAAAAAAAAAAAAAAAAATAAACCAAGAGCGACAGTGGAATCAAGATAATTATTCCAATAGGAAATGGTATGTAGTCTGGCAATTAATCAAGTAAATATCATGAGGGAACATAACATTGGCAAGATGACAAAAAACCAAAACACGCATAGGAAAACATCTGCTAAAGAGCGTTTGTGAAAATCGTGGCTGTTCGTTAGATGGGTATCTAGATGATTTGCAAATAGTTGCTTGGAACCAAGCCGGTACGCCGGGGCGCGGATGCGATTTCAGCTTCCCACCAGCCGTCATCCTGAAGTCGGAGCACGGAAAGGACGTCTCCCTTGGTGAAGCCCAGTTCCTCCGGGATGGCTGCGGCGTAACTGTACATTGCACGGGCTGTCGATAGAGTCAGTAAGACAATGGAAGGTATGTGGGGCGGAATGTTTGATCACTTACCAAAGTGCAGGATTGGACGTCCGTCCCGGCTAAACTGCCTTCCAGGTTCAGCAGTAGCCAGAGTCCTGCTTCTGGAGCGACCTGTGCTTGCTGCATCTCCATAATATGAAATCGGCCTTGCAGTATCCCGTCCACGAGCACTATATGCCTCACGGCCGCTGCCGCCGCCGTACATGTCACCACGAGATAGCTGCAACTCCATGCCACCGGCACTAGAAGGCCGGGATTGCTGTCTGTATTGAGGCTGGGGTGAGACAGCGCGTGGTGCCACGTTTGGCGAGCGCGGAGCGTACTCGCGAGGAGAATAGGCCGCATCACCAGGTCGCTGCGGCGGGGTGGCAACACTAGGTGACTGGCTATAACGGCTTCTCACACTGCTCGACTGGTAAGGGCTCGGGCTAGGACTGGTACCCCTGTTGTATTGAGTCATACGGGTGTCAACACGCGGAGACACATTGGGACTGGCACTCCGTCTTGGGGTCGGAGACCGGGCTCGAGCAGAATCTTGAGACTGTACGCTGTTTCGAGAAACTGGTCCTGGAGAGCTACCGCGGTTTCTGAACACGTTCTGACCTTGGCCGATATATTTCTGCGTTGTCCTCTGCATCTGCGCAGACGTGTGTGCCGGCTGGGGTGCATCAAGACGCTTGATCGAAGAGTCATTGTAGGCGGGGGGCGCTCCCGCGGTAGAAGGAGCTGGGCTGGCTATACCGTGATATCTGTCGGCAGAAACGCGACTCGATGGTGACTTGCCAGAAGTCTTCAAGTCCGCCAAAGCACGAGCAATGGGGTCAAGGTCGTCATCTGTATTCTTTGTTTGCTGCAAGCTCTTTCTCTTCTCTGGGGAAGCCACGTCAAAAACATTGTTGCCAACATTAAGCTGGAAGTTCGCCCTCGGATCCACAGGCTCGGGACTGGGAGCTCGATCGCTCGGGCCCATCACAGCTGGAGATTGGGGTTGTGATTGAGCGAGCAACTGGGACTGCGGTGGCGGCGGTTGATGCTGTGGTTGAGCCTGGGGCTGTTGTTGAGTAGCTTTAACCGGGCTTGTGTGTTTCGATGATGAATCCCATGTACCGCGAGAGGGTGGCTGCGACGGGCCAGAGCTGCGGTCCTTGTCGTGTCGACTCTTGCGACGGAATGGACTGTTGCTAAAGAATGCACTTCTTTTCTTCTGAACTTGTTTATCGGGACTAATTCCCGGGAGCGCCACACCGTTTGTAGGCTTTGTTGGAGATTGTTTCGTACTTGGTGGCTCCTGGCTGGACATGGAAGTAGGATTGGATAATTCGCTCTGCGAGTCTCGACTCGATGGCCGGTAGCCGCTGTTTGTTCCGGAACTGCGCTCTGAAGGAGGTCCGGTGCGGCAGAACATTGTCATACCGTCTGTCGGATACGCATTGTGAGGCACCTTTGTGATCTCGCCATGCTGATTAGGGTCATAGTTCGGCGGGGGTTGGCCACCACGACGAAGATCCAATGGTGCAGGTTGCTGTGTCGGCTTCTGCGGAGTGATAGAGGCTTCTCGGCTTGCCTGTGGTGGGGCCTCTATCTGTCCCATCATGTTCGCAATTTCGGCCGAAGGATCATGGTGAGATTCGTATGTGGATGGCTGCGGAGAGGAACTGCGGAAGGCAGGATTTATCGTACGCTGGAACTGGGCGACGGAGTATCCATCCTCTTCAGCAGATGCCTCTGAGCTGGTGTCGTTGATATCTCCTCGGCAGAAATTGATGAATTTTGGCGGGTCAGGAATTTCCTGGCCGGTTCCTCTTTCTTTAATGAAAGAAACAATGTCCTTTTCGACCTCACAATCCTCGAGGGCCAACCGGATCTTTTCACACGACTAGAGACTAATTAGTGTGACGTTGCTAAAGTTCTCGTGTGTGTAACATACGGCATCGTCGCTAACGCAGACTGTAGATGCAATGTTGGCATATGTCCACAAGCTGCTCTTAGCAAAGTCAAGGCGCTCTTCCTCGAGGTCTTGGAATTTCTGGGATACCGTTAGCCTATTCTTTCCCTCACATATGAGATGTGTCGAGGTCCACGCACATCACAAGCTGCCTTCCATTCTTTATTCCACCGTCCGGTCGTATCCTCGAGAATCTTCACGGCGGCTTCGTATTCGCTGCTGCTGGATGCGAGCTGGATTTGCGTTTTCTCGAGTTTCGCCTTGTTCTTCCGTTCCTCTTGACCCATCACCATGTGTCCCTGTGCGAGGTATCCCTTAATTCTCAAGCAATCCTGTTCGTAACGATCCCGTGTCTGCAGTGTAATTAGTATTTGAATTGTCGCCGCTAGTAAACAGGGGACCTCGCCTCACCTTATTTACTAGTTGCGTTTGCTGGATCTTAGTCTTGAGCAAACGCTCGATGCCGTTCTGAATAATCTTCCTTCTTTCCTTTGACCCGCCGGCAAAAGCAGTCAAGGGCTCTTCCAATTCTCGTTTCATTTGTCCGGCAATTGCAGCGTGTGCCTTCCCAATGGATTCTGTCTCGGTTCGAACGACATCCAAAGAAGACCGGAGCGAGCCTGTTTCACCTGCACCTAGCGGCTTACGACACAGTAGAAGCAGCTTTTTCGAGTACTCTTCCTCGATCGCAGCCCGAACTGTCAATCCCATCAGTCAAGTTTTCCAGAATAGTTTCCATCAAGACCACCACATATACGCACGGTTATAAAAGGTTTTCAACTCATCGCAGGTCACCTTGGCGCTGTGCATCCGATCGAGCATGGGGGGAACTCCGGCGTCATCTTTGCCCCAGAAATTATTCGCGACTATGAGACACATCAATGTTAGCTTCGCGTTTTATCTACCATAGACTATCACATCTGGGGGCATACAGGATAGAGAGACGGATGGACCGTCTGCCAATGTTCCCGGCATCGCGCTCACTATTTGTTTTTCGTTACTGCGTTAATTGAGACTCGGGGCCAGCCTTTGCTCATGGAGTACAGCAACAACGGAGGAAGCACGGCGAACCACAAGAGGTAATAACGCAGATAGATAAAAGAAAATAACGATAAGTGAGAAATAGAATATAGAAAACAAGTCACCACCACCAGGAATTCTTCCCCAGAGCCACAGACTGCGGAAGGAATGGGCAGAACTGGAGTTCTGTCAGTGCTAAGCTGGCATGGCCGCGTGCCAGGCTGGGCTGTTTACCGCATTGCGTTTCTCGGGGCAACCGGCGGAATTACTTACAATTGCCCATTGTTGCCAGTTTATTATGACACTTTGGGTGAATTTACTGGATTTATATAATAATTTTGTAGACAAGTGAGTTTTTTTTTTTTCTTTAACTCAAGGCACCATGGATTATACTCCAGAGTATTCATTCGTCTTTACTTGATTGCATGGGATTGGGTTAGGTTGTTCTGAATCGGGTTGCAGAATACATACCCGCATCAATACCCCTGCCAGGGGAAGAAGTATCGTACGCCCACGTGGTTAAGTAATAACTTTCATGAACATGCCACCAACACAAGACTATTACCTACACATCTTCCTGAAGCATCCTGATACCCTCCTGAGCACTACTATGTCCTTCAATGCACTAATATGGAACTCCGTAGAAAAGATGTCCATTAACAAAGCAAGTCCGTATAAATGGCCTACTGGGCTGTTCCTGCTCCCAGCGAATACAGGAGAATCGAAATGAAATATCGCTTCATCGCCTGATCAGAGCATACGTTTTGCCACAGTTTCAAGTTTTCGTTCCTGTCATTTGCGGGTGCAGGGAGAACGATCATCCCAACCAACTCAGGGCCGAGAACGACATGCTTCGCAAATAAATCGATTGTTAGTGACGCCAGACCAAGGAATACATTGAACATACTAGGCAACCTGGTATATGGAGGGTGCCACGCTTTCCCTTCCAGCTTCTCGCATCGATCTAACATGGCACTTAACGGGTGCTTGCTGAAGGAGGAATTGGACCGAGTGACGAAAGAAAGGACCGAGTAGACTGCACAATACCAAAGGATTTTGTGTCACTGTGGGTGCTGGTAACCATAAAAAATCTCGATGCGTTTTCATGCCATGACTGGAGGTTCTAAGTGTCATCGATTGTGCGAAGTATGTTCTGATCTGGCCCAAGACCAGGTTAGTTGTACTACCAGTGCAGTCAGCGATATCAAACTAGCAATGTGAAAAAGGCTATCTTCATCTAATATCTTTAATCAATCCGCCTATAGTTGCCACAAATTTAGCTCATCGACGATGTTGTCGAGAAACTGGAGAGCCTAGAGGATTGCCAGTGGCCTTTAGATAGTACACTAGACATCTATGAGAGCAAAGCTTCAAAGACGATATACAGCGAGGTACAATTTTACGTTGACAAGGTTAGCAATAACTAAAATAAATGCACAGGGAGTTTGGAAATCATGAGACATTCAAAAGCGCAAACTTCTCATGAAAATAATTCCTTGGGTGGATTACGGGTTTGCCTTGCTTGTTATCCTTCACGTTGGTCACCGTTGAGGAACTCGAGTAGCACGTAGCAAGCAGACTGAGAAGAAAGAATAAGAGCAAGGTATTCTCATCATACCAAGTCACAGAGCTTCGTATATCACATTATTACCAGGGTTTGGAGCGATCTATGACGATTGCCAAATATGGAAAGATCAAGATGTCCACCCGATGACTCAAGTGTTACATAAGCAGACAACCCGATTGTCAGGAACAACACGTGATGCAGCCAGCAATAAGAAGACCTGACAAAAAGATGCAAGAGCAGAGATACAAATGACTAAATGTACCTAGAATATCAATGAAATAACTGTCTCTGATTGCTGTTCTCTTGGTGGACTACGCTGTCTAGTATCGTGTCCTAGCCTGACGCTGCCACTTTCCGCCTTCCCAAACAGGCTAGCTCAGAAGCTCAGCCTCTCCACCTTCCATCCATCCTCGACTTCACTCTTTTTGGACCTCCCGTCGAGAAACTTGTGTGCCACGAAGCAACTTCCTTTCCCACGGTCACCATCACCGTCTTCTACTCAAGCATTTCGGAATTTCTCTGCAAATTCACTTCACCTTATTTTTGGCTAGATCAGTTCCCCCCACTATCGCTACGAAATCATAAAAAATTGTTTCGTTCGTCCTCCCCCAAGTCAAATGATCGCGTTTCCTAGATGACCTTCCCTCCCCCTCCCCCTTCCTCCCAATCGTCGATTGCTTCTGGCACCGATAAGTCTTCTTCGACCAGGCCTACCCGGGCACAGCAATCTGCTTGGGGCCCGTCGTCCGCGTCTCAGTCCAACCTCCGCCGTGGGTTGACCCCCCTCGCGACCTCCAACCTCACCTCGTCATCGATCCCCTCTTCCAACTCCCGCGGGCTTCCTCAGTCGAGCAGTCCTGGCCCTGGTGCTTCAACTTCTTCTCCCTTGACTTCATCCTTTTCCGCCGTGCTGAGTTCCACAAGGGGTCTTTCTGGTGGTCGTAACGCGCCCTCGCCTGCCTCCACTTCGTCGCCTTTTGCCGCCTTCCAGTCTGGCTCGCAGCAGCAACTCCAACAGCAACACCAGCAACCAGGACAGTCAGTGTCCTCTCCCAAATTCAGAGCCCACACCCCTTCAGGGTCACATTTAGCTTCCACGGCAGGCTCTATCCTAGGCGGTGGAGGCATCGGGGGAGGCGGAGGTGGCACCAGTTCTTCCAGAGGCGCTGTCTTCTCTCCGTTATCCACAACAGTGAATTCGCCTACGGGTTTCCCCTCTGACAAGCCGGGCTCGTCAGCCGCCGGAGCTGCAGCTCACGCAAGCCAGTCATCGTTGACTAAAATATCCATTGCACAAGTTTTCCTCCTTTTGGATTCCATTACAGAAAAGGAGGGCAAAGAGAAGTGGGAGACCAAAGCTGCTCAGATACACAAAGTAAGTTACTATCATTGATCAGCTTCATGGGCCTCCCAATGTAGCTAACGTGTGATGGTAGCTTGTCGAGTCCAACGGAATGGAGGTCTTTTCCAAGTACTTTCGGCGCCTTCTCACGGGCAATGCCCCACAAATCTTTCCTGGAGTAAACAAGTCCGTTGAGAATGCAGGGAATTATCCACTCCTATTTCAGGAGATGCAGAAGGTGTCCCAGGACATAGAACAAGCACAGAAGATCGCAGAGACGATTGACACCTCTGAGGGTGATATTTTCCGTGATTTTGATCTTTCTACATTTCTTGATCACTTTAAGCTTGACCCGCTCTCAAAAGTGGCGCTCGCACTGGCCTTCAAGACGGCCAGTAAGTCGGACCTGCGTGCTAAAGGTATGTATCTCTCAGACTTTACTGAACACATTTTCTCTTCCCTTCCTTGCTTTCTTTGATTTCTCTTCATGACTGACAATGGGGTTCCTCTTCAAATTAGCTGATGCCATCCTTTCAAACTCCGTGACGCCGTTTCTACAGACCTTGGCGACTCCTTCCGAATTGACCAAGGACCACACAACTTCATTCATTGGCATGACGATCGAGCGTTTCATACTTTATCCGCCACGAAATTTCACCGACGATGTGAAGGCCAAGCTTGTATATGCAGCAAACTTGCGTTATCAGAAATTGGCCATGGACATGCCTTTCGAAATTTCGTCTTCCCTCCAAATGTTCAACTTCATCAACCCCCGGTATACTCTAGTCAGGCAACTTCATTCCAAGGGTCCGAAGGCAACATCGACTCCGGATGCCGTGAGTGAAGTCGTCAATATCTCTGGCCCCGATTGCTGGAATGAGGAGCACATTGCTAGTGCACTCCTTTTTATGGTTCTTTCACAGTATTGGCGGCAATTCTCCCTCGAGACTTACCTTTCAGCTGTCCAGTCGCATTATGGCGAACAACAGATTAACTGGCCGCTCGTTCTCCGGCACTTTGATCGCGAAGGCCTAAGGATGGATACCAACCAATTTACCAGACTCTACGCCTCTCTTTCAGCCTTGGCCCCAGAGAATCCGAGCTTAGATGTTCAGAAACTGTGGGGTGGAGATTGGGAACACCGTGATACACAGATGTCCTTTTTGAGAGCGTTCATTGCTTCTCGAACCGATGTTTCGCAGATTCCGAGCCTCCGAGCCACTTTTCCCGCTGACTTCTTTGCTGACGGCCCGGAACTCGTCCGCCTTCAGGGTGAGCGTGCAGCCAAGTCGCCTCTCCGATCTTTAGATGCCATGAAAGCCATGTTCGACCTGGTTCTCTTTTCTCAAGCATCCTGGGCTGCTGCTGAGAGCCAAATTCTCATCAAAACCCTCGTTCAATACGACCTTCCGGTTTTTCTATGCTCTGCATTGGCTCTTCCACAACCTTGGACAGCTGTCCAACAGAGTTTCGTCTTGCGGACGCTTATCGTATTCATCTTGAAGCAAGAAGAGGGCCATCAACTTGCTCTCCATGGTGCGTGGCGCCAGGACCGCCAATGGGTCGCTGAGCAACTCTTCGCCACTTTTACACAGGATCCGACTTCAACCGCTGCTATTTACGAGCATGCCATGGAATATGGTTGGTTAGACTACCTCCTCGGTTATACAAATGGACTTGCTATGGATCTCGCTTGCTACGCTCATCGTAAAGGCCCATTTGACCTTGCCCAGTGGGTCCGAAACGCCGCCCAAAAAGGACCTATGGACATGGGTAGCTTGTTGTCAAAGTTCTTGAGGATCAAGGCCGAAGATGAACTCCATGTTCAGAGGAAAGAACAGCCCGCCCCACAAATGGTCAGTCTTTCTGTCAAGACCGTCTATGCCCTGTTGTCGGTGCTGGAGGAGTTCGTTGGTGATCGAGAAAACCTCACTCCGGTGCAGCGTATTTGCATTCAGACCTATCCCAGACTGATTAACTATGGCGAAGGGTTTGATGACATTATTGATCTCAATGGCGAAAATGGAAATTCGTTGCCCGAGGCTGTCGACAAGCAAATGCAGGAACTTTTTGGCAAGATGTACCACGAAGAGCTCTCGCTACGAGAGATGCTGGAATTGATGAGACGATATAAATCCTCCAAGGAGCCCGCTGAACAGGATTTGTTTGCTTGCATGGTACACGGGCTGATTGACGAGTACCACTGCTACCACGAATACCCCCTAGAGGCCTTGACCAAGACGGCGGTCATGTTTGGCGGCATCATAAATTTCCGACTTGTGGATGGCATCACACTCAAGGTTGGTTTGGGTATGATTTTGGAAGCTGTGCGAGAACACGATGTACACGATCCGATGTACAAATTTGGTGTTGAGGCTATCGAGCAATTGATCAATCGGCTTTCTGAGTGGGCGGGTTTCTGCCATCTGCTTTTGCAAATCCCAAGTTTACACGGCACGCCAATCTCTCAGACAGCGGAGGAGGTTCTTCGTGATCAGGGAGCACAGGCTCGTGATTCTGAAGTTGATGTCCTGGTCAACGGCAATGTGGAGGAGCCCGCAGATACCGATGGAGTTCCCCGCAAATTCCGTTCTGTTAATGTTGGTCCTTTACTTCGACCAGAAATCTATCAGGATCCGGATGAAACGGTCCAGGATAAAATCCTTTTCGTCTTGAACAACGTGTCAGACAACAACTTGGAAGACAAGCTACAGGACCTTACCGAAGTGTTGCGCGACCAGCACCACCAATGGTTCGCTTCGTATTTGGTAGAAGAGCGTGCCAAACTGCAGCCAAATTTCCAGCAGCTATATCTTGATCTTCTTGAACGCCTTGACAGCAAGATACTCTGGGCGGAGGTTCTGCGAGAGACATATGTCAGCGCCAGCAAGATTCTCAATTCGGAGGCGACTTTGAATTCATCTACCGACCGTGGCCATCTGAAAAATCTCGGCGCGTGGCTGGGTTCCCTTACCATTGCCAAGGACAAACCCGTTAAACATAAAGACGTCTATTTCAAGGGTCTTCTGTTAGAAGGTTACGACAGCCAGCGCCTCACAATCGTTATTCCGTTCACCTGCAAGACACTTGTCCAGGCCACAAAATCCACAGTTTTCAAGCCCCCGAACCCTTGGCTGATGGACATTCTCTCCTTGCTCCTAGAGCTATACCACTTCGCCGAATTGAAACTGAATCTCAAGTTTGAGATTGAGGTGTTGTGCAAGGATCTTGATCTTGACCATAAAACAATTGAGCCCTCTGTTATCATACGAGACCGTTCCGCTCACTTCGAAGATGCCCTGTCGACGGCAAATATCCCTGATGGCCTTGAAGCGTTCGAAGACATGGCACTTAGCGGTATTGGCCAGGGTGTCAGGAACGAACGACTTTCGCCTGCTGCGATAATGTCCTCTCTACCCAGTTTAGACAAGATCCTTGTTCTGCCGTCTTCGGCGAGCAGCATGGTGGATCCAAATGTTCTTCGGCAGATCGTTCATAGCGCTGTGGAGCGCGCTATAGCGGAAATAATCACACCAGTAGTAGAGCGCTCGGTTACCATCGCTTCTATCTCCACAGTTCAGCTCGTCTCGAAGGACTTCGCAATTGAGCCGGATGAGGAGAAGATGCGCCATGCGGCAGGCATCATGGTGAGGCAACTCGCTGGAAGCTTAGCCCTCGTGACCTGCAAGGAGCCCCTAAAAGTCAGCATGACAAACTATATCCGGATGATCCAGCAAGAGTATTCGGATCAACCAATGCCCGAAGGTTTGATCCTGATGTGCGTCAATGATAATCTCGATGCTGCTTGTGGGATTGTCGAGAAGGCAGCAGAGGAGAAAGCTCTACCTGAGATAGAAAAGGTCATCGAACCTCAACTGGAGGCGCGCCGGCGTCATCGGGCCACCCGACCGAATGAGCCATTCATCGACCCGTCTATGAACCGTTGGGGTCTTTTTATTCCCGAACCTTATCGACAAGCCCCTGGAGGGTTGAACAAGGAACAGCTGGCCATTTACGAAGAATTCGCACGCCAGTCTCGCGGTCCGGGAGCAGCCCATATTCAAAACATCTCTTCCGATTCCGGTCGGCAACTCCCTGATGTTCTTCAGGAATCATACCCAGCAATTCCGAACCTATCTACCCCGGCAGAACAGCCTGCTGTTCCTCATAGGACCCCACAGGCGCAGCAAGAGGCTCGACTGCAGCAGCCTGGGCTTGTTGGCACGCAGCCACAGTTGAACGGGTTCCTCGAGGCTCAAAGTCCACGGGACAAGGTCGAAAGCATCGTTTCCGACCTTCAACAAGTTGCCCGCAATTCTTCTGAAGAGCACGTGAAAGACTTGGGCCGTGACAGTTCCGTCTTACAGGAGTACAACCAAGCACTGCGCACCATACTGTCTACGCCCAATGGGGATGAGTTGGCTAGATTGACATCGCTCAAAATCTGTGCGACTTTATACTCCCAAACCCAAGGAACGCTCGAAATTGAGGTTCTAGTGCACCTCCTCGCCAAATTATGCGATATGTCGTCTATTGTCGCACGTTACACTTGGGCAGTGCTTTCAGACATTGATGACGAGCACATGTTCAACGTGCCAGTAACAGTTGCGCTCATTGATGCTGGGCTTCTTGATATTCGTCGCGTCGACATGATCATCACGAAGATGGTCCTTCAAAAGAGTGCCGGCGCTTTGGAGCTTCTTGGAAACCTGATGGACCGTGTTCTATTCAGCGAGGAGCCCTCTGCCTTGAGATCAGATTTCTCGGGTAGCTTGGAGGCCATGAGCCAGTGGCTAGTGGAGGATGCTAACATTGTGCCGGCCAACGATATCATTCGCAAGTTGCGTGAGTCTGGAATTCCCGAACCAGTCACTGCGTTCCTCAGCGACACGGCAAGGTCGAAACGGGATCAAATGGAATACATCTTCACCGAATGGATTGGAATCTACAAGGCTCCTGGTGCTACCGACCGTACCTATTTCTCTTTCCTCAGAGATATGCACCAAAGACAAGTCATGAACAATCAGGAAGACTCTGCATTGTTTTTCCGGCTTAGTATTGACATTTCGGTTGCCATGTTTGAGCATGAGTCTCAGAACCCTGGTGGAAGCCTGGACGAAGCATTCCTTTATATTGATGCCCTTGCTAAGCTGGTCATCTTGCTGGTTAAATTCCAAGGCGAAGGTACGGGGGCTGTGAAGGCTAACAAATCCGTGTACTTCAACTCGATCCTGTCTCTTCTCGTGCTGGTCTTGAACCATCACCAAGTCATGAGGGGCGAGGCCTTCAACCAACGTGTCTTCTTCAGACTGTTCTCCAGCATGCTGTGTGAATATTCCATCAACGGTCTTCAGTACATCGACCAGCATAAGGACATGATGTTTGCCTTTGCCAACAAATTCATGTCTCTCCAACCGAAATATTGCCCCGTTTTTGTTTATGGATGGCTTTCTCTTGTTTCCCACAGATTCTTCATGTCCGGCATGTTGAACATGCCCGAACGAGCAGGCTGGGGACCATACTGCGAACTTATGCAAGGCCTGCTCTCTTATATTGGCGAGCAGCTCAAGCCTGCCGACATTTCCTACGTTGCCAAGGACTTGTACAAGGGCGTGCTTCGCATCCTGTTGATACTGCACCATGACTTTCCCGAATTTGTGGCGGAGAACCATTTTCAGTTTTGCAATGTCATCCCCGCACACTGCGCACAGCTTCGGAATCTTGTTCTCAGTGCTTATCCGTCGTCATTCCACAAACTTCCAGACCCATTCAGGGAGGGCCTGAAGGTTGAACGCTTGGAAGAGATGCGGGAAGCCCCGAAGATCGCGGGTGATGTTGCTGCTCCTTTGCAACGGGCCAACATCCAGAATGTCGTCGACAGTGCTCTTCAGGGCAGCAGTGTGCCCGAACCATCTGTTCTGCAAATTTGTGAAGCCATCTATAACCCCACAGCTAAGGAAACTGGTCTTTTCTATGGCCCGATAAATGTCAACGTCGTTTTGGTGAATGCACTGGTACTCTATATCGGCCAAGCTGCAATCTCCACCAACTCCTCCAAGGGCAATACCCGTGCAGCTTTCGACAACACTATCCATTCAGCACTCCTGGAAAAGCTCGCAAAGGCGCTACGACCCGAGGCCCGTTATTACCTGCTGAGCGCGATGGCGAATCAACTCCGTTACCCCAACAGCCACACCTATTATTTCAGTTTCGCCATTCTTCGCCTCTTCGGTGCAGAAAACTCGGATCAGGATGAATCCGATATCCGTCAACAGATCATTCGGGTGCTTCTGGAAAGACTCATTGTTCACCGCCCCCACCCTTGGGGTTTGATCATTACTTTGCAGGAGCTGCTCCAGAACCGGGGCTACTCATTCTTCCAACTTCCTTTCATCCAGGCTGCGCCTGAGGTAAGTGTTTAACCACTTAATCGATGTTATGTTACTTTTGTGCTAATGCAACGTTTGCAGATTGGTCGCCTGTTCGATGCCCTCCTGCAGCACATTCAACAGCAAAGCCCTAGAGCTCTGGCCTAAGTGGCTGGACTGGGAGCTCCCATATCCGCTTATCATTGTTTCTAAATATCACGAAGCGATTGATCATGCCTCGATGTATTGCATTTAACAGAGATGATGTTCTATTTTCTTTTCTTTTTGCTATTATCTCGCGGTTTTTTATGATTTCGACGCATGACATGGGGGTGCCATTTTTAGTGCTTTTCCGGCGCGGTGGTGGAAGTTTCATTCTATTCGTTTGTTTGTAATAGCAATTATTCTTTTGTTTTCCGGATGGGTTTTGAAGGGATTTGCATATACGGGCATGCTAGCATGGCCAAACTACATGGAGCAAGTCATGTTTTTGTGTGTTTACTATATTTTTTATTTTATTTTACTTGTTGGATGTTGTTTTCTGAACACTGCTACTGCAGTAATGTAATGATAGAAGAGTATAAAAGCATGGGTGGCTGATGTTTTTAATTGCATTATTTTACTCTATATTTCTCGTCCAGCATCATATGTAAAGTGCCTCGGTGACGTCGGCGGAGAGTTCTCGACTCCATCGGTCTTCGTTCTCCTTTCACGACTCCTACACAGCTACTTTTTACTCTGTACGTATATAATATACACCATAATGTCGGACTATGAGACAGATTATGAGATTGATAAAGAGGATTTGTCCTCATGGGGAGCAATGGTATTGTTATTCGTGTTCACCTATCGCTCTAGAGCAGAGGAGCTGACAAGCCACCAGGACGCGTTGACATCGCGCTTGCGGCCCCTGGTCTCGAAGAAGTTCCAAAAGGCCTATATGGGCATTTTTCTCTTTATCACAACCGCCTTGTTTATGATCGGGGTGTCAACAGTAGCTTACTTCGTCTTCTACTACAAATTCATTCCGCAGGTTGAGCTGCAACGCCCGGTGCATTTGCAATTTGGGTAGGTTGGAGTTTGCCAGACCGAGATCCTATACCCGGGATGAATATGCTGATGTCTTCTTGATTGATAGTGATGGACCACCTTGGGGAACTGCACCCTTGGGGACGGAATTGGCGACCCTCCAACCGTACGATGTGACCGTCCAACTCGAAATGCCGCGCACTCCGTCCAACCTTGCCGCAGGGAACTTCATGCTAGATTTGTCCCTCTTTTCGCACCGGTCGATCTCAGCCAATGACACGTCCCGGGTGCTGATTGCACGGTCGCGTCGCCCTGCTATCATGACATACGCCTCGCCCATCATTGACACGGCCAGCAAGCTCACATACTTGCCATTATACCTGGCAGGCTGGCGTCGGGAAGCGGAGACCCTGGAGGTGCAGATAATGGAGCAAATTGAATTCCCGCGGGGGTGGCGCAACTTGCCCGAAACCCTTCTGGTCGAGATTCATAGCGACGAGAAGATGCAGGTATACAATGCGAAGGTGGAATTTCGGGCCATCTTTACTGGCTTACGGTAAGGACTGTGCTGGCTTGTTTATGTGACCATCAATGACTGGCCATGCTGACGAATGGATGATAGGTGGTTCGTGTACAATTGGAAAATCAGCTCATTTTTCATCTTCAGTTTCGTGTTCTGGAGCATCTCCATGATGTCGACCAGCGTTGTCTGGCTTGTGCTGGCCTACATATTTAGCACGGATCATGAGACACGGGAGACTGAGCGTGGCAGTACTCCGATCAAGGAGGAATCGGACGACGAATCTGCTGATCCCGCGGGATTCCCCTCATCCCGCCATGACCAGCCACCGGATGAAAGCGAGACAGAAGACGACTTGGAAGTGGACGTGAAACAGGAGCCTTCATCTACTACGAGTGAGGCTGGGGATGACAATGCGACGAAGCATGTCGGTACTGGAACTGGCTTTGAGAGTGCTGAAGCCCGGGGCGTACAGAGACGTCGTAGTCATTTGTTCAAGGAGGAGAATTTGTAGTATGGCGTATCGATCCCTTTTCATATGTTTTAAATAGAGCATGATACCCAAATGTATTGCAAAAAATTAATTTTAATTGCTGTGTCTGCATTTCTATTATCGATAACCGGCGCGGGGAGCCCATTCATCCGCCGTAAGTACGTGGGAAAGAAAAAAGGTGGGGAGAAGATCAACATTCTTCCAAGTTCCCCCTCGGCAGCAACTTTCTCCCCTGACGAATCTCAGAGTTCTTGCAACTACAGTCTCCAATGCATATCCTGGTGAGTATAAGAGTCAATTCGTGATGTGTACAACAAGAGATAGAAGAACTCACCATGCAATCTTATAGGTTACCAACGACGACGGGCCGCCGTCGAATCAGTCGTCGCCCTACATCCATTCCCTCATCCACACGCTGCAGAACGCCGGGCATATTGTATCAGTGATTCTCCCGCATCAACAGCGGTCATGGATCGGTAAAGCCCATATTGTCGGTGCCTCCGTGGTGCCAACCTACTTCCGCCCCGGCACTCTCCATGAGGACGATGGGACGGTCCACCACCTGCCACGGGGGTGCGATCCCGCTGAAGACGACGACGAAGGTGAAGGCGACGAATGGATATTGATCAACTCAACACCGGCAAGTTGCGTCCAAGTTGGCCTTTACCACTACTTCCAAGACCGGGGTCCGATAGATCTGATCATCTCCGGTCCCAACTACGGCCGGAATACCACCGCTTTATTCGCACTGTCGAGTGGCACTATCGGTGCGGCGATGGAAGGTGCTGTCTGCGGGAAACGGTCAATCGCATTGTCTTACGCTTTCAGCTCGCGCAACCACGACCCCGTCGTTATCGCGGAAGCGTCGCGCCATTCGGTCAAGCTTATCGAGTACCTGGTGAACAACTGGGTGGATGGCGTGGACCTGTACAGCATTAACGTCCCGCTGGAGCCTGGTGTTAGTCAATGCAAGACTGTATACACGGAGATGCTTGACAACCGGTGGTCGTCGGGTAGCTGTTTCACGGCCGTGGATCCTCTGGTGGTGGATCAGGACCCCAACACGCAAGAGAGGAAACTGCGCGAACAAGGTGAGAAAACCGGGGTAGCACCTGCTGTGCCTAATCCGGTGCCTGGAAAGAGGTCGAATCTTCAGCACAAGCATTTCCAGTGGAGTCCGAACTTCGGGGATGTGTTTAGGAGTGTGGAAGAGAGCAAGCCAGGAAATGATGGCCGTGCTGTTAGAGAGGGGATGACAAGGTTTGTCTCTATTGCCTTATTATTGTGAGCACCTATACAGTTACTAACTGGCCCGAACCATAGTGTTACGCCTCTGAGAGCAAACTTTATGCATACCCCCAATATCCAAGGGGAGATTAAGCTGTGAGTGGTAAATACTGGCGAGTGAAGTCGAGTATTATGTTACGACCCTTTGTGAATTAAGCGTTTCTATATAAGAGCTAGATGATTCAAGACATGTTTTACGCTTCCATCTGCTCATTCTTTGGTTTTTGCTTTCTGATAGTTACGTTCTTATGGAAAGGGATATAATTCTGATAGTGAATACTGTGTAGACCGGATCATGGATCTTCCCCTGCCCTACACTGCGTCGTCGACTGTGACGATGGTTACGTCCAGGAATTGATGACACAGGCATTACAGAGCCGCCTGGGAAGCAATACTTGCCGGTCTATTTCTTCTTTATCGGAGCTGTCAAAGCGAAGCCAACTCGTCTTTCAATACCGGGAATACGAACGACTCGACTTTGAACATGTCATGATGCATACGTCCTCGTCGCTCGCCAACGCATACATCATCCGAAAAGCGCTTATCCGCAAGCATTATCTGTCGAACACGGTGTCCAGCTGGGTCTCGAAGCACCCAGACAGCCTCTTACGAAACCACTTTAAATTTGGCTTTGACTTTGAGTTGGACTATGCTGAGTTCCTCGATGATGCATTGCTGGAGGCTTACGAGCTGCGTCACAGCTTGGAGAAGAATGAAGAGAGGCCTGACTCCGAAAAGGAATGGTGGATTCTCAAACCTGGAATGAGTGATCGTGGGCAGGGAATCCGTCTGTTCAACAGCGAAGATCAATTACGTGAGATTTTCGAGGGGTGGGAGGTAGATGAATCTGACATCGAGAGTGATGCTGGATCTCCTCTTGAACAGCCTGAAGAGGAGGAGGGAGGAAAATCTGGAGACCAAGGTGTGGTAACCTCTCAACTACGCCATTTCATCGCCCAACCTTACATCGACCCACCGCTTCTCCTGCCATCCTCATTTAACCGCAAGTTCCACATCCGCACATACGTCCTCGCCGTAGGTGCCCTAAAGGTCTACGTATTCAAGGAGATGTTGGCCCTATTTGCCGCCAAATCATACTCTCCCCCATGGGAGGCCGAAGACGAAGTGATCGATCTCGCCCGGCACCTGAGCAACACCTGTTTCCAGGAAGGCGGAAGCACCAATGAAGGCAGCGTGCGACGATTCTGGAGGCTCGAGTCTGAGGTCCCTGGACTCAGTTCGGACTGGAAAGAGAAAGTCTTTGACCAGATCTGTGGTATCACGGGCGAGGTCTTCGAGGCTGCGGCTAGAGGCATGATGGTTCACTTCCAAACCCTTCCCAACGCGTTCGAGTTATTCGGGGTTGACTTTATGGTCGACGAGAACGGGACGGTTTGGTTGTTGGAATTGAACGCTTATCCGGACTTTGCGCAGACTGGAGAGGAACTCAAGGAAGCTGTCGTCGGGCGTTTGTTCGAGGAGACGGTGGATGTTGCTGTGAAGCCGTTCTTCGGTCTGGGAGATGAGTCTGCGAATGGGAGCGAACATATGAAGCTGGTGGCCAATCTGGACCTGGGAAGGAATTTTTAGCATCATAAAAAGAGGTATTGATTTGCTCTTGTTTAAAGTATAATAGATAGACTTCAAAAGTTCTGGTTTTATCTCTCTAACGTAGTTCTTTCCCTTTCAGGCTATTTAGTCGTGCTTTCTCCTTTTAGCGGTGCAGCGGACTTCATCTCATCTTCTTTCCATTCATCCTATCTCTTTCTCTCTCCTCTCTATAATCACATGTGCATCGCTTTCCTGTCCACGTACATCCCTTATTGGTTTCTTGTTACTTGCATTGAACAGAGCAGCGCATACTGAACGTATCGATTGCACTCGACGGACTCGTTTGCCAAAATGATGGCAAAAATGATCGACTTCAGCTCGACACAGCCACCAGCTCTTCGAGCAGTCGATGTCATTCATGGCTTCGTCCCCCTCGTTGCTGGTCTCTTCTACCTGGTTTCTGCAGCCATACTGGCTTTCCGCAGGGACAGACAGGAAGAGATCAGACGAAGACCGTCTCGAGCTGCTGTCTTGTGGCCGGTACTTGCCATTCTTGTCGCATATGTAAGTTGGATTGGTATGCTTCAGTTGGATTGGGTACTAAAGACTGATATATTGGTTCTTTACAGGTATTCGAGACCGCCGTGCTATTCTACCTGACCTATCCGGGAAGGGCTATGGGGTCGTTGGACGAGATCGTGAGAATGATATCCTCCTGGACTGTTGTCCGATAGTTTTGATACTGATTGGTCTCTCTGGCCCCAGATGTACTCCTTTAGCTCGTCGTTCTCCTGGTTTATATTGCTTCTCGACCTCAATTGGTTTCACAAGTCACAGGCTCTATGGTACCCTCTTGGAGGATGTTCAGCGATCTACCTAATTGCAGAGGCCCTTCTGCTTGCGTTTCGTTCACCCTCACTGGGGTCAGTGACCATTCTCAACGTTGTTCGAATATTCCGCTTGGTAACGCTTATACTACTCGTCGGCATCATGGCCATATCGCAAAAAATTGCCATCCATTGCAGGCCTGTTGACGAAGAACGGGTTCCTTTGCTCCGAGACGATCGGACTCGCAATCCAGATGGTGCCTACCCCTACGGCACAATTTCTCGGGATCCTGTTTGTCATCTTCAGGGAAGAGATGATCAAGGTGGCCTGAAGTATTTAACTCGCCGGATCACAGTATGTGCTATCCAGATACACGGTCCTGAAAAGAAGAAAGCTGACGATTGACAAGTTTCTCGCACCGTTCTTTTGGCCCAGTAGCCGACCATACCTCCGTTATTTCGGGATTTGGCTCTGCTTACTGATTGATCGTGTCCTCCTTGTGCTCGTCCCTCTACAGCTGGGGAAAGTAACGGATGCCCTGACTCGTAACGGTACGTTCATCTGAGAAGGCGCCCAAGGGATTGTCTCCTAAGAGACACGGCCCTCTTATTTCAATATTTTCTCTGTTCGACTCCGTTCTGACCTGTTGGACAGGAAATTTTTCTAATGGGGATATTGTCATGACTATCTTCATTTGTGTCTTGAAGTTCAGCAAAAGTCCTGCCGTCGTGCAGAAGTATCTGTGGGTGGCCATCGAGAACCACTCGTACTCCACACTTAGCAAGGCTGCCTTTGACAAAGCTACAGCACTGGCATGTGATATTAACAGAAAGAGAAACCTAGAGAGTCTTTGGGAATCCGTCAATCGCGGACTATCTGCCAGATATGTCTTCCGTGCTATTCTTTCCCATATCATTCCAACAGCGATTGATCTTCTGGTGGGCATATGCGTGCTGTACTATATATACGGCGCTTACATGGCGTTAGTACTTGCGACAGTGGTGGCCCTTTCTATATGGTCATCCAGAGAGATACATCGCAAGTTGCAGGGCAAGCAGAGGCGCTTTATTAATGACATGGACAGAGAGCAGCATATTCTCCGAGATTGGACGTCGAGCTGGCAGACCGCGCTATATTCTGACCGCATCCCGTATGGCGAAACAAGATACTCCTTAGCCGTCAGGGACCACTTGAATTCATCATCCAGGCTCTCATTATGGGTTTGCTTTGATTCAGTGTTGCAGTCGGCCATCGCCATACCAGGGTTTATGGGAGGTGGTGTGCTGGCGGCTTTCCAAGTTAGCTGGGGGGTCAAATCGCTTGGCAGTTTCATTATGCTGCTGATGTACTTGACACGTCTGAGTCTGCACCTTCAGGTCTTTATGAGAGGAGTTCGTGACGTCCTCCTAGGCCTTGCAGATGTTGATGAGCTGCTCAAACTGTTCGGTAGGGCTTCAAATGCTCCCAACCATGTTGCAGCAGCTCCATTACATTGCAACCAAGGTGCTATCGAATTCGACGACGTCCACTTTGCATATAGGGGGCAAAAGAGAGCACTAAAAGGGGTCAGTTTTCGGGTTCAAGCCGGCCAGACAGTGGCTCTCGCGGGAGCGACTGGAAGTGGCAAGTCGACTACCCTAGGTCTCCTTTTGCGCTTGTACGACCCACTTCAAGGAAATATTAGAATTGATGGACAAGATGTTCGCCATGTCTCGCTGGAGAGTCTGCGTTCGAGTATTGGTATCGTACCACAAGACCCAGTTCTATTTCACGATACGATCATGAACAATGTCACGTATGGGAACGTTTCTGCTACTGAGGGACAGGTGTATGATGCATGCAAAGCTGTGGCCCTTCACGACAGATTTGTGTCGCTTGGGGATGGTTATCATACCATAATCGGAGACGACGGTGTAAAACTGTCCGGTGGGGAGCTTCAGCGACTCGCAATTGCACGAGTAATGGTCCAAAACCCCAAGATCATCCTCATGGATGGCGCGACGAGTAATGTGGATAGCAGTACGGAAGCCTTGATCCAAAGAAATTTCAAACGACTATGGAGAGGGAAAACAATACTCATCACTTCGTATGGCTGACTCCTACTGAACATACATACCCTTCAATACTGATACTTCATCGCAGACATCGTCTTTCGGCGGTCTCTAAAGCAGACAGCGTTATCGTCCTTCGGCATGGCCGCATTGTCGAACAAGGTTCTCACAGATCATTATTGAGAACAAACGGCTACTATCGTCGTCTCCTGTCACGGCAGATCAAGGAAAAACTCCCTCCGGTCATAGTCGAAAGTGCAGGCCCAACGCAAGAGAAAAAAGCAACCGAAGAAACCGCAAAAGGAAAGCTGGCTACTCAAGAAATGGGAGATCTAATAGAGATGGATGATTCTCGATCTGTAACAGTGACTGGGCCAATCCTTACAGTGTCCAAGATGCGCCGCATGAGATCCTACAAGACGCCCGGGTCACCTGACGCAAAAGAAAAACCTAGGGGCAACAATAACGAACTTTGGAGAAGAAGCCCTCTGAAGCCGGATGCGCCGGAGTTCGTTCCTCTTTCACAGCGAACAGCCCTAAGAAAAAGTGCAGACGATTCCGACGCAGAAAATTGTTTGGCTGATACAGAAAACATGCGTGAAACTTCTGGTACAACCATCGGAAATGACAGTTCGACAGGCTATTCCGTGGAGAATGGGAACGGCTCAAAGCGAACGCGTCGTGATGGCAATAGACAGGATTCCCCAATCTTGCGGCAGTCAAGCAACGAAGTGATTTTTGCATACCCAAAGAAGGCGCGAAAGAAGATGGGGTCAAAGAGGTGGCCTATTCTTCGCAGGGAGCGTACCGAAAGCGAACCTATTGGTATAGGACTAATGGCCAAGACTTATGAGCAGTGAGTTTTATGTAATGGTTGGGTGGAAAGCCAGACAATCGGTGATTACGGAATACCTATTATGCTTCTTTTTGTATTTTAGCAGTGTATATTAAATGAAATTCAGTGACTTATCCAACAGATATTCGTTCAGGCTGATCTTCTGTCAGCTTAGCCGTGTTCTATACTGGCAACATAGGGGTTCTTACTTAATGAGAAGAAACTATGAACCGTCGAGATGAGATCAACCGAACCTCTGTTTTGCCAGGGTTTTGAGCCAGCCGATGGTTTCTTCCTCCTTTTGTCGATACTGCTGGACTCTTTCTTCTCGCTCTGCGGCGCGCGCCCGCATAATCTCTTCCCTCCTAATTTCGCGATCATTTTTCTTCCGCTGCATTTTCTCCTGCTCCTTTTTCATTTCCGCCAAATCGTTTTCACCAGAGCCCATCAGCATCTCCTCAGGAGCTGCCACACCAGGTGAACCACCCCGACGGGAATCAGCAAACGCACGATTCGAAGCAGATGCTTCTTGGCGTTTTTCCATCCGACGTTCATGCGTTCCTGGTTCGGCTCTTGGGGCGACTTCGTCTTCTACCAGGCGCATCTCGGATTTATGCAAGTTTACTTCGGCGCGGTGTTGTTTTCGGGCGTCGTGTCGGGCTTCGATGGCGTCTTCAGTTGCGGATTCTGTGAGTGTACGTTAGTATGGGGAGGTCTGAATGAGAGGAAAGAATGAAGAGCGTACCTTTCCGGAAGTCCAAATCTTGCATGGTAGGAATTGCTGGACCGGATAACGGTTTGGTAATTTGTAGTCCTGAAGGGAGATTCGGGCCGTAGTCTTCCTCATCATCCTCGTTACTATCAACATCACCCATCCTATCCTTTCCAGTACCAGCCCCTTCGTAATCAAGAGATGCACGTTTCTCAGCAGAAGATGCCGTAGGACGATGGCTTTCTGCTGTGCCTTCATGGGCTTTGTCCAGGGTACTCGGATCGTACCATCCTCGGGCAAGTTCTCCACGGTTCCTGATATATCAGCCCCTGCCTTTTCTCTTATAGCAGGGTATTGCAAATGCGCGCTCACCATTTCCGCACAAAACTTTTCCAGCGCCCCTTAACTTCCTCTTCATCCATATCGTCTATCCATTTTCCCTTCTGGATATCCAAATACATTGCGAACATGGGCTCGTAGGCGGAGAGGTCATGTCTTGAGAGTTCGCGGGCGTTAAAGGGGAGGAGTATCGGTTCGCTTGATGGCTTGGTTGTTGTTGTCGCTGGACGGTGGCCGCGATGTTCGCGACGGTCGTGGTTATGCTTCCGGTCATCGCGAGCGTTGCGATGATGGCGATCACGATGGTGACGATCGTGTCTATGGCGGCGGTGGTGACGGTGGCTTCGGTCTGGGGAGCGAGAGCGGGAGCGCGATTTCGAGTGAGTGTCTCGGTCTCGGTCTCGGTGACTGTAGTCTCGGGGACGGGTGTGGGTGTCCATTGGGAGCGTACTGGGATGTGAGTTTTCGTTGTTTGTTGTATTGTAGCTTCTTGGTTAGTGATGGATTGACGTCGATGACGCCAAGCTGCTTGTTGATAGGGCGGACGGAGGTCGGAGTAACTAACCCGCGGTATCCGAGGTATCTTTGGGACTTTTCAAGGGTACCAAGTTTATTGACTTTCGAGGGACATGTGTATTGATGGAATTATTATCATGACTCAATTGCATACATACTTCGCCTTGTAAATACACTGAGAATAGAACAAATTACGCCAATGAAAAAGAAAAGATTATATGTGCAGAAATACAAAGCCTTCTAGCTAGCCGGAGCACTCTGTTCTTGCTGCGACTGCTGCTCAGTGGTGTTGGTAATGTTGCTGGCAGTATTACCTTCTTCAGTGGCTCCAGGGTTAGATGGCTTCGACCGATTCGCTGCCGCCATCTGCCAGGCGGGAATAGAAGCAGACCTTCCAAGTTGCGAAAGAGGACTAGGGCTCTTAGCAGTCAGGGGTTGCTGTGGCTGCTGTGGCTGCTGTGGCTGTTGCAGCTGCTGCGATTCAGGTACACTAGTAGCGGGGGTTGTCGTGCCGTTGGTGGTCGGAGGAGTGGTTGGTTGTTCCTCCGCTGGGCGGGGAGATGCAACAGGTAGGTTAGTGCCTACTGTTCTTCCAGCAACTGGAGAACTAGCACCGCCAGCACCACCACCAATGCGGTTTCCCAGGAGCACTTTCAGGCTCTTCAGTTCTGTGCCAAGCTCCTTCAATCGCTGCTCGTTGCCTTCGCGCGCGCCCTGAAGCGCCTTGGGAATGGCATCCTTCAAAGTCTTGACCTCGTCATTGATACGGCGGGTTTCGTCGTCCCTCCGACGCGATGCGTTCTTCAAGTCTGCAACCAAACTCTCAACATCCCGCAGTGTAGTATCTAAGCGCTCTGTGCGTGTTTCTTCAGCGGACTTGAGCGCCGCGGTATCCGTCGAGAGCTGCTCGATCAGGGTAAACGCGCGGGCAAACTCTTCATCGACATTCTTTTTATCCTGCTCAAGCTGTGGAGGCGTAGGTGGTGCAACAAGAGGACTGACATATCGCTAGAATAAACAAGTTAGTGTGATGCAAAGCACACGCAAGATAGGTCGAAAATACCTTGGCGACAGTATACAGACCATACCCTACACCACCCATTACTGTGGCCATAATAAACCAATCACGCCAGTCTCTCTTTGGAGGCCTAAGAAGAAATACAACGTCAGTACTCAGGGCCCCGATTCACGACTTGGGCGAGAGAATGGATAAACATACTCTGGCGGTGGAGGCTGCCATTGATACGGAGGATAGCCATATCCTTGTGGAGGAGGGGGCCGGTAGGCGGCTTGTTGTGGAGTATGTCCTTGCGATGAAGACGTTGTTACGGCTGATGCTGCTGCGGACGGGTCTTCACCTGCCCGAGAAAGCGCGAGATCAACTTCCTCCTGTGTTAGGTTTTTCGACTGAAGAAATGCGACTCTTTTCTCAATCGGTGAGGAGGCTACCGATGGATCCTGGAGGACTGTACGGAGGTCAGAATCTCGTTCTTGCAAGACCGGGTATGGTGCAAATAATCAACATACATGTGACCTAGCCAGATACTGTCAGTGCCAATAGTTCTAGCGGTGAATGTAAGAGAAGGGGAACTTACAGCAGACGCGATGAGCTCCTCACGAACCATGATGATAAGATATCCTCCTTACTTCTTGGAGGAAGAATGAGTGTTTTGAGGAAAAGGGGAGAGAGAGAGAGAGAGAGAGCGAGGAAAGATAACACGAGAGGCGACGGAGACGGACGAGTCGCTGTCGGCGACGGCTGGCGATTGGACCTCGGAACTTGCGTTGCGGTCACGTTACGATATTATTGCCGTATCGGTACAGCTTCCCCAGAGTCATGTGATCTTTATCACATGATTTTAATCACGTGTAATACGGGATACCGCCTGCCGTTCTCGGTCTGTTTACATCTCCGACTTCACTTTGTTTTCTTTGATTTTTCTCGCCCAAACGGACGCCAGACCTCCACGCTGCTTCAGAAGTGCCTGTTGTTGGGAAGCAGGGTATCTGCTTCAGTCGTCAACATTTTGTGACATCGTTCTATAACCTTTTTGGCTCTTTGGTTATCTCACAGAGGCCGCCGTTGCGGCTTCCTTGTCACTATGTCGCAGGACACCGGGCTGTTTAGCATCAAGCGGCCCCGCGAGGTATGCGATCCCCTCATTCACGTCCCCCTTACAGCTTACAACTTGCAAATAGAAAGATTCAATTCAAATATCAACTAATATTTATCAATGATGCAGACTCTGGGGAGCGTCCAGAATTATTCAGCGCTCCCTCAACCCTCGTCGACCCTGAAGCGCACCAGTTCCATTGGCGGATTCAACGCCCCCTTCACCTCTCAGCATACGCGCATGTCGTTGATGAATTCTGCCAGTCGACCATCACAACCCAACTTTACACGTTCCTCGTCAGGGGGAGCATTTGGTGCCGATGCCGGTCTTTCTTCCGTTAGGCGATCCGTGTCGAGTAATATGTTCCATGGCCCTAGTGTCGGACGTCCCAGCTTTGCCCCCGGGCAACCTATGTCGTCATCAGCTTCTCAAAGTCTACAGCGAAGAAGCAGCGTCTTTTCGCGACCGTCTACGGGCGGTCCGATGGGTCACCAGTCGTTCTTCACTCAAACTCCTTCGGTGGCCGGTGTGCCAAGGGACCCACGACCGATTAGAGATCGATCTTTCCAGGCACGCATTGGACAGGAACTTCTGGAATACTTGACCCAAAACAATTTTGAATTGGAGATGAAGCACTCGTTGGGACAAAACACACTCCGTTCGCCGACTCAAAAAGATTTCAACTACATTTTCCAATGGCTGTATCATCGCATTGATCCCGGATATAGGTTCATGAAGAGTATGGACGCGGAGGTGCCACCGATTTTGAAACAACTACGATATCCTTATGAAAAAGGCATTACAAAATCACAGATTACTGCTGTTGGTGGTCAGAATTGGCCGACATTTTTGGCGATGTTGCATTGGCTGATGCAGTTGGCGCAAATGATGGACAGGTTCATTCTGGGCGATTATGATGAAGCTTGTGCGGAGGCTGGTGTGGATGTTTCTGGGGACCGCATAATCTTCCGCTTTTTGACAGGCGCTTATCATGACTGGTTACAGGGCGGGGAGGAAGAGGATGATGAAACCGCCGGGCAGAGGCTGGTTCCTCACGTAGAATCCATGTCCGAAGAATTCGAGAGAGGCAACGAGAAGTACGTTCAGGAAATGCAGGCGTTAGAAACGGAAAACCGATCTCTACGCGATCAAATTGAGGAGATGGAGAAGAGCGCGCCGGATATGGCCAAGTTGGACAAGCATTTCCGAATTTTGGAGGACGACAAGAGAAAATTCGAGGATTACATTCAGAACGTGCAGGGAAAGATCGAGAAGTATGAGACGCGTATCAATTTTCTTGACGAGGAAGTGAAAAAGACCGACATGGAGCTGCAGGCGGCAGAAGAGGAGCGTATTGGTCTTCAAGCCAGTGTTGACCGGCAAGGTATCACCACCCAGGATATTGACCGGATGAATACGGAACGGGAGCGGCTCCAGAGGAGTCTTGACGATACGATGGTCCGGCTTGAAGAAGGAAATGCGCGGATCATGGAAAAGGAAGCCGAAGCTAGTCAAAAGCTTGAGGATCTGGAGGAAATTGTCAAGGCCTACAATACCCTTGGCTACCAGACAAGCTTGATTCCTTCGTCCGCCGTTAATGCAAAGGGAATTGAGTATGAACTCAGTCTCAATGTCAATGAGAACAGTTTCTCTGCGTCTCAAATTGGCGGCGGAAACCGGATATCGACCGAAGGTGATCGACTGCTGGCAGACCCGTTCACCGGCTACCACCCAGCACATTTGCTGAATCTGGACCTCCGGGGAACCATCCGTAGCAACCTGCAGAACCTGCGTAAGGAAATCAACGAACGCCGCAAGAATGCTATTGATGATGATATGGAGCGACGGAACCTGTTGGACAACATCAAGGAGGCCATGGATGAGAAGCGCAGCGAGGTCGAGGCTCTTGAACACAGGCGACGCGCCGCCGAAGAGGAATTCGAACGCACCAAGGAGATCACAACCACACAGAAGCTCGCATCGGATGCGCAAATTGAGAAGATGGAGAAGGAGCTGGCCAAGATGCGGGCCACATTGAGTGAAAGTGTGCAATTGATGGAACAGCGCGAGATGAATACCAACATCGAGTACGAACAACTGACGCTGCGAGCCAATGCCCTTCGAGAGGAACTACACACGAATGTGGAGAGCATGTTGAACGACGTCATCCGGTTCAAGGTCCATGTCCAGAAGGGTCTGGAAGACTACGAGAGTTTCGTGGTCGACGAAGTGGAACAAGAACTTGGCGGAGACCTACAACCGACCGATGAGATGGACTTTGACGAGTAAATGCGATTATTACGACGATCTTCTTGCCTTCTGTTTGGTATTTCCGGTCTTTTCACGAATCACGGTCCATTCCAGTTCTGCTATTTTCCTGCATTGGGTTGTATAGAGGTGCTCTCTAGGCGGGTTTCTTACGGTGCAAAGGAGCTTGGGTGTTCTCGGCTACTACTTCTTGGTCTTTGGTCTACCGGTTAATGTTTTTTGTGGGCGCTCTGGTCAATATTGGATTTGAATTTGATAATTGATACCATTTGAACTTTCAGTGTTAATAAACTGTTTGCACGATTTGTCTTCTGCATCCCTGGATATCTCTTCCATGGTTCCGCGCTATTGCCACCCTCATGTTCGTCCACGCAAACCGATCGACAGAAGGACTGCTCTTGGTGGTCTGGATTCAGGATTGACCCAACAGTTTGCCTCTGAATTATCAAATTAGACTCCTTTTAACCGGCTATCTCGACCACGCAAGCTCAAGGTTATGTCAGGAACACTAGGGACACTCCGATATTATATCTTCGACTTCCCCTTTGAGGAAGTCCAAGCTGTCAATCTTGCCTCAGTGGATATGTTTCTCTTGTTCTGGACCAATGTTTGAAACCACTCACGGTTAATACAAGCTCGTAGCGTACGCGTATAGACAGCCCTATGGCCAACATATAGCAGTCTGTCAGCCCAAGCTCGAGGAACTACTGTCTTCACTTAAGTTTATTCCACAAGAACTACCTTGATCATTACTTGCATTCTCCTCGCTACTCTATCCGATTTCATTCATCATGAAGACCTTCGCTGTTCTGGGAGCTGCTGCTCTTTGCATCTTCCCTTCCGTCACTGCTGAGGGTAGTTTCTCGTCTGCCCCGAAGGTAAAATTATTCCAGCAATATATACAGAAAATGAAATAGCATAGTTAACTAACATCGTCGCAGCCTTCGAGCACCCCTACTCCTTCCTGCTTGCCTCGTGCCTCCATGACTGGCGGGCCTTCGCTTAGTGCTTCGCTTAGTGCTTCGCCTAGTCTCCCTCTCTGCAGCGAGACACCATCGAGTTCGGCCAAAGGTGGCCCAACTCCTCAGGCCAAGGGATCCGAGCGTGTTCATGCCCGTCAGATCAAGCGGGCTGATTTCTAAATGAAGTGAAGGATAAGGATGGATGGATGGTTGGTTAGACTGCTGAATCAGTAAATAGTGTGCTGGCCCATGCTATTTAAGTGCTTCTTGATAGAGCCCTTGTTTGAATGGACAACAATTTTCCAATATTATAGAAAAGCCAGCATGAAATTCCCAGATAGATCCGGTTAGACTCGATATACAATTCCATTGTCTTCATTGTGATTGGCCACCTGTAATTGACTAAGCAAAACTTTTTGGACTCGCGGAAAGCGATGAAATCTTTTGGACCTCCGACGACCAGTTCACCAACGCAACAGCAAGGCCATTGTCATTCTGTGCAGTCCGAGAGCTATGCGGTGTCGATGAATAATGGGATATGCGCCACAGACCTCCCCGCTCCCCCCGATTCCATCGACCATCTCGATTCCTTTCCCGCCGGTCTCACTCGTCCGCTAGATCCTCCCCCGCCGTGTCATGAAAAGGTGCCTCTGCCCAAGACAACTGCTTTGTCGAAGCCGCAGGCCCGCCTGCTCGCTCCACCGCCCTGCTGTCGTTTTCCAGAACCGGTTGCATTCCCCCCTCCGCGGGGGACCTTCGAGCCGGCGACAATGGAGTCGCGTGTTTTCCGCCAGCAGTGCTAGTCCTGCAAAGCACAGTAGGCTATTCGAGAGCTATGTGACGGGTGTGCCGCCGAAGTGTCCAGTATATGGGATAAAGCAGCAGAAGGATCCGAATTCTTGGATTCCGTCGCTGGACAAATACCTCACGCCGTCGTTGCGCGAGGACGAAACCGAGAATCTGTACGCGCGAGCCCATGGGCTAGCTACAATCTTGTCCTATGCGAGGTTTTACGGCAAGCTAGATCTTCTGAGTCATCTCGGGTATGGTTTGAACCGGTGGTCTGATGTATACAATTTGTTGAATGTGCTGCTGGATGCGGCGGATGGTACCCGGCATCCAACTCAGGTATCTCTGTCGAGTCTCGATTGGGGCTCTGATGCCGGTCTTACTTTGGAGAGACTTACAAGACATGCCCCATCGCTGACAGACGTCAAGGTCAAGAAAAGCCCTGATTCGAACACACCAACTTTTAGAGATTTGACACAGCGGTCATTTGCACATGACTTTTCTGAGCTTCTCATGTCACAAGTATGGCAGAGCTTAGGATCTATTGTTTTACAGGCAGCGGACCGATCTTCCGATGAGTTGAAGTTAGGCATGTCCTTTGTTTTCCGTACCTTGGCGCGCTTACACCATTCCGGCGCTATATCGGACAACATCTATAAGTGTGCGACACCAGATCCCAACCCAGCGACGTATCGCCCTCCAGGCATGCACTTGCTGTCCACCCATATTATGAATGTTTTATCAGAGACGGCTTGGGGGGTCCATGAAGCGGAAGTTGCGGCCAAAGCGGCCGAGATGGGCATCGAGTCCCCATATGTCCCGTTCAAAATGGGTATACGAGACCTAGGACCAGAGATATGGCTGGAGCTAATACTATGGAGTTGTATTGAGCATGGGTATGTCAGGGAAGGGCTATGGTTATTAGAGCAGATGAAAGCGCGCACGGACGTTCTGGCTTGGGGCTTCCAGAGCTGGGAGCCTCTTCTGCGCGACGGAGGCGCGGCCGTTGTCGAAAATACCAACATTGACACGGAACAGTTCTGGCGCCGTCCTGGCGATGATGTCCCTGTTCAACAACAAACGGGACAAAAGGACAAAACTATTTTTCACGGTCTAGCGAAACGGACTATTAGCACCGAGGTTGTCGCATCGCTACGAGACTGCTTTGTCAACTTTGTGTACCGGGGACTTGGTTACCGTGGGTTGTCACCCACTGAGCTTTCAGAGGCTATTTCTCGTGTCGATGCACTTATCGAAGCTCCTGAGATGACGAAAGAACTGCAGCCAACCATCAAGGAACACAACTGGCTCACTGCTCGCGTCCTTCAATCCGCCGGGTTAGATATCAATGCAGATCCTCACTCAATGGGAAAGTTCCTACGCAGTAGTTCTCATGTGGTTGGTCCTTGGAACGATGTATCTCTAGTTGAAGGTGAAGGGGACCTGGAGTGGTTGACTCCGTCACGGCTTTATGATGAGACTTGCGCGTTTCGTGGCCTGACAGAATACGTTGTCAGGTCATATGCTGTTCAACGCCAAGCGGGTCTGGCATTTAGCTCTTTCGGCTTTTTGCAAGAAGCTATTGATACGAGCAAATCACGACATATTCAGGAGTTCTTAAAACGGCTTGGAAAATCAGACCCTGACGATATCCCTGTGGCAGACAAGCGCACTCGCGAACTCGAACATGAAAAGCCGGAGACGTCGATCCCGCAGGTGTCCAACGTGACATATGCGCAGTTAGTAGACCTGGCAACAATAACCAAAGCATATCCCTTCGCCAACTGGCTCCTCTTCTCCAATGATCTAGACGGCCCACCTATCCGACGCAGTGAATACGGAAACCAGACCCTCGCTCCCTCTCTCCTCCGCTACGCAGGCGCCACAGGAAACATCGGCCTCCAAAAACAAGTCGTCTCCTCACTATCCCAACCCTATTCCCTAAACACCCTCCGAGCCCTCGTCAGCTTCCGCATCCTAACAGGCGACTGGGACCGCGTGATCCTAATGCTCGAATATATCCGCAACCACCGCCTCAAATCCTGGGGCCACGGCAATATCATGCTCCTAGCCGGCAGTATCCTCCGCATGGAACGAACCCTCCACAAACCCTCCAACCACGCCACCCCCAACGAAAAACAACTCTCCCTCAGCAAAGCAAAAACCATCCTCACCCGCATCTTAAACGGCGACTTCAACGATCTCAGCCAACGTACAGGAAACAAAGCCCAACTTCGCACCCTCCGCTCCATCTACCGCATATTCCTCTCCCTCCCAGGCCCCCTCGCCGATATCGCCGCCCAATCCACCTTCCACACCCACCAACACCAAAACCCCCGCTCCCGCCACTCAACGCCCTTCATCTCCCCAATCGCTTTCCACTACCTCCTCTCCGCCGTCGTCGACACACAAGGCAGCGCAGCTGCCAAATCCCTCTGGGACAAGTGGTGTCTCGAACCCTCCCAGTCCCCAAAACACACCCGCTACCACGAAGGTGGTATCTGGCGATTATACGAAACCTTCGAGCGGGACCACCGCCGCGGCGATCCGAATTTCAACGCGCCCTGGCGAAAACAGTTAAACGAGAAGGTCGTCTCGCCCAACCTCAACACTGTTCGCGTCATCGCTCAAGGCGCAGCGAAGGAATACGCGCATTTCACGCAGTACCTGACCAGTCTCGAACTCGCTGCCGTCGATGCCCTTGCCGCAGGACATAACCTCCCCTCCTCGCCATCCGCACTCCCCGACTCTCCTGAGAACCAGGCAACGAAGCGAGAAATCGAGAAAATAATGGAGTGGTGTGTGCGGCAGTTCCAGGTACTAAAATTACCTGAAGAGGAGATTAATCGGGAGGTGTTTGATCATTTGAAGAGGATGAGGACGAGGGAGAGGGTTCGGCATCGCGAGGAGGTTGCGGAGAGGGAAAGGGAGAAGGAGAGGATCAGGGGATTTGTGGAGGCGCAGAGGTTGATGGATGAGCAGCAAGCCGTTGGTGTATGATGCGTTGCATGGTGTACCTATGGGGTATGTGCGTATGTTTGTATGAATATGTGTATAGGGTTGGTTAGATTTATTTTCTTGCTTGTTTAGACATGATACCAGTAACACTTTATTTTTACTTCTACATTGTTATATACTTGTATTGGTAATTGTATTCATCGAATTACCAGGTATCTCAAATAAAAACATACAAATCATATACCAGAACGCGCCTGACTTATCGTCCAGCCAAACCCATTTAGTCCCATAACCGTCTATCCATTCCCAATTCCCTGTACAAAGAAAACGAGACATGCAATGGAAATACCGTGTACATGTGCTTGTGCGAGAGCAAAAAAAAAAAGTACAACATCCCTTCAAAGGTAAAGGGAGTAAAGAAAGAAAGAACCCGGTCACCAGGACAGAGTAGAAAGAAAATTAACCCGAAAATGCTGATACAGATGCTGGGATCAAAAACCCCATTCCTGGTTCTCATCCGTATAAAAAGTCGGGAAATAAGACCGAACAAACTCCCCATTAATCGGGTCATAGGGGAAGAATACATCATTCCCATCAAGCCCAATTCCAGGCGCTGGACCTGCATCTGGTGCACCATCAGCATCAGATATAAGAGTAAAACCTGCCGCACCAGGTGGTAAACCCGGCCCGTCTGGCAACTGCCCGTTATCTTGATGGGCAGCTTTGTCAATGCCGTTAGTCTTGAAGGAACCGTTTAGCTGATCCTTATGGCCGTTGGTCACCTCATCTGCACCAAAGTCGAAGGTTGGCATATGGCTTACATCGTAATCCATTCCTTGGGCAATCTTACGCAGATTCATATCGCACAACTGCCATGCGCGACGCGACGCAGTACTAAATTCGGACATGGAGTGGAGCCAGCGAACCCCCTTTTTCGCCATTGTGAAGATGTTCTGTTCCTCTTCGGGAATATGGATGCTCCCGAACGACAACTCAAGCAAGAGAATTGTCACAGATTGCACAAGACAGTGTAGTACGCACCACCAAGGCCCTATTTCGTACAGTTGAATCGCATCCGCTTGATCCGGAATCAAATCCAACATCTTATTAGCAGAATCCAGGGATAGCATAGCCATGACGTGACTAAATGCTGGCTTCTCATTGCCTTGACCACTTTGGTGTGCATCGCGACGGCAAAGGCACGGACGCCCGAGCGTAATCCGGGAGCTGTAGAAATGGAAAGCCAAAAACAGTTTGGCCCGAAGTAAATCGGGCCCTTCATCTTCTTTACGCGTAAAGTCGAATGCTGGGTGAAGACTCGCAAACCAGAGGTCAAGCCGTGACCTCAACACTCCAATCCGATTCTCAATGTGTGCCCACGGCACCATGGCACAGTCGGGTGAATAAACTCGATTGACAATCTCTTGAGAGATGACCGCCAAGTCGGCATAGTAAAGGAAGCAAAGCGCATTGTTAGGAGGCAGGCTCTTCAACCAAGTCACATCTCGGGGTATATCGGTATATTTGGCATCCTTGCCCCCAAGAGGATTCGAGGATATTTGGTGAATAAAAGAACTCGCAATAGCATTTCCTACAAACTCTTCGCGTAGACTCAGGTCGTTAAGAAGCTTGGCTACCAGTGGTTCCTGTAACTGATCCCCCTCAAACGGGAGAGGCAGTGGAGTTGTGCAGACGCCATCCAAAATGCATGTCGCCCGGCCGGTCATTATCCCTAGTAGATGCTCGAGGGTGTATAAACACCACCAAACTCGATTGCGCGATTCCTTGGAGATGCTGGCCGTAAAATCACTGGTGTTTTTCATGTTGATACCAAGGGTAATCGCGGAACGAATCGCCAATGCTGCGATCCTCCAGGCTCTAAAAAAGGTTAATTTGAGGAATGAATGAGCCCCAAAGACATGACTCACCTGTTAACCTGATCTGACGCGATTAAATAAAACGCTATCAAACCTTCCACTTGGATTTGCTGAAGGTCTGGATGACTGAACAACACATCACCATTCATACTCAGGATCCGAGCCCGGGTCAAATACACCAAGTGGTCGTTTTCTTCACCTTGCCACGGTGCTTGCTTTAGATGAGCTCTCTTGGCACTTATCGCGAATATCACGTTCAAGATAGCCAACCACTTATCTCCTGGGCGTCCGGAGTTGTCATAGAATGATTGATACTGCGTGCTGAACAATGGGCGACTAATAATCGGGAAGAAGGGATGAACCGACGCCAGATAATCCTCGAAAAGCTTGTCCGCCAGCGGCCGCGGTGGTACCTCGTAAACTTGAACCGGGCCAGGGATCGAAACTTCCATGTCGTCCAAATGGTAATTGCCGGAATGAAGGGCGTAATCGCTTTCATTATCAGGATCGGGGTCGTAAGTGCCTGGTTCCTTCTTCGCTCGTTGTTCTGCCTCTCTTCGCAATCTCTGCATCCAGGTCACTTCGGAATTTTTGCCCATATAACCCGTTGCCCTTGTAGTTTCGTTCCGATTAAGATCCTCTTCAACACGCTCAATGGCCTCTAGCGAACCGATTGATGAAGGGCTGGACATATCGTCAGGGTGTTCATCCATCATATCTTCCTGTGATATAGGCTGCGATTGTCGCTCAGCGGGTGAACGGTCAACTTCTGCTACATGCTGTACATTGTCAGGTATCTTGTATTTAAGAAAGAGGAAAAAGGAAAAATGCGGGACGAAAAAGAAAGATGTGGAATCGAACCTTGTCCAATGCCTCTTTGATGCGCTCCGACGTCGAACCATCAACCATATGCTCAATGTCCTTCAACAACTCTTCATAATCGCGTGTTTTGTTAGATAAATCCTTCAATTGCCTGTTCCCTATCCAGTTAGCCTCAACAAAACCTTACCAACTAAGAAAAAAAAAAGTTGCCACATACCGATTCATCTTCTCCCTCCACGAAACCGGATAATCGCACTGAATGCTCAACTCCTTACACTGCCTGCACACCGGCGTATCCCCACTACACTTCGTCTTCCGTTGTCGACACGACTGACAAGCCCTAGGAACTCTTCGACTATGCCGCGGGGCCGCGGTTGCCCGCTGGCGGGGTATCGGAACCTTGCCATTGCTGTAGAGTTGTTTGGTGCCGGAATGCGTGGAGGTGATCTGCGGTCTGTGGGGTGTATTTGTTCGATGCGAGGTAATCGAAGAGGCTGCGGTTCCTGGAAGAGCGGGGACATTGGAGGTGGGGAGGATGGTGGTGTCGAGGTCTGCTTGTTGGAGGGGCATTTGGTTGCGCGATGGGACGAAGGCGTCCCTTTCTTTGTCTTGGAAGGAGGCTATGGGGGGCTCCATTCGGTCGAATTGATATGTTGATAGGAAAAAGCGACTAGTTAAAAAAGTGAGAGAGAGAATGGCGAGTGTTGCCTGTTGGGCTGTCGTGCTTATCGAGAAAAAGCCGAGAAGCGCATCGTTCGGATAATTGTTCGGCAGAAGAATTAATCGCAATAAAAATAGACGGGATGAATCCCGACCAGCAGGGCTACTACCCGATATAAACAAGTTGAAGTTGGACAATAAAGAACAATCGCGAAAAGGAGAGACGAAAGGCAGAAATAGAAGTTTAATGGAGAACCGGGAGACGTTGAGTAAGCTTCCTACCCCATACGGGAACCACGGGTCATGTGAGTTGTGGCAACAGGGTTATCCAAAGGAGCATACAGTTTACCAAGAGTAGTAGTAAAAAAAGTGGTTCATCAGTCAGATACATTAACATAATAGGCATAGGGCGACTGCCCTGGAATCTATCTTTTTCCCCCCTCCCTCGTAAGTCTTTTCCTTCTTTTCGCAGTCTTTTGGTATCACTTGTTCCTCCACACGCCCAGAATGGAGAATAAAATAAAAATAGAAAAACCACCAAACAGGCACAAACACCAGAATCGAAGCAGAAGAGTATATGTACAGATCGAGGATCTTGCCAACTAAACCCAGCCGGCCATGGAGAGACATATAGACATGTACAACAGGTAACAAAAAAAAAAAAAAAAAAAGAAAAAAGAAAAAAAAGGAGAATCAATAGTATAAGCGGAGAATTGAGTAGGACCATAAGAATCGGAACGCTTCTAGTGGTGAGCGGAGAGTGAGTTCAAATGGAAAGAAATGTAACGCTTAGATCTCTCCGAACATTTCATCGAGCTCATCAACCTCGACGGTTTCAGGGCTCTGCAATTCTCTCCACGAATCAAAGGCCGTATCAACGTCCATAATCGACGAAGGTCTAGCCTTGATAGCTACCTTGTCCTCGGACTCGGCCAGATCAGACATCTTGATATCAACATCGGGAAGACCGCTGTTGAGCATGTCAATCGACCGTTTAAGAGGTGACACATGCGCAACCTCAGGAAGGGCGATCTGGGGACAGTCCTCGGTGTCCAAGCCGGCATCCGAAGGGGTATTCGAAGAAAGCGAGGATGCAACCGAGGTGAGAGATGGAGAAGGCGAGGTACCAAGGAAAGCACAAGCGGCATCATCGTCCTGGCCCTTTTGTTGCTTGGATGCCGGGGACTGCTGGTCCAGGGCGCCCGAATGCGAGAAATAGTCACCATAGTCGAAATCATCAGACACACGATCGCTGCTAAACGACGAAGATGGCGAGTCATCGAGATGCGAGTTTGAGGTAGAAACGTTCATGCCATCCATCTGGCTGAGGCCTTCCGAGATACCGGAACGCGCCACACCGGTCTGTCCCTGGCTTGCCTTTTGCTCGGAGGCCCGCTCGCGAACGGCACTGGCAGTCTGGGTGAATTCCTTCTCGTCACCCTCGAGCGGTGGTGAGGCAGCACGGTGAGAGTGCATCAGACGCATATGCGCGTGGAAGTCGGAGCCGGATCTGGCGGCACCATCGGGACGACCGTGCAAATTGATGTGTTCATCGTCGAAGTCGGGAGAGGAGAGGTCGACCTCTGGGCTAGGCGACCGTTGACGCGCAAAAACATCCTCGTCATCCTGATCCACACTCGTGACACTGGGGGTCATCTGTTTCCCAACCATACCCGACGGGATCATGATATCGTCCGAGTTCTCAGGCAATGGCTGGCGCTGCATGGTTGTAAGATAGTAATAGACCTTTCGAGGATGAACAGGAATAAGCTCCTTGGCGATAGGACAAGGCGCCAGGGCGGACCAGGAACGCTTCATGTAGGCGCTCAGTCGCGACGAGAGGAGGGCGGCGGGATTGGCGGAACTATACTGTCAGTATGTATAGAGAGATGGAAGAGAATAAGAGGAAACTTACTTTGCGACATTGTCGTTGAGAGTGTAGAGAATGGCAGCGAGTTCCTTGACGAGATGCGGGCGATTGGCGGTCTTCTCGAGTTGGTGAATGACGCCGACCACGATATCATCGTTGATGCCCTCGGTGTCGATCCGCGGTGCAAGGCCATCGTCCATGGGCGAAGGAGGTGGCGTGTGCTCCCAGGTGGCGGCGCGCACAGCGGGGCTTTGTTGGGACGACGAGGGCTCGGGGGAGAGTGAGAGGGAGTCGTGCGACCTCTTGACTTTTTTGGATGGAGGCAGTTGCTGGTGATCTCCAGTCGAAGGAATCTTGGCCGACGAGATCGAAGGAGACCGACGCGATGAACTGGGAAGATGAATGCCCAGCGAGGGAAGAGAGAGAGACTTGCGACGAGTATTATAAGGCATGGTAATACAGCAATAGGGTAGTAGGAATAGAAGTAACTAAACGACAAAAGCAATACAACAACAGTAATAACAGGATAACACAGAATAACAGCACAGTAATAAAGCAATACAATACTAATAATATAGAGAGAGAAAGAATATTAGGATAATACAGGAGGGAATATGGCGAGGGAGAAGAAGATGGGAATATGGAAGAGAGTAACGGGAGAGATGGAGATGGCGATGAAAACAGAAGAACGACGAGAAGAGAAATGATCCCGACCGGCTGGACGGCCACCCGATACTTTTTTTTTTTTTTACTGCCAGGAGCCGCAAATAATCCGACGAGGTTATACGCCGATTTTGATTGGCCAATTCGGTCCGGTATGCTAAAGGCACTCAGACATCAGGCATCCAGGCAGACAGAGTATATGTACAGAGTGCGAACACAGCAAAGTACAGCGATGAAAGATTACGGTGTACAAACAACAGCAACATAAACAACAGACACCAGCGCATAAACAACTGCACACCGCATGTGTGTTTCCCAGGCAAAGTACCAGTCTATCGTACTAATACAGGCGGTGAAAGGGGCAAAAGTCCGCCATGTGTCGATGACGAGAATTACTTGACGTGTCATTGGCCATGATGGTGGAGTTTTGCAGCGAATCGGGTATCTGCAGTCTATTCCATATGCATGCTACTTGTCTTGATCGTCTTTGTGCAAGTATCCTTGCTTGTACCCTTTACTTGTACAAGTGCTCGTTGCATTGACTTGTGCAAGTAGTCGAGCGCTGCACATTTAGTATGTCTGTACATATCTGTAGATGAGCTGCGTACCTGTTTTGGGTACGGAGTACAGTACAAGCAAGTACTCCGTAGACCTGTGGTTGCTGTGGAATATTCCACCCCACCGCCAAGCCTCTAATGCAGGCATGAAACCCACCCGGTGTACGGGCCAATTAATGCGCACGTTCTGTCTCCGCTTGGCTGTTCCCAACGACGCCGTTTGAAGTGGCTAATCAAGGCTAGCCAATCAGCATCCCTCGGAACTGCCTCTAGAAAAACAGAGGTTACCATTCGGGACTAGCTTAATCTGAAAAAGTCGACCTGTAGAGTACTCTGTACGGAGTACAGGCCGAGTAAACAAAGATATGCGAGGGATCAATTATGATAGACGGATCATTCCATCCCTTGTTGTTGCTGGGCTGTGCGTTCATTGCTTGCTTTGACGTTGCTGCTGCCATCAATTATTGATGTATGCCATTGCATCTGACACATCACACAGTACGAGAATACAAACAGCGATCAGGGTCGTCTTCATTATTTGAGTACTCCGGGAAAGGTGAGGAAGGGGGGAAAGAAGGAAAAAAAGGAAAGAGAAAACAGACTGACAAGACGGGGGTTCGAACCGCTCCAGCCCGCAAGATCAACCATGATGTTCACCGTACAACGTTAATACGGCATTACCACTATAGGGGTATTCAATACGAAATTTTAGATCGCTGGACTATCTTGCCGTAGTTGTTTTTACATATATACGATGTGGTGGCTTATAAGTTACTTCGCTAAGCACCGGTGTCTGATAGGACGAAGCAGACAACCATTGTAGCCCTACCCCAACTAGATGCCTAATTGACTTTCTCCAAATAGTGAGAGAGCTAGTCTCATTACAGTTTACCAAGTTCGATTCTGTAGGATATTAATATCTGCGATTTGTATAGTGAGTGGTTCTGGCTACATATATATATTTCTCTCTCTACGGAGCACTGGACTGGGAATAGAGCCTTTGATATAAGTTTGCCATTACAAAAGCCCCTTTCTCAGTAAATCAATATGCGAAGAGCGTATAGAATACAGGACGATAGGAGTTTAACAAGATTTTTAACGTCCATCGTAGGCAAACTGAAAGGACGACGTTTTAATCAATAACAGCACGCAAATCCATGGTCGATCATACTGATCAAAACATCGAGCGAGAGCAGCAGCCCTCACGAGCTTGATACTGTCTGTTTTCATATAACTTATCCGCATTCTTCTCTTCTAGTTGATCTCTTAATATGACCTCCACAGTGCCTGCGGTGCGCATCGATGAAGCGTATGAACACTTCCAGCATCGCTGTAACATTGTGGATCTCCAAAAGAAAGTAGACAGCACAGAAAAGCTCCAATATACTGAAGCAGATCTCAATACAATCCAGGTTCGCGCTTACCAAATGGCCTTGCCTAGGTTCATTACTAACAAGCGTGCTACATTACAGGCAGAATGGCCCCTTGCCCTAAAGAAGTTACACGTGACTAGTTGGCTGACATTTTCTTTTTTTTTACAACTAAAAACATTCAACCTTTTTTCTAACTCACTTTCCTACTGTGGCTTCAGTTTCTCATGAAGAGCAGGGACGCTCTATATCATTTCTGCTATGGCGAGGCTGTTTTGGTATAGCTTTGTTAAGAACATGATTGCTCCGGTACCTGTCCAAGTTCATTCATTTAGGTATTGATTCGCAGAGGTAAATTTCATGTAACTCCGTCTTGCACGAACACATGAAGCCTTTATTGGAGGGACGACATCAGAGGGGAGACCAGAAGCCGAGTAACTGAAAATAAAAAGATCCATGGCGTCATCGATACCACTGTCACGATGTATTCAAGACTCCTGTATCTCTTTTCTCGCCTATCTTCACCATCAACAGCAATCTATCTATCTAACCCACCATTTCCCCCAGTTCTAGCGTCTTCACATCGACACTGAATAAACTCGTTTGCAACACAACAGAACTATGCATCGCCAATCCTGAACCAAATTTCTCAGTTCAACGCCAGATAGTATTGATGCAACTGAGCAACAATACTAAAAGGCAGCGGGATTTCCAGGTCCCAATTACAAGCGCTCTCTGCTGCAGCCATGTAACGGAAGGAAAAGGAGATCCAAACACCAACGAAAGCAAATCCAAAGTATTCAGTAAAGCCTGTTTTTATTGAATTTTTTAGCGTATTCATTTCTCATGAAGAGATAATGAGTTAAGAAACTTACGACTCTGCCGCAACCCCACGGATTTTCCCAGATAAATCACAAAATCCTCCAATGTGATCATGAACGGCTGCATAATATAGAACACACCCTGATAGAACGCATGTCCTTCACTGCGGAGAAAAAGGCTTCCGATACTATGGATCAAAGCCGAGAAGCCAAATGCCGCGTACAAATCAGTGTATCGGCGCCGTAAAGTTCCTCTTTTTGCAAGCGTCAAATCGCAGGCAAGTCCGCCGGAGAAGTTACACATTCTCCGCACCATCTGGTGCCATGAACTTCCCCAGAGGCGCCGAATGGACCAGAGGTTACTGGGGAGGAAGCTTCCGAATAACGGCGGCCAGTCGGCTGGTTCGCAGATTCCGAGCACTGTCGTTACGATTGCTGCTAGGTTGTACTGCATAGTGAGCAGGTTGTATATCTGATAGCCGCTCAGCCAGCTGCAGAGTATCTGGTACTGTAGGGGGATGTCCCAGAATGATTGGGATTGGAATATGGGCGCTGCGACTGTGCGCCGCAAGTAGGTGATGCTGTCAAGGATTAGAAAGGCAACTATGGAGTCGATAAGACGCTTGCGAATGAAATGACTGTTTATTTTGGTGAGTAACATTTGAAGTATAGTTTGAAAGAAGTATCTTGACGTACAATTTCCCACGGCCTTGATAAGAATCAGTCGACACATTTTTAGCCTGAATATTCCACCCAATAGCGCGCGGGGAAACGAGCAAGTTAAACGCCCATAGAACCCTGGCAAGGATACCCTGAGGCCAGCTCTTGCCCTCATTCTCCTCCTTCGATGCACTTCCACGGCCCTTCCAGAACTCCCGCTGCGGCTCATGACAGAGTGCAAGGTCAAGCACACGGACGACCATCATTGGGATGTTAAGACCGGCGACATAGTTGTCGATTCGGTTGCCCTTGCTATACTGCAACATTTGCGTAGCCAGCGGCAGCACAACGCCCAGGTACCATGATACGCGGACCAACCGACTAGTTTGGAGAAACACAACAGTGCAGCTCAGGATGAACACTGGTTCGAACCATAGTGGACAAGGCTTTCGCTCTGCATCCGGAGGAACGAGAAATGAGAGTGTGTCAGGGAGAGAGGCCAGGGCGGGTAAGTTTAGCATCTTGGTGATGTTGGTTGCTGTAATAGGTGTTGTGAAGCTTGTGTATACTTGGAGGGCAAAGAGGTACTTATACCCAAGCTTGGTATAATGATCGTCCTCTATTGCGCCTGTAGTTTGAAGTACTCCAAATCTGCGGTGGCTGAGACTTCAATAGTTCGATAGAATTACAGGCATTATAAAGGAAGCGTAACCCAGAAAAATATGTAATACGCTTCATATACATACGATCTACCCATAAGTGCATAATCACTAATGTATATCAACAATCTCAGAAGTGTCATTCACAGTACCTCTACTCTTCAATCAGCAAGCCCTCTTTCTCCGCCTCCAACAACGGCTCCAAAGACTTAGCCGTATCAATAATACTCTTATCATACGGGATCCAATCCAAACCAACCGCTTTTTTCACCTTCGTCGAGTCAAACACCACACCACCCTCGTCGAACGTCCAGTCCTTGTTATAGCGCTGATTTGGATTGCCCTTGAGGATCACACCTCGCCGCTCGGGATATTCCTCACTCAGAATATCCAAAATAGCCTGCTTAGGACCATGCCCCGCGACCACGAGATAACGTTCACCATCCGACTGGGCAGTATTCTCCGCGCACCAGAGGTAAATGGCTACCAGGTTGCGCACATCGACGTAGGGAGTTGACCCAGCTATTTTAGCAATGGCATCCTGGGGTCCGGGCACATCTTTACCAATGAGGCCGTTGTATACGGGGGCCAGGGTTAGAGGGAGCTTGTCTGCGGTTTCGGGGAGGATAATGGGTGGACCGGTGGCGATGGAGCCGCAGATGGCGCTTATGGCGAATGGAGGCTGTTATATGTCAACATGAGAACTTGGCATAAAAGGTGAATGGCAAAATAAAATGAATGAAATTAATACCTTCTTGGTATCCCTGAAAGCCCAAACGAGCTTCTCCGCCGCAATCTTCGCACACGGATATGCCTCATAAAGGGAGATATTATCTACCCCGTCCTCCAAGAGCAAGGGATGAATCTTGTTCCAGCTATTATCGTCGTAGGTATACGGAGCCTGGGCACCAGGCGTGATGATTGCCGCCGCAGACGAGGTGAAAACAAAGCTCTCAAGCTGGGAGCCTGCATAAACCAAAGCTGAGTTCAACAGATTTTCCGTGCCCTTGACTGTTGGGATTATGAGCTCCGATGCATGGGTAATGGAGGGGCCAATGATAGGCGCAGCCGTGTGGATGATTGCAGAGACACCTGTGTCGCTAGTGAGTAGAGGCACGGGAGAGAGCAAGGCTAGCAGGGAATACCTTTGACAGCTTCATCAAAACCAGATACTTCACAGAGATCCGGCACTTCAACGATCTCGATTCGATCCGCGTAGGGCTTCCATGGCCCATTGAGCAGACGCGAAGCACGCCCTTTGGAACGACAGGTGCCGCGCAGGCGATATCCGGCATTCAAAACGGCGGTGGCTATATTGGACGCGAGATATCCGTTGACACCAGTGATGAGGATGGTTTTGGTTATGGGTAGTGCCATCTTGGTGACTGTTGGCAGTATGTAGGTGGAATCTAAACGATACTGTGATGGAGATGATATATCCGGTACGGCAAGGGGTTGTTCTTTTATTTTAATATTGATACGAAATTGCCATCAGAAAGAACCTTATCATCTATGCGGCAGTATGTTGTGTCTATTTATTACACAACCAAGCAAGCCAAGAAATTGTCCCTCTAGATCTGCCTGGCTCGTATATCGTGCATAGGGATGTAGTACCATTTAGGTGGCGTACGGTCTAGACATTAAGGGCTAGTAGCAGGATCTTCGGGGATTACATTAGTTCATTCCGTATAGAGATTTCTTTTTCTTGTGGCGCCAAGTCAAAGGTCCATTCTTTCCGCCATGCAACAAACATTGGCCACTATTCCAATACATGAGTCAATTTATCCGCAGAGGTAATTATTATTACTCTAGGCCATTTTGTATATAGACGTAATATATGGATACATACGGGTGACTAATATCCAGACAGTTGACTAATTATAATTATTTAGGGCTAGATTCCGTGGATCCGTGTCAAGCACGGATCTGTCCCTTTCGCCCTCTTCACTACGCACGAACCACCATACACCGCCTTGCCTTTGGCTGAATCAGAAAATAGTTTTCCATCTCCATGTCACCATCTGTCATGCCTTCTGCTAACTTGACACCCTTGGGAAAGGCGCGGTAAAAGTGTGCAATCGTCATGCGGAGCTCTAAGCGGGCCAGATGAAGGCCGAGACAGACTAATCAATTATTTAGTGTTTTCGGTTCTAAGCTGCTTTTGGACTGAGACTTACTTCTGCCACCAGCACCGAATGGCATAAACGCATCTTTCATGTCTTGAGTCGGATTCTCCCACCGGGACGGATCAAATCTATAGCTCGTTAGTTTTGCAATTCGAACACAAACGGTATACATGATGACAACTTTTCTGGCTCCGGAAAGATCCGTGGATTACGATGCATCGTATATGCCTGCGTTGTGACTGTAAGCCCACCGGAGATATAATGCCCACATAGCCTTTTTCCACCCGCAGGTACAGCACGAGGTAAGTCACCAGGGGCAGCGCCATAGAGACGTAGTGATTCCTCAATAACCTGGCCCATATAAGACAGTTTCTTAAGATCGTCTACCTTGAATCCATCAGGCAGGCTTCTCACTTCCCTGATCAACCGCTGCTGCACGGCGGGGTGCTGTGATACCACCCAGACGAGGTATGTAAGCGTAATGGCCGTCGTGTCGCTGCCACCAAGAATGTAGGCTTCTGCATCGGACTCAATTACGTCGTGTGAGATTTGACCGGCATCATGTGCTTTCAGTTCTCGCGAGAGCAACATCGGCTTATTGCAGTCGGGGTTTGATTTTATATATTGCCTGTAACGATCCAGGAGATTTTCAGCGTATGCAGTGCGCCGGGCTGCCGCAGACGTGATGTTCTTGATGAAGCTGGAAGGGATGGCTGAAACAATTTTCATTATTAGGGGGATCTCGACGAGTAGCGCATTGTAAAACGTGACGTTTTTGAGATCAATGGAATATTGGGTTTCCTGACGAAAGATGTCAATAGAAAATTGTTTTCCGATTCAAGATATTACGGGCACTCACTTTACCATATTCCAACATGTGAAAAGATTCGCCAAAGCTCAATTGGCCAACAATGTCAGTAGCCATAAAGAAAAACCATTTTAGCAAATCAGCGCTGCCGTCCGTATCCATACGCTCCTGAATCTTGTGTATAGCCAGCTCAACATTTTCCAAGACCACTGGCTCTAATTCCCGCAGTGAACCCTCCGACAGAGGGTGAGAGAGTAGTCGACGTCGCTCTTGATGCGCCTTAGGATCAACCAGAGAGAAGATGTTGTGCTCACGCGTTGTGGTAAGTTTACTGTACCAGTCGGATTTGCGGAAGCTGGTGCCAATGCGGTGGATTTCTTTGGTGGTTTGCAAGTCGGAAAGGGCAACCTCATTGGGGCTGACACGGACAAGAGGGCCTGGATTCTGTTCAGACATTGCCTGATGATACAACAAGCCACGTGGTGTGAGGAGGACAGACCATATTTCTTATTCAGTGAGTCGAGATATTGCATTCTCTGTCCAGTCAAAGTATAGTACTTCAAGATCAGAGTCGTAAATTTAGAACTCAAGGGTCCAGGAAGCGAGCTGAGTGGTCCTGTCAGAGCATTCCATATTGCTCGCTGACCAAGTTAACATCGTTGGCGATACGAATCGACACCGAAGTAAGAAACTGACACTTACTGCAATGCTGAGTAGCAGGATAGTCACTGATGATACGATAATTGTATGAGCCATTGCAAAAGAGGTGACAAAAAGCAAAACAAGAATACTCTTTCGTTTCTTCAAAATGTCGCAGTATATTGGTTGTAGTCTTTATATAAAAATCTACATCTAGCAGAATAAAATCTCTTTATCTCGATTATAAGTAACGCTTTCCCCGAATGTATTGTGAGACAATAGAACTGGTCATAAGTTATGTTGATTTTATTCCACATGTAACCTCATCCAAGCTTAGTAGCTTCGTGCTCAGAACGGACCCGGTGATTCATTAGGGAATTCTAAGCCGCGTGTCCTAAAAGTAGACAGACAGATATAAGCTTGCATTGTCCTATAGTTGTTGATATTTGGACCACTGCATCTTCTGCAAGCTTGTGAAAAGATTGACATCATGTATCTATCACTTTTTATGGTGCTACCTGCTTCTACTGCATGTTTGGCAGTATCTTTTGTGATTTTGGTGGCTTGGGTACTCCACCAGCGGTACCAGAGCCAACTGAATCAATTCCCAGGTCCCATTCTTGCATCCCTTTCAAATATTTGGCGATTCGGATACTCGCTGTACAACAGATATGGTACTCCCTTGGCTGCTTTGCACAGAAGATATGGCCCAGTGGTGCGTCTGGGACCGCGCATGTTATCGTTTTCCACCCCGGAAGCCATACAGGATATCTACGGCCCCAAGAACAAACTAAATAAGGTATGAATATGGAACCTACATCTATCTGCATGAAATCATACACTCATAAGGGGTTAAGTCGGAATTTTATAGTGTCATATCTCCCGTTCACGCTGGAGTCATTAGCCAAACCCTCTTTTCAAATAGAGACAAGGATTCCCATGCTAGTCACCGACGAGCAGTTAACTCGGCTTTCTCTATGAGCTCCGTGCTCCGTTACGAGCCGTATCTCGATGAAACTATTGGTCTGTTTTTCAACAAGCTTGACGAGATTTCCGGAAAGACCGGAAAAAAGGAATGGATTGACCTCCCATGCTTGTTTCAATACTATGCATTTGACACCATCGGAATGCTCGCCTATGGAAAGCGGTATGGTTTCATTGAGCAGAATTCGGATATCAACGGAATCATCAAGTCTACGCGGATGATTCTCGACTACACTTCATATGTAAGATCTACCTGGGACTAATGAGAGAACACTGCTAACATCTCTTCCAGGTTGGCAATTACCCGCTGCTAGACAAAGCAACGATCAAGAACCCACTTATGTTGTGGCTGGGCCGGATGGGCCTCGTCGAAATGACCACGCCGTTGATTCCGTTCGCGATAAACTCGCAGGCTGGACGACTGGCGGAGATGCGAGAGAACCCGGAGCGCAAGGATACCAACAGGGATATTCTTGACAGCTATCTTGCATTGCATAGGGCTAAGCCGGATATCGTAACCAATGACATGGTACTAGAACTGGGCGTGATGCTGGGGTTTGCTGGGTCGGAATCGACGTGAGTACTTTAATTGCCACTCGCTTTTCTTTCCTTTTTCCTACGTACTAAATAATGCAACCAGTGGGGTCGCCCTGAGTGCGTTTCTTTACCATGTCACACGCCATCCCAATATCTACCGCCGTGTCTGTAACGAGCTGGCATCCCATGTTGATGCCAATACAAGTCATGTTTCGTACACAAAGGCTCAAAGCATGCCATACTTTGACGCCTGCGTGAAAGAGGCTTTTCGAATCCACCCTCCCAGCGGCTTCGTGATGGAGCGGGTAACTCCCCCACAGGGAGCGGAGATTGCCGGATACAAAGTCCCCGGTAATGTAATTGTTGGCTGCAATCCACACGCTGTCCATCGTGACAAGTCCACATTTGGAGAGGATGCAGATGTGTATCGTCCTGAGCGATGGCTCGAGGCCAGTGACATGCAAGCGCGCGAGATGTGGAAGGGAATGATACATTTTGGTAGCGGGTCACATACTTGCTTGGGACGGCATATTAGCGTGATGGAAGTGTATAAGCTGGGTGCGTCGTTGTTGCATAACTTCAAGGTATTTTCTCAATCTCATCAATGCTTGTTATGCGAGTCCTATACTAAAAATTGTGAGCAGATCACCCTGGACCAGCCGGAGAAAGACTGCAAAATTACAGTAGGGCAGTTTGTACGGTTGAACTACCGGGCACGAGTGGAGCGATTGTCTAGAGAGTAGCGGAAACGAAAGAGCCACTTGGCTAAGGTTGTATGATCGTTCTCAGTATCTATTTCACAAATAGAATTGATCCTCATTGTCTCTTGTACAGATCTCGTTACTCTCCAATTATACCAACTTTACCCAACGGGAAGCCCAGTACAAACATGGAATTGTAGCCCAAAGAAGCCCACGCATCATCGTTATTGGTGATGTCCAATTAATCCGGGCCTTGCCCGCAAGCAACACGCTTATTCATTTCCGATCGTATTTATCATTGGAGTTCGCAACCTCAATAAATCCCGTAGCCAGATCCGCATAGCTTAAAAAGGTGTGTTTCGCCCCGTCGACAGCGTATGGCCGCAGGGTGCATCATGGACAAGCCCACCGGGCTAGATGAATGTCACCGCCAGCCATGTCTAGTGAAGCCGATAGTATTTCTCTGCTTTTTTAAGATTGGCAAATACGTGGCTAAAGGAAGTGTAAAGCAGTTTTTGCGTTACTCTAGGCGTCTCGCGGGATAATTTGTCGTTGATTACTGCAGAGCTCATGATAATGATACGCGGGGGCTTAACGGTTGGACTTAAAACGCGCAGCTTGGAGAGCGCCGCTACGACTGCATGTCTGGGTCGATCCCAATTGAGCAACTGGGAACGTTTTCATCCGTGGCAACGCATGAGAAGACTGCGCTGCAGGGTTATGCAATGCAAGATGCCACCTTCGGAAGGTCGGATATACCACCCCCATAGTTTTTCACATTTTGCTTAGCTGAAATTGATGCATTCTGGCCCACAGCTTCTGGCGCGAGCGGACGAGGACGTGGATGATGATCTCGAGGCCCTGGAGAAGGGTGGAGAGGATGACTTGACTGGTGGCTCCGAGAATAGCGTACATGGGCATAGCATACGTTCGGTGAGCTTAATTAGATGAAGCAGCTTGGGGTCTCGACTGTTTCATTTATCGATCTCGCGTTTATATAACAATTATCATGTGCAACTAGTTCATAAAGTCTGCTTAGCATGAACTATACCATTTGCTCTAGATAGCCGTAAAAGATCCGCAGCAAGAAAAAAGTACAATGGGCTTTTGCGGCTGGCTGACAAGACGGTGAGCCCAAGCAGGGGTAAGAAAAAAAAAATTGTCAGCTTCGTGCTTAGCACGGACACGAGACTGAAGTTGAATACGAGTTGAGATATGAGCAAAGAAATAAGAGACTATCATCACCTTCAATCTTTCCAGCAGAAAGGATTTAGTTTATTAACACGCTATTTTCGATCATGTCTCAGAAGATCAACGACACCTTCGATGAGTGCTTCTGGGGGGAGTATCTGGAAAGCCAAGGTTCACGATTACCTCCATTACCGGATGTTGAGCGCATCACTCCACGAGTTGTACGTGTACTTGCAGGTAATCCTGGTGGGGTAAGTCCGCTTCTATACAAAATTAACTCAATGACCTGGTTACTGATGGCTACGTACAGTTCCAACTGCAGGGTACCAACACGTACCTAGTGGGCAGTGGTCGTGAGAAGATTCTCATTGATACCGGTCAAGGCCTGCCGGTATGGATCGATCATATTACCCGGGTCATATCCGAGAATAACCTGAAGATCATGGCTGCATTGATCACCCACTGGCATGGCGACCATACTGGTGGCGTACCTGATCTACTGGTTCATTTTCCGCATTTATCGTCCGCTATATACAAGAACCAGCCAGACCGTGGCCAGCAGGACATTCTTGACGGACAAATTTTCCAAGTAGAGGGAGCCACAGTACGCGCCTTGCACACACCAGGTCATGCTGTTGACCACATGTGCTTTGTACTGGAAGAAGAACAGGCGATATTTACCGGCGATAACGTGCTTGGTCATGGGTTTACAGTTGTGGAAGATCTCGGGGTGTATACGAACAGTCTCGGTATTATGTACAACCAAGGGTGTCAGATAGGGTATCCAGCACATGGAGTCTTGATCACCAATATGCCATTGAAGATGGCAGAATATAGAGATCAAAGATTACGGCGAGAGCGGCAGGTCATTTCTGCCCTGCAGGAAAGTCGGCAGAAGAGCACAGGGCGAGGCAGTATTACGGTGCAGGAAGTGGTGCGATCAGTGCATGGCACTGTCCCCGAGGAAGTCAGTAAGAAGGCATTGGAGCCATTCATGCAGGAGGTACTTTTGAAGCTGGCGGGTGATCGTAAAGTTGCTTTTGAGCTGCAGGGGGGAGTAAAGCGGTGGTTCATTGTTGGTAATCGAGTTTGATGATATTATTTTTGTACATCCTTTGCTTTTTTGCATCAAATTAATTTTGCATGACTACCGAAGAATATCGTATCTGTTTTCAATAGGGCTCATGCCGCTGGAAAACTGTACAGCCCATACACGTATGCAAAACGCGAGCCAGTATCCGTGCTTCTATCAAAATCCGCCGTCCTGGTTAGAGCACTGGAGCGATGCAAGTCCAACCTTGAGTCAGTATATACTCGCCATAGCCCAGATAGCCTCCGATAGCTTACACCATCAGCTCCAGCTGAGCTTTTTGTATTATCTTCCCACCAGTTTCTCTGTTTCAAATCCGATCAGCTTCGTATAAGTGCCGAAATCGGCGATACATCAGCGTCAGTATAGCTGACCCTAATGGGTTGGATATATAACCATTCCCATACCACCTCAAGTCCAAGCAAACAAATATTCTCATTAATCTCTAATTCATTTTCATTCTTCGAAGATTCAACATTCACTGTCGAAAATGGATACCCCCTCGAGCTCGGCAGACGTGGTTAATGACCATCACTACAGACTGGTCTATTTCAGCAATGAGCTGCCATCTGACGAGCAGATTGGAGCTCACTTGCGCCGTCTCCAAGCCTTGAGCAAGGACAGAAGACACCCAATTCTGAAGGCTTTCCTGGAAGATGCCACAGACGTGCTTCGCCAGGAGCTGCGGAAATTGCCTTCCAATCTTCTTTCCCTGATCGCCCCGTTTGAAAGTATTATCGACTTTGCGTACCAGTTTGGACTGCGTACTGGGCCATTCGGGGGATCTACCGAGGGTGTCTTCGCGTGTTTGATCCAGCTAGGCACATACATCAGGTATGTCTTCGTTTCCAGCATGACCGCGTCAGTTGCTAACTGGCTACTAGCTACCATGAGTGCCCTACGAACGACCCTCTCACCTCCCCTGATGGAACCCTTGTGGCTCTCGGGTCAGGATTGCTGGCTGCCGCGGCTGTCTCATTTGCCTCTCGCTTGCCGGACCTTGTGAAGCTCGGTTCTGAGGCAATCCGTATTGCTTTCCGGATGGGACTTCATGTCGACCAAGTTTCGCAGAGACTCGAGTCTCGTCGAGCCGAGGGACCAGCAGAGAGCTGGGCATATGTGTTCTCGGGGTTGTCAGAAGACGAGGTGCGGAAGGAATTGGTGAGCATGAATGCGTCTCTGGTGAGTGGTGCCTAGCAACATGTCTATCTTTATGTTCTTCTACTAACACCACTAGAATTTCCCAACACCGAGCCAAATCTTCGTTAGCGCTGTTAGCCCCGGCTCCGTCACCATCAGTGGCCCTCCCTCGCGCCTTAAGACCCTTGTGCGCTCCTCTGAGCTGCTACGCTATGCCAAATGGGCTCCTTTGCCCATCTTTGCCGGCCTTTGCCACTCAGCCCACGTTTACACCCACACTGATGCTGAGGCCATCGTGAGTGCCACGAAGCTCCCAACAAACTCATCTTACGTTCTTCACACGCCTCTGCTCTCGACTAGGGACGGAAGATCCTTCGCTGCACAAACGCCCGCCCAACTCTTTGAGGATGTTATATTCGAGCTGCTCACGGGAACTATTCGCTGGGATACAGTTACAGCGACTCTTCATGATCGCGTGGCGCTTCAGTTCGTGCCTGAAGTCTCTGTAAAGGCTTTGGGCGCACCTAATGCTCTCAATGGCTTCAATGAGGCTGTTCAGGCCCATGCGGATCCGGTCCGAGTTAATACAGAGGATGTTCTAACGCAAAGCCTCGCTACTCCTCTACCTGAGCGCGCCCCTCGCGACCCCAAAGACTCTAAGATTGCCATCGTTGGCATGAGCTGCCGCCTTCCTGGAGGTGCTGTATCCAACCAGAGTTTCTGGGATCTGCTCGAGAAGGGGCTCGACGTTCATCGACGCATCCCCGCGGACCGCTTCGATGTCAACACGCACTGGGATCCTACTGGACAGAACCCGAACGCAAGTAAGACACCATTCGGGTGTTTTATTGATGATCCGGCCCTCTTTGATGCCGGCTTCTTCAACATGTCGCCCCGGGAGGCGGAGCAGACGGACCCTATGCACCGTTTGGCCCTTGTCACCGCTCATGAGGCCCTCGAGCAGGCTGGTTTCGTGCCCAACCGCACGCCTTCGACTAATCTTGAGCGTGTTGGTGTCTTCTATGGCCAGGCAAGTGATGATTACCGTGAAGTCAACGCAGGCCAGGAGATCGGAACGTACTACATTCCCGGCGGAAACAGGGCTTTCGCGCCCGGACGGATCAACTACTTCTACAAATTTGGTGGTCCCAGTTTCAGTTGCGACACCGCGTGCTCTTCTAGTCTGGCTACCGTCCAGATCGCCTGCACAACGCTGTGGAGCGGCGATGCCGATATGGTCATCGCGGGGGGCGTCAACGTCCTCACAAACTCGGACGGTTTTGCCGGTCTCTGCAATGGCCATTTCCTCACGCAGACTGGTAACTGTAAGACATGGGATGCAAGTGCTGATGGATACTGCCGTGCAGACGGTATCGGATCGGTTGTCATGAAGCGTCTCGAGGATGCCATTGCAGACAACGACAACATCCTCGCCACCGTGTTATCAGCGGCGACGAATCAATCCGCCAAAGCCGTGTCGATTACTCACCCCCATGCTGGCGCTCAGGCAAGTCTCTACCAGCGTGTCATGGACCGTGCTGGTGTCGATCCGCTCGATGTCAGCTATGTCGAGCTGCACGGTACCGGCACACAAGCCGGTGATGCGACAGAGATGGAGTCCGTCACGACTGTGTTTGCTCCTATGGGCCCTCGTCGGCGCACAGAGCCGCTGCATATCGGTGCTGTCAAGTCGAACATTGGCCACGGGGAGGCGGCAGCAGGAATTGCGGCGCTGATCAAGGTGCTGCTGATGTACCGAAAGCGGTCTATTCCTCCGCATACAGGTATCAAGACGGAGCTGAGCCCAGCGCTGAAGAAGTTCCTCGACAAGAAACGCAACATTCACATCGCCCTTGAGCAGACGCCTTGGACTCCTTTGTATAACTCGCGGTATGCAGTGGTCAACAACTTCAGTGCTGCAGGAGGCAACACAACCATGCTTCTCGAGGAGGCACCGGTCAAGGAGATCCAGGATGTTGACGATCGTGAGAAGCACGTTGTGGCAGTGTCTGCCAAGAGCAAGGTTTCGCTAAAAGGAAATCTAGAGGCGCTTCTGGTGTATCTCGAGGAAAATCCGGAGACCTCACTGAGCGACCTCGCATACACCACCTCTGCCCGTCGTATGCACTACAACCACCGCATTGCCTTTTCTGCTTCATCCATTGACCAGGTGAAGAAGCAACTACGGTCTCACATCGACTCCGAGGAGCAGGTTCGCCCGGTCCCGTCAAACCCACCAGCTGTGGCCTTCGCCTTCACCGGTCAAGGTGCATTCTACCCCGGCATGGGTGCCCAGCTCTACCACAGCGTCCCGTCTTTCCATGAGCACCTCACGCACCTTGATAGACTCTGCCAACAACATGGATTCCCATCAATTCTCCCGGTAATCGAGAACGGGGGCGACGAGGCGCAGGAAGAACCCGCCCCCATTGTCACCCAGCTCACCATTACTTGTCTCGAGATTGCCCTGACCAAGTACTGGGCCTCGCTTGGCATTACACCCAGCGTCGTCGTCGGCGCAAGTCTGGGCGAGTACCCCGCCCTACACGCCGCAGGCGTGCTCTCTGCCAGCGACACCATCTTCCTCGTCGGCCAGCGCGCGCAGCAGCTGGAGAAGCACTGCCAGCTGCGCAGCCATGGCATGATGGCTGTACGTGCCAGTGTCGAGCAGATTGCGGAGTGTTTGGTCAACCAGCCCTACGAGGTCGCCTGTATCAACGCACCCCAGGACACCGTCATTGACGGACTTCAGGCCGACATCGCCTCTGCGCGGGAGAAACTTCAGGCACAAGGGTACAAGTGTCACCAACTCGACGTGCCCTATGCCTTCCATTCGTCGCAAATGGACCCCGCTCTAGACTCGTACGAGCAGATTGCTTCATCGGTCACTTTCCATGCGCCACAGGTGCCCATTATCTCGCCGCTGCTCAGCGACGTCGTCTTTGATGCGAAGACCATCCACGCGAAATACATGAGGCGGGCAACGCGTGAGCCGGTCAACTTTGTCGGCGCTCTGCAGGCCGCGCAGGAGATCGGAATTATCGAACACAACACCGTTTGGGTTGAAGCTGGGCCGCACCCGGTTCTTGTCTCGTTCATCCGCAACTGTCTCCCCGAGGTCAAGCGATTGGCACCGACGTTGCGGCGCAACGAGAACAACTGGAACACGCTGGCGGATAGTTTGGCTGGATTGCACAGTGATGGCCTCACCTTGCAGTGGAACGAAGTGCATTGGCCGTTTGAGGCCTCGTTGCAACTGCTGGACTTGCCGTCGTACTCGTGGAATGAGAAGAGATACTGGATCCAATATCGCGGCACGTGGGTGCTCACTAAGGGCAAGGAGATCAACCAGCCGGTGCCATCTTCAGCGGTGTCGACCTTGACGACCTCATCTATTCATCAGGTCCTTCAAGAGGATGTCACTGGCTCTACAGCGACCTTTGTGGCTCGGTCGAACCTTATGCACCCTGACCTTTTCGAGGCCGCAAATGGACACCGGATGAACGATTGCGGTGTTGCCACATCGGTGAGTTAGCCTTACCACTCGTATCAGAATCCCATCTAACAAGCCTAGTCTATCCACGGTGACATTGCCTTCACCATCGCCGACCACCTCTACAAGAAGATCACCAACACGTCTGCCCCAGGAATCAATGTCACCAATTTAACCGTCCTGCAAGGTCTCGTCGCACAGAAGTTCTCCAAGGTCGATCAACTCTTCGAACTCCGTGCCACTGCCGACCTCACCACCTCCCCAGCAACCACAACCATTCACTGGTACAACGTAAACGACGGCATAACAAACCCGGAACATTTCGCCTCTGCGGTCGTCGAATACGGCGACGCGAACGTCTGGCTCTCGCAATGGCGCCGCCTGTCCCATCTGGTCAAGAGCCGTATCACTTCCCTTGAGCGCATGGCCTCCGAGGGCACCGCTGCCGTCCTCCCGCGCAACATGGCCTACCGCCTCTTCAACAACCTCGTTGACTACGCTGACAAATACCGCGGCATCCAGTCCACCATCATGCACGAGTACGAGGCCATGGCGAATGTCACCCTCACAACCCAGGGAACGGGAACATGGACCGTGCCACCATATTTCACCGACCCCGTGGCACATCTCGCTGGACTTATCATGAACGGTAGTGATGCGTCCAACACGATTGACTACTTCTACGTGACGCCAGGATGGGCGGGATTGCGGTTTGCAAAACCGTTGGTGAAGGGTGGAAAATATCAGTCGTATGTGCAGATGACGCCGATCGAAGGACAGGCTGGGTTCTGGAATGGAGACGTGTATGTGCTGCAGGATGGAGAGATTATTGGGCTGGTTGAGAAAATTACATTCCGGCGGTTCCCGAGGAGCTTACTGCCTACGTTCTTCTCGCCTCCTGATGTGGCTAAGCCATTGCATGCTGCTGCTCCGGCTAAGCCGGCTAAGCCGGCTGCTCCTGCAGCTCCTGCACCAGTGCCTGCTCCTGCTCCTGTTGAAGCACCCAAGCCAGCTGCTCCAGCACCTGCCCCTACTGCCAAACCGGCAGAACCAACCCCGGCCGCGGCACCGGCGGCAGCGCAAAACCCGACAATAACCAGCGCCCTCGACCTTATCGCTAAAGAAACCGCACTGGAGCAGTCCCAACTCACGGATGACGCGGCTTTTGCTACCCTTGGTGTCGACTCGCTCATGTCCCTTGTGTTGGCAGAGAAGTTCACGAGCCAGTTAGGTATTGAGGTGAAGAGTTCTATCTTCATGGAGTGTGAAACGGTGGGAGAGTTGAAGACGTATATTGAGGAGACCTTTTGTTGACTTTGTTTTCTTTTGTTTGGTTTGTTCCGGTTCTGCTCTCGATGGGTTTGGTAATTTAAATTGCTTAGATGGTAATTATCCTTATAAGATAGGAATTTGATCTGTTTTGGATTAATCTACGTCTGTGTTACGGTGCTTGCTGCATAAATTTAGAGTATTTTGTGACTTTAGGGTTAGGGCATATCATTCCGAAAGATTAAACTTGCTTGATCAGGTACGTTATCCAGGTACCAATAGAGATATTAGCCTTAGATATTGGTGGAACATATTTGAAAAAAAGCAACTCCCAGACATCCTGGATAAGTCTATGTACGTATCAGCATTCACATCCGGTCACATCCGTAGATCCTAACAAATAATACAAGCAGAAGCATTAACTATAAGTACCATCTCACCTCTCCCCGTACCTTCTCTCTCTCCTCCCCCATCAACATATCCGATACTATTGCTTAATTTTTTTTAATATTCTCCGGCCCTACTCGCCCAAATAATTCACCAACTACAATGTCCAAACTAACTCCCACTGAGCGCGGCATCGCCATCTACAAACCCATGGTCCTCCAAATTTACGACTACTGGGTTCTCAATATAGTCAACACTTGGGCCTGGCGCTGCCCCACAAAAACCTACCTCCTCCCTCTCTTTACCTCCAATATCGGCTCTAACCACCTCGACATCGGCGTCGGTACGGGCTATTACCTCGCCAACGGGACCGTTCCGCAAATCACGCGTCTGACGCTGTGCGATCTGAGTCCTGCGGCGCTGGCCAAGGCCAAATCCAGGGCTGGGAGGGAGGATGCAGTGGAATTGCTGTGTGATGTGTTGAAGCCGTTGCCTGTGGGCGCGGGGGAGAAGTTTGATTCGGTGTCGATGTACTTTTTGTTGCATTGTTTGCCTGGACCGGTGAATAACAAGACTGTTGTGTTTGAGCACGTGAAAGAGGTTTTGAAGGAGGATGGGGTTGTTACCGGCGCTACTGTTTTGGGGAAAGGGGTGAAGGATAACTTTTTTGGGGGATTGATTCGGCGGTTTTGTGTGTTTGGTGGCATTATGAGCAATGAGACGGATGATTTTGAGTCATTTGTGGGGGCTTTGAAGGCGAACTTTGAGGTTGTTGAGGTGGATGTTATTGGGGTTGTGTTGGTGTTCAAGGCGATGAAGCCAAAGTTCTAGCTGCTAGTTGGATTAATTCAATGGACATCGGGGTTAGTAGATTCTGGTGAGTGGATAGGCTTAGTTAGAGAGGAATGGAATGCGTCTAGAGTACAATAACAAAGCATCTAGAACTTAAAAATCTGATCCTTAGTGTACCCAAGCTCTCCCAGAATCCCCTTCCCACCCCCAAACCATCCACTCGACCCGATCAACGCCGTCTCCATAGCCGGCGGCCCACAAACGAACACCTTTACATCCTTCCCAGATTCCTTAGTCTTCATAACCTTCTTCAACAATTCCTCCGTAATCCTCCCCTTCTCAAACCCCTCCCCCTCACTCTTCCCATCACTGATAGTATACACGGTCTCAAACCGCCCAGGGTACCGCTTCTTAAACCCCTCCAGCTCCTCCCTCAATACCAGATCCTCTTCTGCATTCACGCCAAATACCAATGTAATTTTCGTCTTGTCTTCGGGGTCCTTCAGCGCGCCTTGGATTAGTTGGTACATGGGCGTTATGCCTGCGCCGCCAGCGAGGAGGTAAATGTGGGAGTGTTTGTTGGGGGCCCATGAGTAGGCTTTTAGAGGACCGAAGAAGGAGAGGAATTGGCCAGGTTGAAGGGAGTGAAGGTGGGTGCTGGCTTTGCCGGAGGGATATTTCTTAATTAGGAACTCGACGTAGCCGGGGTTGTCTATGGTCTGTTAGTATATATATTCGTCTGTTGCCTGGTATTGTAGGCGTACCAAAATCACTGATAGGAGTGTAGGGCCTGATAACAGGGAGCCAACTGCCCTGAGGACGGGAGATAGTAAGTAGAGAAGCTATACTCGTTAGTCAACATATTCAACATCCAGTAGATATATTAGGGCAGCATACAAGTCAACACAAGTCCACTCTTCGCATCCTTATCCGGAAACTCAAACACAAGTCGCTTTGTATTATGATTCACCGTCTTACTGCTGTGAAGCCGCAGCGACGTGAAGCCGGTCTTTCCGAATACCATTAGGGGCTGGTTTTGAGTTGTTTCCGCAAATGCTGTCTGGAGGGAGTATGCGCCGATACCAACAGCCACGGCGGTAGTAGCAGCCGCAGTAGTAATCTTACGAGAACTGAGCTGAGCAGACATGATGACTCGAGAAAGCACAAGCACTAAATGTGTATGCTGATGAACAGAGATACTTGTAGATAGTGATTCTCGCCTAATCTGCACTCGGTTTTTATCGGGTTTTGATAAAGGCCGTCCTCTTTGTTTGCTTATTATGTGGATCACCTCTGCTGGTCTTTATTTGTTCTTCTGGACCCGGACTATGCGTTTATTATGCATTCGGCAGGATTCATTGCCCCGAGACATCTGTATCTCTCGCCGAACTAGTGACGAAGAAAAACTAAATATAGTAAAACCAAATCATCGCTGCATATCCTCCATAAAATCTTGATAATTAGTCCACGGCAGTTGGTCAATACCAACATCCCTAAAGTCTACCCCATCCCATATATTCGGCACATTTGCCCACGGTTCAACCCCAGTGCTACCCGTACTGCTACACGGGGTTACAACCAGCTCCATCCCTCTTTGACTTTGATCCGGGGTCATCATTGGCAAGAACGGTGGTTGCAGTTGCGCAGATGCAGACTCTGGAGTGTAGTTTACTCTTAAGCTCTCTCTCTTCGCACGCGCTCTCCCCATTAATTTCTCCATCGGTTTCCACAACATCCCTTCCTTCTCGTCTACGACTAATCCCCCGAAACGTTCGAATGCGCCTTCCACGGTATCCCAGTATCGCTCCATCAACGCTGCATCCTCGCATCCACAGAGTTCCGCGATCGCGACCGCCAGCGCGTGCCAGGGAACGAAGATACTCTCGAACCAGCGCCACGGATGCCCGCGGGGATCGCAGTGTAGTGTCTCCGTCCTCTGCAGAATATCCACGGATAACTCGAGAAGATTGCATCCGGGGACGTGCGGAAGCATGAAGTTGGGGGTGCTTTGGGGTGGTCGTAGGGCGATAAGCTGCATCGACGCGGCGATGTAGTCTGCGATTTGGTGGGTGTACCAGTGAAAGGGCACCGCATCTGGTTGGCAATTACGAAGCAGTTGTGATGCTGTCTGCCGGAAATCGGCGACGCATGCCTGCCGTAAATGCATATACTGTGACCCCGGCTCCGTGAGTGAACGTACAGAGCAATGTGCCTTGGAAATCACCAAGGTGAATGTAGTGTCTGTGAAACCATCGGATTCTGCGGGCGCGACTGTATGCCCAAACGGAATATCATCATCGCTAAGATTTGCCGGCGTATGCGATTCCAACCAACTCCGTAAAATCATCGGCTCGGACGCCCGGTCCAGCGACGCCTGGACATCCAGCAATCCAATAGCACTCCACAGCCGCCTCCGCATTTCCTGCTCAAACGGCATTATCAGAAATGGTGGGTCTGGTACATGCAGCGAGAGCGCCTGTGCAACACGAACTGCCATGCTGAGCATCGTCCATGTTCGTCTGCTGCGGTATTGTGAGCGGGATCCAATCAATGAAAGCACGAATGCTTGTAAAACAACCAAGTCATCCGATTTGACAAGTTCAGCCCGCACTAGGGCTGCTTCTGTTTCTCTTTCGTATCTGGCAATTACCGATGCTCTGCTAGCTCCTAGAACAGGGGGCCACTGGTCTTCGGTGATACTGCAGGCTGCTGTATAGTAGACGGCGCATCGAAGGGCTTCTGGGGCTGGGTGGTAGGCATCATAGCGGAGGTATGGTTTTCCTTCTATGAGGAATGCACGGAGGGAGGGTTGATGTAGAATCTTGAAGACCGGATCGACTTGTGTCAAAAAGACATGACATAGATGCTGTTGGAGCTGTGGGGTTTCCCATGGTTCTGTAGTGGAGCATAAAGGGCTGAGCAAGGACCTGCCCGTCAACCCATCGACGAGAACATCATAAGGCGCGAACGTTGTAACACCCTGTCGATGGTCCGCGACGTTGCGCAAAGACTGGTCCTTATTTCAGCGTTAACGTCAGAGCTGCATGGAGTCGTGGCAGGTAACACTTACTTGTACATGCATTAAGCCCTCCCAGAACGTATTCCCCAAATAAGCACTGCCTTTCTGAACCATCACACCTCTACCTCCACCCCCAACGTCATTACCCACAGGCGAAGGCAAATCACTCCGAAACTCGGTATCGCAGGGACTCGGTAGGATTCCCGCATCAGCTATAGCTGGCACGGTAGTATTGGCCACAGCCCCGTTATCCTGCATCAGCGTACAGATCAGCCCCTCCAACCTCTCCATCCTCGCCTTCAATTCATCAGTAGCGTTGGCGGCATCACTCTCGGCGGCCTGGTCTGCAGCTTTTGATTTTCGAAAGCGCCCCCGTGGCAGACGCGCTCGTTCCACGGGGATACAAACGGCCCCGAGTCGTTGGCAGTTCGTGCATGGGCTTAGCTTGTCGCATTTTACCTTGCGCTGACGACACATCTCACAGCTAAGTTGGACTTTGGGAGCGCTGGGCGCTCGTTGGGTCGTACCCTCGGCCATCGTTGCATGTATGTATTGCTTGTCTGTATGTTTGCTGGCGATGCGAGGCCGAGAGGATGAGTGGGGAGTAATCTCAAGCAAAGAAACATGACAGGGTACCGATATCGATGCACGCTTGTATTTATGATAGATCACGTTTCAGGTTAATCGAGCGAATAGCAAGGTGCATCAAAAGCAAATGCAAGCTAACAGGCCCGTGACCGTAATGTTTGCCAGATATTATCAGTTCAGCTGCGGCAAGTCCGGCAGCTGAGGAGGGGGGAAGAGTGATAAAAGTACATTCAGTGGTACCCAATCAAACAAAATGGTAATCTCGTTATCTGAAGATTATAGCTCTACAAGCATGGTTAGCTCTGCTCCGTATGTAGTCTGAAGTCGTACATTTACCAATATATTGACTGGCTCGAGTCAAAGCTGCATGATGCTAATGCTTGATATTCGGGAACCGTCTCATCCATTAAGTAATAATCCATTGCTATGATCTAAAATCTAAAATCTGCCGTAATTCTGTCCTAACACCTGACAAATATAGAATAGCCACTCAAAAACCTAGAAAACTAGCTAAATAACCAATTCCAAATCTACCATCTCGTCACAATTCGTGAGGTTATGAAATAAATAATCCATAGTCGACGCTTCCGGACTGGTCCCGGGGAGTTGCATCTGTGGTTGTGGTTGTGACATATTATTAGTAGGATCTACCACGCCCGAACGGGCCGGCCCCGTTTCCACGGCATTCGCGAAGAGGCGCTCCGTCGGGGACATTGTCACCGGAGCTCGCCATTCTAGCAGTCGATCAAGCGGCAGGTTATGTGATTGGTCATTTCTATCGATAGGATGCATTAGCGGCATTGGCATCGAAAAGGAAAGAAATGTACTAACAAGTGTAATGGTGGCCCTCGCTGCCGCAAAAACTCCTTATAGTCAAATACTTTGTAGCCACTTTCTTCAAGCAGTTCCCACTCTGGTCCTCTGGACTCAATGATCCTCGAGAATTGCTCTTCAAAGTACCGCCGGAGGGTAGGGAAGTGGGCGATTTTGAGTAAGCCGTCTAGACTGCAGAGACCTGTAAGCAGTTAGTCGGTTATGCACGATATCTGCAGCGTGGAAGAAAGAGATAACTCACTTGCAAGAAGGATCAGAGCAAACGATTTGACGCAGATACTAGCATTGCGTAACGGCCCAAACACCATCGTGACTGCGCGTCGTGCATCACTAGCCCAGTCTTTGGCCTTGCCTCGGCGCTTAAGCACTTCAGCCATTTTCTTGTTCATCTGTCTGGGCGTTAGCCAAATGCATCGTAGACACGATATTGAGGGGGGAATCACCTGCTTCGCAGCGAAATTCGGAGACAAGCCCTCATCATGCACCAACCGGTCTTCTTCCATCTTGAAGATCTGCCAACTAAGTAACCCGTAAACACTCCCCACTGTATTTGAGACATTCCCCAGTCTCCCGAGCACCTCCGCAAACTGCATAATAGAAACATTAGGACAAGTGGGAATCCGCGGTCCGCTATACAATCCCTCCACTTGCTGGTTATGGTCCTCCACGCTGGAGATCGGGTGGTTGAAAAGCGCCGCCAGCAAATCCTGCAATTTCTTCATCCGCTTTAACCCCAGATCCGATTTCGCCAGTGACGGCGTCGGCGATGTGAAAAGTTCACTGGAAGTGGGGGATTGTCTGGGTGGAGATCCGGATGTCGTTGGCGACGCTTCTGTCGAATAACGCCGGGGAATACCGTCATCTTTATCCTTCCCCAGCCGCTCTGACATCTCCCGCAGGGCACTGATCCAGTTCTCGGGAGGGCGTTCTTGGAGACTTGGGCCGCGGGCTATCACGGTGCCGTTCGCGACGATGACGGAAGATATCGATTCGCTGTGTTGCTGGAGGGTGAAGTAGACCTCGCCTTGGGTTGGTAGCTGCATGGCGATTATATGATTTTGCAAGAGATCAGTATCAATGTGATGCATACGATTGACAGCACGACTTCTATCCTCTGTTCGTATTTATGTATCTATACCATCCCTCAGCTCGGGTTTAGGACGGATCCAGAATAGTCATCCTCGGATAGTTGGACCAGGGTACTGGTGGCTGACTCGCAGTCTGCGGAAAAGACACATCGGGTCCACTTGTAAGCCAATCCATAGATTCGTATTGATTGCCATTAGGGCCGATTAGTTCAGAGACAACGAAAATTATGCTTACTCTCTTTCCTTTTTTGCTTCGGCAGACCCGCCAGCTTGTGGGGATTTAATTGCAATTCTACATGACAAGATAAGCCTAAGATTCAATGGTCAGCTGCTATACGAAGTAGCCAGGAGGCGATGGCGATGACTGGTTCACGAACAAAGAACTAATATAATACAATCGATATAATACAAGGATGTCTCGTACAATCAACCCGACTTTATCCTTGGCCTCAGCACATAACGCCATGTCGTCCCAAAATGCCACCTCTTCTCCTCCACAACCTCTAGCCCACTTTCCCGTACGATCTTCCCGATATCCCGATTCCACCAACATCCGTGTCTATCCGCATGAGCAGGAGCCAGGTTATCGAGCACCCGGTTCAACCAGTCATAGTACGACCGACCATGCTCGAGGAGGAGAATCCGCCCGTGCTGTGGCTCTGTGATAGAACCCAGATGCTGCAGCGTGCCCACCGGATCTGACATCGAACAGAGACCCATTGTCTGCACGATTGTATCGAAATAGCGTAGTTTTGCTGCGCCTGCAGCTGTCACTGCCGCCATTGACGGGTTGACGACACCCGCGTCTGCCACGGCAAAACTCACTCTCTGCACAAACCGTGGATACATCCTCTCGAACTTCTGTCGTGTAATATCCACCATCTGCGAGCTGATATCAATAAACGTGATGCTCCGGCAGCCCTTCAACAACCCCTGTCCCTGCCCTTGTCCATATCCTTGTCCGCGCTCCGCCCCTTGTCCCTGCCCCTGTCCTTGCACCTGGCTCAGATCATAGTACGCGAGATTCCTGCCAGTACCGCAGCTGACCTCGAGCACATCCCCCCTGGCCATTTGAATAAGATCGTGTCGTTTTCTGCCCAGCCGCATCAGCCTCTCTGACATGTCGACATCGGCGTCAAAGGTGGACGCTGTGTGGTTGTAGCGGTCTGAGACATCTTGCGGGACGGAGAGGGATTGCGATTGGCTCACTTCGCGGGTATACGAGGCGTAGAGGAAACCGCAGTAGGTGCTTATGGTGAGCATGCTGATGCCCATGAAGGTCATGATACGGGGGGAGATACCATGTTTTGGGGCTGTCGCTGAGGGGAGTGGGTTTACGAGCAGTGGGTTTGCTCGTTTGGGGAGGTTTCTTGTTCTATATAGGTCAGGTCTGTTTTATCTTTGGTTCTGGAGAATCGGACTCACTGTGGATGGGGGATTTGGCTATTGAGTCTCTGCGGGCCTGGAACGGATCCCGCTTTCTTCAGCGAGGCTTTCCCTACTCGGGATGCGCTCATCGTGCCTGTCAAGTGTTAGTAGGAAGCATTATCTTTATGATAGATATTGACTAACAGTGAGTATGGTCAAAGTACGATGGAGCGACGTCGGAGAAAGCGGTGTCGGATCTTACGATCTTATCAACCACCTTAAAAAAGCCAATTGACTTCTCCGCATCCGCAGATATTTCGGAGGTTTCTTCAGGAGTATTGTACTCTCGAGTACGTCAATAGTCTTTCGATTGAGAGTTCATAGCAGACAATGGCCCTACAAAAGAATATTCTTATTGTGGGAGGAGGAGTTTTCGGGCGTGAGTTTCTCAAGTGTCAATCGCGACAGATTGCGATAAAACAGCAACAAAAGGACACCATTAACTGACTACCACAGTATCAACCGCCCTCTCCCTCTCATCCCGCCACCCATCCTCTAAAGTAACCCTCCTCGAATCCTCCCCCACAATCCCCAACCCCGAAGGCTCCTCCGTCGACACCTCGCGCATCGTCCGCGCCGACTACTCCAACCCCGTGTACTCGAAGCTCGGCGCCGCAGCCATCGACCGCTGGCGCAACACCGAATGGGGCGCTGACGGCCGTTACACACAGAACGGACTGATGCTGGTGTACCCCGATGGCCAAGGAAACGGGCGGGACTATGCGATGAAGAGCTATAAGAATGTGAAGGAGCTGGAGGGGGATAAGGTGGAGTTGCTGCCGAGTAAGAGGGATGTGCTGAGGGCTGCGCCGGCATATTCAGAGGAGTTGAATGTCGAAGGGGGATATGTGAATTGGGGGTCTGGGTGGTCGGATGCGGGGGCGACGGTTGCGTATGCGAAGCAGCTTCTTGATAAGGAAGGGAAGGTTATTTTTAAGACAGGGGAGGTGGAGCGGTTGCTCTACGATGAGGAGAAGAAGGATAATGTTACGGGTGTCGTACTGTCCGACGAAACTACCCTGACAGCGGACTTGGTCGTCCTCGCGACAGGCGCCTGGACAGCGAAACTCATCGACCTGCGCGGCCGAACCCTTTCCACCGGCCAGGCACTGGCCTACATGCAGATCACCGACGAGGAACAAGAACGCCTCTACAACATGCCCACCGTCCTCAACTTCGCAACGGGCATGTTCATCATTCCGCCACGGGACAACCTGCTCAAAATCGCCCGCCACGGCTACGGCTACCACAATCCGGTGACAGTTTCCGTACCGGGCCCCGACGGCAAGGGAACGATGCAAGTCAGTATCCCAGAGAAGGGCGTCCCCATTCCCCTCGAAGGCGAGGAGGCTTTCCGGGACGCAATGAAGCAGTTCCTTCCCGATCTGGCGGATCGACCATTTGTCAAGACTCGCGTCTGCTGGTACACAGACACGTAAGTTCCTTTCGCCCTCCATCAACCCTACACATGTACTAACAAGCAAACAGCCCCGAAGGCGACTTCATCGTAACCCACCATCCGACATCCAAAAACCTCTTTATCGCCACCGGCGGCAGCGGCCACGCCTACAAATTCTTTCCCGTGCTAGGCGACAAAGTCGTCGATGCAATTGAGGGCACGCTGGACCCCGAATTGCAGAACATGTGGAAGTGGCCAGAAGCCAAGGGTGCGGATGTGTTTGAGGGGACTGAGGATGGGAGTCGGTCGGGACAAAAGGGGCTTGTGTTGATGGAGGAGTTGGCGAAATCGAAGAGGGAGAGTAAGTTGTAGGTGTAGCATATAAGGCGAGGTGGCCATTTTATAAGTATGTATATATATATGTGTGTGTTTCCATGGAGAATTGTAGGTTTAGTCATTATCTGGTTCAAATTTTCTGGCTCTGAAGTAGACTTGTGAAAAACAAAAACAACAACAGAAAGATGTCCAAGCCACTAACTCCAGTCTCTTCGCAAAGTACAGCGATTGACTCTAACCATATCACATAATGAAAAAGCGCGCCTGACACCACACAGGATCCAACACGAACACGAACACGAATACCAAGAGAAGACCAAGCCCAGTCCTCCTCAAACCTGACCCTTCCGTTGGTCTACACAGCAGGTCCAGCATTCGCCCTAGAAGCAGGATTAGCATAGCCATCTAATCCAGACCTTGTAAGAAAGAAAAAAAAAAGGCGAAAAGAGAGAAAACGAATTGCTATACACCGAGATTCTTCTTGGTAAATTGTTTACGAATGAAAGTCATCAGCAAAAAGGCTCGTTTTCTCATCATGAACGAGTCAGACTTGACTTACACCATCGGGGAGATATTGCACGTTTCCGGAGAAGCAGACAAGATTTCAGTCATCTGTCTGCGGGACAGGAGTAGCAATCAAGTTGGTGGCGAGGAGAGCCAGCACACCTTGAAGAATTTTAATTGCATGGTGATTGTAATATGTACAAGTAGTATAGAAGCTTGAGTAAAGTGAGCGGTGGCAAGATGAAGAAAAGAATCAACTCAACAGGGGATGGAAGGAGAGACGTGGTTTGTAGCCTGCGATAGCCTGCGACAGTTTACAATAGCCCAAGATTTACAAACCTCGTGTTCGGTAAAAGAACCCTTCGCTGGTTTGTTGCCCAATAAGTCACCATAGTCAGGTCACCATACTATCTATGCATGTTAAGAGGTTCGCCAATGCCATAAACTCAGCTACGTTGGCTTTCCAATATTCTGACTCCAGTGACATTTTTAGTCTGCATAGGATGAAAGATGCATTCCAAAGAGTGCTGCCGGGACAGTGAGTAATCCTCCAAGTAGTTAGGGCTCACCTTCGAGCGTAGAAAGAATCGTGCTCATGGTTGACTAATTCCATAACGTTCTACGGGCCTCTCTTGTATCGGTTCTAAAAAGCAATACTTATGGTGTCCCAGGTTCAGATACAGGGTAGTCTAAGGAAATACATTTACGGAATGAAATCATATCCACGTTGAACCATTCATTATTTTTTAGGAGCATCAAGAACTGATACTACCAACGTCAACCTCGTAATGAATCCCAAATCCCCGTCCCCGAACGAGAACTTTTTTTTTCTGGCTTTTTCCCATTTTTCCCTCTCAAACCAGTAACCCAACTTCCTTGTCAATAGGCAAAGGACAAATAATTAAGGAGGCAACCATTCGACCAGCGCACAGTACCGCCTCCTAATCCTGCGGTGTGCGACTATCTAATTGTAATCTTTGAGCGTGAAAAAGTAGACAACCGGGTAACCACCTTCGAATCGCTAGAACGCCGGATAATGCTAGCATAAACAATCGTAAAATCAAAGAGTGAGCGAGGCACATAGTCCTACTCGAAACCTCCGGGCAAAAACAGAATAAGAAAGTGATAATACAAGGTAATAGAGAAGTGTGAAGTATGCTTTGATGATCTCCTGTGCCTGAAGAATCAACGCATAGGCTTAGACCTTGCGGAAGTCTGGTTGAACTGTCAACATGTGTCCATTCCAAAGGTGAAAAAGAGAAACATACCAGAAAGCACAGGGTAGATCAGCTCGAATGCCTGGTAGATCTCTTCACGGACCTTGGCACCTGTCAAGACAATCTTGCCACTGACGAAGATCAATAGAACAATTTTGGGCTTCATCATACGATAGATGAGACCGGGGAACAATTCAGGCTCATAAGAACTGAAATTGTGGTGACGACTGGCCAAACCTTCCAAACGAATGGGGAACTTGATGTCACAAGAGCCGACGATGTTCTGGATCTTAAAATCCGTGAACTTGGCGTTGAAACCAAGCTTCTGGATGATCCGAGCGTACTTCCTGGAGGCCAACTTGGAGTCATCTTCCGATTTGGCACCGGTGACGACCATTTTTCCGGACGCGAAAATCAACGCAGTGGTCTTCGGTTCTCGAATACGCATGATGACGGCAGCGAAACGCTAAGTCAGAGAAAACAAACAGTTCAGCCACACTGTACCCTGACGCATGAAGACACTTCAGGGAGGTGTGGAAAGTATACCTTTGGGTTGTACTCCGCATTTCTTGCGTGGAGTGCGATGGTTTTCAAATCCAAGCGACAGTCAAGGTTGACAGTTGCGACGATGTTTCTTTGAAAGAAGAGACATGTTCAGTATTCTGGTAGACCAGAAGAAGGAAAGCAAAAGAGAACAGCAAAAGTATACTCACTGCAAGGTAGGCACAATACCACTCCCCGGCGCGTTGGCACTAGGAGTCGCAGCAGGAGTTGTGGGCATCACCCCATTGCCGTTGACGGCGTGACCTCCGTGCTGCTGGCCATTCATCAATCCATTCGCACCCTGAGAACCCATCGCCATGACACCATCTTTTTCAGAGGATGGCGGGGTCGTCGCGTCACCCGCACCACCGGGGAAGGACAGGGAGGCGGGAGAGGTGAAGGCCTTCGCCTGATGAGCGTTCGAGGGATGAGTCGTGAGAGAATCCATACTCAAAGCCGAAAACCAGCCGAGACTGAAGAGGGATCAAAGATTAAGTTTGATCACACACGTGCAGAAATGCAAAAGTGGCAATCTGAGTCGAAGAATGTCAGTAAGACAGCTTCATGAATAGCGCCGTGGTCGGGAGGATGTGCAGTGATTCTGGAAGAATCGGTTGCGAGGGAGTGAATGTCGGGGCAGAAAAAATCAAAACAGCGCCATACCCTGTGAGGCGGTGGGAGATGGACAACTCAATGTCTCCCCCAACAAACAAGCAGGAGCTTTTGTTTCGTTTGAGGATAAAAATCAACTCGACTGAGACAGACAGTGATCCTCGATGCAAGAGAGGAGGATGGAAGTCCACGAAGGGAAGACAAGGAAGACGTCAGATGCCGACCGACGGAACCCGGAATAGGAAAGCAGCGGAAGTCGGAAAAATCACAGCCAAGTGTTTTTCCGAAAGATAGAAGAGAAGGGAGTGCTCAGAGGACAGAACGACAGGATGCGACAATAGAAAAGCAAGAACGGGGACAACCAAGTGAATATTTTTTTTTTTTTATCCCTTTCCAAAACAGGAAACCTGGGATGTTCTATCTGCAAAGTGAAGAGAGTGTGATGGTGGTAAAAGCGCAAAAAGAGAGCAAGACTTCCTGATTCGGTAAGTGTGATTACCTCTGCTCTTTTTTTTTTTTCTTTGTTTTTTTCAGCTTCTTTTCCTATACGTGGATAAACGTCTTCCCGACTGAACCCTTGAGATATTTCCTAAAAAGGGACGTGTAGTAGAGAAAGAGAGGGCGATGATGTATTCGCGTGGATAGTGTGTGGATGGAAAGGGTAGGGGAGGGGGCGGCGTTCCGGGAGTGCCAAGACCAGGATCAGATTCCAAAAAGGCGACACGAAAGTGGGAGGTTGGGCCTTTATATAGTCGTACTCTCCGAGCGGCGGGCCGGGGGAGGCGAAGCAGGCGTCAGGGGAGAAAAAAAAAAAAAAAAAGAAAAATGGCTGGGCCCGGGCGGCGGCGGCAAAAAAACAGCGTGCAGTGATAGGCGGTGACAATCCATGGGTCAGGTTTGAGAGAGAGCCGCTAGTGGCTAAGTGTCCTCTATGACTCATTGTGATTCGCCTATCCTTTCATTCAATTACCCGCTAGCCCCACCTGGGCTGTTGATCCAGATTCTCCATTGCTGGGCGTGTCTTTATTGGCTGCATATTTATTTTCTGTTTGGAAAATTTTTCTGGTCCAAACCAGGGTATGAATCACACTACCCAATCACAAAGCTGGCTTCTGTCCGCGTCGCTCCTGCAACCGACGCATCTCGGATCCACAAAACAGCCATTTGGACCAATAAAACGCGCGGATAGCTGTTCGCGGTACTTCTCGCGAAGAGTACGCGCCAACGGGGGTCTTTTTTATTTTTGCTTCCGTGTCCTTTCTGGCTTGGCATCTTCCCTGTTGTTCGGTGCATCTTCGAACGGTGTGTGTTGTCGTCATGGTAGCTTAATCTATCATCTGTTGAGTTTACGAGTATCAACTCGTTGTGATATAGACGTTTTCCCATCTATCTATTCTTTATAGCCAAGATAAGATGGGTACAGTGCTGACCGGGCCCGCGCAGCCGCTGCTCCCCAGATCTCAGACATTTTATGATCCACCGACTCGCAGGTGTCCGAACATATGAAATCATTATCGAATCTGGGGATTCTCTCTGCACAGTATGGATTTACTTCCATCAATTATCGTGTAGCACGATAGGCACATTAGCAATACATACGGGCATACTTATTACAAGCCATCACCATGCCATACATTTGCAATCGGCTTGCATTCTTCCATCGACATTGAGTATTGTAGTTATTGTGTATGAGCATAGAGCGTACTTTCATGCTAGCAAGGCTTATCCACGTGATTCCACTGTTGTACTCAATCACACTATCATGTGATCCTACGTTGACTACATTCGGTCATGAAGCCGGGGCTTACTATTGAACCGGTCTCAGTTGACAAACGGCGGTTACACTCGGGACTTCTCCAGACTTACTGGCAAGACAAGAAAGAAACAAGAGAAGAGGGGTCCTCCTCAGATCTCCGGATCAATCAGCTTGTGCACTGTTACTATGACCGTCATTTCCTCCGTCGGTACTCTGGCGGAATTACAGAAGAAGCCGCGGAACGCCTGGATAGCTACCGATTCATATCATCACACCTCTCATTGGCTCGTGGTGCTTTGGTAACCTCGGGTACCAGTGCTGTATGGCCGTGACAATACCATTACGCACGTTTTCGCCGAGTCGCCTCTGTACTTGGAGATAATGCTTCTTATTATTCTGGGGTTGCTCTATACTTGATCCTTTCTTCTTCTTCCTATTCTTAATTCTACCTTGAGAACAACGGGCTGTGTTGTGTGTTGAGAACTGCAGAGCCTACAGTCAACTTCCGCATCTTTATTACTCACCTTAGCTTTTTTTTTTTTTTACCCTTCGTCTTCGCCCCTCTGAATTGATCTCCCACCCCTCACCTCGAAATGGCGTCAAGAGGTGCTGTCCTCCCTCTTTTGAGGCGAGAATTACAATACTCCTCTCGAATCATTAGAGCTTCATCGTCCTTCTCAACAATCGCACGCCCTGCTCTAGCTCCGAAATCGAACACTTCTCTCGCTTCTAGACGGTCGATCCGTCATACCGCCCTCCTACAGGGACAGCACCAGATTCGAGCCTTTTCGCAATCGATATCCAGAAAAATCACAGATGAGGAGGGCCATTTCGATCCTCGCCAGGTGGAACGAGAATCAGATGAGGTCGACGTTTGCATCGTTGGTGGAGGTAAGTTATAATCTATGCCAGAGCAGAGCGTTCAGCTTTGCTAACTTATAATCTCCTTTCTCTAGGTCCTGCTGGTCTTTCGGCAGCAATCCGATTGAAGCAATTAGCAAACGAAGCTGGAAACGAGGAATTTCGGGTTATTCTACTGGAGAAAGCAGGAGAATTAGGCGCACATATCGTTTCCGGCAATGTTCTCGAACCCACCGCAATCGATGAGTTATTACCGGACTGGTTGTCGGAGGACAACCCTTCGCGGTTCGAAGGTGCGACACCGGCCGGGGATGACAAGATGCGGTTCCTGACCAAGAACTCGTCGTTTCCGATTCCGGCGCCCCCACAGATGAACAACCACGGCAACTACATCATTAGTTTGAGTCAGCTGACCAAGTGGCTCGGTGAGCGGGCAGAGGAGATTGGCGTGGAGGTTTACCCTGGATTCGCTGCCAGCGAGATTGTCTATAACCATGACGGATCAGTAAAGGGTGTCGCAACAAATGACCTTGGTGTGGGTCGCGACGGAAAGGCCAAGGACTCGTTTGAGCGGGGCATGGAATTCCATGCGCGTGTTACCTTGCTTGGTGAGGGTTGCCACGGGAGCTTGACGAAGCAGGTCATCAAGAAGTTCGACCTCCGGCGCGACAGCCAGCCTCAGACATATGGTCTGGGTGTGAAGGAGGTTTGGGAAGTTCAGCCAGAAAAGTTCCGACCGGGTGAGATCGTACATTCCATGGGATACCCGCTTCCCTCTGACACATATGGCGGGTCGTGGATGTACCACTTCGGTGACAACATGGTCAGCATCGGGTTGGTTGTTGGACTCGACTACCCGAATCCGTATCTGTCGCCCTATGGTGAATTCCAGAAACTCAAGCACCACCCGCTTTTTAAGGAAACTCTGGAAGGCGGAAAATGTATCTCGTATGGTGCGAGAGCCTTAAACGAGGGTGGTTTTCAGTCGATTCCCAAGTGCGCCTTCCCCGGCGGTGCTCTTATCGGTGACTCGGCTGGGTTCCTGAACCTCCCCAAGATCAAGGGTACGCACACGTCCATGAAGTCGGGTATGTTGGCGGCGGAAGCGACCTACTCAGCTCTGCAGGGTGAGACACCTGGCACCGTGTTCCTGTTCGACTACGAATCTGCGCTCCGGAACTCGTGGATTTGGAAGGAATTGCACGAAGTGCGTAACATGCGTCCGTCGTTCAATACCTCGCTCGGTCTTTATGGTGGTATCATGTACTCCGGGCTGGAGGCATACATTCTCCGCGGTAAAGGACCCTGGACTCTCAACCACCACAGCACGGACGCTGCCGCCACCAAGGAGGCATCGCAGTGCCAGAAGATCGAATACCCCAAGCCAGACGGCGTTCTCAGCTTCGATATCATGACCAGCGTCAGCCGAACCGGAACCAACCACGAGGAAGACCAACCGGTGCATCTGCAGGTGGAGGACTGGGACAAGCACAAGGATGTCGCGTGGCCCAAGTACAAGGGTGTCGAGAACCGGTTCTGTCCTGCGGGTGTGTATGAATACGTTGAGGACCCGAGCAAGGAGCATGGTGTGCGGTTCCAGATTAATGCGCAAAAGTGAGTTCTTTTTTTTTTTTTTTTTTTTTTTTAATTTTACCCTTACTAGACTATCTGCTAACAAAGAGAAGCTGTATCCACTGCAAGACATGCGACATCAAGGTGCCTACACAAGACATTAACTGGCAGACACCTCAAGGTGGCGAGGGACCGAAATACTCATTGACATAGCGCTTCGATACCCCGTGAGATGGTGTACATTCAACATTAAATTCTGTGTATATATATGTCTGCATTCAACCGGCTGAATTTATTGGGGAAATGTATTATTAACTGTGGTGACCATAAGCAGTAACTTAATCTGGTTCTGCGGGGCGCGAACCGTGGAAAGGACTGAGTAGTGCGATGTTTATCTCATATGTGTACATAGTAGACACCTGTAACAACGATGCGATCGCCGTTGAAGTCAAAAGTGAGGCGAAACAAGTCAAAAAGACCGTCTCCAGTCGCTGGTCGAAGCGTTGTTTTGCCTGGCGGTCAGCTGACTCGTTGGGTTTAACTTTCTTATCCTCTTCAAATTCTACTTGTACTCTTCTGAGTTGTTTACTTACACTCAAACACTGCTGCCCTTGTACTGGACTGTCTTACTATTAGATTTTATTGCTGTTGGTGTTTGTGCTGTTTGTAACTCCACCTCTTCGCTGGCTCTTCTCCTCTTCTGCACCTCCATGCGTGTGCTTTCCTGGACTCTTCTCACTAGGATCGATTTTCTCCATTTAAGGCCTTCTTACTCTCCAAGGTTTCTCTCGGATTCTTCTTTGGCCACCACTGTCATTCCCTGGATATATCCTTACCATTAACTGGACGCCATGACTGAGGTTTCTAACACTCGACTTTATCTCGGGAATCTTCCCCGCAATGGTATGCAGCTTCCACCACACACTACCATCATACCACCATCACCACCACCACCACCACTGCCAAAGGTCTATCCGTTCGGACTGAAATCCTTCCTGAAACCCCCCCCTACCCCCCAGTTAGCGCCCGGAATAGGATATCTGCTTCGCACACCTGGGAATCCTGAATCCCACTTGGACATCTGCACTCTGTTTGCGCGCGCGCGTACGTGCAGATTGATGTGAGGAGGGGCTACCTGCGTGCGTGATTGAGGGGCTTCCTTCAGGGCTGCCCCTCTACCAAAATGGATCCCTTTTGGGCATTCTTGCATGTTTTCTTTTTTCTTTTTTCTTTTTTTTTTTTTTTTTTTTTAATTATTGACTATTACGCTTATTATTCCCCCTTTACTTTGCTTTTTTCTTATACTTGCACAGCATCGGACTATGGGCGCTGTTGTCGTTTTTTTTTTTTTTTTTTTTTTTTTTTTTTTTTTTTTTGGACAGGATTCTTGTTTGGACCGCGTTGAGCTAACTATCGGTGTTGCCGTTTCAGTGACCAAACAGGATATCGAAGAGCACTTTGGCAGCCATGGCTCGGGAAAGATTACTGAGATCAAGCTCATGTCGGGGTTTGGTTTTATTGAATATGAGGATGCGATGGATGCGAGAGATGTTGTTCCGGGTAAGAACTTTCTGTTTACCTGTCTGGCTCGATTACAGTGACTAACTGATAGCTTCAGCGTTCCGTACGTACCAACTCAGGCCAGCCAAATTCTCTTACTACCCCTAACCAGACCTTAGACGGCAGTGACTTCAAAGGCGAACGACTCACTGTGCAGTTCGCGCGTGGACCTCGCCGTAAGGAGACCTTCCCTGGTGGCCCCATGGATCGCCCCGGTATGCCTCGTCCGCGTCGTACCGTCTATCGCATGCTGGTTTCTGGCCTTCCGGAAACAACTAGTTGGCAGGTTAGCAGCCCACGTCTCCTTGGATCTGGACCCTTTTCCCTGAGTTTTTCTGTTTGATGTCCGTTGTGTGTGTCTGTTTTTTTTTTTTTTTTTCCTGCTCCTGGAACCTGGTCGGATTTCTCCCATATTTCGCATCTAAATGGCCATTTTCAATAATCCTGGAACCCCTGGAGCAATCATAAGATAGTATCGGAAGTTCACCACCCTGGATTTCTTTTTTTGGACAGCCGTTTGAACCAAAGGGTTCAAAAGCTTGGAATTCCTTGGCCAACTGGAACGGATCATTTTGGATATGCCTTTTTGCTTTTTGTTTTGTTTATTCACATTCACCAGGATTTCCCAGCTGGCTCACACTTCTCTCTCTCTAGGACCTCAAAGATTTTGCCCGTCAATCTGGCCTTGATGTAGTCTACTCAGAAGCCGGACGTGAGTTTGGAAGAGGGTGGGTTACAACACATTGCCTCCAAGGAAAGGACCACATTAACACCAGACAAGGTTTGTTGAATTCGAAACCGCCAATGATCTGAAGACGGCCGTGGAGAAGCTCGACGGACGCGAGTTCAAGGGAGCCAGAGTGAACTGCGTCGCGGATGTAAGAGACCCCCAGGAACCACGGAAGCCAGGAAAGGAAATCCTCATCCCTCCCAGATTCAACCCTACCCCTACCGTGAACCCTACCGGGCCCGCTCCCCCCGCCGAGGCTACCCACCCATTGATGACTACGACCGGAGATTTCCCCATGCACCCCGAGGCTACAGCCCGCGCGACCACTACCGCGAGCGCTCTCCCATCCCCCTCCGCGGAGAATATTACGACCGAGATGGATATGGCCGCCGCACACCTCCTCGCCCCCGGATTGATGACTTCCCTCCCTCGCGCCGTCCCTATGATGAGCTCTATGATGCGCGTGCTCCGTTGCCGCCTCCGCCACGCTTTGATGATCCCTACATGGCACCGCCTAGGCCTTTCGGACGCCCGCGCTCGCCGCCCAGGGGTGCATACATGCCGCCTTATGACCGCCGGCCTTATTGGTAAATAGATTTCTTTTGCTACGTGAATCCGTCTAACCTAGACCCCGCTTACAATTGACAAAGATAAGATGATAAAAGTATTGCATGGCGGATACCCATCACTATGTTACGGAGTATGATTTGCTAGTTACTGTTCTTGTTTATTCCCGTTGGCTGAACAAAAGAATGATTCACAACTCTGGATTGGATATTACGGAGAGGGTCCACTCAATGTCGACAGCCTGGAGAGACGGGATCTTACGTGGATACGATTTATGGGTCTCCGATTTGGAACTGGATTTACCTGGGTTCGACAGCTACAGATATGTACGGAGTATTTTCGACTTTCCAATGGATCAATTTACGTTGTCCCCTTGGTCTATAGTCGATTTATCTAGGGCCATTACCTAAGGAGGATGTGGCCGTGTATCCCAGTTGTATGTGATTGGCTTTGCTGTAATCAAGGGTTGGTAGATGGTTGCACTCTGTAGACAACGTAGCCGGGCGTTGCACCATGTAATAGCACTGACAATTATACCCTAGCAATCAACGACCACAACAAGCAAACAATGACATTTCAGATTCTATATCTGTACGAAGTAACAAGCCGGGCTACCGTGCTACTTATTGTCAACACATACCTTACCAACCAATTTTGTTTGGAATTCTCGTACGGGAGAACGAATAAGACCTGTCTATGTATGATGATAAAATGACTACGGAAAGCGAGATAAAAGTCGACAATTGTACCTGTATATATTCGCAACGAAGCAAGCTAGCAATCTAAGAATATATACGCGCCACTGTAGCGTACATCCCCAAGCGGCGACACAGATCCAAACTGTCTGTAAAGACATAACAACAACCCTCAACCCAAACACAGATAGTCAATACAACCCATGATCCAACAAACTACTCGACGCCACGAAACTAAACCCCCCAAACGGATCACTCTCCATCCCATCCGCCCGACCACCAGTACCAGTCGGAACGCTCCCCCGCTCATCAATCCCACTTCCTGTAATGAGCGGAAGACCCGTGAAATCCGCCGAAAAATTCTCCGCGAGCGCCGGGTCCGTGACAACGGGGCTAATAGGCGCCTGTACCTCACGGCTCTCGAGAGCCCTCCAGTCGATTTTGCGGAAGAAACGGTGTTTTTTGATCGTCTGCAAGTCTTTGGGCATGTGGTAGCCGAGGCGTTTGGAGGGTTCTTTGCGCATGAAGCGAGTGAGGAGGTCCTTGGCATCTGGGCCGAGGAAGTAGGGGAGAGAGAGTTTTTGCTTGAGGATTTTCTCCTGAAGTTTGGTGTTGTTATTTGCTTTGAAGGGTGGGGAGCCTGTCAGGAGGTCATAGCCTAGTGCGCCGAGCGACCACCAGTCGCATGCTTTGCCGTAGGATTTGCCCTGGATGACTTCCGGGGCCATGTACTCGATCGTGCCGAGGGAGGAGTTGCAACGGCCGTCTTCGTCGGCGGCGACGATCTTGCTGAGCCCGAAGTCTGTGAGAAGGAGGTGGCCTTCGCGGTCTAGGAGGCAGTTTTCGGGCTTGAGGTCGCGGTAGATGACGCCGACGTTTTGATGCAGGTGTTCTAGGGCAAGCACCATTTCGGCCATGTAGAAGGCCGCCATGTCTTCATCGAACATGCGCTCCATGGCGAGGTGGGTGAAGAGTTCGCCGCCTAGGGCGTATTCGAGGATAAGATAGAGCATTTCGTGATCTTGGAAGGCATAGTAGAGCTTGACTACAAAAGGGTGGCGGTTTACGCTTTCCAGGATCGTGCGCTCAGTTTTGGTTTGCTCCACGAGTTTTTTGTGCACAGTGATTGAAGCCTTGCGGAATTGCTTCTGTGCATAGAGCTTCCCCGTCAGTCTGTGGCGCACCAGCAACACAGTTCCGAAAGAGCCTTTTCCAAGGCAGAGCAATGGCTCAAAGTCGTCCGAAGCCATCTTCCTGCACAGCTGGTTGCGCATGCTTGCCGCAGGGTCACCCTGGCTCTCCTCCGCCTCAGCATCAGGGCTGACAAAGTCATGCTCCAGAGGCACCTCATAACTTGTAAGAACCTCCGTCTGGTCACTGTCCGAGCATACACTTGCATTACTCGGAGTCTCGGAGCAAACACTTGGCGCGCTCAGGCAGGAACGGTTATCAGAGATCTGCAGCGAGTCAAGCTGCGACTTCAACGCGCTGACACCACCGCAGCCTGTCGTTGGCTTCAAAACAGGACTCGCACCGTTTCGCGCAACAGAAGGCGATCGCAAACTCGGGGCTCTGGAGCTGGCAGCCGAGATATCTGACGCTTCGTCGCCAGAGCCAAGAGGCGTAAAACCGCGGACCGTCGACAGCGCAGCAGGGACAGCATCGCATGGCACCTTTTTCTTCTTCTTACGGCCGCCTCCATTTCCAGCCAATGGGTTCGCATTGATTGCGGGAATTGGAAATGGACAGACGTTGGTTTCTTTGTTGTTCGCCGGTTCGTGTTGCGAACTGGTCTCGTCCACGGCGAGCTGGTTGTCTACCTGGGGCGTAAAGACATCGCCGACGGAGAGATCGTCATGAACCGGGATCGACGAGGAATGCATCATGTCCGTAATACGTCAAAATCTTGCGGAAGTAATCAAGAAACAGGGTCGTTAACCAAAACTGCCTACATCCAGCTCAAGTCAATCTAAATAATCAAATCGTCAGCTATTTAGCTTCTTGGAGCTTATACAAAGGCAAGGCACCAGAAAAATACATCCAATCTCGTAAGTGATCTGACCTTATAGGGCGGCGCGTGAGAGCACCAGGTATACACCACACCCTGTATAAAGCAGTTTACCGTCCGCCCTTATTCAGGACGGACCAAGGACCCCTACAAGGACCCCTAGCCAAACCGAGTCGTCGTTCTCCGACGATCCGCGCAGCCAGGCGCCGTTGGACGAAATCCGGGTGTCAGTCAATGCGAATGCGTCCAAGGAGGAGACCACTGCGATCTGGTCGTTCGAACCCGAGTCAATGGCCTGGGGAATAGCGGTAGGGGAGGAGTTGGCCAGGCAGCCAACGGAGAGCAGCAAAGCGGATGATGGAACCGAAGGCGAAGACTGGCACATAGAGGAGTGGGTTGTGGAATGTCGTATTGGTATATGGTGTGCAGAGGAATATACCAGGGGTATATAGACGAGAAGAGCACAGATTCTCCAGAGAAGCTGGTGAGAAAGAGAAAGTCAAGGGTTTCTTCTTTTTAGATAATTCTTTGTGTTGCGGTCGACACCCGCCAATCAGGGGGCGTATAACCTCAGCTGGACTAAGCCTATTTGGGGAGTGAGGCTGTCACGTGTCTTGGCCATTGGACATATAATTCCTCATATTTATGCTTATTCAGGACAATCATTGGCTCATAAAAGGCAAGAAAGGAGTCAGATATAGGGATAAGAGTTGTGCGGTGATCACATGCAAGGGTTGATATATTTACTCCGTATTCCGTGGCCTCACTTTGTATACATCTAATCAACTCCTGAAAAATGCCTGAGAGCGTGTTACTTCTACCCCGGATCTCTCCACAAACGCCAGTGCACTAGGCTTTTCCACCTTGACTTTGACCCTCTCATTCCCAAAGTCCACCGTCACAATGCGCGCGATAAAAGTCGCCAGTGCTTCGACTGTCTGGAAAGCTGTGCCCTCAACTTGCTGTGACATCCGTTAGCAAAAGTTCAAATCCCAATACCAGGGCGAAAGACAAACCTCAGCAACACCCTTTGTCAACCCCTCCCAAGTCCCAACCACCTTCTCCCCCCAAGCCAAATGCCCCGGCCCCCTAAACTCCAAGGAAATAATAACTGCCTGCTTCTCAACCCTTTCATGCGAATTCACCCCCAAAATACAATAACATTTGATCCCTTCAATCCGAAACTCCTCCTCCACCACGACAGGATACCGTCCCGCATTAGCCGCCACAGCCTCAGCACCAGCCCCAGGCACACTATCCGGCTTATACCCCCAGGCCGTCACACTGCGGTACCTAACCCCCTCCTCGGCGCGTAAATGCGCCTTGGGCAAATGCAACCACACCTCGCACTGCCCGAACTGCCCATCAACAGGCTCCGAGGCAGGGCCATCGGTAGCCAAAGCCGCTCTCGCCTGCGCCTGCGATCCAGCCGACGACGAGGCACTACCTCGTCGCCCACCGTGGCCGGTCTGCGTATGCGACATGCGGCGAATCCCTGCGGAGGTCTCGTCGAGTAATTTCAATCCGCAGTTCGCGACGATAGCCGCGATCAGACGTACATCTTCCTTTCCGTCGCCGGTGCGGATGTCCTCGTCCAGGCGGCGGTAGAGTTTGCCGTAGTCCAGGGAGAGCGAGACGTCATCTGCAGCGGCTGCTGCGATGGCGGAGGAGTAGGAGAGTTTGAGGGATGCGGTGCAGGGTTGGGGTTTACCGGGGCGATGCCATGGATCTGGGGCTGCGGGGAGGGGGAGGTGGATGGAGCGGAGGCTGACGCTGTCGACGACGGCGGGGAGAGGGGGGGTTTGGACGTTGAGCTGGGTTGTCATTGTGGTGGTTTGCTTGTGAGATAAATTGGTGTGGTGTTAGTGAGAGTAGTCAAGTGTTTCTGTGCGTGAGTGGAGGCGGTGGTGTCGTCAATATAGGGTCATTGGCGGTTGAGATTGAGTTGGTCGAGATGGGTCTGACGTCGTCGATACGAAGTTACTTTGTCACGGCACAAATGACACTTTCAATTCTTTCAAATATGAATCCAGAAAAATCAAAGTGGGGGAGCGCGGGGTGAAACATTAGTGATAAGATGCGATAAGACAACGTCTACCGAGTTGTATTCACGCCGTACAAAGCGAGATTTATGAGCGAAGATTATTCTAGCAATAAATGGTAGAGTAAGGCAATCTAATATCTATAAGAAAAATAGAGAATAAAAAAAGCTATGCCAGTATATATGCTCTTAATGAATCAAAGCTCCCCCTCTTCACTCCCCTCAGCTTCTCCCTCTTCCTTTTCCTCCTCCGGCGGCGGCGGTGGAGGCGGAGGTGGTGGTGAATGACCCCGGTACGGATACTGCCTGTCCCTGTCGCGGTCCCTATCGCGATCGCGATCGCGGCCTCGATCTCGGTCATGATCACGATAACGGTCTTGAGATCGATCTCGAGATCCCGAGTACCGTCGGTATCTATCATCTGAGTGACGACGCTCCGAAGGTAAGTTCTGCTGCACGATGTGATCGATTCGTTGCTGGACGGGGTCTGTTTCGCCTTCTTCGGGTTGAGGTTGGGTATCTTTGTAGTCTTGCGAGGGTGGTGCTAAATGGCCATTCGTGTTCATACTCGTAGATCGGTACTGAGAGGATGGTTCTGTAAAAGATGATGATTGTTGTGTGTCAGGCTCCGGCTCGATCGTTCGCTGTCGTTTAGGGGGCTGTCCCCCGTTCATCGGAGCTGGACTGTGACCCTGGTCGATTTGAGAGTCTGACTCAGGTTCTCTTGACCGTTTCCTCCCCATACTCTCTTCATTCAAAGGGTTGGCGTCCGGCCGCAAAATCCTAGTCTTCTCAGTACCCTCCTCGAAAGCCGTAACGGGTATGGTCGGGTAGTACTGGCTATGTCTCTGCATGGCATTATTCTCATACAACTGCGCCATGCGCATACAAGCGCGCCGCACCTCCCCCAAATCAACATCCAACTGCACCCACCACGGCTGACCAGCGCCATCATCCTTGAACCCAAGATCGCAATGGCGGGCTGCAGCATATAGCGCTGCTGCTGCAATAGTCCGCGCGCTGAACTGTATCGCGAGCATCGTGAACATGGAGTCGTTAAGGAAGGCCCACGAGGCATTGCGGAGGTGTTTGTGGTCCTGGACGCCAAAGAAGCACATAAAGTCGTAAAGCTGGCGGTAGGGTTGTTCTAGTTGCAGGTCGAAGCACAGTGCTTCTAACAGTATATCTTCGTGGTGAAGGATCGTGTCGCGCCATCTCCAAAAGTCCTTGGACTGTTCATCCACGATCATGTTTGGTTGCTTGAGCGCGACCCGGCAGCATGAAATTATAATCTCCTTCATCCGCCGGACTGTTTCTTCAACCTTCATTGCGAGGAATAACGACGTAGCTGCGATGTTGTAAGGATGCGCCCCGGGGTGTCGCGGGGTGTCGACCATGCTATGCCGCATGAAGAAGCGGTGCATGTACACTGCTGCTGTTGCGAGAGTGGGCTGTGGTAGTCTTAACATCATACCGACCTGGGTGATAAAGTTTACGCCTTTGCTGCGGCTTTGGTTTTCCGTCTCGAATTTCATTCCGTCAAGTTGGGAGGGTGTTCGTGTGAGCTCTTCGTCTGTGAAGAACCATTGCGATTGCGACGCGAGGAGGATCGGATTCGATGGACATGGGACGGGCCGCTGGTCGGGGTGGGGACGAGACGACGCCATTGCGAAGGCGTTTCCTTAATTATCTGTATCCAAGCAGCAACCAGAGGTAGAACGTAAGTGTCAGTGCTTTTGCCTCGTTCGCGTCCGCTCGAAAAAAAAAGTATCAAACGCGCGTTTGATGGTGAGGAAGTGGAAGGCGCTCGTTCCGTTTCCCTCCTCAACACTAAGACAATATATATTATCCCTTAAATTATATCAAGTAAACATGCTGGCCTTTCATTGCATCATGACCGGAGCTCGCGTCAGTGCCAGTCGCACACGACTGGTTCTTCTTAATCGTCGGAGGTCAGGATAGGTCGGACGAAGGCGGAGGGAAAAGCCGACGCGAAACTGCGGATACGCGAATCAAATGTGATTAGAAGTAGCTATAGATAGAAAAATATGTAGATTTAAAGATAGATTGGTCGATTTGTCGCGGAAGAGTTTGTTTGTCCAGTGGTGCTTTGCCAGTCTTTTGGCGAGGTCGAATGCGAGATGTCGGTTCGGAGAATTCTATTTTCCGATATAGTTCTTGCGATTTGATGAATACGGAGCACTAAATAAAAAGTATATATTCAACAGTATATTATTCAAGATCAGTAGAATAGGTACAGCATAATATAAAGTGGTATCATATGCCAGCGGATATCCTGACGCATCTATGCGCCATCCGCGGTCCAAACTCCGAATGGCGCCGTTGTTCATATATACTGTTGGTACAGTGAGGAACAAGAAGAAAATGAGATGCAAGGACATGGCTCGGAACCCAAAAAAAAAAAAAAACAACAGGCATTTCCATAGCGAATTATACACGGCTTACTCCTCCTCACTGACCTCGCTTTCATCGTCGCTGTGAGCGTGATATTGCTGCGATGCCGGTTGACTGTAACTATGCACGTTTTGTTCTTCCATTGCACTTTCTTCAAAAGCGGCTTCCATTTCTGCTGCCAGAGCATCGTCATCTTCAACTTCCTCTTCCTGAGCCGGCTCAGGTGCAGCCTGCTGCGCAGGAGCGGTATGTCCAGCAGGAGATGGTAGTCTGAGATCTTCCATCTCTTCACCGTCTTCATCGTCTTCTGCGCCATTCGAAGGCGTACCATTCGAAGAGAAATGAGCTGGATTGATATTGAAGGCAGGACGAGACGGAGGCGGCGACCCCATATCGATAATCAAATCTCCATCGATAATGATATTAGAACCTGGCGACGGAATAGCCTTATGCGATTCCAGGGCAGCAGTTCCTGTATCAGAAGGTGTTGATTTTGATTCGGGCTCTCCGAACTCCTCCACTTCGATTTTGGCCTCGGGCTTGGGGCTTGGCTCCGGCGGTGGTGGCTCTTTCTTCTTGGTAGGTTCTGCCTTCGCCGTAAGTTCTGTTTTCTTCTTCGCTGGCTCGGTCTTCTTTTGTTGGGGAGGATTGGTCAGGGTGTTTGGTCGCGGCCTAGGGCTCGGGGCACGTTTGGCAGGTGCAGGTATCGACAGAGTATCGGGTTTGCTTATAACCTGGGGCTCTGGGGTAATCCGATCAAACGAAGACTTTTCTTTTTCATCGTCCTCATCACCGGCCTTGGGAAGGAAGTGTCGGAAATCGTAGGGATTGCTTTCATCCGCAGGGCCATCTTCATCCTCGTCGACACTTTCAGGCACCTGCTCATCCCCCGACACTTGTTGATCCTCCTGTAGAGTCCTGAGCTGTTCATATTGTTCCAGTACCTGTTTTTCTGTCTTCGCTGGGGCCGATCGAAGGTTGAAATTCAACCTTGTTACGACAGGCTCCAGGACGAACGCTTTGCGATCCGAATCGAACACCAGAACATAGTCTTCCACTTCAGACTCCTGTATCGGATCCACACTACCTTCATACAAATACGTCAATGTATTGCTCTCCGTGCTCTGCGGCTTGTCGGTGATGGTGAGATTATAAAGATCATTGGATTGCGATGAACGGGTGACCGTCGATCGCTGCTGTGGAGTCGCGGATTTGGTCTTGTAGTTGTAATTGAAATTGATTAATCGTGATTGTGAGAAGTTGTCTTGTCCGGTTAATCTGCCACCCAGAAGCACTGGGTATTCGGCCTGTTTCGTTGGGTCGATCATACCGCCGGTCGGTATGGCGGAGGTGGCCATTGAGGCGGTTTTAGGACGAACTCGTAGAGGATAGGAGGAAAAGGAGGATTAAGGTCTTGGAATCGTAGTCAGGGTAATATTTCTTCTATATAATCCGTGGCGACTAGGAGGGCCGACAGACTAGTCGGTAGCATGCAAGGAGAGACGTCACACGAGGAGAAGACGGAGACCGGAGGAACGAAACTGACCACAAGATGAAAGAATACACATAACAAAAGACCACAAACAAGGGCGCAAAGCTACTCTAACATAGCATCGGCCAAGGTCTGTCCTCAGCAGCCTTGTCTCCGGACGTTGGTGAGATGAAAGAAAGAAGAGGAGAAAAGAGAGGGAATGACGGCGGTCGGTCCAGACAACGCTGAATGATCACTCCCGCCACTAGTACCTCATATGGTTAGCGCCCCCGAGGCTATGATTCCCCGTTTTAGAAACCGATAATCAGATTGTGCTGTGCTATTATATCGTGTCATTATACATATAAAATATCAATCCATTGTAAGCATCAGTGGACGGGAGATGCAGATCGCAAAGTTCCTCCAGGGGACCCTGCAGTGGAGTTCCCGCCGGTCAGCTGCTCTAGGCGCCCTGCCAGAGCCCTATGCTTTCTCATCACTTCTTCCCATTCGTAGACAATACTATCTTCCTCATTCTCGTCCTCAGTATCGGTCAACTCCGTCAGAATCATACTGAAATCTCCTCCAAGGCGCCCCAGACTAGCCGCGCAGTACAAGACCTGAGTTAGAAGACTTTCCCGTGTAGTCTTGTTCTGAATATTTGGTAGATATGTACGTAATGTGTCCGTTAGCAGTTGAACGAGATGCATTGGAAAGGTGGACAACGCTGATGGAAGGCATTGTAAAGGATCCCCGGGGCGCGATTGTCGCGACGATGCCATTTTCGCCCGCGCATCGAGTCCTCGTAAGCCCGCGGTGGCCAGGTCAGGTTCGGATTGGTCGGGAATGAATATGTTTTTATACAAAGAGACAATCGCAAAGCTCTGCTCACGGAAGATCTCAATATATCGTTTCAAAAAACGTTCTGTCTGCTGGCCCTGGCCACCTTGCTTGTCTGCATTGCGTGTTCGGCGTTGCGTTTCTTGATCTGCGAGTTCTCGTAAGGGATCCAAGGCCTCTAAAGTCGATACCAAGTTTGCTAGTCTGCAGGTCAAGAAAAGAGCACCCAGCGCCCCCTCACTTGAGCCATTTTCTCCTTCGCTGTGCAGATTCTCCAATTCTGGCGCTACCCGTCGCAGCCAACCCACTGTCCGCATGGCAGCTGCAAGCCGAAGATTCTGTGCTCGCAAGCTTGTGATAAGGTTTGTCGTCATCTCTTTCATTGCATCCTCGGCCTGAACAGCCACATCTTTCACCAGAGGGGAATCCGGATATAGAGTTTGCAATCGCTTAATATGTGTGTAGAGGTCCAACGCAGACGAATATGTTGTAGACGATGAAGCACCTGCAGTTCCCGATGCTGCAGCTGCCGACACAGCCGTTGATAGTAATGTGGGTAACTCTAAGATATCCGAGAGACGGTCAACGTTCCTCGCCAGCTGCATCGCCTTCTTCCGCCGCGTGAGCGCAACATTCTCTGCCGTACGACTATATTTCGTCGAGAACTGGACTGCCTCTTCATCGAGTTTTGGAATTGCAGCTTGGAGCCGTCGTGATTCGCGTGTGAGCTCGGGGATCGAGGTACGAAGATTTGAGAGGTTATCGGCAGAGGTGATGAAGACTTTATGGGAGCGATTGGACAAAGCCTGGAGGGAGAGGAGCGTTGAGTGGGAGGACTGAGCTAGCGATTGTGTTTCTGTCGTCGCCAAGGATTCAAGGGAGAGTGTAGTCAATCGGTTCAGGTATCGAGATGTAGTCGCATCTTGTTCGGGGGCGCGGGGCCGGGATAAAGTTGTTGTCGGACTTGTCGAAGCCAAATGCGGAGTCAGTAGTTCGTACAAGGAGTCATCCATTGTGTGCACTCTCTTCTCCCTCCTGTATGTTTCTTTATGACGTCAAAAATAATTGGTGGTGGTATCTGGGGCTGGTCGATTGAAACGGGCCAGATTGGAGCTTCCGCCTTGCGATAGATTACGTACGGCGGTCGTTGCGGCCATTGGTGCAGTACCTCCGAAGTTAGTAGTGATGAACAAAATTCCCAGTAGACATACTTTCCAACATTCAATTTGAGGATATACCAGGTACAGAATTAAAGATACATTATTAGAACAGGTCTCCTGCTCGGGTTACCAAGTTATTTCTAGCCTCAACCGCATTCTCGAATAGGTAACCTGGAGAAAACGTTGCTTTGTAATGCGCCCAATCGGGATGGCCTCAGATCACGGGCGGTGCTAACCCAATTCAGTAATTGTCAGGTACCTTCAGTCGTTTGGCCTCATCGATTTCTTTTCTTCGTCTCCTGCTTTGTTTCTTTCGCGTGGCCACCGATACTCTTCAAAAGGAAGAGCAGAAAAATACTACAGTGGATGTTCTGAGGGAGCTCCTCTATAATAGAATTTGACCCCATTTCAAGTCTGATATCAACCATGGGCAAGCCACGGGTGAGTTCGGGCTCCTATCTCTGGCTAAATCCCAACTAACACATCTCTCGATAGATGATCATTTTGATCCGCCATGCTCAGTCCGAGGGAAACAAGAATCGAGAAATCCACCAGACCGTCCCCGATCACCGGGTAAACCTCACGCCCGAAGGGCATCGACAAGCCCATGAGGCAGGTTCCAGACTACGCGAACTTCTGCGACCAGATGATACGCTACACTTCTTCACGTCACCCTACCGTCGAACGAGAGAGACCACGGAAGGATTGATGAGCTCTTTAACCTCCGATGACCCTTCTCCGTCGCCGTTCCCGAGACACACCATCAAGGTGTACGAAGAGCCCCGACTGCGTGAGCAGGATTTTGGTAACTTCCAGCCATGTTCGGCAGAGATGGAGCGAATGTGGTTAGAAAGAGCGGACTATGGACACTTTTTCTACCGGATACCTAACGGCGAGTCTGCGGCGGATGCGTATGACCGAGTGAGCGGATTCAACGAGTCTCTTTGGCGGCTATTTGGGGAGGATGATTTCGCTAGCGTTTGCGTATTGGTCACCCATGGTCTCATGACCCGAGTATTCCTCATGAAGTGGTATCACTGGAGCGTTGAATACTTCGAAGACCTTCGCAACATCAACCACTGTGAGTTTGTGATTCTGAAGCTCAACCCGGACAACGGGAAGTATGTGCTGCAGAATAATCTGCGCACATGGTCTGAGATGAAAAAGGAAAAGGAGTTGGAAATACATCAAGAACGAGCTTCCAAGGGACTTGGCCCTGCACCTATTTCATCGGAACCACCTGTTCCCGCCAGACGCAGATGGGGTGGCTGTCCTGACGGATGTAATCACGGTATTCGCAGGAGGACTTCTACACGAAACCCACGGCCAAACGGAGCAGATGCAATGCGTCATGATCATCACGAAATCCACAAAAAGATTCCCGACACGAACGCCCTTGACCCAGCCCAGGAGGCTACTGCGAAAGTTGAGCAATTAAAAGCAGCAGAACACCCTCCAGACGCGACAAACCCTGACTCCGACAATGACAATGACAACGGCCATGAAAGCCACACAACCTCCAACCCCAAATCAACCACTACCACCAACCCCGAAAACCAACGACCTAGCCTCTCACACTTCCATCAAGACAGCGAAGACAGCCTCCTTGACCGCCAACGCCACAATCTAGCCCTCCTCCGCCTGGGAGGCCGCGATGGCGGCGGCTCAATGAGCGGTTTCAACAGCCTCAACCCATCCGAGGATGAGCGCGAAGAACCCACCCCTCTAAAGATCCTCCCTCGACAGATCTCCCACCAAGCCAGACCATCTCAGGACATCGGAAACGACGGCGACGATGAAGGGAGTGAAAGCAAGCCGGGACTACAACGCTTGCGTCGTGCCCGCTCGCATAACCACCACCACCATCACCATCACAATCACTTCATTTCCAACATCAACAAGCGCAATTTAGCTGTGAGAATAGGCGACACCCTCGGTGACCGGGATCCTGAGACAGATGACACGGATCATCTACCTAATGGCCGAGAAACATCCCTCGAGCCTGAACCGGAGCCGGAGGGAGAACCGGAAAATACGACTACGGATGAGCGGATTCAAGAACAAGAGAACGAAGACGATACCTTCGAAGCCGAGCGACGCAGGGACCAGAGTATTCGGGGAAGTGTTTATTGATAGCTTGGCGTTTTATACTGCATTTTCCGTACATACCTGCTTCTAAGTTCGATCTAATTATTAATGACTGACGACACGAATGCAAAGATATTTGACGTTTTCAATAAAAGGGTGTATCCCGTTGATTACTCTGGCTTAAATTACCCAGGGGCGTTGATCTTCTGGTATACGTACGGAGTATACGTCGACTGATTTATCTCAAACCATTGCCAATCTCTACTTTCTACGCAAACAAAATATGGCTCTAGCAAATCACAATGTAGCATGTTTTCAATCTAATATAATCTATCATTTCATGAGAGCAAGCAAACGAATGTATAGTATTAGGGTTAATCAACAAATAACAAGCAAAACAATAGCTTTGTCAACTTGTTTAATCAAACCAAGCAACATGGGAACATAACAAAAGATGAAACAGGGTATCAAGGAGCAGGTAACAGGTAACAGTCTGGATATTAGCCAAGCGTCTTTACTATAGAAATCAAGGAACAAAATGATGGGACCACAGTGTGAAAGGAAATAATTGTTCTTCCTTTGTTTTTTTTTTTTTTTTTTTTTTTTTTTTTTTTTTGCTTGGTTTCTATAATGAACAGATGAATGGACAAGATCAAAAGGTATTAACGCCATGGCACTGGAAAATGTATAATTGAAGAAGTATAGTACCAATGGGATGGAGGTCAAAGAATCTATCAGGAAGGAAACTGTCAGGCGGAAAGCCAAATCCAGGGTTATGAGAATTAAAAAAAAAAAAAAAAAAAAAAAAAAGCAAAAAAGAAGAATGGAAACAGGTAAAATCGTGATCGTCATAATTGCGCTCCCAGGAAAGGCCCCAAGGGTCCGAAGAGGCGCTTCCGGAAAACAGGACACGAACGGAACCTGCGAAGAAGAAACAGAATTCGGATCGAGTCGGGGGAAGAAAAGAAGAATGACATGAAAGCCATATCATAAACACATGGAGAAGAGCTGCGGCAGGCTTTGCGTGAATCCCGCTGAACGGGAACGAAACACAAAAAAAAGGGGGAGAAAAAAAAAAGTGTTTTTTTTTTCTTTTTCCTTCTTTTTTTTTTTTCTCTTTTGTCAATTTTCGCTTCGCGGACATTGCCAAAAACACACAAGAATACTTTTGTCGGCCGACGCGGAGAGGCGCGTTGGAAACCGTAAATGGAGCAAAAATGCGGAAATAGTCACAGAAACGGTAATTGAACAAGAAAATCGGTATCATCGAAGCGCAGACAATAGAGGACAAGAAAAAGCATAACCGAGATATCGAAAGAATTTTAGTTTCAGATAGAAAAGAATAAACGAAGAAAGCACGATCAGCAATGAAGTTTACCGTTGTAAGCGGTAAGCTATCAAAGAAGCAACATGTTAAGCCATAATCGGCTGCATTGCGCCAAAGGCGTTGGAGAACATGTACTGATCCATTTGCTTGGCACAGTACATGCAAGCGCAGGATGAACCGTGTCCAGTCCACACGCTCTGAGCAAACGGCAAACCGTAGGAAGGTGTATGATGATAGGACGGGACTTGCGATCGCGACGTCGACGGTGGCAGATACGATTGTTGAGGCGGCATCCACGCGCGCGAGTACGGAGCATTCGTGTATGCCCAAGGGTTGGCGGAGTAGTAATCAGGCGTAGTCGGGCCACTCTGAGGAGCAGATGGCGGCGAATACTCCGATGCCGTCGGGTTGAGCCACGAGTTTTCGAGAGGCGAGCGCCGCTGGTATTGTGGGGGAATAGGACCTTCGGGCGACATGAGAGGCTGTTTGTTGCTGCTGCTGCTACGGCTGCTATTGTGGCTGACCATGGGGCCACGAGTGATATTGGTGTCAATGGGTGCCAGAACGGTACGCGACTCCTGAGCGCGAACGGCTGCTTTGGCACGCCATGTTTTCCAATGCAAAAGCCACGAGTCGAATCCATCTTGCTTGTCGTGGATCCGGTCATGGATCTTCCACTCGAACGCAAAAAGCCAGTCGAGTTCCATAGAGTTCAGCTCCGCCACGGGAATGTTGCTCACCTCGGCCCACGATTTGTTCTGGAAGGTATTGTCATCCAAAAACTTGCTTCCCAGCAATAGCGCAACAGTGAGCATGCGGTAAACCTGGCCACTGCCTGCCGCGTAGACCTTCTTGGCAGAGAGCATGCGCATTCTGCAGGCCAAGTAATAAAGTCCCAAAAGGATGGTGGAGCTGGGAAGACGGGTCGAGGACAAGATCTGATAGACGTATTTCCGAAATTGAGGTGGGACCGAGGTTCCTGGGCAGACGCTTCGAGCGAAGTCAATATCAGATAGGTTGATCTTGGTGATGTACAAATCATACATTCCCTGGGCCATCTCAGCCACAAAGTCGGACATCTGGTCCATCTCGTAGTCCAAATAGGCGGCGACACCTCCAGTGGGCTTTTCCTCCTTCCCCAGTCGGTCCGAGGGCGCCATCATGTCTTGTCGACCGTACTGCTGCGAGATCGCGTTCTCCATCGGCGGGAGCTGGACGTTGTTCCGGATGGGGGGCAGCACGTTGGCGGTGGCCATCGGACCGAACATGGACTGGGAGAACTGGGGGGCCATCGCGGGATGGACAGCGGCAGTGGCGGAGGCCAGATCTCTGGGATGGGCGGACTGCGCGTGCAGGTTCATCGGACCGGTTTTCGCATAACCGGTAGACTGAGAGTACTGTTCGATGAACTCACAACCGTTCTGAGAGTAACGGGGTGGGAACGCAGACTGTCCGACCACGTAGAAAGGAGGTTCATTTTCCATTCCAGCACCACTGAGGATGTGAGGAGGAGTAGGGGGCAGGCCCTGGAGGCCCGGGGCGAAGAACGACGGCATAATGGCGAGGGAGGGGGAGATCGCCAGTTCAGGACGGGGCGGTAGACGGATTCTAATAGAGCTTTTCTTTCGTAAGTATATTGAAACAATTGCAATTGGAGGGATGATAAAAAAAAAAAAAAGAAAGAGTACCAACCGTCTACACGTCCGCCAGGCCCTGATCCTGGGAGGAGGGAAGAGCGTTGCTCAATGAGCCGCGACTCTGTCTCTTTTCCAGTGAATGTCTCTTTAACCGAAAAACATATGGGGATGAAGAATTCAACCACACAGATCGACTGAAGACGACGACGCAAAGGAAAAAAACAAAAAACAAAATATAAAGAGTGAAAGTAGCGGTCGGAGGCAAGAAGCGTTTCTTTTTTTTATTTTTTTTTTAAAAAAAAATTGATTTAGCGTATGCGAGAAGCTGCGTGTGGCTCTCAAACGGCGATCGTTTGGCGCGATTGGTGTGCCCTTGCCGACTTTTTCTTTTTATAACCGACGCGTATGGACGGAGGGCGGACGGACGGTCAGCGAACTCGAAGACAATTGGCGACGGTGAGAGACACGAAAGAAGCAAATTCGTGGCAACTGGAAGTAAAAGGGAGATAAGACGAGAATAGATTGGTGTTGTTTTGTGCTGTTCTATTGCTCGCATCAACCAGTGTGTTGAGGTTGGTGAAAACCCCCGACCACGACAGGCAACGACACTTAGTGAAAAGCTCGTTGAGTGCGGGAAAGGAAGAGAGGCGGAGAGAAGAGGAGAGAGAGAGGAAGGAGATGAAAGAAGAGGCAATACTCCGTCTAAGTGAAGAAGACGAAGAAATGAAGAAAAAAAGGGTTGGAGAGAAAAGAGAGGAAGAGGAGGGTTGGAGAAGAGGAAGAAAAGAAGAGGATGGAAGGAAAAGTGGAGGAGAACGAAAAAGAAAGGAGAAACGGTTGTGATGCTGTATCGGCATTACAGGGGTAATTACGGTATGCAGCGCCTTACTAATTCACATTACTCTGTATTAGTCTTTAATTGACAGTACCCTAGTACTCCATCTATTATCTAGATATTATTATGATTGTGTATTCGCACAGAATTTATTATAAACATCTTCAGTACTGTCAAGTACAAATAAAATACACACCCGTACCGAACCAAACCAGCAAATCCGGCCCAATCAGTCTGGACCCTCGCTTTTTTTTTTTTTTCTTTTAGTCGCCACAACAGCGGCTCTAACAGACATGGTCCTACAGGCCAAGAAGACAAAAAAAAAAAAAACAGTACATAGCATCACATTACATTACTATTAATTCTATTAGTAGTAAATAATATCTTCATGTCTGACTCTCTGACTCCAAACAATTGGAATTTATGGCTGTGCTATTATTGCCCCTTCACACCGCCCTCGACTATGATTCTAGCCCCAATCACGTGGCTGTCACATGTGATGACAGGCGACAGTGTACTTGTATAATATATATAGTATAGTAGAGATAGGCATAACAGTGATTGAATGCCTGTTTTGTCCTCCGCTTGCTACTTGCTTACTTCTACTTCACCAGGAACGCTGAGCGGATCTTGGCCATAACATAACCAACAATCTAATACGAGAACCAACTGAACATTAACACCATGTCTTACAGCTATCCCCAAATACCCCAATCAATGTTAGACTAGAACAGAGACCTCGACAAAGATCTATCTGCCGTACAATACAGTATTTCGTGTGAGAAAGACCCTCTTCACCCTAGCTGTCCTCGACCAATCTATATCAGTCAACAAGAAATCAACAGAACGAGGAACTCCTCAAGTCTGCCGTACGCGCATCCCAGGAAGGACATATGAGCCCTGAGAACGAACAGCTTGTTAAGAAAACCACCATGCATTTTCAAAAACAACAACAACAACAACAACAACAACAACAACAACAAAAAAAAAAAAAGAAAACCCTACGTGTCTGTGAAAAAGGACTCAATGTAAGCTTATATGGCTTGTATGGTGGACAAACAACACTACCATAGCCCCAACCCATATCGCAGGAAGAGAACTACACATTGTATCCAGATTCCGCAGGTGTTGGTCTGACGGGGCCATGCTGCTGGATCCCATTGCAAGGCGCATCAATCCCAGAAGATATCTATTGTGAGAAGATCTTGGCACCATACGGCACAAGTTTCCGTCTGAAATAGGCATCCGCATCCTGACCTCGGGATTCGCACTTCTAGTCTACCACAACGTTGATGATATACGCACGGGCTGGAATGGTGGCGTGCCAGAATCCCTTGGAGGAATGTGTGTCGGGTATATGGTCAAAACGCTCAATCCATCAGTTGCTAACAAGCAGGATACCGGGTACTACCTTGTAGCACTCGAACATATGGTTGGAAAACCTCTTGCCCGTTTCCGGTTACCTGAGGAGTACAGTGAACTAACGGACGTGAATGTAGCTAACGAATGGGCTTCATACAAAAATGCCCTCGACAGACCCAACCATGCACCAGAGAAAATGCAAAAAGCCGTCGTCAAAGGTGTGGAATACCGTTGGAATAAACCTGACCGATCTCGCTCATCTAGCGCAAGTCTACTCTGGAGGACGAGCCATGAACCGTTGCCATCTGTCGCATGTGCGCAGCCCAGTAGTATTCTGTGCCTTGGAAAACCAGGTGAAGCCGACATGAGGCCAGTTGGCTTTCAGAACTACGAGTTTCCAATTGGCAAGTGGCCTTTGCGTGGTGATAAACAGCGATCAAAACCAACCGGTAGCACCAATGCTGGTTTTTTCTTCCCACTGATGTCAGAAATACAGAAGTCGTGCTAGAGTTGACGGAAAGACTGAAAACGCTCTGATTTTACTGTATTGCTTGGAGGTTTCATGCTTCTACCAACTCTTAGTCCTAATTTCCAATCAGTTAACACTCCATGCACAAATCACTCAATAGGGCTGAAAAAGTAATAACTATTCGTATCGACTAAAAATGAGTCACTCAGCTCAGGCGAACAAATACACTAATTCCTACCCGATCCCCCATCCAGCTGCATACATACACAAGCAAAGCTAGAAAACAACAGTTGGATGATATACAAACACGTCAATCCGTCAGCAGGTACCAATGTACCTACTACTGCATACTCACTAAGCTAGAAAATTATTATTACACCGAGGACCGTATAGGGTGCTTGCAGTGTAAGTAGAGAAAGTGGGGGAGTCATTCCCAATCAGCAAACACAGGAATATTCCTCCGGACTCCGTGCTCTAGTTCAAGAATGACAATGGCATGGATTTGACTTGATTCATAATCAATGATACGTACCCGACCTCAACTCCAACCCCGCCAACATGTTGCACTGTACTGCATGCACAGGCACTAAGTGGGTTGGATGAATGGATGGCCTGCGGCATATACTTGTACGTTGTACTGCTGTTCAAGTACCCCTCATTTTCAACTCTCTCGATTCTTGTTTTTCTTTGCTTTTTTCTAGTCTGTTGCCACCCTACATAAGAAAATAGTTCGCGGTACGCCCATACCTCGTGCTCGTGTCTAACCGCTCGTGTCAGATCCTGGTGATGACATTGGCAACGACAACGGTAATCTGTAAGACTGTGTGACTGTAACTGTGGCTGTTACTGTCATCGGTTATCGTCGGTTTTCTAAACCCCAAATGCCCTGCGGCACCAAGCAAGGTTCGGAGTGATGCGAGTTGCTCTACAGAAATATATCCCACGGATGATTCAGGCCCGATGAAGGTGCACGTGCAATACTGACTCATTTTCATGCTGTGTTGTCTATAGACTAGCCTATAGCCTAATAAATCCCATAAAAATTCTTTATCGAAATAAAAAGAAAAACGAAAGCTCCCACATGCGCATGGTTAAGGCTCAATGCCAGAACAAAGTGGATATCATGGTAATAGTAAAAGACAACAAATCACTAAAAGATAGAAGAAAACAAGACAAATCATACTCGTGAATTCGCCGACGACCCCGAACGAAAACGAAACAAACTTTTCTCTCTTGCTTTTTTTTTTTTTTTTTTCCATTCCGTATTTGCTTTCCGATATATGTAGCCACCCTGTTTCAACACCAGTCCAGCCTCTTTGTATCGAGATGTTCCCAAAAAAGACACAAGAAAAAAAAGAAAAAAGAAAACTCCTTGAAACGCTCGTAATCATGAAAAAATATAATTCCCAATTCGTAATTCGTTTAATCGGAACCGAACCGTCCGCCGCTAGGTGTATTCCGTAGAAACCGCTATATTTTCTTTTGCCTGACCCCTACCCCTCAAGACTACCAACCAGATTCCGCAGCGCATCATAGATAACCGCCTCATCTTTAGGCTCTCCCCCAGGGAACGAGCTCTCTGCGGCATCGCCTAGAACACGAGCACGCGCACTTCGAAGCACCTCACGGATGTAATTCTTGTCATCGTAGTCTTCCATGAGGACAGCTTCAAAGTCGTCAATCGCTTTACCAGCCCGCTCTTTGAAGGACATATCTTCTTCCAAAGGCCCTGTATTTGGCTCTGCCGGGCCGGCATTGAACGGCGGTGGCTGCTGCTGCGGCGGCGGCGGTGGCGGCGGCATAGGTGGAGGACCTGGGTTAGGCGCGAATCCCTGTGGCTGGTGGTTCATCATTGGCATAGGAGCGGGATTCTGTGGCGGGGGATATGCAGGCTGGGGATGTGGCTGCGGTGCCTGTTGGTACTGCGGTTGTTGAGGTGGCTGTTGTGGTGACTGCTTTTGTTGTTGCGGCGGCGGCGGTATGTGAAGGGGCTGCGATTGTTGGTGCGACTGCTGGAATTGGGCCAGTTGCGGTGGAGGATCGAATGCATAGGGAGAGGTGTAGGTAGTAGGCACGGTTTGAGCAAACGCACGAGGAAGACTGTTTCGAATAGGACTGGGAATTGAGAAAGGTGCAGGTGTCGGGGCTGAGTTGCGAGCGGGTGCAGGTGCAGGTGCTTGAGGGGGTTGAGGAGGTTGAGGAGGTGCAGGTGGAGGATATGGACTTGTGTGTTGAGGTTGGGGTTGAGGAGCAGACGGAGGAGCAGTAGTGGGAGTAGGAGCGGGGGCGGGAGCGGGAGGAGGTGCTGGAACCGAATTTGAAACCGGTGCCGGCGTTGAAGCAGGCGCAGAAACTGGAGGTGGCACTGGCAGCTGTCCTGGAGCAGCCGGACCCTGTGTAGGAGCTGGCGCGGGACTTGGACTTGGTCCCATTGTCTGCTGCGGTGCTGGAGGCTGTTGTGCTGGTGCTTGCGGCGGGGGCGGAGCGGGAGCCGGCGCTGGAGCATGAACAGGAGGACCTGGTGCGGGTGCCGGCGCCGGCGGAGGCGCGTACGGACTGGGTGCCATCGACGGTGGGAATTGAAATTGTTGATTGACCATGTTCGCCTGGCCATTCGCAGCACTTGTGTACCCCGGTGGCGCCATGTACGGCTGGGTAGGCGGGACAGGGGTATGCGACGATGGCGGCGGCGGCGATGGACGTCTCTTCTTTTCCTTTTCAACAGACGCTCCAGGCCGGAGTTGCCATGACCATCCCTTGCCATCTCGCTCTGCATGCATGAACAGGTGACTGTTGCCGTTCAGGTTGTGACGGACACTTGATGTCCAACCCTCCGTTTCGCATTTAAACCGGAAATATGGGTATTTCAACTTCAACGCACGGTAGATCTGCTTGAGCGTCATTGGTGTTCCAGCATCCGTCAGAGCATCAAAAATAAGCACAGCATAGTTGTATGGTGGCTTGGAGAGATCCTCGGGCGTGTAGGCAGACTCGGGAGGATAGTTGGGCGACGGTGACCGTGATGGCTTGCGCTTCTTGAGAGGTGGGACCTTGATGAACTCCTCCGGACGCTGCTCCACGGAAAATTGGTTGCCGCCCTCGGTGGACGGAAGGGGCGTATCCATAAGCGTGCCGTCCGCCTTCTTCCTCTTGGTATACTTTCGCTTTTCTGGTTTAGAACCTGGCGATTCGGCGCCACCGGTCACGGGAGCACTAGGAATAGGAACAGCAGGAACACTAGCAGACACAGCACCCTGGCCACTGGCCGCACTGATGGAGTCCCGAGGACCGGCAGGGGTCTTGCCAGCCTTTGGTTTGTTCTGAGGAGGTGGAGTGACTCCACCGTTAGCTTCGCGTTTTGCGGCCAGCTTCTGCTCTCTAGCAAGTTCCGCACGTTCTCTTTTAGACATGATCCCATCCTTGGGAGGCCGCCCTGGTCCGCGACGACGCGCAGGCTGTTGAGAACTATCACCTTCAATCGACGACTGTATTTGTTGCGAGGGGTCAGTGTCCTTGGTCTTAAGAACAAGTCGTGCCGCCTTCGAGGCATCCTTCTTCGATGCATCGCTCCCATGATTCTCGGTCCCGTCTGCATTAATGTCTTCGACATCAAATGCGACAGCATTTTCGTCATCTTCCATGTATGGTTCCTCCATTCGTTCGGCCCCTGTCTCGCCAATGGGTACGTCAGGAAGTAAAAAGCGGATGCGCACACCTCCAATCTGGATGTAATCGCCGCTATGTAAAGGCCTGATCTGACTGGGCGATAACCAATCGGCTCCGATGAAAGCACCATTTCTCCCCATCACTTCCATCTCAAAAAGGCTCTTGTCAAAGTTATATGCGATCTTAACATGTTTTCGAGAGATACCTCGATGACCAGCTGCGCTGCCGTCCACAGTGGCCGGGGGGTGGATAGGGATGGTAGGACACGAATCGGGGGAAGGTAGTAGAGCCAGGGCATCGACGGGTTTTGCATCATTGCTCTCTTCATTGAGCGATTGCATCGCAAGGGCATTGTAATCGGTTGATTGTAGCTGAGCCGGAGTTGCCAGTAAGGGAGGACCTGATTCACCAAGGGACGAGTTGGACGATCTCCGGCTCATGGGACGACGGGACGGTACTTCAGGGTCGAATCCCATGATCCCACCACGGTCGCTAACCACACTCCCCAGAATGCCACTGCCTTCAGGTTTAACGCGAATTGGCGTGTGTGATGCGTTGCCACCGCTTGAACTCTTTGGTCTCGAATTGCGCACCGCTTGTTTGACCTGAAACTCCCGCTGGTGCGCTGCGCGAGCGGCTCGTACATCTCGTCCAAGGATAAATGAATACGTATTGCAGTAGAAATGCCCATCATCGAATTCCAATTTCGCAAAGGCCTGAATGCGAGGTTCTGACCCGGCGACCGAACCGGTCCCATCCTGATGCAGCGGATCACCCGATAACCCCAGGGCTGATAAATCTGCATTTTGGGAGAGATAGGCTGCGGTCAACATCTCATTATGTTCTAAATCCCCAAACGGCGTCTTTGGGTCGGCTGCGATATCGAACGGTCCGTTAAAGTAATCGCCTTGGTCGAGGTTCGTTTTCGCCATCAATAAGGGATCCGTGAGACTTTCTATCGCGGAGGGATCGGACGTCTTTGGCGGTGGTTGTAAAAAAGTATTAGCTTCGGCATCGTCGGGGTTGGTAGTAAATGGCCCTTGCTGTTCTGCATTTGCATTATGTTCATCCTGCTGGCTCAAGTCAGCCGGGACCGAAAACTGATCGTGTCCCGAGGCCTGCTCAGCAGGCGCAGAGTGATGACCCCTGCCAAAATCCTCTGTCGATGGTAATGGTGGATAATCTGGCATCTGGGCATCACCGCCTGTTGGATGCGCACTGTTATGGCTGTCCCCTGGGGCATTGGGAGTGAATGGCTCAGCTGGCGGCGCCGATGCCGATTGCTGTATCTGTTCTCCTTGAAACTGATAAAGAGATTGATCAACATCCGCGGACGACGGTTGCTCTGTTGATTGATTCCCAAGAAGCTGGGCCAACAGCGCGCTAGCAGCGGATTGCCGTCTGAGATCACTCTGATGGCCTTCCGACCCGTTCATTGTCTCATCATCCGGCTCCGCTTTAATTCCCGCCATTCCACCGCCATCACCGAGACCATCACCAATACCGCCCGGGGGAGTAGAAAACGGGGAAGAAAGGGAGGGTAAGCCATGCGAATGAAGCGGCGCAGAGGGAGGAGGAGAGGTAGGGTGGTCAGAGGTTGTCGAATTGTTCACGGCGCGGATTGCGGAGTCGCTGAGCGGGGAGGAAATATCGCGGTTGTCGGGGTGGGTATAATCGTCGTAGAAGGGCATGTCGGGCCCGGAATTTGGAGGGGGAGGACGATGGCCCAGCGCTGGCGCTGCCATGGTCTGCGACGACATGACAAGCCAGTTGCAGCTGGAGGGAGAGGAGGGAAAGGGAGGAGGGAGGAGATCGAAAGGAACTTTTTTTTCTCTTTTTCTTTTTTGGGGAACGGAGAACAGGGAAAGATTGGAGGAGGAGGAGAGGAGAGACTCTGAAAGCGCCGGGCGGTGAGAGGCGGCAGAGCAAATTCAATGCCGGGGCTGCGCTGATGCTGATTGGTCCGTCAGGGATTTTCCGTTCCTGTGGAGGAATATTATTCCGTTTTTAATACTGTCCTCTATACATCATGGCACCATTGTAGTGCATACAATAGTATTATAGTAGCTAAATAGATGATAAATACATCGTCATATACTGGCTGGAATTTACTGTTGATAAAACAAATGAAAATTGTAGATACATTGCTGAGTTTTTCGGCCCCGCTAGCTCCACTGTAAATAATCCGGAGGCTCAGTATCAGTGAAGATCGATAGGTTCACCTCTCAATCTTAGTATGCAAGTAATCCCCTAAGACTGGCATTAATCCCAGTGAATTACCAATATAAGAGAAGAGAAGAAAACGAAACAAACAAGATAAAGAAAATGCCCCCCAAATCCAAATCCAAAAAAGACCCCCAGCCCAATCCCAAATCCACCGCCAACAGCAACGGCAACAACAATACTAGCAATGGCAACAATACCATCAACTGGCCTCCCCTCCGTTCCCTCGTCCCCGCTGCAGACCTATCCCTAATCCCCCTCCTCCACGACCAAATTTACCTAATCCCCAATTACTTCACAGCCAACCTGTGCAAAACCTACGTCTCTTTCCTAGCATCCCTCCCGCTGATTACAACCCCCGGCAAGCCAAAAAAAGACGAAGCAGTCCGCGTGAACGACCGCTTCCAGATCCAAGATGACGTTTTTGCGGAGATGTTGTGGAGTTCTACGGCGTTACGGGAGTTGGTGTTGACGGGGAGGATGGAGGATGATGATTATTATCAGGATGAGGGGGAGAAGAGGAGGAGTGTGAAGGAGATGTGGGGTGGGGAGCCGTTGGGGTTGAATTCGAATATCAGGGTTTATCGGTATAAGACGGGGCAGTTTTTCGCGCAGCATTGTGAGTATCGTGTTGCTTCCTTAAGAATAAATAGATACTGGGAGCTAACGAGATAGATGACGATGCGAATACCGTTAGATTTACAAATAAACAGACCGCTCCCGTTCAGGCTCGCACAACATGGACTCTCCTCATCTATCTATCTAACTGCGCTGGTGGAGAGACAGTCTTCTATCCCGAGCCAACTCGCTGGAATCGCAATCCGGAACCCATCTCAGTTGCTCCGGGAATAGGAATGGCTTTGCTGCATCGGCATGGGGACCGGTGCATGTTGCATGAGGGCAAAGAGGTTCTCAATGGGGAGAAATGGGTATTGAGAAGTGATCTCGTGGTTGAGAAGTAGCACACTCCCTTTGATCAATTCAGAAGTTGTGGTCATTTAAGTACTTTGTATTGAAACAGTGGAAATAATGCTACGAGATAAGAACAAAGTCAACGACAGTTTGCCGGTGTGGTACGACCAGCATGGAGCCGGCCGGGGATAGAAGCCCAAACCCTGAGTAGAAAAGACACCATTGAAATCAAAACCAGTAACAAAACAAGAAAAGTAAACTAACAATATCACCATGCACAAATACTCCATCCAATTGCGTTGACGACAGGGACAGAAGACTTCTTTTGCTTCTCTTGATAATTTCCCAATGACTGAGTCCGTGAATGAGAGTGGAATCATTATTATGCAGAAATCCCGACAAAACAAACCAAAGAAACAAAGTTCATAAACATATGAAACAACAAAGCCCCTCCTCCCCGTTTCACATCGACACCTTATGATGTCGATGTTGCGGTATTGGGCCGGGATCCATATTCGGTTCTGCGCAGTATCTTCTCGACAGGTCCCAATAACCGTTTGAACCCATCCCGACCCAATCTGGCAACTTTGACATCAGTTTTGGCGATGACACTGGCGGCTCGGGGCTTGTCATCCAACAGGGCGAGTTCACCGAAATAATCACCACGCTTATAGTCTTTAACAGAGCCCTCTTCGCCTTCCTTGTACGCTTCAGCCTCACCCGATTCAAGCAGATAAAAGGCATCGCCTGGATCGCCCTCCGTGATGATAGTGGAACCTGCCGAATATTTGATGGCATCCAACGCGTCTGCAATCTTAGACCGCTCGTATGACTTGAGAGATGATAACAAGGGAACTTCTTCCAAGAAAGCCTCATACATGCGACGACGCTGGAAAGCCGAGTCCATGAGGATCCGACGGAAGGTAATTCGGTCCAAAGCCCAAAGGGTGCTCTTAGGGTCCACCGACACCACGGTGGCGGCACGCGGAGCATTGTACATGAGAGCCAGCTCACCAAAGGAGCTTCCGGGTCCAGTGGTGCTTACTTTGTTACCCATGCCATTCGGGCCAGGTTGGACAGCTCCGGAGGGGTGGATGTAAATATCGAAGCTACCCTTTTCGACAACGTAGAAATAGTCACCTGCATCGCCTTGAGTGATGACCTTGATATCCTTGGCGGGAATAGGTTTCTCGACAAGCGCATCGAGCACGGTCTTGAACTGGTCATCATCTAGGTGGGCAAAGAGGAAGTTTCCGCTGACAGCGGCCCGCAAGCGAGAGAGCTGTTCTTCGGACTTCGGATGGTGAGGGGGCGTCCAGCTGTCTGAACCGGCGGATGTGGGATTCAACGACTCTGCTGATACCGAAGTGCGACGACCCAGCGCATAGTTGCTGGGAAATCCGGGATCTAAACCGCTGGGACGAGTCGGCTCTGGCGCTTCGCCGAAAGTGTCGTTGTCATCATCCCCATCCTGACTGAAGGGGCTCCTGCCAAATCGAATACCAGTGTCTAGTGCTGCTGCTGCATCTTCATCACCAGCATTGCCTCCATAAGCTGTTCCAGACGATGCACCGACGTTGGCACTCTTGAAGGTGGCATCGGTTGGTGACGTCACCTCATATTCGTCTTCTTCCGAGATCTGCTGGAATACGGGGGAGGAGTCACCTTTGCTGCTGTTGCTGGACACCTTGAGAAAAGGGTTGGTACCCGGAAACGAATTGTCTGCCATGTTGCTGAAAAAAAGGGCCGGAGAGGACACCACTCCGGCCGCACGGACGACGAGAGAGGTTGAGTTGGGACGGTGCGACGTAAATCGCGCGGAGGTGAAGAGAGAAACGGGAAGTTTTCTGGAAGGAAGTCAGAAGCCAGGTTAGAACACGGGAGAAGCCAGTCTATTGATGGGGGAAAGGGAACATTTATAGAACACGGGGTAGGATAAGGGGTGTGAGTGTAGAGGATATGATAGGGTGGGTATCGGCCATGTAGTAATTTTAACTGGGACCTCAGACACAACGTACGTTTGACCTGTTCTGTACCAGGTTCCTTCTTCCTTTTTTCTCTTCTTCTCCTTCTATAAGAGCTGATGTCTATTGAAAGAAATGTCGAATAAAGATATCGAAATTGGGTGTTTTAGAAGACTGCCACAAGGCGGATGGCGGGGTTATTATAGCAACGGGAGAGCTCCAACCGACCGAGAGATGAGCGATGATGTTATCGGATGGAGGAGGATTGGATGGTGATGAAGGCTTTAGATGAAGCCAAATATGCAGAGATACAGAAGGCGAAGAGATCAGGGTAGAGAAGAGGAAGAAAAGAGAAAACGAAGTGGGAGTAGAAGAGAGGAAGGAAGAGGGGAAGAGAGGGAGAGAGCGCGAGTGCGAAAAGGGCGGGGAGGAGCAGGAAGTGACGGAAAGCTAGAGTCAGTGGATTCAACACCGTTTCTTGTTTATGGGGCCAGTCTCTACAACACATATAGTAGGTACTACTTCTGCAATGGTCTTTGATTTCTTGCATTCTTTCGCTTCTATTCTATTATTATTCTAGCATTTCCATGTTCTTTCTACTGTATCCTCCTGCAGCACACGGGCTTCAGCAGCTTCAGGATCGACGTCACTAGCCAAAGCGGCCGCAGCAGGACTAGCAGGCAATAATTCCCCCAATAGTGACTTCGTGATGAACAGGAAGAATAGCGTAAGGTTAAATGCCAGATTCAGCTCCTACCCCCAGTTTAGAGAGAGTCCTGTATTGCATCCGGAAAAGCAGTTCCTCTCCAGGGTTGTTGGTGCAGAATGCAAGGACTGGTCCTTTGTTTTCCAGGTGTTTTCTAGAATATTACGATTTCGGACTGTATAAAAGTCTGTACGGAGTATACGGGCATGACAACTAGTCTCTTGTTTCTACAGCTGTCTTGGCTCTTTTATGAAATTTCTTAACATTATACAGCTGATTTTTTGTCTGCTACATATCCAATAAAAATGTGGTATCACAGCTGTTGAAGTCATCCATCCCCGGAATACCACTGGGAATGCCGCAAACGGACATTCTTACACTCCTGGTCGGGTTGTCCACAAATAGCAAAGAAAAATAAGAATTAAAAAAAGAATCTTGAATCAAAACTAGTTGAGTAGGGAATCCTGAAGAAAGGTACTCCGTTGAGTTCCATATTTGGTGCTTTGGATACTGTCACTTTTCATGTAGTGATGAAACAAACATACTGCCATCACAGCAATAGAAATGCATAGTTAGAAACAGAACATCAATTCTATTTCTATGAAAATTATTTATAGATATTTCCACTCCGCTCTAGGCTTCATTATCACTGCCTTGTTGTAGCTGTAAATATCTGCATAATTATACTGCCGTACTGTAAGCCGAGGCTGACCACATGACTTGATATCATCACGTCTTCCCGTTACCTTTTCTCTCCACTGTACACTCCTCATACGAGTATTAGTAGTACTTCATCATACAACGTACATACTTACTATCAACCCTCTCATTTTCGACCTTGGACCTCGTGTCGCCCGTGGTTGATTCTCTGTCTCTGAGCGAGTTACCCACTTTCTCTCCACCTGCCGCCAAAATGGGCAGCTTCACGTTCCGGTGGTGAGTCTACTTCCATCCAATGCGACTGCTACACTACTGTCACCGTCCATGGTCCGGCGTATTTGGATCTACCACTGTACCTTAATTGACCAGACACTGTTTTTCATTACTCATCTGGATGGCAGAAAAATATATCGATTACTGACTGAACGCGCTTTGATATGACAGGCCGTATAATGGGAATGAAGTCTTTGTTACCGGCACCTTCGACGACTGGGGAAAGACTGTTCATCTTGACAGAAATGGCGATGTTTTTGAGAAGACAATCTCACTTCCCGATACGGACGAGAAAATACAATACAAGGTGTGTATCTACCAGTGTTTCAGCACCGGCCTATCAAGCCATTCTTGACGTCATACTCGCTTGCCCTCTACTATCACGTTTACCTGCTCAAGTCATTTTAGCCTTCTATAACGTCAGCATGGCGTGTCTACTCCGAACTAACTTTTATACTTATCATAGTTTGTCGTGGATGGTAACTGGACTACCGATAGCAGTGCCCCTCAGGAAAGCATCGGCGGCAACATCAACAACGTACTCTACCTTGACCAGATTAAAGACAGCTCTATTATTACCGACATTCCTCAACTCTCTGGTGCTGCGGTCATGTCGGGAGTGACTCCAGACTCATCAACTGCTGCTCTGGCAGCCAACGTCCCCAAGGAAAGCGAGAAGAAAGCCTCCACCCTGTCCTCCGCTGCTCCCGAGTCGACAACGGCCAACTTGGCGAAGCAAATTCCATTCGAAAACAATAATAATGAAGGCGTGCCTGGTTCATTCCCAGACACGCCTGCAACTGAGGCAGAAACATTCTCCGTGAACCCCATTCCTGCCTCCAGTGGTGCGAGCAACCCTATCAAGTTGAAGCCCGGAGAGAAGGTTCCTGACCCCAGCACCACTCATTCGAGCACCGTCCAGTCGACTGCCCGCACCGATCTAGCTGGGTATGAGCAGGATCCCAGTGGATCGCTCGCAGGACTACCCACCGCTACGAACCCGGCTGCGTCCCATCCCAATCCCAGCGGCGGACGTCGTCAAAGCAAAATCGTCCCTGAATCGGGTCTGCCAGTGGACGGCGAGAGTGTCGGTTTGACAGACACAGGTATCACCATTGAGACTACCACACCGTCTGCGACTACTGTTGGTCTCGCCTCTGCCGTCCCGCTCGAATCTCAGAAACAACACTCCAGCAGCGGTGCTGGTGGCCCGGTGAGCGAGGTTCCGAGCAGAGTGAGGAACTCGATCTCTGAGGCACATCAGGACCCGGAGGCCGCGGCTAGCAAAGGTGCTGTGGAGGAAAAGAAGGAGTTTGAGGACGAGCTGAAACAAAAAGTCAAGCCTACTGAGGCGGGCGGGACACCAGGTCCCACGACCACTGCCGCAACAACAGAGACTGCACCTGTCACTACCGGCGGTGCATTCCAGTCGGGACAAGTGTCCCCTCGTTCACCATCTCCATCGGAGCCAACAGTCACGACCGGGGTTGCTAGTTCCAAAGCGCCTGGGGTTTCTAACGCCGCAGGCGTGTCTTCCCCTTCATCTGAAGGACCAACTGTCACAACAGGCCCTGCCGAATCCAAAGCACCCGAGGTCTCTAGTCCCAAAGACACTTCGGCCCCGGAAGGAGCCGGAGCCGCAGCGGGGACAGAGGACAAGGATATTGGGAAAGCCATCTCTGAAGGAACCCATACTGACGCCCGTGGACATAGCAGCTTGACAGGACCACCCAGAACTTCTGGATCCACTTCTGGGCCAGCGACTGGTGCAGGACAAACTGGAACTAAGTCCTCTGAGCCTAAACAGGATGGGTTTAAGCCGGGATATTCCAAGCAGACCGGCGCCGGTGACACTTCCGCGACGAATGGTAACGGTAACGGTAACGGAACTGTCCGCAAGGACTATGCCGATCAGGCACAAGGAAAAGCGAACGATGTTGCCAAGGAGCAGAAGAAGAAACACCGTGGTAGTGGACTCTTCCAGAAGCTCAAGGAGAAGTTCAAATAAATGCTAAGCAGTGACTGGCGGCTATATATCCTTTTGTTTATGTCTATGACTTGATGTTTATCCTCTTTTGCTTTGTTCAAGACTTTCTAGTTATTGTTTTGATGATTAACTCGATACCTTGCTGTTGTTCGTTTATTGTCATACTAGGACTAGTTTTAATTGATCTGATGGCAACTAGATTCGCATTACACGCTTTTTAGTCCATATAAATACTAAACCATTAAGGAACTACCTGTTTGTACTCCAATACTCCGCGAACGCCATGTCATATAGGTATAAGATCGCTAACTTGCGCGTTCAATTTCACCGGATATGCAAGCACACTGCATGGTCAGCTAGTCCATGATCGAATCAGCGAAAATAAAACACTCACTCCTTCCCAGTCTTGGTCATGCAACAGCCGCAGAAGAGCGAGGCGGGATAGCAGACAACCTATACTTGCATTAGTATCATATCACATGATATATTTGCATCGTGAAGATGAACGGTAATTCATACAGCCGCGAGAATAGTAACCACAAAACCTGCCCCCGTTAGCAACCCTCCAATCACCTGTACATCTTGTACGGTATAAAAAATGCGAAACATACCAATAGTCGGCCCAACAACCTTACACCGACAAGGATTCTGATCCGTTCCGCACTGGAAGCAGATCGGGAAGATGGGGATGAACGGGACGGCCATTTTGTCCTTCGATTCTCTTGATTTATTACAGGTAGTTTGTATGGAATGAAGGAATTGGTGATTGAAGTAGGAAAAATGCGGATGAAGTGGAGATGATGTCAGTGGAAGGGGTGTTGCAATTATGGGGTATGGGGAGAGCTTGGATTACATCAGTGATTTTCGGGGTGCAGAAGAGTACGAATACACCTGAATAGTGAGGAGCTGAAGTCGCAGTGATGGGTTGTTAATCCGAGTATTTTCCATGTTACCTTCTGAGTGTAAATAGTCTAATGTACGGTGATTATGTGTGGTATTGTGGTACCCCTGGTAAACATATAAACATTAGACAAAAGCAAAATGTATGTATCCAATGGTTTGACTTCACTGTTATCTACGGAGTACTCTATGCAAGAGTTAATACTTGATGCTTTAACTTCGTATATCGATATAAAAATGGTCATGAAAGGACTATCTATATATTTACCGCCAGAGGTCACATGCCTGCCGTCATATGACAGGCGTTTACGGATAATAGAAGCTAACTTCTATAGTGCTTCTAAGCGCTTAATCCTTGATGAAATTATTGGTCCCCAGAAGTCATCAAAGTTTCTCACTTCTTTTAACACCCAATTCTAACCTTCAATATTAAACAATGACCCGCACAATATACCTAGCCCTCTTCAACGGCCCTAAACTCAACAATCACACCCTAGGAAAACTCCTCCAAGTCGACGGAAACCAGCAACAGGCTTCCGTCTCTGATTCGTGCGTCAGTACAATATCATTACTGACATACTCTCCGAATACAATCTCGTTCTTTTGGCTGAAGTTGATGAGAGGTATGTAGCTGATTCTGTCGGTACGGAGAAATCGATTGATACGATTGCGCGGGATCGATTGGAGTTCGTTGCGACGGTGGTAAAGCCGCCCGGGAGGAGTGCTAAGCATTTTGATCCGGAGATATTTTCGTCTTATAGTATAATAGTCGCTAGTCGTTATGATTGATTACTGGGGTAGGCACCTAATTGTCAGAATTGGCTGTATAGTTACGTGCAGAAGCTTATGGGGGAAGGCTTTGTTGAAGCTAGTGCTAGCTTGATTGCTCAGGATGCGCCAAAGGTATTTGAGAAGGCATGGAACCAAAGATATTCATTATGCTAGCAATCCCACGGCTCCCAAGTGCTACTATATAAATTCAAAATCATCGACAAACACTTCGTAAGCCACTTTTCGTCCCGACCGGGAAATATTGCCTGTGAGTAGGAATAAGACCTACATATGGTAGTGTATACTATTCCGCGTAGGAGAATTATCTATGAACAAGTCTAGAAGATCGTGCTCAACTTGACGTAGCTTCTCTAAACTCGCTCGGGGCTCGCAACAGGCTGCATTTCATTCATCAGATTCCATCGTGTCCCACACCTGCTCGAACATCTGTCCTTGCACATGTTCCATGTAAATAAACCACTCGTCTCCGTCCGTGGGCCACCAATACACTTCAGGGACAGGTACACTGTCCCCAATAAACCTGCCAGTTGCATACAGACATTGTGCCTCTGATAATAATCAGAATGTAAGCAGTTATTATCATGGAAATTACTACAATCAATATCAGGGACAATGTCAAACATTCAATTGAAAAGAAGTCCTAAGTAATGATAATCAATCCGCTGACTCCATAGGGATTGAAGGGTTCACCTTGGCCTGAATATCAGTGCTGCCCTTGGATCTCGTCCCAACCATTGTCGACACTCTCTGTTTCGTCATCCTCAGCGTGTTCATACTCAACGATCCGAGCAACAGCTGCATCGATAAGACATCCCTTCCTCTCATGCTGAAGGCTCCGATCATAAGTTCATTAGACCATATTCAATGTATGTGTGCGAGATAAGTTCCCTTAGCATATTCTTGGGGATGTTTTTTCAGACATGCCCCAGAAAGGTTTGCCAAACTCGTCTTTCAGACTAGAACGAGGTGTATCTCCAGGGACTGCACTCCAAAAATGTCGAGGCGCTTGAACGCAGTATGAAAAAAAAAAAAAAAAAGATAGCATGTCACAAGCCGTTTTTCACCCCTGAATTATAAATTTCTGTTATCAAGGTCTCCCCATATGAGTGTTGTGGCATCGATTAGCATATCTAGCATTTCTCACTCAGGACTATTATGCGAAATTTGTGGTCACGCGCTTTTTACTTCTTCCATGGGAAGAGCGTTCTTGTTGTGTGTTTGTCCGGCATTTCAGTGACGATGGCAAAGCTACCAGGGCCAAGATACTTCTCAATTGCAGCGCTCATGGCCAGACCATTCTGAGATGAGAGCAGTTCCGGCGGGCCTATTTCTCCAAAATGGAGTTCATTGTGCCTTGGTCATGTTTGCATGGAAAAATACGGGACACCATGATCTCATCGGTACCCAAGTACTGTCCTAATATAGGACACCAGGCACAATCCGCACGGACCAAGCTTCCGTAGTCCCACATAAGCTGTAGTTCGAGGCGCAATAGGACTTCAGAACTACCGTATGCTCCATCCTCGAGCCCTACCGCGCGAGTACACAAGAGTCCACAACAAGGCCATCAAGTTCCAATGAATAGCAACTTATCGAGAATTGCCAAGCTAGCACCTGATCGGTCAATTTCCTCCCTTCTGCAGATCGCTGCCGTTCGACGAGATCGTCATGGTGTTTGGATAGAGAGAGATTTGCGACGATCACAACTTGCTGTTTGATTTTGAATTCTAGATCTGAGGCGCTTACCTAGAGAACTCCAAGTTCAGCTGCTTCCCTTTTGTACTAATTCTCCAGTTCACGAGCTGGTAGTATTTTTTGGACGGGGAGGTATTGTTTGGATGGGGAGATGGCTGGGATAAGCTATGTGTATCTCAGACTTCTTCTTGTCATGGTATTATATGAGCTTCTTACGGGCGCGTCTGATCTTGCCTTCCAAGCAGTCTTTTTGGTGGTATAGGTTTGGTAGATCTTCGGTATCTCGTTTCTGGAGGTCTTTGAAGGGATACATATTGTTGTAATGGATGTGGGTGAAAAAATGATGTCTCTGTCAGGTATTCTACGTCGATGCGAGGAAGAAACCACAAGACTCCTGACTCATTATAGCTACATATGACAGACAGTATGCCACTTTGGAGCAGTGCTCACATCATGATGGAATCATGCGCAGGCGTTGTGGGAATGAGAAGGTCATGGAGGATAACAACAAGTCTCGTGAGTCTGTTAGCCTTCTCTTTAGCACAACAATTACAGATCTACTCGCGCATAAAGGGAGTGATATCTTCAAATTAACCATGTTGGACTTTTGGGCACGGGGAATTGGTTGGTCAGCGATGCACAAGCACAGGCATAACAATTATGTACCTCATACCAGCGTGATACATACATATCAGCCTAACCGATCATTTTAACTTCTGTGGAGTACAAGTCAATCAAATTGGCCCCTTTGTTTGACTACAATCTATAAATATGGCTATGGCTTAGCCTTACGGGGCAGCGCCACGGTAGGCAACCAAATAACATGCCGCAAATGCGCCTTGGCAAAGAAAAACCTGCCCTGACGTCAAACTCTTTTTAACCCCAGGATTCCCCTCCTTTCCTTGATTCTGTTTCTTTCTCACATACAATTCTGCAGGTACGGTCTCGTATATATGTTTATATGTTGCCTTTATCGCTAATGCTTCTGTTCTCTAGATACTACGCACATCAGTCAGCCCTACACTCGATCAACGACTCACGGACCACGATCTTCGCGAACACCAGCTCTTTACGTTCAGAGAGTACATCTGAATAACAGCATATATACTCAGTCCAATATATCCTTCTCGATTGACTCTTAAATCCGAACAAAAAAAAAAGCAAGGAAAAAAATGGCCCGAGCAAGCCTCCTCCCCCTCGTTATCCTCCTCGTCGTGATCGCCGTCCTCGCGGTCGTCGGCTTCATCGTCTACAGCATCGTCCAGGATGTCACAAACACCACACGCGAAAAGATGGAGAAGCGCAATGTTATGTTCACAAAGGATGGTATGACGGTTGGAGTAAAGGAATTGAAGGAAGAGGACTACGTCGATCGGAGTCAGAGGTTTGTTTCCCTTCCTTTGAGAAAACAAGGGTGAAAAAGGACAACGGCTGACAATTGACAGTATACTTGTGAACATGTGGAACCACTCTTCTTTCCCTGCGTACAAGAGCCGGCTTTGGAACATGGCTGGCAAGAGTGAGGACAAGGAGACTGTTGAGAAGAGGAGGCCGTGAGTTTGTTCTGGTCTGGTGGCTTTATACTTCGTACTGACTGAATCTCTGCAGGTACTCGCAGTAATAAGTTCTTCGCCGTATTGTATTGTCAATATGCATGATTTTACGCTGGAGTTAAGCTGGTAAAAATGGCCATTGGTGCATTAGTGAAGGCGCTACATTCGGTTTGAAAGCATTTTTGTTATTTACGTGCAATTCAAGTGTTTAAATATATAATCAGCGTCGAGTTCAAGGTGCGGCCGTGTTGGTAGAACGGGTCATGTTGTCTCATAGTGTCGCATGCTCAACTTTACTGACCTCAGTGCATGCTTCCCGCTCCAGATATTGTTACGTTGAATACTCGTATATATCCTCGTCTCACGCGAGTTGAAGATACCCTGTTCGACACCTAGAATGCCTTACAACAGCGTCCCGATAGGTCTCAAGCTCACCTTGTGACAGTGCGGTCAGTCACAAGCCACAGCCGAAACCCGTGACTATGCTGATAGCTACCGAGCAGACAGTATGAATGTGATAAACTCGAGTAAATCAGAGAACTTGCGGGGTTGATCCAGACTGACCAAATGCGCAACACCGATAGGCCCAAACCCAAGCCTAGCTAAGGGCATAACGACGAATCAGACCGCCCACGTGCCTATGATTGACGGACGGTCCCGCCCCACCAGACCCGGAAATGGCTGGCACGGGGTTGATGCGCTTTCCTCGATAGGCGCATAGACGAGAGCGGTCATGGTCGGCCGATCATCACCTGCGCTTCCGGCGTATCGATGGGAGGGGGAGGGAGGTTATTTAGCTTCTGCTTGTTCCTGTTGGTGACTGGGCAATTGTTTGTGTAACTTGACCTGGGTGTGTTGGCTATTCTTCACCGTTTGATTACCAACGACTTCACGCACGACTTCACGCACGACTTCAGAAACTTCAGACAACTTCACAGACTCACGAATCCATTAAGCTATACACCGCCAGAATGTCACTTGCGACGCTGAAAAACATCGTGGCTACCTACACGCCCCTTCCGGGTCGGCTCTCGGATGTCGACTTGGAAAAGGAACACCAGTTGCCTTTGCATCATGGAGAAGACATCGAATCACCCATTATCAGTCAGAAGAAAGACCAGAAAGACCCATCCTGGACCGTCGATGGACGCACAGTATCTGATGCGATCATCGGTTTGTCGGACGGAATGACTGTGCCTTTCGCCCTTACGGCCGGATTGTCTGCGCTGGGCGACACCAAAGTGGTTGTCTTTGGCGGGTTAGCGGAGCTTATCGCGGGTGCCATCTCCATGGGTCTGGGAGGATACCTGGGCGCGAAGAGTGAAGAGTAAGTACCTGCGCAGCTTCAGTTGTACGAAATAAAGCTGACTCGGGCTCCTTTCCAGAGAATCATACTATGCAACATTGAAAGAAACCAAGCATGAAATCATCACCAATCCCCCCTCCACCACCGAAACCATCTCCGATATCTTCGCTCCCTATGAACTCCCCTCTGAACTCGTCTCCGCACTCACCAGTCACCTCTCCGCATCTCCTATGCTCCCGAACTTCCTGATGAACTTCCACCACACACTTCCTGAACCCTCCGAATCGCGAGCCTTGATCTGCGCTCTGACAATCGCATTTGGTTATTTCATTGGCGGCTTTGTGCCCTTGGTCCCATACTTCTTCGTCGGTCCGCTCGATGCTTATCTTGCACTCCGCTGGTCCATCGCAACGATGGCGGTTGCATTGTTCGTCTTCGGGTATTCAAAGACATGCTTCGTGAGCGGGTGGAAAGGATCGCGGAATTGTCGACGGGGTTTAGTTGGAGGGTTGCAGATGGTTTTGGTGGGTGGTGTCGCTGCGGGGTCAGCAATGGGGTTGGTTAAGGGATTCTCGATGCTCGCTGCTTCGTCTGAGGGTCAATAAACGGATTGCATGTTCATGGCGTTTCGGTTAATGTTGTTATGACAATCTCGCATTCTCATGCCGTATATACAGTTGGTGGACAAGTGGTATTTGCATAAATTGAATAAAAAGTTGAATATTAATATATAGATGCCTTGACCCTCGCCAAGATCACGTTCACCTAACTCCTCCAAGTGATTACCCACCTGCAAACAAGTACTTGTAACAACCTGTATGAATGCATCATTTACCAAACCCATACAGTACCTCATAAAACGTACAGTATATACCGGCTGTGCAGTAAGCATCCTTTGACCTCATCTTACAAGGCGATGCAGATATCCACAGCTCATATAGTGACAACGTCCGCAGGCTTAGTCTAGCCTGTTCAGCTTTGTTGTTACCAACACTATAATAGGTACGATACAGAGTATAATACCATTGCTGACTTGGTTTTCTTGGGGTTACTGTACGGAGTACACGCTTGAGCGGCATTGGTAGTATACTAAAATAGCTTTTCTGCATGTAGGTGATTGGGGCTGTATGTCTGTACGTGGATTAGTTTTCGTGGGGTGATTGTATTGTGCCCCAAAGGAACGAATCAATAGATGCAGCAGAATATATGATCTGCAAACTATTTACCATCGACCAATTACGCAGACTTGCGCGAGGTTCCTCTCTAAGCTAGGATTCTCGATGTGTGTGAATGAAACCTTTTTTTTTCTTTTGGAATTATCCATCTATCAAGAATGAAACTCTCCATTGTAAAAGAGAATGTTGATCACCAACCTCGGTTCACTCAGGCGGCCAAAGGGCTCTTCGATACCTTTTCTGAAACAGGACTTATTAGGCTGATCAGACATCCAATGATACCTTGGATCTGGGCCCCATCCTCCCCCGCCGATTGAATGGAAAAGGCAAAATGCAATTGAAGGATATTTCCAATCATACTGTTGTGCAGTGAGAGCCAGTCATGGCAATTTTGCTACCAAATCGGAAGGGCGGAAGTGATCCAAATCAGAGCCTCTGGTTAGGTTTCTCTTCCAACGAATGCACAATGAGCTTCCCTCAATTACCTTTCGGTAGCAATTAACTGTGAAGCTAGAGCTATCGCCCATTAACCATCAAATAGCCTGCCGTGGAATCCTCCAAGTTTATACACTACCTTTTTCAGACTCCATGATGTCAACGATCCAGCATCGTTTGAAGTAGCCGCATTAGGCAAGTGTTCAAAAACCCATTCGGAATGCCGTACCAGGTACGGGGGCACATGTCGAATATTCCACGGCCATTCCACGGGCTTCTCGGCTGGAATGTAGCATGTCGTGGATGTCACAGCCGTGTCGTGCCGTCAACCGTCTGGAAAAAGGGAAGTTTTTAGTGGAGACATTTTCGGCATGGATGATATCATTGGCATCATCGAGTCAGGCGTTGGGAGGTGGATTTTTCTGGATGTTTGGAAGGGTTTGGAACGAGTAAGTTTTCGCCGAAGGTTTTTGGTATGCATATCCATACTGCTGTGCATTTGGTGTGCTGTACAGAATAGAAGTAGGTATGTACAAAACAACAGTATAGCCAAGACATTGGAATGACTTCATCTACCTGTAAGAGGTCAGTTATGCAGAAATCGAGTGATCGTGTAGCTCGATTGTATCCTGGTCAGGATAGAGTCGGTTGCATTTCCAATAATCAATCATATCTTAGCATCATCGATAACGATCATTATCAAGATGGCCGTATCCCCGCACCTAGTCCCTGGACAGGAAAACGCAAAATGATATATCATGATGTATATACCACGGAATGGTGCAACTTAACACCCAACTGTGGCGTGCGGTGATATCAAAGTATGCACGATCTCAGTTCCTGTGGAATAAGAATCTTCGGAGCAAGTATGCGGGAGGCGTATCGTATTACGATTCATGTACTCTGTAAGCTTCGTACGGAGTATCCTGTTGCCTTCACACACGAATACGAGAAAACGCCTTGTCCTCTTGGGTTGAAACTGCAGCATGCTGCATGTTAGGATTAATTGTCTTAGGTGGTTTGATAATTTGATATGAACAAACCTTACCTAAGTTTGTCTAAAGGCAATTTTATGCAGGATAGAACAGGGTAATGTGAAAAGGCACAAGATGTACTCGCCGGAGCTAAGAGAGCAACCTCCGATCCGAGAATCCTTTCTGCACGTTTGTTTCATCATATGACAGCGACATGCAGCATACAGCGCTACGGCTGCAGTTGTCATTAAACATCGTGCTTGTACTCATCTCATCTTGTTCCGTACAAGTACTTATACAAATGTATGTATAAACATAGTAGTGCTCTATACAGTGCTCGGATCGTACTCGTACAGCCGGCTTGCCGTGATCTGCTGTGTCAAAGCCCAGTTCTCGATACAACAGGCTTTGATGAGACGCCCATTTTTGAGGAGGGTCTCGTGTTATGATTACCACTAATGGCCACAATTACCGCTACGGAGTACGGCACCGTATGTGACGGTATTAAAATTTCATACATACTGACTAAACTACCAATCTAACTACAATCCGTACCAGGGCAAGATTACAAGTATAACTGCGCCTCATCTGGGCAGATATTTCAACGCGATATAGAATTAGATGATGGCTTAGCTCTTATGACCTAAAGTGCCTGGGGCACAATTACAACTACACCGTACTCATACTCATACGAGATACAATGGTGGTCGAGATCCCAACAGGAGACTTCAATATGTGCCGATCCTTTCACAGCGCTTAGAGCATCATTTCTTAAAGAGCCAGTTTTTATTGACAACTTCCTCGAGGCGCCCTAAAAGGACCACCACACCGCCCGCGCTAGTAGCTTGGCTCCAGAAGTCGGTGATTTCGGGACCATCGGATGCCGCTGACGGAGCGTGATTGAGTGGGGTCTGCGAAATTGATTCTGGAGATCCTCTGGTTGGGATTGGCTACCGGTGCGTCTCTGGCCAACCAAAATTGGGCTCGACAGGGGATCTGGTTTTTCACCGGCTGGTGTACGCTCCGGTCACATTTCAGGCGCTCGGCTTCCGTTTACTCCGAGGAATCCGCCTTGTATGCCTGAAGTGCTATTCAGGCATAATATTACTATATTAGGAATGGCGCATCTAGTATATTACTCCATTGAGATTAGACTATCCCGTATTGGGCCAGCGTATTTCTCCGGCGTGACGCCATGACACGGTACCGATACCATACGGTACCGTGACAATACCCGTCGCTGTCCGCCCAAGTCACGGCTCCGTTCCCTTTTTGAGCGTCTTTTTTCAGTTCCAGCAAAGTAGAAATCATCAGATCCCTTTCTTTCTCTCTTTTCTCTCTCCTCTTCTACTCTCACCTCTGCTCTACCCTACGATATCGTCAATCTCTCAAAAGTTCAACGGCTTCGTGGCAGTGACTCTTGGTCCAGCTTCTAACAAGCTGTCTCCGCCTTGCGTCAAAGGGACGGAACCCCCTTTTAGTTACAACGTGATCTCCTGCTACCTCCCGTTCTCTCCTCTCCTTCCGTCTCTGTCCTCTTGCATCTACTGCCGGAGTCCCGTGGACTTTACAACTGCAAAAACAACAATAGCGACATTATTTCCTTCGGATCGACTTTCAACTTTTGAGCGCTCCTTCCCCCTCTTTCCTCCCAAGGCCTCGCGTGTTCTGCCTTCCCGTTCTGCCTTGGGGGAAGCCTAGTTCGACAACTCGTTCTGCCTGCTTTTCCTCCGACGACAACCTTTTAAACCAACACAAAGAAACAAATTATTGATTTTCATAACATCAAACCAAATTGTCCCGCCGATATGAATTCCTCCCTTCCGTCGTGGAAGGATCGCACGCAGAACCACTTCGGCAAGCTTCAGATTCAAGTACCATGGCGCTCAATGAAGCTCCTCGTCCCCCATCGGATGCGACGCAAGCTCCGATCGAAGCTTCGAAGTCGGATAACGCCTACCTCGTCGTTGTCGTCGCTGCAGACATCGTTTTCGCCCGTCGATACGCTTAGATCGCTACAGAGTCATCGGTGGACGCTATACGACTTCCAATACTTGCTGTTGTTGATTGTGTGTATTTTCTCGCTGACTATCATCGAGTCTCCGGGGCCGTTGGGGAAGACGGCTATGTTCACGGGCTTGCTCGTCTCTCTTCTCCTTCCCATTACTCGTCAGTTCTTTTTGCCGTTTTTGCCTATTGCCGGATGGCTTTTATTCTTCTACGCTTGCCAGTAAGTTGCAAACCCGTTTTCTGCTTTGTCGCAAATAGTCGCTAACGGTCGCAGGTTCGTTCCAAGTGACTGGCGCCCTGCTATTTGGGTTAGAGTGCTGCCTGCGCTGGAGAACATTCTCTATGGCGCCAACATCAGCAACATTCTGTCCGCTCACCAGAATGTTGCGCTTGACGTTCTGGCTTGGATTCCGTATGGGCTCTGCCATTATGGTGCTCCTTTCGTCACCTCCCTGATCATGTTTTTCTTCGGCCCCCCCGGGTACGTCCCCGTCTTCGCCCGGACTTTCGGATACATCAGTATGACTGCCGTTGCCATCCAACTTCTCTTCCCGTGCTCGCCTCCGTGGTATGAGAATCTGTATGGGCTGGCCCCGGCCGACTACTCGATGCAGGGTAACCCGGCGGGTCTGGCCCGCATTGACAAGCTTCTGGGCATTGACCTGTACACTTCTGGTTTCAAGCAGTCTCCTGTGGTGTTCGGTGCCTTCCCGTCGCTGCATGCTGCGGACTCGACTCTGGCTGCTCTGTTCATGAGCCAGGTCTTCCCCCGCTTGAAGCCTCTGTTTGTCACCTACACGCTCTGGATGTGGTGGGCTACCATGTACCTCTCTCACCACTACGCAGTCGACTTGGTCGGTGGTGGTCTCTTGGCCACTATTGCGTTCTACTTCGCCAAGACTCGTTTCCTCCCACGCGTTCAGGTTGACAAGCTTTTCCGCTGGGATTACGACTATGTCGAGGTTGGTGATGCTGCTCCAGGCTACGGCTATGGCCTCTCGGCTATCGACAGCGATGAGTGGACCGTTGGTTCTTCATCCTCGTTTTCGTCTGGCTCTCTCAGCCCCGTGGATGATCACTACGCCTGGGAGAGTGATTCTCTGGTCTCCCCTGCTTCCGACCTTGAGGCTGGACGGCATCACATCGTGAGTCCATAGTCCCACAAATCTGCTCAAACGATTTGGAAGTTCGCCTCCCGCGTTTGACCAAATTTCTTAATCCGTGTGATTGCATTTTCTTCTACGAACGGCGTTTTTGCTCTGTATTAGACGACATACTGGGTCTTGCTCTTCGTTTTGCATCGAGCCGATTCCGACACATACATATTTTAATCGCTTCTTGTTACTTTCTCCGCCCGCTTTGAACGCCATTGTTTGCTGCGGGATTTGTTCCTCTTGGTTTTTCTTCGATTGTATATGCATTTGTGAAGGGCCCTGTCGCACTGTCGACTTCAAAGGGTCTTTCAAAGATCTTCCGTCCATAATGTTAATATCGGTGGCGTTGTGGATGCCCTTTCGATTTTGGCTGTCTGATTATTGCCAATTCCTGGGCTTTGTTTTTGATTCCGACCCTAGTCACTCTTTATCCGACTGGACACTCGATCGGGCCAGTCTCACAGTCTTTCTCCTTCATGTCCATCGTTCAACTATTCGGCGCCTTGGTTTGGGACATATGACGAAAAACCAAAAGTTTGGCGCTTTTGCTCGCACTTCATTCGCTGTGCGTGATGCTTGATTTTAACGACCATTTGCATGAGATATAGAGAAGAGGGGGAATAGGGAGCCCAACCTTGCAGACCTTGGGATCTCTTTGGATTTATCGTCGCCTCGTTTTTGATAACCTATGAACTTCGCTTGGATATCGTGCGAGGTTATAATGTCAACCTTGCGAACACAGCTTGGGATAACCAAGACCCGGTCTGTTTTTTTTTTTTTGGGTACCTTGGATGATGGTTCCAACGGCTCGAGGAATCGGGCCAGTGGGACGATGTTTTGACGGAGACATCGCCCACTTATTTATCCTTTTTTTTTTCCTCTCTTTTTTTGCTTGCTATCGGGAACGCTTTTCTTTTCACACCTTCCACGACCCACCATGCCTTCCGATAATACACTATCTTCCGCCCTATTTATCTATCTTGCGGCGCACCGTCGGGTTGTACGGTCGCCCCTCCTTCCGGGGGTTGGTTGTGTGACGCGACGAGGCACCTTATCCTTACCCGCATTTTTAATCCGATAGCTTTATGATTTATGAACCTGTACAATAACGCTTGCTTTCGTGTCTATACTTTATAATCCAGTTCTCATCATTCTATCATTTGCATAAAACATAAACCAACCAGTAAACTGAAAATGTGTGCCAACGAATAATACATTAATCTATGGATATCAAAACATGAGCAAGTCATACAGACTTATCTATATATAGGGTCACTCTTCGTATATCTGCACGCGATCCGCATACTCCTTTATCTTTGAAACATACGTCTCCTCAATCATATCTCCTTGTCCACCAGCAACCCTCAACACAAGCTCATTCAACGATGCTCTCCCCAAGATATCAACATGATCCCCCGTATTCGGCCCCCCACGTGGCGAGAACCGATCCGGCTCATGCGGCATCTCATACACCTTCACCTGCACGCCCGCCGGATTATACCGCTTAATCTTCCACCCCTTCGCGCACATGTATCCCGTACTGAGTAAGTTTACCGTGCCGTCACCCTCGCCCATGACGACACCGTGGTCGACGCCGTGTTCTGTGTTTGTCACTGTTGTGTCTATGCTGACGTTAAGATTGACGAGAGGGTCTGGTTCTTGTTGGTAGAAGTAGCTGCGTTCGGTTGGTTTGCCGACGCCATAGAAGCAATAGATTTTCATATCCGGTGCTAGCGGAAGACGGGCTTCAAGGGGGTTGAGCCACGTGCGGGGGTCGTTCTCGTTTGCTTCGACTTGTTTACGCGTGTGTGCGACGCCGTGAGAGTACGAGTTGCGGATGTGCTTGCTGTACCAGTCTTCGCTTTGGTCGAGGAGGTACTGTAAGCTTTCTGTTGTTGTTAGGTTCTTATGTGTGAAGGAGGATTCGGTGGCTGCGGTGAGGTTATCCTGACGGAAGTTTAGGAGGGTTCCGAAGGTCATTGCTTGGCCGGGTTGGTCGTCTGGTGCCCAGGTTGCGTTGCCCCAGACTGCTTCGCCGCCTTTGGGGAGCATGGAGGAGATGCCTGGCATGGCGCGGAAGATCTCGGCACGCTCTTCTTTGGAGAGGAATTTTTCGAGGCCGTAGACGGCGAAGGCGTTAAGTTGGGCTGTGTCGCGCATTTCGCCGGAGAGCACCGCTGTGAGGCCTTTGACGGCGCCGAGCATGCACCCGCTGATGTTGACCCAGTTAGCGATGTGGCGGTTGACCCAATCTTTGCCGCCTTTGCCGTGGGCATCGCTTTCGACCCATTTGAAGAAGTAGAGCACGACTTGCGAGCCCATGCTGTGTGAGGCGAGAGTGACTTTGTCGCCGCGGACCTCGACGGCGGTCTCGATGTAGGATTTTAATCGGCTGAAGTACTGATCGCGGATCTCGAGATTCGCGTACGACAAACGCCAATCATATGCCGCCGTAAACGCATTCGTCGGATCATACCCAATCGTCGCAAGATTCTCCAATATCTTATTCCAGATCCAATATCCCGTGATGAAGAAATCCGTCGCATCAAACCCCTGCGCCGCGCGCAGCTTGATTCCCGGCGGATCCAATCCGGTCTCTTTATCTAGCATGACGTGGTTCTTCCATTCTGCTTTGTCCAGGACCAGTGCGCGCATCATGCTCCAGCTGCCCCAGAGGCGGCGCCGGAAATATTGCCGGGAGCTGGCTTCGGTGCCCCAGCTTTCGAGGCCAGTGGAGATGACACCGGGGATCATGACGATGGGGTATTTTGCTATTATGCCTTGGGATTGGAGGTGCAGGCCGACGGAGAAGGGGTCGTAGCTGACGGCTTCGCGTTCATGTTGCTGTGGTCACTGTTAACAAACGTTCATGATTTTAGTGTGCTTGGTGAGAGAGGGAATACCGAAAACTCCCTCGCATCCTTAACAATTCCCTGTGGAATAACATCAATCAACGCATCAAGATTCAAATCCATCAACGAATCCAGACTAATAACCTCCTGTTGGTTCGCGAAGAACAGCGCAATGAAGATCCCGAACAACCCGCCCAGCGCGAATATCAAACCATTGCGTCGTTTACTCCGCGGTCGGAGGATAATCTGGCGTTCCTGGTTCCCATGATAGTGGTCTTGCGTCTGGGCCTTCTCTTCGTGGGTCGTTGGCACTGGGAAGGTGGAGGCTCGTTGGTGGTCGTCGCCGTCCTCCTTGGGCAGACGACGGCGGAGCATCGTCTAGATTTCGGTAGGTAGTGATAATTGGGTATGAATGGAATGCAGCAATGGGGTAGAAGATAGAATTAAAGGAAAGAACAGGTTAAAAAGAAATAAAGAAAGAAAGCGACAGTCGTAAACTTAAAAAATCCAACAACGCGGGCAACAGACAACGTGATCAGCGAAAATCCGGACGTCATTCTCTCTGTTCCTCGGTCTCACATTCAGCAATACTCACGAGCAACACATATAACACCCCGACAAGCAACCATAGCCCTCATGGTCCCACGATAGCCGCAAGAACAAAGAACACCGTCAACATGAGCAATGAACTTACCTACATCCGTTACAACGCGGCCCTCGAAAACACTTACGTCCCCGCCATGCGCTCCCTGATCTCCCAAGAACTCTCCGAGCCCTACTCCATCTACGTCTATCGCTACTTCCTCTACCAATGGGGCGAACTATGCTACCTCGCCATGGACAAATCGCGGCCCGAAAATGACCAGATGGTGGGTGTTGTGGTATCGAAGCTCGAGCCGCATCGCGGGGGGCCGCTGAGGGGGTATATTGCCATGTTGGCTGTGAGGGAGGAGTATCGGGGGAAGGGGATTGCAACGAGGCTGGTGAGAATGAGTATTGATGCGATGATTGAGAGGGATGCGGATGAGGTTTGTGCTCCGGTTGCGTTGTTGATTGGAGGTTGGGTGCTGATGATGGTAGATTGCGCTCGAGACGGAAATCACAAACACCGCGGCTATTAAATTGTACGAGAGACTTGGCTTCTTGCGGAGTAAGCAGTTGCATCGGTACTACCTGAATGGTAACTCGGCATATCGACTCGTGCTATATCTCAAAGAAGGCGTAGGGTCTGTCCGGACGACTGCGTTCGATCCGTACAGTGCTATACCGGGGGATCCTCTGGGACCGGTGCCGTTGCTTCAGGGGAATCGTGAGTTTGTTTGAGTTGGATATACCACTTATGTTTGGTCATCTTGGTTATGACGGCCTATGCAATGATAATGATATAGCAAGGTAATATAGATTTACATAACTTCCTTGACTGTCGCAGCAAGGATAGAAAGATTATAATATACAAAGATAGAATACAAACAGCTCAAACCATCACGCCAGGGTCAGATGAGCTGAGAAAGACTCGTCTATACTTTTATCCCACGAAACAAGAAACACGCTGACTGACGCCAATGGAAATTTAGCCAAAACAACAAACCGCCAAAATGAAAAGTCATGATGCTGAAAATCCAATCAGCTAGATCTAAGGTAACCCTTCCATTCCACAGGCACCTGGATAGCATGTTGTACCATCCATTCAGGGGGCCGTGGAACGCCCTTCCATTCAAGATCAAACAGCGCTGCTGCATCAAGCATGGTAGGCAATGGCTGCGTAGGCCGGTACCGACGACCAAGTTCGATATCACGACGGACCAGCGCCGTTGCCAACATCAGCTGTCGCTCGCGTTCTTTCCCTCCTTGGAACCCTGTCATCAGAGATTGGACCGGGTTCGAGTGAAATTTGACAGGAGTAAGTTTCATAATTTCGTCGGCGGAGGGGTATTCACTCAGATGCAGATCAACACCGACGCTAATCTTGCCGGCGTTAGAGCGCCAGAGAATATCAAGGACATTCACTTTTTTCTTCGAGACGTTGGTTGTCATGGAGCTGAGAACGGACATCTTCATCTTATCGGTGACTGCCCCGTTCATGCATGCGTATCTCCATATCACGCGGCAAATGTTGTAGCACCGGCCCTTGTAAGCGATCAGGAAGAGCTTCTCCCATATTTGCGCTTCCCTGTCCATTCGGAACCCCTGACGAGTGACATATCGAAAGACGTATAAAAGGGCTGCGTAGATATTCGCACGGCAGATCGGTAGGATCCGGAGCATAGTCGAGCTGTCGATGTTGATACCATGCTCATCGCAGATTTCGAGCAATCGATTCAAGGCGGGAAAGTTCTTGAGTTCGACAGTAGCATTGAACATCTTGTTGATCAACGATGGGGAGAACCAATTTGTTCCGTGCGTATTCTGGAATAGCTTAATATACGAATCCACGCTGTCCCCGCCCTCGAGATGTAAAACCAGTGTATCCTGGATAGCTGTTTGTAACGCTGTCCGCATGGGTCCAATCTGAGAAAGATGGCCTTTCCGCATCATGTACATGAATAGGCCCGCTTTCGCATTAGGGCTCACATGGCATTCGAGGAGCGCGACCCACGTGTTCGCGTCCGGTCGAATCTGTAGCCGAGCCATGGATATCAAAAGATGGCGAAATAGTCGGAAATCCTGTCGCCTTGCGCATGCTCTTAGGAGTATATTGAACGTATCCACTGTCGCGAGATGTTCGCACCGAAGAATAACCTCCCGGCAGGCTTTCATATACTCATGTTGACAGAAAAAGGACAACGTACTATTCAACGCAGCCGTTGAAAGAAGCCTCTGGTTTCCATCATTCAAAAATAGTTGTGAGAGGGTTCTGAGGATTCGTAAATTGTGTGGCGTTTGTCGACGCGTCTGATTCTCTTGTCTGCGATAAGGACCCGACGTTGTAGATGTCAGCAGATCCTCAACATGCTCTAAGAATCCCCTAACGGTTGTCGGTCTTTCAGAGTCCAAAACAGCCTCAATCGGCATGTGAGAGTTCTTGCCCTCATAAAAGTCCCAAACCCCGCGGATCAATGGAACCTGGGCATTATTCTGTCTCATGGCCTCTATCGATGGAAAAACCGGAACCACGGGTTTTCTGATATCGACCAAGGGATCACCAGTCTCTTGCAGACGATGCGCACGCACAATCCGATCGCTGACCAAATCTACAACCCGTGGAGACCCGGAGATGATAGCTTTGCGATAGCGTCCCACGCTTTGGCTTGGAGACAATATGTGAACCCTACAGCCATTATGAACCGGTACATACCAAATATTCTCCTTCATCGCCATGTCGTTGATGCCCGAAAGCAAGGCCACTGTTTCCTCCGGTATCAACATTGCCTTGTTCTTCGGGCCTTTCAATGTCAACGCGGGTATTTTCTCCTGGATACGCTCCAGCATCTTTTGGGTGCTATCCATCAATCCCCATTTCTGCGTTTTTCCAGTCTCCTCGCCTATTTCTTTCAAATATGACCGATATAAAAGCTTCCTCTGGTCTCTATTCGTCAACCTCTTCCGTCTCTCTCGAGCTGCCACCAACGGACGTGCGTGAGATTTGCCAGTAGCAAGCACTTTCTTTCCCTTTTCTTCCCATTGAAGCAACGGCGAACGATCGGACTCGATATCGGCGAATACATTAAATGACCTCCCGCTATTTGTCTTTGTAGTCGCCTGGTCGACTGGAACTCGGTCCCGCCTGCGTTCTATTGCCCTGTCCGTATCACCACGTATTGTTCCTGATGCTTGCACACCAGAGCCATCTTGCTTGTCCGATAGCCCCGTCGGATCTTTAGGCCGATAATTTCTCAGTGTGGCGCTAGATGACATCCATCGCAACGACGAACAACCCCACGATGACCCCCGCGGGGGACGGTTTTGCCTCGAAGGAAGAATATTCGACGAACCGCGCAGACATCTCGCAGACGCAGAAGCTGCCCGAGCAGCGGTAACACGGTTCACCGTCGTAATTGACCTCCGAGATGTGACCCAGCGCGGGTAAAGGAAGAGTAGAGGTTCATCGGGACCGACAGCGGCATTGTCTAAGACGGCTGATAGACCCCGTCTGCGTAGACAAGGTTGGCCGCGGGATAGCATGGGAGATGGGCCGCTCGTGGCGCCAAAGGCATGGATATCTGAGCGAGGGCCGAATTGGTGGTTTAAGGTGAGAAACAGAGAGGCGTTGGTTTCCTGGTCATTTTGTGGATATTCAGAGAATTGGGGTGGTTAGTTACATAAAAGGGAAGGCGGTAAAAACCGGGCCGATGGGCGGCGGTGGCAGATTGATAAAGTGACATTTTTAGGCCTAAGGTGTCAGCGGCTACCATTTTGGGGAAATGGAGACAGTGACTAATATTACACGTGATTTCCACATGGGTCTCGGGACACTTGGATGGTCCAACGTTCAACTACATCCAGGAACAACGTTTTCTTGTTATGATTATCATGACCATGAAATCTGCCAAGCTCATTTGAGGCTCACTTGAATTGCACTATCTCGCCTGAGCTGGATCTGTTTATAAGTGGACGGTAACTATCATTTCGTGTTATTGGTTGCTACTGCTTGTTTGCATTGATACCCATTTGCTTATTTATTCTTTTACTCTGGAGGCGGCTATTCTACGATTGGACTGGGGAAGCACAGTGAAAATGGCAGAAAGCGAACCGTCATACATAGACTATGAAGTCTTCCTAGACCCAGGCTTTTCACCAGCTTCCTTTGCCAACTCCCTGGTCGTAGCTACCAACAATGCCACGGATAGCCCACTGGATCTCTCAACCCCATTGTCACGGGTTCTCTTCGACCTCCAGGAGATCGACACACACATTCACACACTGACCAGCAAGTCCGCTTTGCCCCTCCTGTCACATACGCGCGACCAAACAGCGGCTGCTGGCAAGATCCTCCAGCAATCGGAAGAGCAGATCGCTGCAGTGACGCAGGGGTATGAGCGGCTGGAACGGGAGGTGCTGCGAAAGTGGGAGACGGCTGACGAGGCACGGTTAGCGGCAGAAAAATCATTGGCAACGGTGCGGCTAACAAGAACGGTTGGACGGTGCTTGAACCTGGGAAGACAACTGGAGAGCCAATTGGCGGAAATGAATGGACGTGGAAGCACTACTGCTACGACTACTAGTGGTGAGGCATCTGGGCGAGAGGACTTTCGCGCTCTGGAACGCGCGGCATACACGATTTTGAACATGCGACGGATGTTTTTGGCGACTGCAGAGGGGGAGGAGGGTCATGGGCTGGACCGGGTGAAGGTCGTGCGCACATTGCGGAGTGATCTGCTGAACCCGGCGGAGAGTTTGGTTAAATCCCGCGCACAGCAGGCCATCAATCGATTCTCCATGTCGTCTATCTCGATAGGATCGCAAGCGCCGTCAGGATATAAGCAGTCACGGGATACGCGAGCACGGTTGACGTCCGCAGTTACGACTCTGTATGTACTATCTCCCATGCCGAAGACTATGATTCCGGCGGCCGAGTATCGACCGGAATTGCTCCAATCGACGCTCCATGGCTACATGCATACGGCCATCGGGACCTCTTTGACAGCACTGTCCCGGGCATTTACCGTGCTCCCTACTTTGGAGCGCACGCTCTCAGATCTTTCTGCACGCTGCCAGGATATTGTAGCACTCGAATACATTCTTGGCAATACCAAACTACCATCTCATCCAATGCTGCTGTCGAGCTTGGAGAGGGAGACGATCGAGACGCAAGCGCCCAGGAAACCTACCAACCTTCTGCAACTGGTGCTAACCTCACTGGACACGCCATCACTGCCATCGTACTTTTGGCGGTCGCTGGCCTCGTCGCTGGCGGGGCGGGTGCAAGAAATACTGCAACGCGGGGGCGTCTCGGCGCGGACGCTGCGGTCGAACCGTGAGCGACTGCGGGGTGATATTAAGGATTGTGTGCTGCGGGGATCACTGCTTCCAACAGCATCAGGCATGGTAGATAAGGGACGAGGGGAGGAGGGGTTAACAGTTGGGAATTGGGAACGGGAGGCGGCGGTGATGATCAGTTCGGTGGCGGGAGCATTATAAATGTTACTCTGTATGTATCTTCTCTTATTATGTGTTACAGGGATTGCTTTGATAGTGTGTAATCTATACTAACGCACGGATCCAGGGGCATCCTAGGATCAGGTACTACAGCCTCATCACTATCTTGCTACGAGACGTGATACATGAATATACTCGAAACGGCTATTGCCGGGACTATTTACAGGTACAGAGTACTTGTAAGCTATGCTCTATGGCAGTCCACATAGAATAGGAGAAGGCAAAAACCCCCGCCACTTGCGGAAATGGTTGACGATTAGAGTCATCGAAGACGTCAGCATCCGGAGTTCTTTATGGTACCTGCGTGGAACTTCGGATATGACGGGTTTTTCTCTCTCTGGGGTAGGGCGTTCCGTGGTACTGCCTAGTCAGTTCCTGTGTCTAGTCACCAGATGAGTAGTGTCTGGATTCCCTCCATGTTAATAATGCTATGCTATGGTGAGATGTTAGCGGCGATACGACTCCGCATTAAGTCCGGTGCGTATTATTGTAGCTGTTCCTTGTATACAGCCCAGGTATTCCGTACCTTCAGAGTACCTTGAGATTATTAACTTCTTAAGTGTGTTTCCAGAGTCTATCTCAGCGTGGATTGAAACGATTCCGTTTGCAGCCAAGTCGCAACGGGACCGTCGGGCGTTTCAACCTGTTTCGCGGAGGTTTCGAAAGTCTAGGTCAGGCCGTTTGAATGGTGAAGTTATCATCGCCTTCTGTATACATCTCGTAGTAGTAATCAGTAGGAAGTATCAGTGTGTTAACGTCAGAGTCCGGTCGGGGCTCCGGCAAAGGAGTACGTAGACACAGGATGAGTACTCCGGAGTATAGTAAGTACATCTTCATCCCCCCTGGTGCCTTGATCTTCTTTTTATCTTCTCCTCATTCTGTTTCTCTTCCTAATTCTCCTCATTTCCTTTCTTCAACTTTATTCTTCTGTATAGTCCCTTGTGCTTTCTTAGTCGTCGGATGGTTTTTCCATCTTCAAGAGCCGCCCAGTGTGCTTGTTCTTTGCTGTCATCCCACGATCATCGTCCTTCGATCGGCTCTCAGTTGTGTGGTGACTTTATTATCTCTCTCCTCTTCTCTTTTTCTTTCTTTATTCTTCTCTTTTTTTTTTTTATCTCCCCTCCTCCCACCCCCCTTCTATCCTTTTGTCCCTCACCTCTATCTTAAGAGATGCTCGTCTCTACTTAGTCTCACTCCTTTCTCTCTATTCTTCTCTCCCTTCATACTCGTTCCCTGTCGGCCCTTGCATCGTCGGGCTCTCGGTTAGATCTCGTCATCGTCATCAGCCTCATCGTCTTTTATCATCAACAGATCTCACTAAAAATTCAACATTCCTTCTTCGTCTCTGCAAAGCATTTTTCTTTGCCTTCTTCCCCTCCCCCTCTTTCGGGGCGAATAAGATACAACTGAACTTATTTATCTGTAATCTCATTTTTTCCCCCCTGCCTCATCACCCAGAATACGAAAAGACATCCCACTACGCCATACGGAGTAATACACTAGGTACGTGCTGCTATCTATCAGTCCCTGGCCTTGACCCGCTCGCTTACTGTTATGTCACGGGCAGCTTCGCGATCGTCACTGTGATTTTTCTCCTCACTCGCAGACCAATTCCCTGAACGAACTAAACTAAACTCTCCTGAAACGGCCGGAGAACACTGGCCTCGTTGCGGCCCTTGCCCTCACCACGCCGATCGACCTCCCTCCTGCTCTCCCTCTTTCTCCATCACCTCATCCCTTCACTCCGCCTTTTCTCGCATCCTAAAAGAAAAACCTACAGCTTCAGAAAGGGTCTCTGCGCTGGTTCCGTTGGCAGGGTGACAACGAAACGGCGCCTTGCAGACAAGAAAGTAGCAGGAGAAACAACAGGAAAAAGAAAAAAAAAAAAGAAAAAGTTTCGTCCCCGAGTCTCATACCGACAGTCGCTCCCTCGCCATACATACACCCACATTTCCCTCTCCTTGAGAAATTTCCACTAAAAATCGCCTTTCCGTTTCTCTTTTGTCTCCCCTCTCCCCCCACACTATTATGTCCTCCTTTTTACCCGTCAACAATCAAATATCCTCACCGCAGGATCGTCCGATGGAGGATGCGAATACTCCGACGCCTCGCGCAAGTGCAGGCAGCGGCGCGGCCGTACAAACAAAACGAACCAGTTCCTGCGACGAGGACACCCCGCGAAACCTGAATCGCGATTACGATGACCCATCGCGGCCCACAACGTCTTCCCAACGTGCCACCCCCACAGCACCAGCGGAGGAGGGAACAATACATCATGAGTCAGATGGGGAGCACTCAGATCACGAGCCGGAGAATGGGAATGACGGCAATGCTCCGCCATCTAAGAAGAAAAAGGGTCAACGGTTTTATTGCACCGACTTTCCCCCTTGTAACCTGAGTTTCACCCGGAGTGAACACCTAGCTCGCCACATTCGCAAACATACCGGGGAGCGGCCATTTCAATGCCATTGTTCTAGGCGATTTTCTCGTCTTGATAACCTGCGCCAACATGCTCAGACGGTTCATGTCAACGAAGAAATTCCAGGTGACTCTCTCGCTGCCATGGGTACGCGATTTCAGCGACAGATCCGCACAGACCGGGTTCGTCCGCAGGGCCGTGCTCGAGCGGGCACCGGCCCAAGTTCAACACCTCATAGTCGTGGTCACAGTCGGAACTTGTCCACATCCAGTATCGGGTCCACTGCATCTACTTTCAGTCAGCCTCCGGAGATACGCCGGCGACCGACCTCGTTGATCATGCCTCATGACAATAGTGCTCGCACGCGACTAGCCTTGGATGGCATGGTCGAACCTCCTAGTACACCCCCAGCTCAGATCAGAGGAAGCATTCCTGGTCCATCGGTGGGAGGGTCGCCATACACCCCATCGCATATGTTTAGCGGTGCTCCGGAACATCTCGCGTCGCCCATGTCAACGGCATCCCAGGCCTCTGGCTTCTGGGATGGAAAGACTGCCGCCCGACGTCTCTCAGTTCCCGCAGGGATTAACCCATTCGTACAGCAGCAGCAGCAGCAGCAGCAGCAGCCCGTTCATGCGTACCCCCCGAGCTATGTCGGTACGCCTAGCCAAGCCCCTTATCCCGGTCCGGGAGGGGTTTATGCTAGCCCGGTTAGCTCTAATTATTCGCGTGATGAGGCAGAAGCGGATTTGCGTAGAAGAACTTGGCACCCGTCTACTTACCCTGCATACCAGCGGCCTGCAACAAGTGGCCTAAGCAGTTATCAAACTCCCGACGGGGCTCAACAGCAGCAGCAGCCTTCATTCAACAGTGCGAACGGAAAGGCGGAGCAGCATCCGCCTCGACTGCCTGGAATTGAGAGCTTTGACAAGGTTATTTCACAACAACGACCACTCACGCCTCCGGGTCGTCGACCGAGTCCCATGCAGATCGACAGCGGTAATCAGCAGCGACTCACGCCCAGTTATGGTTTCGGAGGAGGTTTTAACTATAATGCCCCGGCAGTACGCCCTCCGCCCCCAGTTTCGGGTCCAGGTCATCGACGAGGCCATGTCTCCTGGGATCTGTCATTGCACGCCAACTTGACTGGATTGAATATCCGGGACAAGCCATTCCAGCGCGATGCAGCCCAATGGGGCCAGCAGACTATTGCGGAGATTCAGAATGTCGCATCGCGACCATCTACATCCTACCAGCCGTCCGAACACCGAGGAAACCCTGGGCCGGGCCATGGCTGGCACAGTAGCACGGCCTCAGGATCTTCGCAGGCTACACGGACGTCTCCTGAAGACTCAAGCAGTAGCGAGGGAGTCCACACGCCCTCCACGGCATCCCTTGAATACCATCCTGCCATTGTACAGCACAATGGGTCTATCGAACCCCATGCTCCTCATCACCATAGCGCTCTAGCTTCCGAGACGTCTCAATCAGTACGCACCCGTTACCCGCCCATCATTCGATGACCCTGACAACTAATTGGACTGTAGGGTTGCACTCCATTTCCGTCTCAATCAAACGATGGCGATCATGTGAGTAATAAACACGAATCTCGATCCGATCTTTTCAATACGACCCGGGATTCTGGAATGGGCAGACTTGAAGCTTTGGTCGCTGTGGCCACAAGTGAAAACAAAGGCGCTGCCAAATTGTTCCTGTGAAACTTCTTTCGTTTCTGCTTTGCTTGTCAAAGCCGACATATATATACTCTACGACTGGATACGATCTTTTTTCTCTTATAACTCCGCTGAGTCGGTATTATTTCGTTAAGCGACTATATTTCGTTTTTGATCTCGACTGCTTAGGGTTCTATAACCGCAGATGCCGGGGGATTTATGAAGTGACGACTGATGATTGACGTGTACGTCATCTGCGATGGGTCCGGTTTTGTTTTGCTTATTTTGATTTTGTTGGAGGAATCTCTCTTCTCATCATGTTTGGATTTATTTTCGGTTTGGCTTGCATGTTTTGGGCGTATATTGCATTGACGATACCCCGGCCTCGATCTCGAGTTTCTACTACGAGGTTCTGGAATGGAGTTGTTCTACTCTGGTCGGCGGTTGTGCACTTTATGGTTGGCGGCTTGCTTGTTTCTTTTCTACTACTGCAATTTGTATATATTTCTTATGTCTCATTCTGCTATGATTGGCGGTGATTTGGTTCGTTAGCATCATCTGTCGAAGCATTCCAGATTGATAGGGGCAGATGGGGTAGTTGTGCATGGCCATAAGCTTTGATTGCGTTTCTATTGAATTTCGGTTAAGCATTACTCATTGGACAGGGAGTTAACTTCCATAACAGTGTAGCATAAAATAAAAAAGTCTCCAGTCCATGATATTTACTCCGTCTGGCGATCTCCGGATGACGTTGACGTCATGTATACAGACTGGGCACTTTCTAGAGCAACATGATACAGATGCACTCTCTATGTGCAGAACTCACCTGCATTTTAGTCCAGTGACCTAAAATAAGTTAAATAACCATAGTAGGTTACTGCCATGTAACAGCAAGAATCCTTTCAGCTATGATACAGCCGAACGTAGTAGTTAACGACATCCGGCGAAACAACGTCATCACGTTGTCATTGGTCTACAACTTTAAACCGGCTCTTTTTCGATGTTGGCTCTGTTATATACGGTTCCTTTCCCATTGTTCGTCTTCAACTCGAATCGAATCAGATCAAATCCTACTTATCGACTTACATCTCATCTTATCTATTCTGAACGAATAACAATCATGGCCCAAAGCAGAGCCCCCGTGTACCTCGGCCTTGCCGGTCTCAGTGCCGGTGCTTTCTACCTGTACAGAGCGGGTGGTGATCCCAAGACTGCCACTCAGGAATTGAAGGGTATGCTTTCCCCTCCTTGATCTTAACACTGGTGAAAAGAAGGCGGTGCTAACGTCTTACAGCCGACGCCAGCAAAGCCAGCGGTAAAGTTCCCAGCGGTGCGCGCGGAGTGGTTGCAGGCGAGAATGCCGGAGCAGAGGGCACTGCTGTTATCGATGAAGCTGTATGCCCCCCCTTCTACCCTGCATTATAAATGACCGAAGCTAATAGGTGTAGATTAACAACGCCCGCTCAAGCGGCAAACCCGACGAACGCATCCCTGAGGTCGCGAACCAAACCACTGGAAAACTTGAGGATGCTAGGGAGAAGTTGAACGCGGGAGTTGACAAGCTTGACCGGAAGGTCGAGGAGAAGGCTTCGGAGGCGAAGGGTGGGTTGTCGGGGTGGTTTGGGAAGTAGATTGTACTCTACTCTGTGGAGTTACGGTGATTGTATGATGTATTGCAACTGTATTTTTATGGTTCTCTGGGGGTTATGAGATATGCCTATCTAATTTAATGGAGCATAATGGATCTCGCTTAATTCACTGTCCGAGTACTAGTACTAAGATGGCTAGATGCATTCCGATGTCACTGACGGGGGTGCATCACCGGAGTGATGGAATGCGAGGCACGGACATGAATTTTTATCAAAATCGACTGCAATATTATCAATTCTTTTCAGCATCTATTTCTTCAATTCTAAAGACTTGATTTCAGTGTTTAATCTATCGATATTGTCAGTGCACGTCGGATGTCAGATCAAACGCGCCGCGACTCACGCGACGCGACTCCACCGTGAAAAATTACGACGCGCCCTAATTTAACCCTTCAAGACTTATACCACCTCTCCTCCTACAGTATACACTACTACCCACCACACCTTCCTATCTCATATGCTCTTATCATAAGTAATATCGTACCTTACTTATTTTATCGCCATTGAATTACGAGGGAAAGGACGACCAATGCCCCGTACCTCCTCCCGATTAGCCGCCACGCTCCCCCGGGGGCAGGTGGGAATCCAGAATTTTGCAAGAGCGACCAAGCCAGGAGCCACGACTGCTCCTTCTACAAAACTCGAAAAGCCCGCTGCCGCTCCTCCCCTTTCCTACTCGCCATCAAGGAAACGCAAGCTAGTCGAGATTGAGAATGTGGCTAGTGGAGGAGGCATTGCCGCCCCAGGGGCGGAAACCAAGGCGACCGATGAACAAAAGCAGGTCGAGGACGAAGCCGCTACACCTTCTAAAACACTTCGGTTCAATGAATTATCCGTTTCGTCGCCCCAGCTGCGCAGTGGTCATCATGTTACTCGGTCGCCGTCGGTTCGGTCTCAATTGGGTTCTACGCGTGGGTCGGTGTCGGAGGGACTTCCTCAGACGCCGTCGAAGAGGAGTCGGTCGGTGAAGTACAATACACGATCAGTACCGCTGTCGTTGTCGAAGTCGAAGTCGCAGCCGATAACGAAGGTTGTTTCGCGTCCGCCATTTTTCGATGAATTATTGAAGCTGCATTCGGCGTTTTTGAAGGCTCTTACGCTTCATTCCGCGCACAATGGTTTTATCGCTCCTGTGGATTTGAGGGAGTTTCTGCACGCCGTTGGACAGGTGTGGAGGAAGAGAAAGATTGTGGTTAAGGATTTGCAGCGCTTGGTATGGATTTGGGAACAGTCGCAACAAGTGAAGGCGCCTTTCCGATTGGCGAACTACGGGTTGGGACGTGTGTGTCTGGAACGAGAATGGACGGGACGAATCGACGAGTCCGAATGGCAAGAGCAGTTTGAACAGACCCTCGATCTCCTCTGGGAGAAGACTCTCGATTCGATTCCGAACCTAGCCGATGACGAGGAGGAAAAAGTGGCTGAAAATTTTGTCGATACACTGGGCCTTTCCCCCATCCACGAATGCCTCACCCCCCTGACCTCTTTCCGGAAGGGTCAGCAACGATTGCAGGATTTGAGGGGTGGTGTGATTCGAATGAAGACCGAGAAACTTCGGGCGGACTCTGCGAAGGATGACGATAGCCCGGCACCCAAGACCCTTCTCGATGCTACGCCAAACCGTCGCAAGAGTCTTTTGGATCGGATCAAGAACAAGGAACTTCGTCAGTCGACACTTCCGCCTCCACCGTCGAAGGACATGCTGGTTCGGCGTGCTGCTGTTGAGCGTGTTGAGGATGTTGCAAACGTGCTTGCCTCACTGCGGCCGGTTGGATATGTCGGTTCTGGAATTAAGGCGATGTTGGCTGCTCAGAGGAAACCGTTCCAGATCCCGACTATCGTGCAGCATGTTCAGGACTCTGTCCGGAACCCCATCTCCCCCCAAGAGGTGGAGATCTGTATCGAGGTTATGGCCCGCACTGACATTGCCGGGAATTGGGTGAACTTCGTCACCGTGGGAGCGGCCAAGATGATCGTGTTGAAGTCTTGTGCCGACGTTTCCCCCAAGGAACTCGCGGTCAAGGCCTATTCGATGAAAATCGGGTATGATGAAGAATCTGTTCCCAACTAACGTCTCTCATTTATCTCCCATTTGTTTCCTTTGTATATAGCGTCTGCCTTCGGGGTTTTGGGTTATTTTCTTTTATTGTTGGATATCTCATCCGTGGAGCCTGGATGCTCACGGTCGTGTTATGGAGCATTGTGCATTTATTAGCGTTGCATGTATTATAGCATTCTAGAAGTATGATAATAGGATAATCAATCAATGAATCGCTGCCTAACATTCTCTATTGATCTATGACTGTCGTATTCCACGTACCTGAACCACTAAACGCGCGACGCGTAGTACACGTGATCGCGTCGCCACTGCGCGTCTTTAGCGGCCAAATCTATCAAACGTCCCAAGACTCGACTGTCAAGATTGTGACAGTTGTCTGTCCAATATACCAGCAAGATGTCTTCCCGACCTGACCTCAAGGTAAGCTCACAGCCATTCTATACAGTTACAATGAAGTACTAACAATGAATAGGTCGACGACGAAGTCGGTTTCATCCGCTTCTACCGCTCCCTCCCTGACAATACCAACAATGAAACCATCCGAGTCTTTGACCGCGGCGACTGGTACTCAGCGCACGGCACTAATGCTGAGTTTATTGCCCGCACAGTCTACAAAACCACCGCCGTCCTGCGCAACCTGGGCCGCAGCGAGACAGGCGGCCTCCCCTCCGTAACTATGAGCGTGACGGTCTTCCGCAACTTCCTTCGCGAGGCGCTCTTTCGGCTTAACAAAAGAATTGAGATTTGGGAATCTGGAGGTACGGGCAAGGGGCAGTGGAAATTGGGGAAGCAGGCTAGTCCTGGGAACTTGCAGGATGTGGAAGAGGAATTGGGGAGTGTGGGTGGATTGGCGTTGGATGCGACAGCGCCGATCATTCTTGCTGTGAAGATTAGTGCGAAGGTGGAGGGGAGGGGTGTTGGTGTTTGTTTTGCTGATGCGAGTGTGCGAGAGTTGGGGGTTAGTGAGTTTCTAGATAACGATGTTTACTCGAACTTTGAGTCGTTGGTGATTCAGTTGGGTGTGAAGGAGTGTCTGGTGCAGATGGATTCCGGAAGGAAGGATGTCGAATTGGGCAAGATCCGGACGATTGCGGATAGCTGCGGGATTGCTATTTCGGAGCGGCCTTCGGCAGATTTTGGTGTCAAGGATATCGAGCAGGATCTGACACGATTGCTGCGCGATGAGCGCTCGGCTGGGACACTGCCACAAACGGAGCTGAAGTTGGCGATGGGTTCGGCATCATCGCTGATCAAGTATCTCGGGGTTATGTCTGATCCGACCAATTTCGGGCAGTATCAGCTCTACCAGCATGATTTGTCACAGTACATGAAGCTGGATTCGTCGGCGCTGCGCGCGCTCAATCTCATGCCTGGTCCGCGGGATGGGTCGAAGAATATGAGTCTGTTTGGGTTGCTGAATCACTGCAAGACGCCTGTGGGCAGTCGGTTGCTGGCGCAGTGGCTGAAGCAGCCGTTGATGGATATCAAGGAGATCGAGAAGCGGCATACGTTGGTCGAGGCGTTTGTTGAGAATACCGAGCTGCGGCAGAATATGCAGGAGGAGCATCTGCGTTCAATTCCTGACTTGTACCGGCTGGCTAAGCGGTTCCAGCGCAAGCAGGCTAATCTGGAAGATGTCGTTCGTGTGTACCAGGTTGCTATTCGTCTTCCCGGGTTTGTTAGCTCTTTGGAAAATGTCATGGACGAACAATACCAGACGCCTCTGGAGACGGAATATACAACCAAGCTTCGACAGTATTCAGACAGCTTGGCTAGGCTGGAGGAAATGGTCGAGACGACAGTTGACCTTGATGCGTTGGAGAACCACGAGTTCATTATCAAGCCCGAGTTCGACGACAGCCTCCGCATTATCCGGAAGAAGCTGGATAAGCTGCGGAACGACATGGACTCAGAGCATCGCCGTGTGGCACGGGATCTGGACCAGGAGGCGGATAAGAAGCTCTTCCTTGAGAACCATCGTGTGCACGGTTGGTGCTTCCGACTCACTCGTACGGAGGCGGGATGTATTCGAAATAAGAGAGAGTACCAAGAATGCTCGACGCAGAAGAACGGTGTTTACTTTACCACGTCGACTATGCAGTCTCTTCGCCGCGAACATGACCAGCTGTCTTCGAACTACAACCGCACGCAGACCGGTCTCGTCCATGAAGTTGTCGCCGTTGCCGCGTCTTACTGTCCCGTCCTGGAACAACTTGCCGGTGTGCTGGCCCATCTCGATGTCATCGTTAGCTTCGCGCATTCATCCACACATGCCCCGTCCTCCTATGTGCGCCCGAAGATGCACCCTCGTGGCACGGGAAGCACGATCCTCAAAGAAGCCCGTCACCCATGCATGGAAATGCAGGATGACATTTCTTTCATCACCAACGACGTCTCCTTGATCCGCGACGAGTCCTCGTTCCTCCTCATCACCGGTCCCAACATGGGTGGTAAATCGACTTACATCCGACAGATCGGTGTGATTGCGCTCATGGCGCAGACGGGCTGTTTTGTCCCTTGCTCTGAAGCTGAGTTAACAATTTTCGACTGTATTCTTGCCCGTGTTGGTGCTAGTGACTCTCAGCTCAAGGGTGTTTCAACATTCATGGCGGAGATGTTGGAGACTTCAAACATTCTCAAGTCGGCTACGTCGGAGTCTTTGATTATCGTCGATGAACTTGGTCGTGGTACTAGTACTTATGATGGATTTGGTTTAGCTTGGGCTATTTCAGAGCACATCGTCACTGAAATCCGCTGCTTCGGACTCTTCGCGACTCACTTCCACGAATTGACAGCCCTCGCGGAACGATATCCCAAGTCAGTCAAGAACCTCCACGTCGTAGCCTTCATCGACGGCGCGGAAACCAAACCCGAACCCGCAGAAGACGAGAAAATCAACCAACAACGCCAGGTCACCCTCCTCTACCGTGTCGAACCCGGCATCTGCGACCAATCCTTCGGTATCCACGTCGCCGAACTAGTCCGCTTCCCCGAGAAGGTAGTCAATATGGCACGCCAAAAGGCAGAGGAACTCGAAGATTTCTCATCTGCAGAGCAGCCAAATAAGAAGGAACAGCAGTCTGCTCTTGACGGATACTCTCAGGAAGAGGTTGAGGAGGGAAGTGCGTTGCTTAAAGCTATGCTGGTGAAATGGAAGGGGGAAATCGAAGCGCCTGGTAAGGAGGGCTTGTCAGCTGCTGAGAAGAGAGAAATTATGAGAGAGATTGTTAACGGGGATGAGAAGTTGAGGGCCAGTAAGATGTTTCAGGGTCTGAAGGTTTTGTAGATTTCCCTTGTCATGGTACATGGGCCATAGGGTATTTCGGGTTTAGACATATGGCGTTCAGGGTATATATGAGATCTGGAATACTTTTAATTAGATGAATATGCGTCTCATTGACTATTTCAGTAATTATATTGATTTAATGCTTTAATTACCGTCATACTTCCTCAGAAGTCACATGACAGAGCTCCCGGTCTAAACGCTGATCCTTCCCTTTCAGGCATTTGGCACTTCAGGAACGAACCTCATCTCGCGACCTGCTGTCCTTCTCTATGTCCACGAAAACGCCCGTTTACTCCCTACCCAACAATTGACCTACACATGCCTGCTATCGGTATATTGCGGCTCCAGAATAAACCCTCCGGCTCAGCAATGCGCGCAACCTAAGGGTCGACGTCAATCGCGGACACGAAACCTCTCGAACGGAACGGCTCGAATTCATGCACCCCTTTTCCATACTTACACTCGGTATCTTCGTAGCGGGGTATATCACCGCGAGGTGGGATCTGGTCACACGGTTATATGAACTTGCCATTTTCGCATGGGATCACGGTGTTGTGGTATGTCCAGTCCAGGCTCTGTCCCCAATATACGTGCGGCTTTGACTGATCGATGATTGATATGTGCTAGACTCGAACGGCTAAAGGATTCGTATTTTTATCCTTCTTCTTTTTCCTCCTTGTACTCCCTATAAATCATCTCGCTGCGCAAGAGGGCCAATTGGTATGGTTACTTCGTAACATCTTCGGGGAGCGTGGCTGACGTGGGGTGTAGCATCCACGACAAGTGAAATTGGGAGTTTCTGCTCGGGAACAATTACGCCGTCGGGGTTCTTTTTAAGCACAATTAGAGGATGACAACATGATCATGAGCGATGGATTGCTACGGGTGTTTTGGCCATATGATCTCCCGCGCTCGTCGGCGCCAGGGGTGGTTGTTGGATGGCGGAACTCGGAGCTAGATTTGTTTGTGCTTACAGTGTTGGAGGATGTGGAGGTGAGTTTTTTTGTCCTAGGTTCCAGTGCATATATTTGCAGGGAGGAGCTGGCTAACTGATCACGGTGGTCATAGCCTCGGAATGTCGACAATGCACTACGCGCCGGAATCCTCTTTCGCAATAGCCCCCATCCTATCGTACAGATTTTCAACCTTTGTGGAAGGTCGATGATGCATGTTCTCGGGACGACGAATCCAAAACATTCGCCTACAACATTTAAACCATCAGACCTATACGTTACAACCCCGCCATCATGTAGGGTGCCCCAAATTTATTGTCCGCCAGAGGCGAATCTCTCAGTTCAAGTCATCATGTTCCACCGTCCGCATCCGACCCGAATGGAGTATATGTCGTTGAACCCGATCTCACTTGCGTTGGGCGACAAGACATCAACTGCTGAGGGATCCGGCGGGATGACCAAAAGCGACACAGAGGAAGCGCATGAAAAGGTTCGATCCGGGAAGTTGGTTGAGAAACTCAAGTTCCACACGGTAGTCAAACACGTGCCGTCGCAGAAAGAGCAGGCGCTCCCTCTCATCATTAACCAGGCCAATTGCGCATACGAGATGGGGAAGCTCATGGAGAAGAATAGCCACCTGGTTGGAACCCGCGCGAAAAGGAGCATGAGCGTTGGAGAGCGTGTGGTGGAATCCGCTACGACTATATGGGATCTCTTTGTTCTTGGTATCTCTTATGTATTCTGGCAGTGGTTTTGGCCTGTTATCACTCGACTTTTTGTCATTGGTCTTGTGTTCCATCGCGGAGTCGCGGAGGTGGTTTTGCAGGTTCTTGAATGGCGCGCCCGTCCTGATGCCGCTGCTGTGAAAGACATATCAGCAACGGCCCAGCAGGTAGATATCCGGCTTCAGCAATTTTGCTACTGGCCCATACAATATGTCAAGTTACGCCAGAGGAAGGACAATTGGGAGAGCGTTACGACGAGTCATCCAGATTACATCCGGTTTTACAACAGTCTTTGGCTAGTTGCCAATGATGTGATTATTGGAATTGCTTTGGGATCGTACATCATTGATAACGCGAACTGGGTGGCTTTCCAGATCAATATTGTCCTCAGTGGCTGGACCGTTGAGGGATTGCAAGGGACAATTTCGTGGCTGATGGATTGGCCGGCTGGATTGAAACTCAATAATGAACTGGCTGCTTTCTTGGGTGACCTTTTCTTATGGGTTATAGAGAATTGGGCTGGTATGTCGATGCTTTTCCTCTTGCTCATGTTAAGGCTAACGGGTAGAAGCATGCATTGCAAATCTACAACCTTATCTTCCTCGCGTCATTTATGTTGTGGGATGCTCAAGCTTTGCTGGAGCAAGCATGCCCATAGCGCTCTTCTCCGACCTTGTCTCCATACTTACTGTTCATATCTACTCCTTCTATATCGCCTCTGCCCGTATCTTCAACTGGCAACTTACCATTATAATATCTCTTTTCCATCTGTTTCGCGGGAAAAAGCGAAACGTGCTACGCAACCGTATAGACTCATGTGATTACGATCTTGATCAACTTCTCCTCGGAACAATCTTGTTCACCGTCCTCTTCTTCCTTCTGCCCACCGTCGTTGTCTTTTATCTTACTTTTGCATCCGCGCGGATGCTGATCATCTCACTGAAAGCTGCGTTGGACACCTGTCTGGCGTTTTTGAATCATTTCCCGCTTTTTGCGTTGATGCTGCGGGTTAAGGATTCGAGACGATTGCCAGGCGGTATTCGGTTTGAGCTTCGGGAGGAATATGACAAGTCAAATCATATTTCCCCCACTACTATGTCCTACATTCATCTCGAGGTATGTCTTCTCTTCCACTTCGCCTTCACAAAAACAGCTGACAGGCGAAAAGTCTATCCCTCTTCCCCTCCGTGCAATGTTCGATCAATACTTCCAACTAGGCCATCGTCTTCGAAAACACTATCTTTCTCCACGAGTTATCTTTTGTCTCGTGACCGGCCGCTTTGTACCTCCTATCCACCGCCGCAACCTATACAGCATGCAATATAGCATGTTACCAGCGCGCCGGGCCGGAATGGCAGAGGTATGGGCCATGTTGACCCAGCCCAAGAAGGGCGGCAGTGGAGGTAGTGGTTCGTCGTCAGGCGGAGGGATGAGTACAGGAGGAAATGGGTTACTCAAGGTTCCAGCGGGATTTGGACAGGGAGATGCTAGGAGACGTGGGCATCGATGATTCCTCTTCTAAAAAAAATAAACGCACTATAATGTCCAACACCATATCTTCTACGCCGAATGCGGCTTCCATAGCCTGCCAATCTTATCAGACCAATGCCATATCGCCCAGATCGACACCGTGACAGCCGTCAAGGGAATCGTAATGATCCAGTAAATCCAGAAATGATTCGAAACGGTGAATTCTTCCTCTGATCCCATGTCAAAGAAGTTCATTCCGAAGAGGCTCTATATGCTTGTTAGTTTGATTTGTCCACTGTCCTTGGTTGTTGGGACTCGGTTGGGATTTTACCGAGACATATGACCCTGGTACATAGACCAAACTGACGATTGCGATGGTTTTCATCATGGCGTTGTCGCCTTGGGCATTTTGGCCTAGGTTTTGGGAGACGATGTTGAATGCCTATTCGAGTCAGCAATCGTTCACACCAGAAGAATAAGGTAGAAGGATGCTCACCAAATTGATTTCGTTCTGCAACCTCTCGCTCAAAGATGCGGACCGCGTCTTCAGCGAATGTATCTCCTTAGCCAAAAACAGCAAATCCTGCTTGTTTTGAAGGCAGACCATGCGATTCCGTTTGGCAGTTCCAGTGTTACCGTCATAGTACTCCGTTTTCCAGCATATCTGTGCCTGAACCAGTCGGTCCAGTGTATGCTCAGCGACCTGTAGAGTCTCATTCGCATGCGAAACATGACGTGCTATATCGTGTAGGTTGGGGAAATTGGGCGCCGGGGGTTTCTCCTGATTTCGAGCCTGCGTAATCCGGAACATTGAAGATTTGGAATCAATTAAATCGCTCTGGACTGTCGTAGCCGAAGACATGGATGTAGAAGTATGATCAGGACGCACCTTTTCCACTGGCCGTACAAGGTTCCGTATTGACCAAACTGTATCATCGTAGAGGAACTTTACCTGGCGAGAGAGAATCGTGTGCCAGATAAATGGGTTCTCATTGTCGTGACGAGAGTAGGAGAGTGATTTTTTGATTATCGAATCTTCGGCGTTGCTGGGGAGATCGATGAAGAAGACTACCTGCTGGCCGGTTTTTGCGTGAAAATGGACTAGGGCTGATACTTGGAGCCAGTCGTAGGTGATTTCTGGGGATTTTTCGTCTGCGTCGATCTTTTTGATTTTGAAGCAGCTCCATGATACTACATACTGTATCAGTAGTGTGGGTATCCTGGGGGACAGTGGGACTAACTATGACTTGCTATCTTGCCCTCTTCGTCGATTATATACCTCGAATGAAAGGAGCCGTTAAGATCGGCGTTGATGACGGGGTAGAAGTCATCGGGGAAGTATATGTATTTCTCTGGGGTATTACAGGTCTCGATTGCTTTTATTGTTGTGAATCTATTGTACGTCAGAAGAATGCGTATGGTGGCTGATGGACGGGGAAATGGCATACATGACAGTTGTGGAGCGGCGAGTTGCATTCTAGTACTCATCAGCAAGCCCAGTACATATTGGTTATCAGAAGCATTTACCTGGATTGCATGGCATAACTTTGAGCATTCTCCTTCCCAGTCTATGCCTGCAAAAAGTCAGTGGTTGGCTTTTGGCAGTACATATGTTGAGATGTACACACCATGCGGATGGTAGACCCTAACGTTGTCGGCAATTAAGCACGTACTCCATCGTGTACCTCCCTCATTACTGCTTGGTGACGGCGAGGATAGATTTGACATAACATGTGACATTATATATAACGATTTTATGGCCAAGAGTATATTGCGGCCCAGAACAGAAAACGAAAGAAAGTGGAATGTTGGGTGAGGATCTTATCCCAACCCAAGTGGCAGTGTATGTTGATTGCTGCGGCCTTGTTTGTCTTCAGCCAACCATCTGAGATATATACACATGTACGGTGGAGAAGTAAGCGCCAAAATGCGGAATAACGCCTTGCCAATGAATTAAATCAAAACTCCGTATGAGCACAGATATCCCAAATGGCGCCATAAACAAATGTACATAAGTTCGTATTTATCCAAGAGCAATCAAAAGAGGGGTGATCCAAAATAGAGAGCGAAAAAAGCAATTATTCTTTTCGCAGGAAATCGGTGTCGCTCTCTCTGTTGTTCCTCCGCGCTTCTTCGACCATGCCTTCGATGCCCTTTTCTTTAAGAGCCCTCTGAGAACGGTTAACAAGAAATTGACGCATAGAGAAATGGTCGCATACATTCAAACATGTTTTATACTTGGAGAAGAGGTCCTCGCATTCGTTCGATGAGGTTTTGCCTCGAAGGTATTCTTCATATGTCAATAAGAATCATCCTCAAGTCGATGGGTGTTCTAGACATACTCTCACTGTACCACTTGAGGAAACAAGTGTCATATTTTCTAAATTGACGGTTAGTAGTTTATCATCTCAGCGATAGTAGCGAGCTCACTCTTTGATATCGTTGCACTCCGGAGCTATCGAAGCTGCCATCGTGTTATTGTTCAACGGCGACGCTTCCCGATTCCCCGCACTATCTCCCATTACCAATGTCGTTTATTGCCAATGCCTATAATCTAATATGAAAGGAATAAATCAATTGACCAAGCCCTTGTAGTTAATTCTTCTGTAGAGCGGATCGTCGTTATGTCAGGATTTCTAGAGCTAATCTAAATATAGTAGGCGGTCAGTGCCGATTTCGCCGGCCAAGATGTTTCTCCACCTCCGAGGAATTATTCTTGCATTTTTTCATTTTCAAGGTGAAATTCTCTGATTATCGCCAGCACCTTCTACGCCGTTATTATTATCTTATTGTTTCTGGCAGGAAGGCTGCAACTGGTCTGGCTGCAACCATGGACTCTGCGGCGGATTTCTCCCAGTTTGATGGACAGTTAAAGTCGTCACTACTGCAGGTCACGCGCACGATTAACCAGCTCTCCGCGGGAGATCTCACCTTCCACCGTTCTACGAACAGAGAACTCGACAAATCCTTCAACGAGGAAAGCGGAAGACTTATTTCCTTGACCTCGTCACTCCTCAAGGCCGCGACGACAGGAACGGATCTGCGACCGCCGAAGCTGCGCAACAATGAAGAATCGCTCGAAGACAACTGGAACGGCGTAGTGGATGTCATTGATGCATTGCTGGAACGGGCAGACGCGTGTCTGGATGAATTCACCGGCGTGATCAAGAAATTGAGTCCTTCGCAGGAGGATCAGAGTGCGAAGGCTGCTGCGACGAGGAAACCGACAAACAAATTCCCTACCGTTTACGATTACGGGCCGTCGAAGATCCCCAAACCGCAGTTGTTATTCGAGCGCAAGACAGATGCTGCCGATGAATCGCCTTTCCGGCCGTTGCTTAAAACTAAGCCGCATGCGATTGTTCCGTTGGAGGAGTCCTTGAAATCGGACGAGTCAGGTGGCTATAAGAGCCCTTACGAAACGGAGATTCGCGCCGCCAAATATCCCTCCTCGACATATGGCGTTTCTCCTCCGATTGACTATCTACCGTTTAATTCGACCAAAGCTACGTTTGTGGATACAATGGAAGGGGTGATGGAGATGTTGGGCGAGCTGAAGGCAGCAAAGGAGATTGCGATTGACTTGGAACATCACGATGTGCATGCGTATCACGGTCTTGTATCACTGATGCAAATCAGTACTCGAGAGAAGGACTGGGTTGTTGACACGCTCAAACCCTGGAGAGAAGAATTGCAGATGCTGAACGAGGTGTTTGCCGACCCGAGCATTCTCAAGGTGTTGCATGGTTCGTCGATGGATATGATTTGGCTGCAACGTGATTTGGGCTTGTATATTGTGGGGTTGTTTGATACCTTCCATGCTGCTAGCGCGTTGGGTTACCCGAAACGGAGTCTTAAGTACCTTTTGCAAAAGGTTGTTAACTTCGAAGCTGACAAGAGGTACCAAATGGCCGACTGGAGAATACGCCCCCTTCCCGAAGGCATGTTTGACTACGCTCGCTCGGATACCCACTATCTTCTCCATATTTTCGATCACCTCCGCAACGAACTTGTTCAGCAATCGACGCCCGATAACAACCTGATCGACTACGTTCTAGAACAGTCGAAGAACGAGGCTTTGCAGCGCTATGAGCGCCCAGTGTACGATGCAGCCACCGGGCAAGGGGCAGGCGGCTGGTACGATTACTTGTGCCGCAACCCGGCGGTTTTGAGCAAGGAACAATTTTCCGTCTTCCGGGCAGTCCACCAATGGCGTGACACGGTGGCCAGAGCCGAAGATGAGGGCGTGCAGTGCGTATTCCCCAAGCACATCCTATTCAAGGTAGCGCACATCATGCCGCTTGAGATGGGCACGCTGCTCAAGGTCCTTTCGCCCGTTACACCGATTACGAAGAACCGATCATATGAACTTTTGGAAGTGATCAAACAAGCCAAGATCGACGGTGCCAACGGACCTGAATGGCGCGACTTTATCAAACCTGCCAAGCACACAGCCGACGCTCAGATAGCTGCCGAGTCTGATCTTCTGGAGATCGATAATCCTATTGCTGAGCGGTACGAAGTATCGCAGTTCTGGGGTAATGCGCTGGCAGCGCAGCCCCAGGAATCGCTCACACCGCCTGCGTATTCTGCCGTGGCATCTGCAGAGGCGCTACGGCTTTCTTTACCGCTACCTCCCATGCCAAAGACGGTGACGGAAGTTACTACGGCTAAACCACCGTCTCCCAAATCCGCTGCACCCGCACCCGCACCTGAACCGACAACAGAGGAGGAACAAGAAGACCCGAACAAGCCCTTCACCGTGAAAGAGAAGGGCGGGCCACGCAAGCGCAAAGCGGAACGTACACCAGGTACAGATGCGACCTACCCGTCCGATGAACCCGACATTCTCTCTCTGGATGTAACCGACGAAACCATGAAGCCCAAGCTCTCCAAATCCGAAAAGAGGAGGGAAAGAAAGAAGAATAAAGCGCCCAAGTTGGAACAGGACCAATCAGAGGAAGCGCCGTTTGACTACGAGGCTGCGGCATCTGTGCTGCATGCACAGCCTGCGCAGCAAGAAAATTTGACACGGCGGACGAAGAAGAAGCCTTTCAATCCGCAGTCGAAGCTGTTGGAAACGCCGGCTGGAGCGCGCAAGTATCAAAGGGACATTCCTGGAAAGCAGGCTACATATCGGTAGATATGGTATATTTTTTTTTTTTTTTTTTTATAGTCCTTGCATAGTGTTTTTTTAGCGATACCCGTTCAAAAAAGGTATTATGGTTACAAGATCAACGACCGCGACCGTAGAGCGTCTTTCGTCGCTGCTTGACCATGTAGGAGTACATCATGATGGCGCCTGAATCGTTAGCATCACACCTAGTATGGTGGAGGCGGGGCAAGACTTACCAGGCACATATAGCCCCAGACAGAAGTAGTAAATCAGCGACGATGTAGTATCAGCCACCCGCGCAGCACTATACATCAAGAACCACTCACCCCCAATGCCAATGGGGTACAGCACAAAAAACAACGAATACCGCAACCACTTCAACCACCCAGGCACAGTAACCGACCCCGTCAACAAAATCACAAAATACGAATACCGCACAACATCCGCCAATGACCAGGCAAAAAGCATAGCCGCATAGACACTCACCCCGAGTCCGAGCCCGGGCTCGGGTGCATGTCCGACTCCGACCCCGGAGGCCGGAGACGAAGAGAAAAGTTGTGGGTAACCCCGGTCAATGGCCCATACCTGGACGCAACGGGTGAAGACCTGCGTGAAGGTTGTGAAGACGGGGGCGCGGGTTATTCCTACATACTGTTAATTTTATTTTCCCTAAAAGACGTATTTTGGGGAGCGAGTAGTATGTACCCAATGCAGCGTGAAGGATTTCGGCAATGGCCAGAGATTGAGTACCCCGGGCCCAGGGTTCGATGGATGGGTACAAAGAGGAAGTGGATGTGGTGAGGGTGGAGACGAGGATTCGGCCCCAGAGAGCGGCGTTGAGGGAGTTGTAGAGGGTGAGATAGAGAGACTTCATGGTCATGCTCATTACTGGTTGTGCAGTGCAATAATGTTATGGGCTGTGGTGGTAAGAGTTTTCATTTTCATCTGCAGGTAATAATTTCCAGGGCGGTCTGAACCATTAATGCGGAGAGCCGATCACCCCTGAATCGAGTCCACATCAGGCTGTACCAGAGAGCAGAGTAAAGCATTCATATCGGAGGACAGGAATGAATACTCCAGAGTAGGAAAATGCAATGTCGTTGGCCATGGGTGATTTACATAAAAAGTTAGCAGTGATCAGACGATCCGTGGTTGTCATTTCTCACTCTATATATATGATGTCATCGAGTCGGGGCATTGATTGGCCGTGCACGACGCAGGTACCGCATTCCCCTGATTGTACCAGGTGCAGATTGAGTGCAGAAGATATCAAAAAGACACGGAAAGGAAACGCGTTACATTGCAGGACCCGTACAAGTACAAGTACAGTACCAGTACATGCTCAATTAAGCGAATGATAGACATCTTATCCACACGCTTTGACCGAGGCCACTGATAACCGCTGTCCCAATCGGGTTAGTGTGTCAATCAATCCACGTATGGATCCCAAAAGAGTAAGAGGTTACTCTCGACACCGGCTGAGCGATGAGATTAATGCAGTGAGAAATGCCCTCGTTCTACACAGTAAGAGGCAATTTCATACAAAGTACGACGCTCGAGGCATCGTTGTAATTCAAACTAAAGGCAAAACAAAGACTGCGGCAGGTGATTGCCCTTGCATTGGCCTGCATCGACCCTCGCACCGGCGTCAGAAACGTTGGAGGCAGTAAAGTCGCACCGGTCGGATGAAAATCTTCCGTTGTGTATAGAGTAGATAAAGCATGCATGTATAAGTGTATTATGATCATTATTATTCTCATTATACGATTACAAGTGATTACTTGGGAGTTGGCTGGGGTGTACTCCGTACTTATACTTAAGGTACTCATGCTTATGGATCCACCGCCCTCATCCCTAACACTAACTTAATCAATCCCCTCTCCCCCATCTATCCCAACCCTGTCTTTTTTTTTCCTCTTTGTTTTTGACCCAGTGCTCTCCTTCTTTCTTCTTCAGTCATTTCTCTCTCTGTTTTCTTCTTAAAACACTCTATCATTCTCTCACTGTTATTGTCACTGTCTTTACCAATAGGCAATCCGTTCCTGACCCAAATCCCCATTCTTTAATCAGCCCCCATCTCCTGGCTCTTGCGCTCCCTCCCCTACTTTATATCCGACTACTGCTACACTCTGGTATGTATATCTTAAATTCAATACTCTGCTATATCTGCCTCGCTTGACTCATTGTTTTGTTCTCTTCTGTTTCTTGTTTTTGTACTCTCTAATACGGGTCTGAATCGCATCCACACCCCCCGTTCTTCAACTCCTTTCTCTGCGGATCCTGAATCCACTCCCCTCTCCCCTCTTGTTTCGACTCGACCTTTTTTTCTCTCTCTTTTTTTCTCTCACACACACACATCGGCTTCTCTTACTCTTTTCTCTTTCTAATAATATTCACGACTGACTTGTGATCGCTCTTCTATGTTTTAGAGGGATTTGCTCCATTGACAAACACAGCCGTTGTCGTTCTCCCCGTCCAGCCTCACTCTTTCTCAAACGCGTGCGATAAGGAGGTACGAACTTTGCGTGATTGGCGCCCAATGTTCCATATCTCTTATATCCTAAACAATCGGATTCTAAACTTCTCTCGCAGAAATCTCAGCAACAATAGGTCAACTTGTCAGCCGTGGAAAGCAAACTCAACCCCTTCGCTGATCGACCGGTCGCTGGCGCCCTGTCGTAAACTCTTCGACTCGCGCCGCTACCCTCTCCCACCCTGGGACTCACTTCACATCTAATAATGCCCGTTGCTACGATGCTCCAACCGGCCTCGAGAACTTCTACCTCTTCTTCGTCATCGTTCCAACCCATCACCCGCCAGAACACCATGTCTTCTCACGACACTCGGTCCCTCCGTCAATCCAAGCGGATGTCGGTCACGGCCTTGTACCTGTCCATGTCGGCCAAGGACCGCGACTTGGAAATTTCAGATGACCTTGCCAAAGGTAATTACACTCTGTACTCGTTCGCGCAACGTTTAATTGACAATGTACAACAGCCCAGCGGCATTTGCGCGATCTGAAAACGAAAATCTCCTCCCAATCCAAGAAGAACTTCGTACTCGAAAAAGATGTGCGATATCTCGATTCGCGGATAGCTCTGCTGATTCAAAACCGGATGGCGCTGGAAGAGGTAAGTCAATTTCCTTCATTACGGCTCGCGATCGTGGATACTGACTCTGATCTATAGCAAAACGAAGTCGCTAGCCACCTAGACGACACCGCGGATCCGCAGGAGGGTTTCTTTCCCAACGATGATAAGACTCAGAAATATGGAAACTTGCTCTTCCTTCTCCAGACCGAACCCCGTCACATTGCCCACCTTTGTCGACTTGTCTCTATGGCGGAAATCGATTCCCTTTTGCAGACTGTCATGTTCACCATCTACGGAAACCAGTACGAGAGTCGCGAAGAGCATCTGCTGCTGACTATGTTCCAATCGGTCCTGACCTACCAATTCGACAACACCCCAGAGTTCTCGTCGCTCCTACGTCAGAATACACCCGTGTCGCGCATGATGACCACCTACACCCGTCGCGGCCCCGGTCAAAGCTACTTGAAACAGGTTCTCGCCGACCAAATCAACACATTGATCGAGCTGCGCGACGTCGACATGGAAATCAACCCGTTGAAGGTCTACGAGTCCATGGTCAAGCAGATCGAAGAGGAAACCGGGTCCTTGCCCGACGACTTGGCCCGATCTGTCACGGCAGAGACGGCCGCGGAGAACAAGCAGGTACAAGCTATTATTGCGTCGCGGTTGGAGATGTTGACGAAATTCGCGAATGCCTTCCTGACCACCATCATCAACTCGGTCGATGAGGCTCCTTACGGTATTCGGTGGATTTGCAAGCAGATCCGGAGTCTCACGCGGCGCAAGTATCCGGAGGCGCAGGACCAAACTATCTGTACGCTTATTGGTGGATTCTTCTTTCTGCGCTTCATCAACCCTGCCATTGTCACTCCCCGCTCGTACATGTTGATTGATGCGACACCCACCGAAAAGCCCCGTCGCACGTTGACCTTGATCGCCAAGATGCTTCAGAACTTGGCCAACAAGCCCTCGTATGCCAAAGAGCCGTACATGCTTGCACTCAACCCGTTCATTGAACAGAACAAGGAGCGCGTGAACAAATTCATGCTCGACCTCTGTGAAGTGCAGGATTTTTACGAAAGCTTGGAAATGGACAACTATGTCGCTTTGTCCAAGCGGGATCTCGAGTTACAGATCACGCTGAACGAGATGTATGCGACGCATAGCTTGCTGGAAAAGCACAGTGGAGCCTTGGCGGCTGCAGACCAGCACTCGCATCTGCAGGAACTTCTGCAGGAATTAGGCTCCGCACCGCCTCAAGTCCCACGCAAGGAGAATCGAACAATCACTGTTCCTCTCTTTAGTCGCTGGGAAACGGCCTTGGATGACTTGACCTCTGCTCTTGATATCACGCAGGAAGAGGTATGCTTCATGGAGGCCAAGTCGACCTTTGTCCAGATCCTTCGGTCCCTGCCACCAAATTCGCTGATCGCTCGTCGTCCACTCCGCCTTGATCGCATTGCTGAGGCTGCAGCCACCTTGCGGAATGATGCAGTGATGGTACGCAAGGGAATCCGCACCATGGAGCTCCTGAGTCAACTGCAGGAGCTGGGCGTTATCGATCGGGCGGATGACTTTGGTCTGCTCCGGGATGAAGTAGAGCAAGAACTGGTGCACCTCGGGTCTTTGAAGGAGAAGGTATTGGACGAGACCAAGAAGCTTGAGGAAGTCTTCTCGACCATCCGTGACCACAATGCGTACTTGGTGGGTCAGTTGGAGACCTACAAGTCCTATTTGCACAATGTCCGTAGCCAGTCGGAAGGCAAGTCGCGAAAGCAGCAGAAGCATCAAGAGCTTGGTCCCTACAAGTTCACCCACCAACAGTTAGAGAAAGAGGGTGTCATTCGGAAGAGTAATGTTCCAGAGAACCGCCGTGCCAATATTTACTTTAACTTCAAGAGTCCTTTGCCGGGTACTTTTGTGATCAGTTTGCACTACAAAGGTTTGTTTCCCTCTCTTCTCTTCCTCCCCACTACGTCTTAATGGTGCACGCGCTCACTCTCTTGACAGGCCGTGCTCGTGGCCTTTTGGAGCTGGATTTGAAGCTCGACGACTTGCTGGAAATGCAAAAGGACAACCTTCAGGACCTCGACCTCGAGTATGTTCAGTTCAATGTCACGAAAGTGCTTGCGCTTTTGAACAAGCGGTTCGCTCGCAAGAAGGGCTGGTAATTATACACCCTTCCACCACTTGATGTTAAACGACGTCTTATGAAAAACTAGAACTACTGAATGCCAACGAATCGAAAGGAGAAGAGACGAAAATACCAAAAAAGAAGCAAAAAAATTCCCGAAGATCCCTTTTCTCCCTTGACGAACGATGACCGAACCTCCCCTCCAGCATTTACGTTCTACACAACAGCACGGACCGGATGGGTTTGGGTTGACTGATTATATGTTACGACCTGAAGATGGACGCCTCTCCTATATCTATATCCCGATCTATCGAAGTATTGGCCCGAGTGGACGATCGAGACGACTCGTCGCATATTTGGACCTTTCGTTATCCTTTTCTCCGGCTTCATGACTGAGCTGAGGAACTATTTTATGATTCCGATGGATAAGGACATTCCTGCTGGTTCAGGGATCTCGTATGTTCCTAGGGATGTTATTCATTTTCTTTTCTACCTGTGTTATACCCGTTACATGACTTTTTCTGTATTTCTTGTTTGATGTGTGTTCTCTGATGACTTGATTGGCCTGTCTTTTTTCTCGCAAACTTATTACCGGCCATCGATTGTTTATATTGGCATCGTTCCAAGGCCCGCCCCCTTTTCCTGTAATCTTAGTCGTGTGGCGGTTTTCTACATTGCCGTCTAATTTTTGGTGACCCATCTCCTTTCTTGCGTGTGGATTAGATCGGGATCGACGCCGTGGCCATGGTCACTGTGCTTGGCTGCCCATGTGGATGTCTCGTTTTCGTTTTCGTTTTTGCTCGATTGTTGACTTCCTGTTGAATGTGTTCAATCAATACCCGTATGATTATTTTGTCGTGCAAAAGCTTATATATATGCAGGATGTATGAAATGTGTGTCATAGTGTTCTATTAATGTTATCTACCATACTCAATATCCCTAACATATCTTCGAAAACTGTTCAACCCTACACCCCTGGGACGGGATGTCCCTGAATTGACAGGCACCCGGCATGTGTACTAACCGGCAAGTAACCTACGACAGGTGGCTCCAGTGTAGGGCAGGGTCTGGCCAGTGTGCTGCCCACAATTCATCTTGGCCTACTCCGCAATGTCCGTTACTAGCACCGAACGGCGCCTGGCTCCGTCAGGGTCTATCTACCGAGTCAGGGACAATCTCAACCTGATTTGGTTATATCGTTCGGAAGTAAATTTGGATTCTGGAATTTGAAATACTGCTTGTGGCCACAGTCGGAGTTGTCGGAGTTAATTGAACAAGATGCCGTGATATCATGCCTTGAATGATAATCTCGATATTAAGGAGAGTAACTATGGGGAGACCATGATATATATAAAGATAAAGTCTGCACGATGCTGCAGCTTTGGTATAGGGTTTTCTATATATATTTGTGTATCTTATACATACAGTTGCATAGACAATGCCAAATTTAATGCTCGCGGGCCTGGCCCTCTTGGCCGCCGAAGCCACCGCCAAGACCTGCTTTAACAGCACCGTGGAGATCCCTATTACATCGCGCAACGGCGTCTTCGACAACCTCAGCACACCCAAAACCAACTTTGAGGCCGCTGCGTTTGCAATCTCCGCTACTCGTCAGGGTGCCAATGGCACGGAGCAGGCGCTGACTGACTACGCTACTATCTCGAAGACATACAAGATCTCGACGCAGTATTGTATGCCCGATGCTTCCAGTCGCGATGCTCCGCTACAAATCTTGACGCATGGAATTGGGTTTGATAAGACGTGAGTGGTATCTTCGTGAAGTTGAAGGGCTGTTACTTATTTTGGCAGTTACTGGGACCTCCCATACCACGACTTCAACTACTCATACATCGACAATGCCCTCTCGCATGGCTATCATACCCTCTCCTACGACCGCCTGGGCATTGGCAACTCCTCCCACGGCGACCCCAAGAACGAAATCCAGGCCTTTCTGGAAGTCTCCGCCCTAGCCCAGATCACCCAGATGACTCGCAATGGTTCGTTCCCGGGTATCCGCCAGAAACCGCAGAAGGTCATCCACGCCGGTCACTCGTTCGGCTCGGGTCTGACATACGCCTTGTCTGCCATGTACCCCAGCCTCACAGACGGTATCGTCCTGACCGGGTTCTCGTTTAACATGAGCTTTAGTTCGTACTTTGTCGCTGGTGCGAACTTCCATCAGGCGAATCGGGTTTTCTCGTCGAAGAACACTTCCTCGTCGTATTACCCGCCTGGTTACCTGGTGAGCTCGAACGCCGTCGCAAATGAGTTCCTCTTCTTTACACCACCGTACTTCGACCCCAAGCTCCTTGCATTCGCGGAGCAGAACAAGAAGCCTGTTGCCATTGGTGAGCTTTTGACTATGGGTAGTGTGCCTATGCAGAGTCCCTTCAAGGGGCCGGTTCTGATTATCACCGGTTCGAACGATGTCCCCTTCTGTGGTGGCGATTGTCTTAACACCGGCGGTGCTGCGGAGTCTATTCCTGCGCAGGGCAAGGTGGCGTTCCCGTCTGCGAAGGCGTTTGAGGCGTACATCCAACCGCACACGGGACACGGCCTTAACCTGCACTACAATGCCACGGGGGCTTATGAGGTTATTGCTGGATTCTTGAAGAGCAATGGGTTGTAAGAATGAGGGGTTTCGGGTTTATATACGGGATCTTTGGATCTAATCTAATCTATTCTATCTAATCTTGATGGAATGTTTATGATACATGAGTACATAGTTTATGGCTGTGCTGTTAATATTAATCAATTCGAGAATGTCTCCAATTCGTTGGGGCTGCTGCCATTTACCACATTTTCCGTCTTGAAATCTGAAGTGCCACTCAAAAGGGGCTGTTGGACGATGGTTTTACAATAATAGCAATGATAATTATCGATAATTGCCTCGTTGATGTGTAAATAATGCATAGTTGCTACGGCCTAGTGTTTTCGGAGCAGAGACCCAACTGTCAAATCCCCATAGAGTCGGTCTGTCTCTGACAAGTCATCAAGAACACGATTAAATTATTCTGGACTTTAATAATAATTTTTATTCCCTAACACTCCTGACCATTCTCAGTCCATCTGCAGAACACGCTCTGGCCTCGTCTTTACCGCCTACTGGACCACCTCCCCTCCGCCTCCCCCCTTAACATTTCAATAATCTGTCCCATCCACCGACCGTCTTGTTCTCTTCCTCTTTTCCCTCTCCACACTTTCTATTCTGAACCGATTCTCGATTCTTGATTTTCTGTCATTCACGACAGCCATCTGAAGAACGAAGAAGTAACAGTCTCAATTTCCGAACCGTCACCATGGCCGCTCCCTCCAAGTATGACGACTACGATTTCCCGACAACCGCCCCAGAGCCCCAATCCGGCCACCCTGGTCACACAACTCCAGAGCAGAATGCTGCTGTGGATCAGCTGCGGTCGGAGCTTGAGCAGTTGGGTTACACCGAAAGATTGGACACCCTGACGCTGTTGCGGTTCCTGAGAGCCAGGAAGTTTGACATTCAGGCGGCGAAGACTATGTATGTTTTTTTCTTGTTTGAAAAGTTACTGGGAGCAGAGGAGGGCTAATATTAGATAGGTTCGTCGACTGCGAGAAATGGCGGAAGGAGTTTGGAACCGATAATCTTGCTCGCGACTTCAACTACGTTGAGAAGCCGAAGGTTTTCGAGTACTATCCTCAGTACTATCACAAGACGGACAAGGTGCGTTTTCGCTCCGTAATGATTGGGGATGTACATATGGCTAACTAGCGTAGGATGGCCGCCCCGTCTACATCGAAAAGCTGGGCAAAATTGACCTCAACGCCATGTACAAGATCACCACCGCAGAGCGGATGCTGCAGAACCTGGTCTGTGAATACGAAAAGCTCTCCGACCCTCGTCTCCCTGCCTGCTCGCGCAAGGCCGGCAGCCTGATGGAAACCTGCTGCACAATCATGGACCTCAAGGGCGTCGGCGTCACCAACATCCCCTCCGTCTACGGATACGTGAAACAAGCCTCCAACATCTCGCAAAACTACTACCCCGAGCGTCTGGGTAAACTCTATCTGATCAACGCGCCCTGGGGATTTGGCGCCGCCTTCAACGTTGTCAAGAGCTTCCTCGACCCCGTCACTGTCAACAAGATCCACGTTTTGGGTTCCGGCTACAAGAAGGAACTCTTGGCGCAGGTTCCTGCCGAGAACCTCCCCGCTGAGTTTGGTGGCACCTGCAGCTGCGCTGGTGGGTGTGAGTTGAGCGATATGGGTCCTTGGCAAGAAGCTGAGTGGACTAAGACACCCAAGTGGGCGGCTCCTAAGGCAGAGCCGACTCCGCAAAAGGAGGGTGAGGAACAGGCTCCCCAAGCTTAAGCTTGTTTTTCAATTGTTCAGTGAATTTTCTTTTTTATCTTTTGGAACATGGTATAAAGGAAGAAAAAGGTTCATCCATTTACCTCTACTATTCCCCTCCCATTTCTTCCTTTTTCTTTCTTATCTCATACCTGGGTCCGGGCTACATCAACTTGTCGTACTACTGCTGAGTTGTTTCTGGCTCGGCTTTGCCGACATCTGCATAGATTAAATAATCGTTTCTGCTGGGCCCGTTTATTTTCTTGTGATTTGATTTCGTGAACTAGATATTCTGAATCTCAGGCGTGGTGACGGTGTTGTGTTGATACTAAATGGAAACTGGGGAGTGGATTAATATAAAAGTGACGTGGCCCAATTGGGCGGGTTAATTGAGTCTATGTACTAGTCGTGTAATCGTCCATCCCAGATCAACAGTAGTGGAATAAGTATTCCGTACCAAAACGCCAACGCCATCCAATCCCAATTCACAGTACCAAAAGCGGGTATAAAATCCATCACATCTTCTCAACTACTTCAGCCGCGCGTTCTGCGCGTTCTGCCTTGCCCACCGTCGTTGCCAAGGCATTGCCATCCGTCCCTGCATCGGTGATGGCATCTGTATCCTCACCCTGAAGCCGGAGTAACGTCCGCAACGCATCATCGTAAACTTCAGCCATCTCCCCATTGCGCCAACGCTCACTTTCCTGCTCCGAACCAAGCGGTACCTCAATCTTCCATTCCGGCTTAACATGTCGTCGTCGCCGCGTTGCCAACCCAGCACCACCCATCTCAACATCCCCACCATCCTCCTTCTTCGTCACCACCTCCTCCCCAATATCCCCAAACTCCTCATCGTCAAGCCCATCCTCATCATCCTCCTCAAGCACCTTATTCAATTCCTCCGCATACATCCTCGCTGCTCTCCTCGGCGCATCCCGCCTCAACTGCGCCACCGTCGTAGTCAGCGACTCCAACTGCGCGTATAGCGAGGTCACCCGCGCCGCGAGCGCGGTGTCGTAGGGCTCATACTCGACTGTTTCGGCGGGCGCTTGGAGTGACTGCGAGGCTGTTAGGGGGTTTAGGGAGAGCGAGGTTTGGTCGTGGTCGTCGAGACCGTTGATGTTGATGGAGTTGGAAGCGGTTGTGAAGGTTTTTGTTATGTACTGTCATTTCCTCCTGTTAGCGGATTGCGATTGTAAAACATATTTAAGAAGAGGGGTACCTCATCGACTAATTCACGAACACGCTCACGCATAGGATCTGGGGCATCTTCGGTATTGTTTGTCGCGGAGGGGGGCAGATGGAGGTCTAGTTTTTGGCGGGAGAGGGTGATGGTGTTGGCGTAGAGGTAGGTGATGTCCGCAGGGGCTTGGAGTTCAATTTTGCGATGCATTTTCTTTTCTTTTTCTTTGATTAGATTGAATAGATTTGTTTGTTGGTGTGGTGGTGGTATGTTCACTATGTGTTTGGCTCGACGCGTGATTTTGCTGATGCCTTATTTCCTTACTGCCTTAACGTAATTCACAAGCGAGTGGGCCACACAAGCGAGTGGGCCACCAACTCCCCATATATAGTATGTAAATGCATTTATTTCAACCAAACGCCATATAATTAACAAAACAAGCTATCTAGGTCTGTTTGGACATGCATTTCTCTTATGTCCTTCATTTCCACAGATACCGCACTTCGGTAAAGCCCTCGTACGCGGCTGTAAAGGTGGTGAAGGCTGTCTTGGCCAGGGGGGTGCTTGAGCTATTGGGGCCTCGATCGGGGTCTCAATTAGCTCAACAGCCTCCTGAGCTAAAAGGCCACCTTCATGGGGTATCTGCCTTTTAGACCGTGTACGCTTTTGCTTCTGTTTCTCATTTGCAGCCCGTAATTCACTTACTTCTTTCTCAAGAATAGCAGCTGATTGCATACCGATTTGGCACGCTTTAAGAATCTGATTTATCGCGGTATTAAGTGGACTTGGTGGGCTTCTTGATCTCATACGGAGCAATGCTTTGATTGATGAGGATTGCTTTTGTAATTGCTTATAGTTCAAAGGCGTTTTTGGCTCCCAATCACTATCCCGGCTTCCAGGGGGGGTTGGCGTACGAAGCTGAATGTTGAGCTTTGAAAGCACCCGATCAGGGTCAAAAGGCACTAAGCCAGTTGCCGTGAAGCTATTTTTGATGGTGTTGGGTTTGAAAGCTTCAATTCGTGCGTGTGGGTAGGCCTCAAGGAAGTCTAATTTGTCGATATGGTTGATCCCAAGACGCATTTTGGTTTCAACAAGCTGACCATATGATCGCTTTAACACTGCAAAACAACCAATATCAAGTGGCTGTAAAAGATGTGATGAATGTGCTGGCATACAAATTGGGATAATATCATTTTGATCGCAAATTTCGTCGAATTTTGGTGTCAAATGACTACCATGGCCATCAAGGATCAAAAGCCGATACCTCCCTTTTGTACGAGTGATTGTTGATGGAATGAAAATTTTTTGGAGCCACTGAAGCCCGATTTCATCAGAAGTCCATCCATTTGGGCTAACTTCAAAGAGCCAATCACCTGGTACATTGTCAAACCAACCCTCAATAAAGACCTTGCCTTTGAAAATGATGCATGGAGGCAAGGCCCAGCCTGACGCGCTTATTGCCTCAATTGCAGTGGCCCATTCACGATTTCCAGGTTGTAAAAGGGGTCGCCGACCATAGTATTCAGACCTTGTAATCACTTTTGCAGTTGCAGTTAAGCCCATTGCAAAGCCAGTCTCATCGAAGTTGTAGATATCATCAGGGTCAATGCCATATTGAAGTATTGTATGTTGCACACAATTAAACCACTCTTGAATGATTTTTGGGTCTTCACACTTTGCACGCTCGTAATTATAGCGCCTTGAGAATCGGGTTGAAAGCTCAGAATGCCTTTTCGCGCCTTGAGAATCGGGTTGAAAGCTCAGAATGCCTTTTCACAAAGTTTGTAACCCAATTCTTGCCAACTGTTTGAACTGGGGTAGATCCACGAGCCGCGAGTAAAAGATTGGCCATTTCTTGTACAGCAGTAGGCCGAGGCGCTGCTCCGCGGGAATCCATTGAGAGAATCCATTTTACAAGTGATTCCTCTTCTGTTTGAGACAATCTATGGTTATTGGCGCGTGATTCAGGGCGAAAGACGTCACCAGCAAGGCGGCGTTGTAAAGTAGAGCGAGGCACTTGAAAGTGGTGTGCTGCTTCGCGAATAGAGCTAACTTCTTGATTCTTAATAGCCTGAATAGCTAATAAGATCCTACCCTCCTGCTCTAGTGAATACCGAGAGCTTTGAGAGCGAATTGGTGGCATGGTGGGTGGTTGAAGAAGGAAGGGTATATAAAACCGACGTGTTTCGCGTTTGGTGGCCCACTCGCTTGTGTGGCCCACTCGCTTGTGAATTACGTTACGGGTGTAGCTGCCTGATCGCCAAGGCAGATTGATCGACGGGCGATGAAATCATCGAACCAGTGTTTTTTCTCCCCTCGAACTAGAACTGGTCTGCAGATTTTGAAGGTTGTGGTCTCACGTTGCGACGGCGTAACTCTAAAAAGGAGGGAATTGTGGAGGAATTGGAGGTTAGTGTGGTGTTTGATTTGTATTTCTGTTGCCTGGTCTGTGTTTTTTGTCTCTGTTTTTTATTGCTTGCATTCTTTTTCTCCTAGTTACTATTACTACCCTATATCATTACAATACTCCGGTTGAGATCGATCGCTACAGGGATGGGACAGTGACAACAACTCATAATGACATGGTGATAATGCAAACTCTTCTCTTCTAAACAGTTACACTCCTTTTTGTCTGGTTTTCGCTTTCTTTTCACTCCTTTCTTTCCCTTTTACTAAGTGTTCTGTGTCCTTGTTGTATTGCATTTGCCACCCATCTCTAAGGTGAACTGGTTGGTTACCATGGAGCAACAAGACACCACCAACATTTCCCTCATCGACAACACTATCCCCCCAGAACTCCAGCAACAGGATCCTGAAATTTTCCGTCGAACATCCACAACTCTCTCTAGGAGTTCCTCTACCCGACGATGGTCCAGGCCTTCGGTCAGGGGTGAACTCCAGAAACGGAAATACGCAAAGTGGCAGCCGCATAAGTTAGGGATTACCGATGATGCTCCTGGGGGTAATATCAATGGGAACGGAAATGGAAGTGGGCAGGATTCGCGACGCATGTCTCTGGTAGATGCGCGACGGTGGTCTACAACGGATGGGTTGAGCACAGGAGAGAGCGGGCCGTCATCGCCATCGAGGAATGCGAGTGTCGATGCGACGGATTTCGGGAGTGATGGGATTGATAATATTATCACCAATGGGACGAACGCCAACGGCAGTACCAACGGCAGCGGCAATGCCAATGGACAACAACCCAATGTCCCAGCCAGCACCAAACCCACCAGCGAACTAGACATTCTCTACGAAAACCAACGCGGCTGGTTCCTCTTCGGCATCCCCCTCTACTCACACAGCTCCCTCCTCAACTTTGACCCAAGCGCTTGGGTCACACGCGACCTAAAAGACAGCCCCGTCAACATCACGAATGCGCAACTCCCCGATCCAAGCTGGGAATGGGCCTGGCAGACCTGGTACGTCGACATGTCGAGCGACGTCGACGAGCAGGGGTGGCAGTACTCGTTTTCATTCTCTTCCTCTGCATGGCACGGATCGCATCCCTGGTTTCACTCGTTTGTTCGTCGTCGACGATGGGTGAGGTTACGGGTGAAACGCGCTTCGATGGAAAGGTATCGTGGTCGGACTGGGTTTGAGGAGGCACATATGCTCACGGCGGATTACTTTACCATTCACTCTGGGAGGAGGAAGAGAGTTTCTAGTGTTGCGGATATGTCGCGTGTGCCGTCGACGTATGTTTCGGGGCAGGGACTAATAGATGAGGTGCCACCATTGGAGGAGATTGGGAATATACCCACTTTGATGTATGCGCTGAAGAACGCCATCGTGGATCGGGAGAAGATCGATGCGTTGAAGCGGTTTATCGATGACGGTGGAGATGAAATCTACTATCTAGATGAAAAGGTACCCCCACATTTCTCTGCCCCTACGGTATCGTCCCTATATATTAACTGGTTAGATCCCCGAAATAATGTCCATCTTCGTCTTCCAAACCTCCCGCTGGCAATTCCTCACCCACCTCCTAACCACCATAACCGATCTCTCCCAGCTCATCCCTCAAAAAACGGGCAAAGAGACAATCGAACTTCAACGCAAACAAGAAAACCTCGCCAAAGCCGCAGAAGCTATCCGCAACAACATCACCGGCCCCGAACTCGTTGCGGACCACCACCACATGCTCGATTTAACCCCGATTTCAAAGTCGAAGGAGGGGAGTCTGCTGTCGAAGAGGAGTAGCGTTAAGGTGAAGGATTTGGAAAATGTGAGGCCCGTGGGTAATGGGGGTGTTATTAAGGGGATTCCGAAGGAGGCAGAGGTTGGGAGGGAAGGGCATATCTATCAGTACACGTCTTAAGTGGGCATTTACACTGCATTTTGTATTTTTATGGGGTTGGTTTGGTTTACTTTGGTGTTGGAAGGCGTTGGTTCATTGGACTGACTAGCACTTGATATTATTCGCATATAATGATATACCTTATTTCGACCATATCTCTTCGTTATCATCATTCTCACATTTCCTACAAATCCAACTCATCCCTGTATCCGGGGACATGATAATTCGAATCATTATCGAAATCTCTGCCGGCTGTTAACCCCGATGCTCGAACATCCAGGTCTTGATGTCACGCGTATGGATACCCAACCCCCAGTTGTTTGATTTTGCCCAATGAACATAAACTCCAATCTTTCCTCCGTAACATACCCGGTTATTTTGTTGTGATAAACTGTGCTAATGCCATTGTGTCCATGGTAATCTCAGTGACAGAAGATTCTATGACCGCAATGCCAGTAGACGCTTGTATGGTGGTGTTAGACTTCTGGGGTCATGGCGTAGTCGCTTTCATGGTTCTCGTCAAGAAAATAAGCTTTTAGCCCCGTTCTGTATGTTTTGCAAGATGAAGATTGAATCAGTACGGAAACAGGAGACATCTCTCCTGCAACACAGGGAGTGAACAGATGATGACTGCAAGGATAAGGCTCATGTTGAAAACCCTTAGTGCTGGCAACAAGCCGACTCGAGCCCGGCATTCTTTACAACTTTTCTAACTCGATGTGATCACACCTTTCAGGGTGGTTGCAGTAGTCTTTAGGCAACTTCGGGAATATTATTCATGACGGCTCCTGAGCCCTATTCATTAAAGGTCTCGAGAAAAGGTCGGGTACCAAGGAACTCTGACTTCGAACCACCATGAAGGAAGGGCTGTCCGGCATTAATCCAAAACTTGCGGAGATTTCAGTTTAACCGGGACAAGTCTTTCATGGGAGCTCTATTCATTAGTGTTGTCTTGTTGAACATTGTGCGCAATGACTTCGCTATCACGTATGATAGCGTTGGCCCTAGTGTGTGGGCATGGTTGTTGTGAGTGTAGATGTTCTGCATTGTCATACAGTTTGTCGAGTGTTTGTTATAAAAAAAAAAAAAAAAAAAAAAAAAAGAAACCAAGTGAGCGGGTAATCTCTTTCGATCTAAGAAAAGACCCGAATTTGAACAAGCTGCTCCTCTTTGATCTCTGAACAAGACTTGGAGTTTTGGATCCAGGGTTTGTTTTGCTGGTGAACGCAAAGAGGATGTTGGAATATCATTGCCCAAGACATAGAATATTCCCGGGCACATTCCGCACAGAAACTGCACAAGCGGACAGAGTATCCAGGAATTTCTTGTGAGCTAATTATTGTCTGGAAAACACTTTTCCATCATTGCTGCTTCTGTTGTCACCGTGATGATACTTCCGTTTGCTTACCTCCCAGGAAGGCACAGTTAGGTATAGAATGGAATCGAGACCTGCACTGAGAGTCCGATTGACAGACAATGAATGGACAAAGGAAAATAGCTTCCACGAGCCGTGATAGTACCATGCCGGGGACTATCGGTCCGGTCTTGAAAGTTATTTCTTTCCAAGCGGTTAGCATCGCTTATCATTGACAGATGTGATTCAAATCTCGCCATACAATGTTCCTTCTGAGTAAGGCACTTTTCAGCTTGTTCGATGCATTAGCCTCATGCAAATTTCTCCATCTCGAATAACGTCTTGGTTTGAATGATGGTAAAATAATGCTTTTTTGGCGATTTGCTTATATAGCCTTTTAAACTAATGTATAAATCTTCTCTGGTTGGCACATGACAGATTGGTGTCATATAAGATGAAGCCTGTGATGGACTTGTCGAGAAGAAATAGTCGGTAAATGGGAGTACTGAAGTCAACAGATACGTGCTCCGAGAGACAAGTTAATTGGCTATCGAAGTCATGCTAGCTATTATAGGGCTCACTAACTGCAATTGATACTGATAGCAAGAACTAGAGATAAACTAACACAAAATGCTAAAGTTCGGGAAAACAAAAATTACATGGTGCGAACGATCACTCGAGAACCCTTCCATTGCTTTCCTCCACCGTCAACTCGAATTCGGGCTGGAATTCGGTGTAAAAGTTATGCTGTATCATGTCAGGTTCAATTCCATATCAACCAACAAACGAGATAAAGGCACTACTCACCGGATTCTGAACAGCATCGGCTGTAAATTGAGCAACATCATGTGCAATAATCTTCTTGGGTACACCATTCGCGGCTGCAGCATCTGCCATGAGCTGGGAGTGACACGCGTGGTCTAAGCTGGCAAATAGAAAGGCTGCTTCGTCGACAGTGTGGCCTACTGTCAGAAGGCCGTGGTTCTGCAGAATACATGCGATATTACTCTCCCCAAGAGCCTTCGCAATCTGTTGTCCTTCCTCCTGGGCCAATGCAATACCACCATGGCTGTCATATACGCTCAACTTTCCATAGAAGTTACACGCATCTACTCCAGTCAGCATCTGCCAGATCACCAGTAGTGTTATAAGAAGGCATGCTTACCCTGTGAAAGCATCTCAACCGGCCTACCGAATGCACTCCACGTCTTCCCATAGATCCCGTGGGTATGCGCAGCCGCAACCACATCCGGACGAGCTTTGTGAATCTCGGAATGGATCATGAATCCGGCCTCGTTGATCGGTGCCTGCGCACCTCCTTCGACTACATATCCTTCACCATCAACAAGGACTAGATCTGAGGCTTTCATGATGGAGAAGTGCTTTGCGTATGGGTTCATCCAGAAGTGGTCTTTCAAAACAGGGTCTGTACGGAATGCCGATTAGCATTGCACCGGTAGAGAACACTCTTCTTAAATAGATGACCAACCTCTCATCGAGATATGTCCGGAAATACCTTCTCCATATCCCTGCCTTCCAAAGAACCGAAATGCAGCCGCCATATGCTCCTTCATCCATTTGCGTTTTTCGTGCATTTCAGTGAAGACTGGGATACCCTGTAGCTTGAGAGTTCCATCACGGTCTCCACGTGCTGTGGCCTGGAACTGCTCATCTTCGGCCGCAGTGGTGATCTTGATATCATTCTCAGGAGCCACTAGAACGGGCCGGTCGGTTGGCTGGCTTGTGGTGACAGTCACGGTTGAGGTTGACATTTTTGTTGCTTCTCAATCAAAACTGAGTATGGATGAGTTAACTACATACATTGAACTCGATTCGAAAGCCACCATTTATATCCTTATTGATGGCCTTATCTCGACCCCACCGTGGTACATGGGACTGTGTATATGGAGTCTACTATAGGCGCATGTCGCCGAACGGATAAGACTCCGATGTGTTTTGAGAGGGCGTGCATATAGTGACATCCATTCTGTCATGGTTGTCAGAGTAGTCGGTATCTACTTCGCATGTCTAACAGAACTAGTAGAGTTTATGCTACGATCTTGTCACACGCTGCTTGTGACGGGGTGATCGAAATATATATCCCCACAGTACCATGAGTATTCGAAACAGCCAAAAGATTTTCTAGCAAAAACCGAGGAAGTTCAAATATAAATTGCCCGATCACGTTCACTTTCGTCACCAACAACAGAAATCCCGTTCGGTACTCCAAGGATTCAACGATAACCACTAAACCTGTTATCAATGTCAACCCCGCATTCGTCACAGTTCGCCTCCAACATTGATATTGACCTCGGGCTAATGGATCTGCAAGCATACTGGACAGCATATTTCCCGGTAAATTGGCAATTGCTTTGTTACTTCCACAGCACATTCATATTCAGAGGATATCCCGCAATCCTCAATCATGAGCAGTCAGTCAACCGTCATAATAACCAACACCCAAAATGCGGGGATCCTCAATTGTCAATCATCTCTCCATGAAGAGTGATAAGCTTTTGCCCTTGGGGCTCCTTCCCTTTTCGTCCTTTCATTCTGTGACCCCGGATGGGCGGACGACTATCATCTCTCCAGTGGAGTCCCTGAATTGGAGTCCCGGCAATGTCGTCTGCCCTGTATCCCGAAGCGTTCCTGACTGGGTCCTGGAGGCGATAAGAATATCCGATGATATAAATGAGCTAGTTCCCAGCTTCTCGTTTCCAGACGCCCACATCATCTTCAGATTTGACATAATAACGCACATACAACAATGAGTACTACATGGGAACATCTCGCGGCCGAGAAACGGGGCCACATTGATAAGTCCATTCCTTCAGAATGGAAAATTTCTCAGCCTGCCCAGGCTAATGTCATGGATGTCCCGGCGAACTCGGGGATTCTCTCAGCCGAGGAGCTCAAGATTACCGAATCCACGGCGACGGACTTGGTCAACAAGTTGGCAAAGGGGGAGTTGAAAGCGGTGGATGTGACGCTGGCATTTTGCAAACGTGCGGCATTGGCACATCAATTGGTGAGTTTTCTGTCATAGGTACAGCGGCCTTCGTACTAATTATGCGATGAAAGGTCAATTGTGCTCTGGAATTCTTCCCTGAAGCAGCCCTGGCGCAAGCCAAGGAATTGGATGAGTATTTCGAGAAGCACAGGAAGCCAGTTGGACCGCTGCACGGATTGCCAATTTCTTTAAAGGACCAGGCGCGAGTGAAGGTAATTTAAGACATATACCCTAGTCACTGTTTCTTGCACTAATGCGAATAGGGAATTGAAACCTCCATGGGATACGTCGACTGGATCGGCAAACACGAAACCTCCGACTCCGTTATAGTCTCCCTCCTTCGCAAAGCCGGAGCTGTCTTCTACGTGAAAACGAGTATTCCGCAAACACTAATGGTCTGCGAGACCGTTAACAACATCATCGGGAGAACCGTCAACCCCCGGAATAACAACTGGTCGTGTGGTGGTAGCTCCGGAGGTGAAGGTGCCATAATCGGAATCCGGGGAGGAGTAATCGGTGTTGGAACAGACATTGGTACGTTGGATACTTGTCAAGGGTGCGCATTTCTGGTCGTCTAATTGGATTTGCACAGGTGGCTCCATCCGTGTACCGTCGGCGTTCAACTTCCTTTACGGTATCCGTCCTAGTCATGGTCGATTGCCATACGCGCGACTCGCAAACAGTATGGAAGGCCAGGAGACAGTCCACAGCGTGGTTGGCCCAATTGCGCATTCTGCAGCAGGTAGGCAAAGGCAGATAACTACGGCGAGGAACGGGAACTAACAAGGAATGAACATAGACCTGCGACTGTTTTTGACTTCGGTTTTGAGGGAAGAGCCCTGGAGTTATGACCCCAAGGTCATTCCCATTCCCTGGAGGTCTGAGGAAGAAGAGGATACCAAAAAGAAATTCAAGTCTGGTGGGCTGAACCTGGGATTCTTTAACTGTGACGGCAATGTACGTTTCACCCAAGATCAACAACTCTTTGAATTCAGTTTTTTGACAGATGCAGGTCCTTCCTCACCCACCAGTCCTCAGGGCTGTAGACACCGTCGTCAACACACTGGCAAAGAACGGTCACAACATCATTCCATGGACTCCGTATAAACACGACTTCGCAGTGAACATGGTCAACGGTATCTACGCCGCAGACGGAAGCACTGTACGCCCGCCCTCACCCAATCCCTGGTAAATCACCCATGTTAACCAACAATCAGGACGTCTACCGCAGCATCAATGCCTCCGGTGAACCCGCCATTCCCAACATCAAAGACCTCCTCAACCCCAACAACCCCAAAATCGACATCAACGAGCTCTGGGATGTTCACCTCCAAAAATGGGCCTACCAATCCGAATACCTCACCCAATGGCGCCTCGCCGAAGAGCAACTCGGCGCCGACAAAACTCTCGACGCCATCATCGCCCCCATCACCCCGACCGCAGCTATTCGCCACAACCGCTTCAAGTACTACGGCTACGCATCTGTGATCAACCTGCTCGATTTCACAAGCGTGGTTGTTCCCGTTCTGTTTGCGGATAAAAATGTTGATGTTAAGAAGGAGGGGTATGAGCCATTGAATGAGATGGATAAAGAGGTGCAGGAGGAGTATGACCCGGAGGCGTACCATAGAGCACCAGTTGCGGTGCAGGTTATTGGAAGGAGATTGAGTGAGGAGAAGACATTGGCGATTGCGGAGGAGGTGGGGAGGTTATTGGGGAATGTGGTGACTCCGTGATATCTTCATTACTATCTTGTATTTTTAAGAGTTATCATCTGTACCAATCGCAAGAGCCAAATGCCATTCTAAGGGTTCACTGTTGCCGCATGGTTAGTCTGAGCTGCTAGAGCCAGCAAGGCTTCATCCGTATCAACATAATTTTCATGATTACCTGATGGGGTCATTGAAACATTATGCTTTTGGCTACTGGTTACCAGTGGTGAATTCAAACACTATTCAGTAAAGTCTGAAAAGGGGTTAAAACCCTTAGGAGGACAACCCCATTTAATGGCTTTTATATAAACAAAATAACTGTAAAAAGTGTCAGTGTGTTAGTATAGATAACCATAGGGAGGAAAAAGTACTGACCATCTTTCGTTTTCCTCGCCATGGATAATGTTTTGCTGGGCCCTGTCCATTGATGCATCCCAAATTGGTAAAGTTCGTTGCGTGCGAGATCAGTGGCTGGAAATTCTTTGCCTCAATGGCGAAGAATTTCCATTTAGAGGCTTTGGAGTAGAACTTGTCTGGCTATATCGGATCAAAAGATCTGTAAGCGTTGACTAGCCATTTTGATCTTCATGTGGCGGGAGAGTGTCAACATGAGTCCGGGACGAACTTAGCTGAAGGCCCTCAAAGAACCGGCGAGTCTTCTTCTGCGTAGTGAATTATTAGTATCATCGGCCATCACGCTAGATATAGACTAGGAAGAGTATAGAAAGGTGCAAAGAAAAGAAACGAATACTGTGCAATAAGCAGATAGAGCTGCTGCCTATTAGCATGTAATAGTTTATCATAGTTCATTACCCTAAGCTTAAATGAACAAAAGCTAAGTATTATTTATTATATGCTATTTCACTGTGCATTAAAAAAAAAAAAAAAAAACATATAATCCCATTTATACAGAGATCAGAAAAGAATCATACAGCCTCTCCAGCCCCTTTCATTAACCCCATTTCAAACTCATCTCCCCCCTCTCTTCCTCTTCCCCTTGACCCAGAGGCAAAATCCTCACCACCCTGCTCCGAGGGATCAGACGTCTGCTGACTTGAAGAAGACGAACCCCCTCCAATTCCAAAAGTAATCGGCTGAAGCTCACGATATCGACAAGCCCACATCCCCAAGAATACCATAAGACTTGCGCTGGCGAATTGAAGACCCCACCAAAGCCAGTTGGCGGGAATAGTATGTGTGTAAAGAGATGTTGCGATAAGGTGGACGAAGTGGATGGTTAGGGCGAAGTCGGGGATGAGTTTGGAGCGGGAGACGAGGAGAAGGAGAAGGATGACACTGTGCGTCACATAAAATAAGCATATACGTCGACTATATGGCCAAGAAACAAGGCAGCGGAGGCAAGCATACCCAAGGAGGCTATTCAACATCCACACCAATCCCAATATCCACCCGATGGTGGTATCGCCTCTGATCGCATCCCAGTTGAGGAGGAGGTCAAACGAGAACGGCCGGCCATATACTAATGTTGTGAATAAGATAAGCGCCGTCGCGGTCAGATAGTATCCTAGCTGGAGCAAGAGGATCTTGCGGACGATTCCGAGCGGCGGGAGGTCGGTTCGGGCTCCCGCGGGAGGAGGACGGCGGCGGGGCATGAACTAGTGTGCATGTATGTATCGGAGTTCTCGAGAGGAGTATGAAAATAGGCGATCTCAAAAAAAAAAAAAAAAAAATAGATAGCAGGACAAAGCGTGGTGGTTTCTTATATAATGCGCGGAGGTTTACCTGTAGTTAAGGGGACTTCGCGGCTGACAAGGCTGGTTTGGATCCACTTGAGCCGCAGCCGCAACCGCCTTTACACTGGACTTTGTCCGGACCTCAGCGAAACCATTTGCCTACACTGGCGCAACACTCTACCGAAACAACGAGGATTCAAGAACGATTACAAATTACCGGTCACCAACTTCCTCCGACCAATTCCTATAAACAATAGAACACACAACATGGGCTGGTTTTCGTCGTCCTCCGACACCTCTAAAGCCTCCGACGGCGGCCGCATCGCCCCCGACAGATCCTCGCGCGAACGATGCTGGGAAGGCCGTGACCGCTTCTTCGCCTGCTTGGACCAGAACAATATCCTGGATGCTGTTAAGGATGACAAGGAGGCACGGGGGAAATGCGGGAAAGAGGTTGAAGAGTTTGAGGGGGCTTGTGCGAAGGCTTGGGTATGTTGCACTTGAAAGGCTACGGTTTCTTATTCGAGACTTTTGTGGCTGATTTAGTCTACAGGTGAAATATTTCAAGGAGAAGCGAGTGATGGAGTATAACCGGGACATGACAATTGAGCGGATCAAGAAGGAAGATGCGGAACGAGTAGCAGATTTGAAATCTCAAGGGCGCGCGACATAGTGAAGATTCTCGACCAGAGGTTTACGAAGGCCCATGACGTGACACGAGAAGGAGATGGAATTTCAAAAATGAATGTACTATAGCTCACCTGTATTATGATTTGACTGAGGTTGTATTTGTAGTTATATCCAACCAAATCCCATCTATCATCAATAGCAAAGCTCCTTTTAGAGCAAATCATTGAACTCAGGTATTAGATGTGTACAGAGTACCGTATATGCAATCCCATCTATAGCAGGTTCCATCGCAAAGTCACAATCCCAGGGGAAAGACAATCATTCATATGCAGAAATGAAGAAACCAACGAGGGAACAAAGCACAACAGTAAATATACAGGACGCTTTATCATCCCTGTCGACTGGCACCATCTTCTGCTTTTGAATGAAACCAAAACGCCGGTGTTGTTGCAATTGAAACAGATGAAAAAGGTAAAGTGAGAAAAATTAAAAGAAACTGAACAAAATCAAGCCGCTTAAAAGCTATGGATCACAAAACCAGCGGCTAACATTCCCATATTTACGAATTCAAATAACGCCTGATTCCCGAGATGGCTCGTCGACAACGAAAATGGTAAGGCAAGAGCAAAGGATATTGTCAAAAGAAAAGATAGATAGAGACGAAGAGATTCATAATTCATTGTTTCCACTTTGTCAGTTGGTTGATGATGTTCTGGACCTGAGGACCCATGGGACCCTGATGAGTCTGGGGCTGTTGTCCCCCGAGGCCTTTGCTCAATAGCGACAATAGGTTCGGATCCGGAACCATTTGGGGAGTTGGAGCTTGGACAGGGAAAGGCTGCGGAGGCATAGGTGGCGGCGGAGCAGCAGTAACAGGTGGCCGAGTCGCATTATTCAAAATGCTGGCCAGATCTGCAGGCGCTTGAGGAGTATTCGGCGGTGGAAACGCCGGTGGCTGTACAGCTGGGACGGCAGGTCGCTGCTGAAGCGCAGACAAAATTGATTGCAACGCGGAGCCGTCTAGGGATGGCATTATGTTGGCAACATTTGATTGATTCGATAACGGTGGCAGCGGTGGCTGTGGGATTTGAACAGGGGGGGGGAGCGGCGGGATCCCGAATGGGGTGGCCGATGTGAAAGGCACCGGGGGACCACCGCGCTGGAGCTGCGCATGGAAAACGATTTCAGCGGCCATATTGGGTTCCAATTCGGGATAGTCTAGACGCCGTGACGTTAGTATATGACGCTCGGATTTTGCAACTAAAAAAGCTCTGGCTTACCATTGAAGCGGAGATTGTCTGGTCCACCGCTGCGGTCGAAAACTTGTAACGGAATCTTCCTTGAGAATTGATTTGGCCGCGCAAGTCGAACAACCGCAAGCACACCCTCAACGATTTGGCGTTGAACAGCAGCGTTCAAAGGAATCCGCGGGCCTAAGACCAAGACATCAACCCGCAGGCCACGATTGCGGAAGGAGTTTTCGACATGGAAGATGAAGTTTCTGGAGACAAGAGGTCAGCTTGTGTTAACATAAACTATGTATTGCACGAAAATGCTGTACTGACCTATCCACCTCCTCGAGAACCAAGATTTGTACATCCGGGATGTCCCTCGGCACTCGTCTGGGCACGGGTAAGTCTACGTCACTATCGTATGAACGACCCCGTGGGCTGGGTGACCGATATCTTCGATCCCTGCCATATGGTGGCGACCGAGAACGCCTACGATCACGTCGATCATATCGCTCTGGTGTTCTGTCCCGGGATCGGTACCCATCTCTTCCACGGAATCCACGAGGGGAGGGTGATCGGGGCGGTGGCCGATAATCGTCTCGTCTCCGATGGGTCAACTCGTCCCGGAAATCACTGAATGGCAAGCGGCCAGCGGGTTCGTAATTTCGATCGTAGCGATCTCCGGGTGCTCGCAAACTGCGACCGTTCGACGGGCCGCCTCTGAACTCGGGAGGGGACCTAGAGCGTCTGGGAGCAGGAGCTCGTTGCGGTTCAGGGGGAGCCGGGCCGGGTCTCGTGTTTCTTTGTGGTTTCGAGATTTCGAGGTCTAGTGGACATAGCATTGTTAGCGAATCGACACCTCATCTTTCTTTGAGAAAACCGTCTCTTTCCATCACAGTTGCAAGTCACTTACGGATCTTTCTCCCTCTCACCACTGCCCCTTGTTCCGCATCCAAGGCTTTCTTGCAGGACGAAGTTTCAAGGAACTGGATAAAACCATACGCTTGTTTGATCGACACTTGCGCCAGTTTGCCGTATTTGTGGAAAATATGGAATAGATCACGCTTCGTAACTCGTTCGGTGGGAAGGTTTCCTATACAAAGAGAAGAAGCCAGGTTAGAAGCCAGAAGATAAAAGAAGGTTTCCCTTGGCTTTTTCAAGTGACCGACGAACTAACCAACAAACAATCTGGACCCTGGAGGGAAACGATCCCAAAGACCTTCTGTTACATAGATTCTTTCGTTATGCAAGAAGTCGTCATACTTCCGCTGTACCTCGGGGCCCCAGGGTGCATCCTCGTCATTATTCTTGGACGAGCGGGCAATGGATTTCTCTGTGCGACCATTTTTATGAGGAGACGACGAGTCCTGGGTTTCAGCACTAGAAGATTCCGTCTTCTCAAGACTGAGACCTGGCGGAGGAGGCAAAGAGCTGGCGCCCGAAGAGGTGCCGGGAGCACCAGCAGCTGCTAGTGCTGGAGCCCCGAGATTTGACTGATGATTATTATTACTCTGTGGCTGGGAAGGATAAGAGGTGGGAGGAATGGAGGATTGAGAAGGAAGCTGATGATAGGCACTAACATCATCGCTAGGGTGGTAGTTTGGATGTGCAGGGTCCTCCTGGGCTGGGGGACGAGGGGGGAGACCCATGGGGTTCTGGAGGGCTTCATCGGATGCGCCATCTGCGTTATTTGTTGCTTGAGGGATAGCAGAGGCATAATTTTGCATCGATGAGGGAGCCGTCTCCGAGACCGAAAGGGCAGATGGAACGGCTGAGGAAGAGGGGAGATTATCAAGGAGGTTTTGGAAATCCACACCACCCTCACCAGAGCTAGGTGCATTATCATGAGATGAGGCTCGGGTGGTATCTAGGCGAGCCTCGGGCGCAGCGGGCGCAGCCCAGTCCGTCATGGGGTGGTCTACCTCGTTCGCGGCGGGGAAACCCTGAGGAGCATGGGACGAGGAGGGAGGAGGGGGGCGGTTAAGGGAGGCTTGGTGGGGCAGGGAATTAACAGAAGGATCTGAAAGAGGAAGAGCTGTTAGAGAATCGTTTCTTTCTGCCTCATTCCGGATCCCGGATGTAGTGGCAGTATCAACAGTAGTAGCGTTGGTGGTGGTAGTAGGTGCAGATAGGTTTGGAGGAAATGCAGCAGCAGAGGAACTCGTTTCATTCTTGCCCATCATTTCATTCCCCGAAAGAGAACCAGTGTGGTAACTACCTGGATGTTGATATTGTTGTTGTTGCTGCTGCTGCTGGCCCAAATCCTGCATCTGACCTGCGCCGCCCCTCACGCCAGCCGACTGCGACCCTGCAGCAACATGCTGTTCTAATGGTAGTTGGCCATTTTGCTGTTGTTGCGGTTGGGACCTGGGAGCGGCGTGGGGGACATGCTGACCACCTCCGAGCGCAAACTCTGTCTTCTCGTATGTCGACGTATCGTTGAAAATGGGGTCCATTTGATTCTGCAACACCGGAATGTTGGCCGGTTCCGCGACGTGTAGCGGCCGAGGGCTCTCAGGAGTCAAAGTCTTGCCACGGAAGTGAAGAGCCTCATCTGGGGACCTGGGCGTCATGTAGACAAGAGAGGGCAGATGGACTCATCTACAATAGAGCGAATCCGCACGCTTTGGGGACAGGGAGAGAGGGAAGAGAGGGGGAGAAAGAGGGAAAGGAAGAGAAGGAAGAGAGAAGAGAAGGAGAGGCGGAAGAAAAACAGAAAGCTTAGTTGGCGCGAGTGGAAATTTAATTGCAGAAGAAAAAAAAAGAGAGCTGAGGGTGGGGCCAGATTGGGAAAAAGAACCGGGCCGTTGAATAGAGGGTCGGTATGTAGTGATTGAATCAGGGACAGGGAATACGTAGTAGAGTGGGGAGATGGTGAAGACTAGAAAATGATGAAGATGGAGGAGTATTTTAGAATGGATGGCTCGATAGAGTGGTGTTAGAGAAAAGTACTGTATTGTTGGCAGGGGTGGCCACTCTATTTCTGGTTCTCCGATCAGTGCCGCTTTAACACGCGTCAGGTGACCGTCACTTGACAGCATTCTCACTTTGTACAGACACAGCAAACATTCATTCGAGTCGGTACATGTTAAGCCATTTGCAGAAACGAGACAGCTAGAAGATTAGAAGCAGAAGGAGGCGGGGTATTGACATATCTCCTCATATTTGCCAAGTGGAGGGATCGTGGGGATCCAGAGGATTCCAAGCATACTACTGTACGAAGTACGGACTATTCCATACCACCACTATCACCACGGACCGTTAATGGCAATGACAAGAAAATAATCATAACGGTCATAATAATACATGGGTTCATTGCTTGAGGGGCTGTATTCCAATCCAATCCTTCTGCATATCCGGCTGTCCTCCGAGCACTCAATCCGATACTTCATACATCTCACTGGCGAGACCGTCTATGAACTTGTTTTATGGTCATATTTCTTGGTGAAGATCTCCTACCATGGTAGCAGACTACTACATCCTCACCTCATTTGGTAACATCCCAACAGCCAGTCTCGGTCAGCAGACATGAGAGATGTCGATGAACCAATGCCTGCACAGGGCACTCTTCTCTGGTATTTTCAACATGCTGACAGACGTCGACAAACTCTAAAATACCTACAACTGCTTATTATAGACCTTCAAGATGCAACATCCCGATGCCATCACGAGGACATCAAATACATACAATCTTCGATCCTTAAAGCGGCCAGATCGATGGTGGGTCAACCGAGTGCACTCCAGAGAAGGTGCAGATTTCTTCTCCGACCTCCACAACGAGATTTCGTGATTCAAGCGTGACAGGGATTGTTACTCCATGCTCTTAGTCACTAGGACCACCTGATAGAAAAAGGAGACCGCTAGAACATTCCCTCGTGGAGCGTCCTCATTTCTGAGCCCATGAGAACAAAAATCCCAGTCAAAGCGCCATGCAACGAAGTTTGTGAGAGTCACACCTGCGCTGCCCCGGGACTATGACTGGCTCATATCCCTATCCAATATTGCCGAGAGCGCGAGGCTTTAATGCTTATTGGTGAATGGGAATGCTATTGTGGGTTTGTCTTGTTGCATAGCAGTAGTCAGCGTCCTTAATAACTAATGCTCTGTCTTAATCTATGTCCTCCGGAGTACAGAGTACCCGTGGTATGCAGTTTGCTTTTTCCTCGGAGCAGAGTCAAAAATGCCGCTTGCTGTTATGGACATGTGCCGGTACTGTACAGAGTACTCCGTACTAGTACAGATCACTTGTCTGGAGTATTTCATTTCATACAGCACGGCTTGTAAACATTCTAGCTGTTAAACTTCATATAAACCTTGTTACCACACTTGCCGAGTCTAGACCCTCCGACTTACATAGTATGATTCCATGATCCTCAAAGCTCCCGCAGACTATCTGGTGGTGCCTGAGCCCCCGGGCGCCGCTTCTCTCCCGTGTGACTGTGTTAGGCGAATTTTCCAAGTTTTGAAGGACGATGATTGGCCTATTCGTAAATCTTTAGTTTCAACTCAAACTAATTGCCTATTTGGTTGCATTTTGCTGTCTATTAACCCATCTCTCTTTCAACCTAACTTTTCGTCCGCATTCCGTTTTTGTATGGCATCATTGTTAAGACCTTGAGCGTTTATAATATGGCGCTGCTTCGCCCTCGTCTTCTGCCCAATCTTGTGAACAATCTATTCCATTTTTCCAGTACCCCTTTTCCCACAAGATCCTTTGCGTCCAGACGCGCCGCCAACACAGACGACCAAGATGAAGACTTAGCAGCCGCTCGAACCTGGCTGGCGAATCTCAATACCCGGACTATGCCGCGACATCTCTGTGAAATCTCCTTTAGTCGCTCTGGTGGACCAGGAGGGCAGCATGTGAACAAGTACGTCTGTGCGTTAACATGCGATTCGACAGTGTTCAAGAGTGAACTATTGACTGACTGTCGACAGGGTCAACTCAAAAGCAACGCTTAGAGTCTCCCTTGATGATCTCTTCCCCCTCATTCCCCGGATCATCCATCCTCAGCTACAATCCTGCCGCTACGTTGCTCAACGTACGAATACACTGGTTATCCAGTCAGAGGAGTCGCGAAAGCAAGCTGCAAATGTAGAGACATGTTTCGATAAACTGCATCAGCTACTTCAGAAATCTGCTAATGAGGTCATTCCCGGCGAGACGTCGCGGGATCAGAAGGAGAAAGTGCAAAAATTGTATGTGTTCATTATGTATCGTTCACAAAATTTACATGTCTAACCGCTGACTGTTCGCTACAGGAAAAAGGCAGAAAATGAAGCTCGAATCAAATATAAGAAACTGCGCAGCAGTAAAAAGAGTAGTCGTCGGGGTAGTGATGACTAAAGCGCGAAACTTTTTCCTTCGATGCTCTCCCAATGAACGCCTCCCATTACGGTAAACAGAAAGGAAGCACGGGGCAATTTAAAACTAATCACCCCTGGAGCATCCGTTCGGCACCGCGGATAGTGACCGCAAGGACCTTCTGCAGCGCAGGATCTAGGTTCTCTGTTTTCTCCAACGGTTGCAACCAATTGATAACCTCTTGTGCGAAGTTGCTGTCTGCTTGGTACTCTCTTAAGCGCGAAAGAGATACACCCAGTGCTGATGGGAACTCCGGTGAGGTCACCGGAATTCCAGCAACAGGAACCTTGGTGTAGCAAATGTGCGTACGGTAACTCTGGGGTTTAGACTGCCGCATGGCCTCGACAATGTGCTCCAAGATTTTGCGCAGGCACGGCAAATTTCCGAACTCATTGACCATGTTGTAATATTCTTGCCCGAACTGGTCGTTATCGTTAAAGTGCTTCATGGCGGTGTCAAAAATAGCTATCGGGATAGCACCGCTCAATGCTGGGGTCGATGCAAGGTTTTGCAGGGCCTCGTTGTCGACTCCTTTCTTGTCACCTTCGCTTGGGTTGACATCCTCCCCAGTAAGCTTGGGCAATGCAATCATGTCGGCGTCAGGATCATCAAATTTAGTTTCCTCCTGCTGTGTGCTAGACTCAACTCTTCCGTCAAGTCCCAAAATCCGCCGTCTCGCAACAAGCTTGGCGACATAGATCAATTCCAACTTTCCGTAGTGCACCCACAACTGCTTAGAGCTCTTGCAAAATCTCAACCCCCGCTGCATATGGCTCCGCGCTTCCGTCATATCCGCATGGTCATCCAGGGCATACTGGGCGGCATAGATCCACAAGTTCGCATTTGTCGGGTGAAGTCGTAGGACATCGGTGAAGATAGACGAAAGCTTCTTGAATGCCTTTTGTTGTCTCGTATATTCGATATATTGAATCCAAAGCCCAATATCTCCGTGAAACTTGCGCGTCGCCCGGTCCAGAATGAAGAAAATCCGTCGTTGGCCGGTAAACCCACCACCCTTAACACCCAGTCGCTTCACCCTCTTGCGCCGCAAGACGTCGAGATTCATTTCGTACTGCGCATACCGCACAAAATCGATCGGGCGTGCACCTCGAGCATTAAGTTTGTGTTCGAAATCTGATCGTTTCTTGACAATCGCAGTGATTTCATCCTATGCAGAAGAAAAATTAGCTCCTCTCCACTGACGCCCAACGAAGCAAGCATCTGCCATACCTTGCCAAAGATCTTCTTCTTCTCGTATTCCTTCAGCTCCGGAACCGACTGTTCCAAGAAGAACCGAGCTTTGTCAGCAGCAGCAGCCATGGTGATTGTTGATATCTCTTAAGATCTCCATCACAAGAGAAAAAAAAAATACTTCCCCGACTTCGCCTAGACCAATGTCCGCAGACCGCCTTCCTGTCCTGAACTAGCGGAATTGGCGCCCGCGTGCTCCGAGCCTCCATCCGAATCTCAATTCGGCTTGTTGTACATCTTGTGCCTGGTCTCAGGGGTTTCTCTGGAGATCTCTGCTTTGCGGTCTCGGTGGTCGTTCTTTATTTGCTATCATATTCTCCGTTTTTCGATTCTGGACATTCTTTTATCCCCTTCTTCTGTTCTGTCTATATCCTTCAATTGATCTGAGGTGTGGATATTGACACCTACGCCGCCATGGCTCCCAGGCTCAAGGACGGCGATGCCGTTGTCACTGTGAGTAATACAGATACATGAACAATTAGCGACATCTACTAATGATTTACTGCGTTAGTTCAATGGCAAATGGATTTCCTGGGCTCATACCTTTTTCGCGTATGCCGCGTTCTTCAGCGCCCTGATCGTGGGAATGGCTTTGCATTTCAGAAAGATTGTTCAAAACGAACATTACGGTTACCCCGACGAATGGTTCCCTTCCGTGTCTGCGACTATCGGCGATCGATACCCCGAACGTTCCTTCTTCCAAGTCTTTATCGCCATTACTTCCGGCCCCCGATTCGCTTTGGTGTTCCTTTGGTATATCCTCACCGCGCGGCCTAACTCGTCTCTTCCGAAGATTGTCGCTGGTGTTGGAGTTTTCCGGACGTTCACCTGTGGTGGTTGGACATATGTTACATCAACGGATGACCATGACTGGCACGACATTTTCATGATTTCGTATCTGGTTGCTACTCTGCCGTGGACGTTGGGTTGTCTGGCTCTCAGTCCTAACAACCGCCGCGCTGTGAAGTACCGGAAAATCATGGCCAGTTTATTCTTCGGTACTCTGGTGCCTTTGATCTATTACTTTATCCAACACAAAGTGCACAAGGTCCCTGGAGGTAAGTGATACCATGATGGTTAACCAGGTGGTCAGACATGTCTTGTTAACTTTGTTCCTCACCCAGCTTACACCAAATATGCCTTTTTCGAGTGGTCTCTGATTTTGTTCGACGTTGGTTTCGATGCGGTCACCGCACTCGACTTTGATGCGTTCGAACTTGTTGTGAGGGATGTCAAAGGAGTCAGTAGAGGGTATGTACAGTGGCTTCCAAAGTAAAACAAAGAATGTACTGTTGCCGAATTGGTGTTGGGGTTTAAGAGAAAGACATGGTCTAAATTTGATATTTATCAGGCAGTTAAAGACGACCGCCGATTCCGTTCTTGAGAAAGAGTGTGTACATCCTCGTTACCAGAATCATTGATCTCAGAAGTTAACCTCGTAGATAGGAAGGGAAAGCCTGTGGGAAACACCTTTGGCCAGGGCTTTTTCTGGACTGAGATTATCGATGCGGCTGCTGATACCTACATTGGGGTAGTGTTTCATCCAATCCCGTCAATGTTTTCTTGCCTTACTGATCAAACATGTAGTTTGTGCATTGGTCACAAGTGACTGGGCTTGGTGTCCTCGTTTGGTGTATGTGCTGTTTTACTCGAAGAGGTTCGAGCATTCTGCTAACAAGTGGGCAGATTTCCCTCTGTGGCACATGGGCATTTCCGGATACGAGTTGGCCATTGTGGGCTACTGCTCACCTTTGCTCCTTGCCATTCCGTCTCTGAGAGCTCTAGCCACCAAGAACCCCCGTCTCTTCCAGTTCCTTTCTCTGACGGGGCTGCTGGCGTTTAACGTTCAGAACCCTGCCAATCGACTCTTCATGGTTATCTTTGCCGTCGTTTGCAGCTGCATCGCAGTCACTGCTACTATGTTTGCGGAGAGAGGGCAAAGTATCCGATTTGAATCAAGGATCTTTGGCTGGGGAATTGGGTTAATCATGTCCTCTGTTGCCAAATTCGCATTCAAAACGAACAATCCCATTTGGCCCATCATGCATGCAGGGAATGGCGGCTGGAACAAATTGGGATTCTTTCTGGCTGTCCTCGCCATTCTTCGGGCTAACAGGAGAGCGCCAACATCCGGGGGAGACTATTTCCCGACAAGTGGCAAGAAGGGTTCGTCCGTGCTGGCAGGATTGGGTCTCGGTGGTCTTACGTTCGCTATGCACTCGTTGTTGTCCGATTCTAGTACCATGATTTCTTGGGTCTGGGAAGGATACCCAGTGAGAGGCCCTATTTCTGTGCCGCATGGTGCCCTCACGATATTCGCCATGGGTGCTGGACTGGTGTACGGCCTGTATTACCCTGGAATCGCCGGTAGCTGGACTGCATACGCAATTGCTTTGGTCGGTGCTGCGTTGGTCACATACTTCAGCCATTGGACCGGTTTCTACGGCGGTCTTGTTCTCGCATTTTACCTCCTTGCTGCCTCCCCGGTTCTAATTTCGTCTGCCGTTCGACACTCTCCTGCTTCCACCTTCGGTATCGGCTCCCTGTTCTATATTTTCTTGATCCTCTTCCATGTCTGGGTCGTTGCGTACGCTTTCGTTCCCGGAGGACCTCTTGTCCGGGAGCACAACGATTGGGTTATGATCACTACGATGCTCGCCATCGGTGCTGGAGTGTTTTCTGCCGCAGTTTCAAATTCCTCGGCCCCCAAGAACAAGCCCATTAGCCCTAACGGCAGGAGGCAACGATCCTACTACATTTATGTTCTTGCCGCCCTGCAGCTTCTTTCCATTGCTGTGGCCTACTTGCGCTTCCCGACTAACGATTATGTCCCTTATCACAGGGATGATAAGGTTGTCACTGCCGGTATTTGGACTGTCCACTTCGGCCTCGACAACGACATGTGGTCATCGGAGAAGCGCATGCAATCTGTGATCGAGGAACTTGAAGTAGACGTCATTGGTTTCCTCGAATCCGACAACCAGCGCATTATCATGGGCAACCGTGATATCACCCAGAACCTCGCAGAGAATATGGGCATGTACGCTGATTTCGGACCTGGCCCCAACAAGCACACCTGGGGCTCCGCGCTGCTCTCCAAGTTCCCCATTGTCAACTCGACCCATCACCTCCTCCCTTCGCCTGTCGGTGAGCTGGCTCCCGCTATTCACGCCACTCTCGATATGTACGGTGAGTTAGTTGACGTCGTTGTCTTCCATTCTGGTCAGGAGGAGGATCCAGAGGACCGCCGTCTTCAGACTGAGTACCTCTCGAATCTAATGGGCGAGTCTCCGCGTCCGCTCATCCTGTTGAGTTACTTGGTCACCAAGCCTTTGGAGGGCAACTACAACACGTATGTCAGTGAGCTGAGCGGCATGAAGGACATTGATCCTACTGATTGGGACCGCTGGTGCGAGTACATCTTGTACAAGAAGTTGAAGCGTACAGGATATGCTCGTGTTAGCCGTGACAGTATCACGGATACAGAGATTCAGGTATGGCTTTTCCCCTTTTGCGTTTCTAATATCGATGGATTCAGTTAACATCTCAATAGGTTGGCAAGTTCGTGATTGGTGAGCCAGAACCCGAGAATGAAATGATGATTCCGGAGGAGATGGTTCCTCAGGGCCGTCGGTTCCCAGAGCTGTTCCGTGGCCAAGGTGTCCGCGGTCACCGGTATCATGTCTTCAACGAGCCCAAGTATTGGCAATGAAAGATCGGTCGTAGTCGACTGAATTTTCACGACGATCGTTTGTCCACTCGGGCTTGTTTTAAAATGGCAGAGTATTTGTTCTGTGGTTGATAGTTATGGATTATCTTACAATGTATACTGGATTTCTTATTGAAAATATTATTACAATTGCTTTGCTCACTACAATTACAATTATCTTAGCAGCTCGATTTATTCATCAGGCGATTTGGGTTTCAAAACACGAGCTGATTAACTATGGCATAAATCGGCCCTCAAGCAGTATGAAGTCACTTGTCCTGAGATAATCTAATAAAGGAAATTAAGGGGACCTGATGCTTCTTTGTAGCAGTAAGTTGCTAATAATACACCAACTAAACAAAAGAACTCACTACGTTGGAATACCACCCATACGAACACAACCAACATCCTTTTTTTTTTCTTCTTCTAGATCAAAACTATTGTTTCAACGTACTTACCCACCCATTTTATTGCTTGGTCCATTCATCCGATCTGAGCTCTCAATGAATCTTCCGAGGAATGGCTTGTTTGTTGCAGTTCTTCTAGGGCAACAAAGGCCACGTTTCGAGAAGTACGACAAAACAAAGTATTGAAAGAGCAGAAAATTACACTAAAATAATATGTGGCTGAGATGATGAACTAATGATAGTTTGGCTGGTATCTTACTGGAGATGACTGAAAATCAGGAGCATTGTTTTACTCGTCTTTTCGCGCTCCGGCTCTAGCTATTACTTGCTTCTCGGGCTGACTCAATTAGACATCTCTAAATGCTGTTAAAGGATAGCTGCAACTAGAATTGCGGCTATGAAGCGGGTGATGCTCGCCTTTTTTTTTTTTTTTTTACGTGCTTTGCTATATGGTGCTGTTTTCACAGGCCAATCCTGTCTTTCCCTTTCTGTCTTCCTTTTCGGTCATTCTGCTATTCCTGGTGAAAATACTAATTATTGGCTTTTAAGCATTCAACATGAAGACATTAACTCCTTGCCTTTTTGATATCTTTCGCAGTTGACAGATGAAAGCGAAACGCGCCATTGACAAAGACCGCAACATTCACTATTTCTGGTGTTGACATCTTTGTTTTATCTGATAATGCGATCACGAGTAGAGAAAGAATATGATATATCTGAAAGCGAAGAAGCCCAGAGACTTCCTGTTCAAGATAATAGAAAGGTCACGGACCTCTTCAATTGTGATCCTTCTCTTCTGATCTTGTAGTTTACTCGACATCCACCAGGCTACAAGGTAATACCAAGAATCTTCTACATTTCATCTTCACCCAAGTTTACAGAATCCCAAACAGTACGATCGCAGAAATGGAATGGCCCATGAAGCGTCTCAAATCCGCCGCAGGATATGAGGACGTGCCTTCTGGGGATACAGCACCCGCGCCTGCGCCTGCACCAGCTCCCGCAGAATCCTCTACATCGCATGAGCAAGGACAACAATCAACCGCCGATATCATTCGGGCTATGTGTGCAAATCTTCACCAGCAAACCAGAATGCGGTTGAATGCTCCGGCGAATGCTCCTGCGGTTAATCCAGCATTGAACAGAGCCTTTTATAGCTCGCAAGAACCTCAAGCTTCCTTCGCAGAGGGTGCAAGCTCCGGAGGAGATACAGAAGCACTTTCACCACCAGAGGCAAATAATAGCTATGTTAATCTAGTCAGCCGGATAGGTCCCGAAATCCAGTTTGGAGAGTCTGGGAAAAAACCGCGCTGGGTGGTTGTGCCTACTCCTTATGACGTGGTAAACGCATTTGACTGGATGCTTGAGGCCGGCACGCCCAATCTATGGAACGGTCTCACGTATGAGCAGCTTGTTGAGTACGCTTACATGTACCTCGAGCACGCACTCGAGGACACGGTATTTAGGGATCGCTTTCGGTGGGAGGTTCAAACTGGTTCGTTCTCCCATCTTTTGGTAAATATCGAGGATGCGCTACCTCCTCTTCCGGAGGCTCCTATTACTGATTGGTTTGGGGGTGCGGACGAGAGGTACTTCTACTATAGACATCAGAGTCCGTTTGTGGCATTGGGGCCAGGTATGTGTGCCCGACCTTTTGAGATTCCCTTTTCCTTTTCGAACTATTGAGCTGACTGATACGTCAAAGGAATTCAAGGGCATCAAGTCAATGGCAATAGCTCCATTATTGGAGGAATGCGGTCGGTTGAGAGTCCCAATGGGCAACTAGTAGAGAATGAACAGGCTTCGAGTCGTAAGTATATTCCTGCCCACCCCACCACTCGTCCGGGTTTGGAAATACTCTATGTTTATACTTATATCAAGGGCTAACGGCTACGATTGCATGGCAGGAATCGACGAAATTGCCCGGTCTTCTGGATGTCATAACGGCGTTCAAGAGCAGCCATCACAGCTTACACGCGCCCAGAACAATACAAATAGGCATCCAAACGGACACCATTTCCGCGAATATATATATATGGGTCCTAACGCTCTTGCGCTAAGGCATATGGCAAATAAACCTTCAAGTAATCCTCCAAACGGACTACCCAGGGCTAACTTTTCAGATGTCATGCCACGAGCAATAAGTAAGTTGACCCTTCATCCATGGTAAGACTGATTCTGAACTACGCTAATCAAGCTCTCAACACAGCAAAGCAAACTGCCAAATATACAGCACGAACCTTGCACAAACAGCCGAACGCCGATAAATTGGCGGCAGAAGAAACTGAATTTATGGGATGGGAAAGAGAAATCTTGGAAAGTCTCAAAGATGAGAAAACATGTGCGAAAACATTCCCCAGGCGCACTTTCCGGCGCTTCAGGCCATGGGCTGGCTACAGGGATGCGACTAAGTATATAAGTAAGGAGGATCTGGCGCGGCTGCCCCGGTTTCCAATGGCCCAGAGAGCTTTCAATCCACTGGTTGGTGTGAGGGCAGCTCCTACGTGGAAAACGTCGCGCATATCGAAAATTGCGAAGGCTACGAAGGCCGCAAAAACGGCTACGACGGCTACGACGGATACCACAAAGAACACAGCAGGGACTCCTGAAACATTGAACAATGGAAGTCTACGCAGGAACCCGCCACGGAACCGTCACAGACCAAAGCGCTACTTCGATTAGCTTACTGCATCCAAAGCTGTTGTTCGTGAGTTAAAAAGCTTGCGTCTTACACATGTGGGCAGATATTATATATAAGACTCCGGCAGCAAAGCTGTGCATTATAGCTGGCTGGACCAGTCAACAGAGTATAGAAGGTAACTATACCAAAATTTCCTAAATACTGATTCAGTTTATAAGCCATTCAAGCATTTGGGATCATATAGACTCATATTTGATGTTTTTGACAATTGTATTCATGTTAGGGCTTTAGCCTTTTGATGGCTTGATACCTCCTTTAATACGGACTTTTTTTTTTTTTTTGTGCCATTGTATCTGTAGATTATCTAGTTTCGCAGTGCTGGTAAAATGCAAACAGAGCAAACACCGATAGAGCCGTGTTGATCTGAAGCGCTTCAATGACAACTTCGATGCTCTGTTCTCGACAACCTCCAACCTTCTCCTCCTGGGAAATCCACTTGGATTACTTTAAAAGAAATGCGGTAATTGCGACCGTCGCCAGGGTTAATCTGTTGCCCATGTTAAATGACATCTCGCCGAGTCTCGCGACAGATCTCAACCGCCGTCAAGTTGACAGTCACCTACAATCACGTCCCAATTGAATTAGCGACATCGAACGACCGCGAAGATGTTCACGTTTACTCCGCTTTTGGGGGCGCAGTCCTCGTCCTCGAAAGCTTCGCAGTCGATTTTGGAGCTGGATGGTGGAATCAAAATTCTTGTTGATGTTGGTTGGGACGATACATTTGATACTCTCGATTTGGTGGAACTGGAGAAGTGAGCTACTGCCCTTGATTTGGTCTCTTATAATACAGTGGAAAAGCTTATTTCAATAATATTGTCTCTAGACACGTTCCAACGCTCTCCCTCATCCTCTTAACTCACGCGACGCCTGCGCATCTCGGTGCATTTGTGCATTGCTGCAAAACCTTTCCTCTCTTCACGCAAATACCTGTATATGCTACAAGTCCCGTTATCTCCCTCGGTCGTACGCTTTTACAAGACCTCTACGCTTGCTCTCCGTTGGCTGCGACATTTCTACCGAAAGCTTCTATCTCCGAGCCGGGCGCATCAACATCCGCAGCATCAGCCTCCGTGACCGAAGGGGAAGCAAATCCAGAGCCCAGCAGCGCCGGACGTATCCTTCTCCAACCCCCTTCCGCAGAAGAAATCGCAAAATACTTTTCCTTGATCAACCCGCTTAAATACTCGCAACCACACCAGCCTGCCGCCTCTCCGTTCTCTCCGCCGCTGAACGGGCTTACGCTTACCGCCTACAGTGCCGGACATACCGTTGGTGGTACGATATGGCACGTTCAACATGGAATGGAATCGATTGTCTATGCCGTCGATTGGAACCAAGCGCGTGAGAGTGTGGTCGCGGGTGCAGCGTGGTTTGGTGGTTCCGGTGCCAGTGGAACTGAGGTTATCGAACAGCTGCGAAAGCCCACAGCATTGATCTGCAGTAGCAAAGGTGGCGACAAATTTGCTCTCCCTGGAGGTCGCAAGAAGCGCGATGATATGTTGCTGGATATGATCCGGAGCAGTTTGGCAAAGGGCGGTACTGTTTTAATCCCGACCGACACTAGCGCACGAGTCTTGGAGTTGGCGTACGCCCTGGAGCATTCCTGGCGCGATGCCAGTGAGAATAACGAAAGTGAGGATGTGCTGAAGAGTGCTGGGTTATATATGGCGGGCAGGAAGGCGAACACTACAATGCGGTTGGCAAGGAGTATGATCGAGTGGATGGACGAGAATATCGTTCGTGAATTCGAAGCGGCCGAAGGAGTGGACGCCACGACCGGACAATCCCAGAACAAAACTGGCAACCAGAGACAAGGACAGGACAACGGAGGGGCTAAAGGAGCAGCTCCTTTCACGTTCAAACATCTCAAGCTCGTGGAGCGGAAAAAGAAGATGGAAAAGATCTTGTCGGATCAAACACCCAAGGTCATCCTGGCTTCGGATTCTTCGCTGGACTGGGGATTCGCAAAGGACTCTCTCCGCCTGGTGGCTGAAGGCCCAAATAACCTGCTTTTGCTCACAGAGCCTTTGCATAAGGAGAAGTCCCCAGGCAGCCCAGAGTCCCGGAAGATGAGCCTTGGCAGTATGATTTGGCAGTGGTACGAGGAGCGACAGGATGGTGTTGCTTTGGAGAAAGCTTCGGATGGCGAATTGCTGGAACAGATCCATAGCGGCGGTAGAGAACTGTCGTGGACCAATGTACAGCGAGCACCTCTTGATCCGGGCGAACAGTTACTCTACCAACAATATCTTGCCACCAAAATACAACTTCAGGATACTTCCCAGGGCCGAGGCCAGGAGAACCTCGATAACACTGCGGACGCACTCGATGACCGATCCAGTTCCACAACGTCTGAAGACTCCGAAACAGAGCAACAAGGTCGAGTGTTGAATTTCTCCACATCTCTGGCTCATGCCAACCGTAACAAACTCGGTCTTAGCGACGAAGATCTCGGCATCAATGTTCTCCTACGACGGAAGAATGTTTACGACTACGATGTCCGGGGTAAAAGAGGCCGTGAACGCATGTTCCCTTACGTTGCGCCGAAAAAGAAAGGAGACGAATTTGGAGAATTTATCCGACCCGAAGAATACCTGCGTGCAGAGGAACGTGAGGAAGTCGACATGCAGCAACGGCGGTCTGATTCTCAGACGAAGCTCGGTCAGAAACGGCGGTGGGATGAGACTGGACCGAACGGACGACGGCTTTCTGGCAGTGGCAAGCGGCAGCAAGGGCTTGGAGAGGATCACAAGAGAGATACAGCGGATGATCTCAGCCTCGCTGATGAAGGCGAGGGGGCTGATGGTGCTGTATCTTCAGAGGATGAATCTGACGAGCAGGCATTCGAGGGTCCGGCGAAGGCTGTCTACGAAAAGGCAGCAATTACCATCAACGCCCGTTTAGCGTTTGTAGATTTCACGGGTATACATGACAAGCGAAGCTTAGAGATGTTGATCCCCCTCATCCAGCCGCGCAAGTTGATTCTCGTCGGTGGAACAAAGGGCGAAACGACCGCACTGGCCACCGAATGCGGGAAACTCCTAGCCGCTAAAGCCGGTGTGGATGTCTCTGCAGCAGACGCTTCTGTCATTTTTACCCCGGCCAACGGTGAAATCATCGATGCCAGCGTCGACACAAATGCCTGGATGGTCAAGCTAGGCAACAACCTCGTCCGCCGTCTAAACTGGCAACACGTTCGCAGTCTAGGCGTCGTTGCTCTAACCGCGCAACTCCGAGGACCCGAACTCCCGCGCCCAGAAGACGACTCAGAAGAATCCGCCACCAAGAAACAAAAACTCCTCAAAGAAGAGTCCACCTCTGATGCCGTCTCCACCTTGGACGGCACAAAACCCTCTGCAGAAAAATCAGACATCTTCCCCATGCTCGATGTCCTCCCTGCCAACATGGCTGCGGGGACTCGAGCCATGGCCCGGCCCCTGCATGTCGGTGACCTCCGACTCGCAGACCTGCGCAAAATCATGCAGAGCGCTGGCCACAAAGCCGAGTTCCGCGGAGAAGGAACGCTGCTTATTGACGGGTTAGTTGCGGTGAGGAAGTCCGGGACGGGGAGGATTGAGATTGAGGCGGGGGCGCAGGCTGCTGCGGCGACGAATGGGACGATTGGGGTGAGGGCTGGAAAGGGGAGCTTTTTGGCTGTTAAGAGGAAGATTTATGAGGGACTTGCTGTGGTTTCGGGGAGTTAATCTTGTGTGTGATTGTACTTGAATGTCACAGGCGTGGGTTTCGGTTTATCATTGCTGTAAGGCATTAGAATCACATGGGGATGTATTATATGAATATAAATCTATGGAATGAACATGTCTTTCTTCAAGTTAAAGTATTCAGACAGTGGCGAACAAAATGTAGTATGGGGATTACATTTTTATGGCTAATAGAGCTCCTATGCAAGTCATATTTTCAACAATAGACACTATGGCCGAGTGGTCTAAGGCGGTAGATTAGAAATCTACTCTCTTCGGAGGCGTCGGTTCGAGTCCGACTGGTGTCGTTATTTGTATTTTTTTTGCCCTGTTTCCAACCTCTATACCATGTTTTGACCTATCTTTCCAAATAATGACAAATTCAACTCAAAACATAACAAATCTATACCTCTCAATATAACAGAGCCATCGCCTACAACCGGACAGTTGATAACAAGCACTGTAGGATAGATTCCACGGATTGCCATTCCCGGATTAGTTCAATCTTCTTCAGAGGGTTAGTTTATGCGAATCGCCCAGTGTAAATCGTCGCACAAAATATATATCTCTTAGGATTTTCGTCTTATCTGCTCACTACTTACCCCTGTTCCGAAACATGACGACACATTATGCGGTATGGAGCCGGATTTGGTCAATAAAGATGAATATGGGTTATAACCGGTTGTTCACGGGAGCGCTAGGGAATTGCATCGCCTCAGAAGCTGTGTATTGTATTGGCATTGTCATTATTCGTGTTCAAATTTGCTGAGGGAGAAATCGATTGAAATGACAGACGGGGTGATTTATGCGGACGGGGGATTTATTTTTCTAGAAGCACGACATGAGATATGAGCCCTAATCTTCATTTATCTTGCTAGGTACATTACACCTAACAAGCATTATCGACAAATTTCTTAAGGAAAGATAACTATCAGTTCTTCACCCGTATCTACTCCAATACGTAAGGAGCTTCCCCCGCATTTGCATTCCTTAAATCTCGAAACCTAAGATTGTCTTACCGTTGCCTACTGCGGGGACAACAGCCAATATAAACGCCGCATAGCGAGAAAGCGACGCCTGATAGAGAAAGCCGAGCACTCACTTTCTACCAATCAATCTAGTTTCTCTCTAACACTGGGGTGTAAACAACATCATAGTACTTCGGTTCTTGATTTCTCCCCGCAGCATGTTACCCCAAAAGATACGCAGTATGCGAGGGGGTTGGGATCCAGTATATAGAAAGCGGCGTAGTCCCGGGTGGATAGACGCCCCGGGATATTTGTTTGACAGTTTTATTTTTCTTTTAAAAAAATTTTTTTTTGTGTGAATATGAGTGTGAATATGAGCCGAGATATGTCAGAACCAACTAAGATAGAGAAAGGCGATGAACACGACCCCGAGGGACTAGGTTTACATCCTCATCTGTCACAAATCGGTGAAGTCCAGGATACCGAAAACCCAACCTACGATGCGGTATTCGGAGAGATCACGGAAGGCGGTCCAAATTATCGCAATGTATATCTGTCATATCCATAACCGGTTTGTTAGAAAACTAACGTCTCAGGTCGGGTTCCTAGGTACCGTCGCCCTCATGATGAAGACCCAGATCGGCCTGGGTGTTCTGTCGATTCCCGCCGCTTTCGACGCACTTGGTTTAGTCCCCGGTGCCATATGCCTGTGTGCTATTGCTGTCATAACAACCTGGTCGGACTATGTCATTGGGACGTTCAAGCTTCGGCATAGAGAGGTATATGGGATTGATGATGCGGGTGGGTTAATGTTCGGACGTCTTGGGAAGGAGGTTTTTGGGGCTGTTTTCTGCCTTTGTAAGTATACCTCCCAAGATCAGATTAGGAAGTAATTCTGACATTGTAGATTGGGTATTCGTCTCCGGTTCCGGAATGCTCAGTCTCTCGATTGCCTTGAACGCAGTCTCGACACACGGTACATGCACTGCCGTCTTTCTCGCCATCGCTTTTGTTATAGGATTCTCGTTCGCTAGTATCCGGACACTGGGACGAATTACTTGGATTGCATGGGTTGGATTAGTATGCATCCTCACCTCAAGTAAGTCACCTCAACTCAACTATCCAGGTCACACTAACAAATCAGTCTTCATCGTCACCATCGCCGTCGGCGTCCAAAACCGTCCTGCCGCTGCACCCTCGCGGGAAGAAACACTCGTCTGGGTTTCGGATTACAAGATTGTCAATAACCCTTCCTTCACATCTGCCATCAAGGCCGTTTCGACGCTCGCGTTTGCCTACGCGGGTACACCGGCTTTCTTTGCCGTTGTGTCTGAGATGCGGGAGCCGCGGTACTATACCCAGGCTATGCTTATCTGTCAGACTGGCGTTACGGCTATTTATGTTACTATTGGCATCGTCGTGTACTATTACTGCGGGTCGTATGTCGCGTCGCCAGTCTTGGGTTCTGCTGGTGTGGTAGTCAAGAAGGTTAGCTACGGCTTTGCGCTGCCGGGGTTAATCGCCACTACTACTCTTGTCACCCACGTACGTCCCTACCCTACCCTATCCCCATATGCATATACTAATGTATATAGATCCCAGCAAAACACATCTTCATCCGCCTCCTCCGTAACACCCACCACCTAACCGCCAACACCCTAACCAACAAAATCGTCTGGTTCGCCAGCACGTTCACCGTCGCCATAGTCGCCTACATAATCGCCAGCGCAATCCCCGTCTTCGACAGCCTGATCTCACTCATTGGTGCACTGCTGGGCACATTCATGATGTTCCAGCCGATGGGATGCATGTGGCTGTACGATAACTGGGCTCGCAAGACGACAGAGCATGGGTGGGCGTGGTGGAGGTGGGCGGCGATGGTGTGTTGGAGTGTGTTTGTGGTGTTGGCGGGGTTCTTTTTGATGGTTGGGGGGACTTATGGGAGTATTGTTGGGATTATTGAGGATTATGAGGCAGCGGAAGGGGGAAGCGCGGCGTGGTCTTGTGCGGATAATTCGAATTCTGTATAGTTTCTTTTTCTCATTGAGTTTTAGTGCACATTGGATATAGGTCTGAATATAGTTAGATATCTGAACTTCAATGTAATTTTGCCGGATGAAGTATTGGTCTAGGTCTATGTTCTGCTGCTTAAGCTCAACATACACTATATACTTCAGAGTTCAAAGAACATTCCAAACTCAACCAGCTACCTTAAATGAATCAATAGTCACCACTAGATCTAGGTCAATCCATCCAGACTCAAACTCAACTCTATGCAAACATGGACACACTAATCTACCCACCCGTACGCCCGTACGCCCGTACACCTTAAACCTAGACCCTATACACTCCCACAACCCTACAATTCAATTTCACAAACCAATGCACATAGGCCCATATCAAAGTGTCATCACACAGAATCCAATTAATAATCACCACCTAAAATGCCGCATCGCACACGCATAGTGTACAGAGACATCCACCCACCCTCCACGGACCACAACGCCCCAAACCCGAACCGCCCGGAACAACACGGAAACCCACCGTCCTCAAAAGAAAATGAAAAAAATTAATTAAAATAAAAAAACAGAATGTCTCAACCAGACCCATCCATACCGCCCTGTCAGCTAGCTAGCCAGGCAGCTCCACCAGCGTACAAGCTGAGTAGGACAAGTCCCGATGGGTACATACTCCGTTCTGTACCGAGGAATTATACCGCTTCGAGTAACCAGTACGTACGTAGTTAGCTGAGATGGAGATCGCGTTATGGGGCGTGTTTGCTTCTGGAATGAAACATAAATCATCGTGACGCATGCCAATTTCCTTTACCGAGACTGAGACGGTGAACGGTGACGGTGACATACGGCATGCGTGGCAGTTTCCTGTTTAAAGTACCATGCAGAGCTCGTATACGGGATATGTAGGTACCATGTAGGTACGGCGGTAGGGACGTGTGCTATTGGGGCGTGAGTGTGAGAACTCGTATACGAGTGCCGGTGATTGACCGGTAGAGATGACCAGAGTAAGCGTTGGGTAGGATGGCCATTGCCATTACCGTTGTCAACGCCATTGCTAATGCTAGAATCCAGACCGATCGATGAATTAAGAAATCTGGATACAAGCGGCGACTAACAAGTCCCACACATCCACAGCTGAATTGGATTTAATTTTGTGTGTGTGCGTGTGCTACTGCAAGAGTGAAAATATGTGGTGGAGTACAATAACCAATCACGATACAATACCGATAAACTTTTCCCGAAACCACCCAATTGGAACGCGATCTTAGATTGTGCCACTGGGTTCCGCCAATCAGGGTCCGACAGTGGAGAAGAGGGGCAAATGGATGCCCAAAATGAGGAAAATGTGAGAAAAGACTTTTTGGCGGTTGTTCCTGCAGTAGTTTGCGGGCTTAGAAAAATGGATGAGAAGGAACGGAGTAAAGGATTAGCGAGGAATAGAGGATCAGAGATGTGAGAGGTGAGATTTGACTTGCGGTGTGATTGTAGAACGAGTCGAGTCAACGGTGTACATGTGTCAGTTGACAGCTCAGTTATACGAGTTATACATCAGTTGGAATTGAAATGTTTGTAAGACAGTCATATATTCAATGAATCAATGAATTCACTAGATAAAACCAATTGTATAACAATCGTAAACCAATTAAACAGTTCTATAGACAAGGGCAAAAAACAAAACAAAAACAAACTCCATCTATCAATCCATCCATCCTCGGATATCAATCATATCATAAAATCATTAACATTTTTCGATGTCAAATCGAACCACTCATCCAGCGAGCTCAAAGATCATATCCTCCGTCCAGACAGAGCAGTCTGCCTAGCAGACTGGTATCCTGCCAGCAGAACATCGTAAAGCGGGGAAATAAACGAGCGGAAGACGCTTAGTTGCCAATGTTCACGGTGAACTGAGTGTTGATAGGGCAGCCGTGAGTCGCGTGGTCGTCCTTCGGCTGCAAGTAAGCCTCGGCGCACTGCGAGTCGCCGGCCTTGCAGTTGACAGAGGGGCAGTTGTCGTTGGTCTCGGAGGGCTCGACGGTGAAGCCGTACTTGACGAATTTGGAGTCGGTGCCCATGTTGATGCACGACATGTCCCAGAAGATGGTGTCGCCGGACTGGGTGTACTCAAACTGCAGGACATCATCCTGGTTGGTCTCGGTAGACAGCTTGATGGAGACACCACCGCCGTTGCTGTTTTCGCGCCACGATTCCTCGTAGGAGCCGCCGCCCGCAGAAAGGGTCTTCATGTCACCAGCGCTACTGGAGACAGACCACGCGTAGACGGAGCCTTCAAGGTTGTTGTGGATGCTGACGCCGCCGCTGCCACCGCTGCCGCTGTCAGTGGAGGTGGTGTTGCGGGCCTTGATGGCGTGGGGAAGGGCTGCGGTGAGGGCAGCGAAGGAGGTCATGGTAAGAGCGATCTTGGAGAACATCATTTTGATGGTTGTTTGTAGAGAATGTGAGACTGTAAAGTCAAGTGAAAGAATTGTATAAAAAACTTGTTTTAAGTGAAAGACTGATACTCAAAAGAGTATAGAAAAGAGAGTGTCTTGTAAAGAGAAAGACTTTGTTATAGACAAGAGAATGTTTTGCTTGTTGATGAGAATGGATGTATACCGGGATGGTCAGGGGTTTATATACATTTTGGACCACCACCTGTTCGGTCCTTCATCGGCCTGAAGGAGACAGACAACGAACAGTATCCATACAACAAAAAAGAAAAGAAAAAAAAAAAAAAAAAAAAAAAAAAAAAAAGGGCCGAGCCATCCAACGAATCACATTGAGCCCCGAGTAGGACTTGTTCCTGAAGGGTCGCCGTGGGACGCCACGGACCAAACCTGGTTTGCCGGTGTTTGGAGTCCAGACATGGATCGGTAGGATTCTAGCAAAATCGAGCTAGCAGGGCACCAATCATTGTACAATTTTTTCTTCCGGAACATGGATACAGTCAGGGGGCCTGGGAGACCGTGGCAATAACCCCAAACGGAACCAGTTGACAGGTATCCACGGTATAATCCAAGGCAAACAGCAAGAAAGAAAGAGAATAGAAGCGTAAAAGAATGGGGCGAGTGTCAATTCCGTGGTTCTGACATATGGCCACGCGGAAGCCCTTTTTTTCTTTTTTCTTTTCGATGAACCAAAATTGCGGATGCTAAGTGGCTTCTGAATGTTTCTGCTTGTTTCACCTGTCGCCTCCGTATCTACACGGATTGGTTACTCGTGTGCCTTTCTCTAACCGGGTTGCTACTGGTGCTAACACTGAGACATACTGATATCCACCCGTCATTCTCACTGTCAAAAAAAAAAAAAAAAAAAAAAATACCAGCCCTAATTGCCCTTACTAATCATCGCCCCATCACTAACAACCCAATTAGAACCAACATAGGATAATCCGGTCCAGACCATAACCGCCCATTCTCTCCGCCTACCCTTTCCAGAGCCTGGTCCTGATCTTTGTGCTTGCGGAACCAAACTTGCATACCCGCTGCTTTCCAGGACACTATTGTATCCTGTAGTTAGGTACGTACTCTCCAAACCCCAATAATGTTTTCTTGAGCTTTGTAAACCCCCCGCCCCTCCGGGACTCAGAGATCTGGTTCTGGGCCTGAATCTTAGGACTAACCCCAAATACCAATTCTTTGGGGTTTTGGATCGAATCCTCGGATCTGTTGATGTTCGGGATGTTGTCGGGGTGTGTCTGTCTTTTCCTCTATACATTCTGTGGTTCGGGGTGTTTGATGTGCTTAGGACGCGCGTTGAGGTATTTTTTTTTTTTTCGTAAATCTAATACTACACCACAGAACCCGATTGATGGCAAATAAAGACAACGGCTGCCATTGTAGGCTACAAAATACCAACTAACTAACCTGTTCTGGCTTACTGCTTACTGTTCTTCCGTAGTCCTCCGGTGTTCCAATCCTCCATAGGGCAGGAATTCACTCACGTGACTCGCCATTCTGGACCCAAGGACAAGACTGTCAATTCCGCGGTCCGTCATAGCTCCGCCAGTTCGTCGGCTGTTGGCCCATAACCGACTGTCCAGAACATGTTTTCAACAAATTAACTTTGCTCTCGCATGCTACCCATTTCTACGCTAGGAAATTTGCTCGACGAGTTGGACAGCTAACTAGCTTTCGCAGATGTTCTGATTATTAACGTTGGGAAGTAGTACAGAAATGCCTCGAATGCAATTGGTTGTTCAAGAATAAAAAAGATTCTCACCAGTATGGCGTCCGCATCGCCGCCAGTGTAGAGAATGTCCCTTCTCCCGCCACCTCGTCCTTTGGTCGGTGACCCGCCAGTTCCAGGTTGATTTGTCGATGCAGGTGCACCAGCCAATCGACGTAGCTTTGGGCCTCATTGTTCCGGTCTTCCACCAGTAGCCGCGCAAACTCGTACTCGGCGCCGTCCATGCCCTGGCGTGCCAGTTGGATTGTTACGGCCTTTGAGCCGCGGATTTCGGAGAAGTACTGTAGCAGGTTGCGTACTTGCGCGTTGAGATGTGTTTCCAGGACTGGGAGTGAGGACATTTGCGCGCTGAGTGACTGAAGCGATGTATGGTCCGGCCCGAAGAGATCCTCGAGGAGGTTGGGTGATACCTGCGAGTGCAGCCACAGCAAGCACACTTGCCCGTTGTCTACCAGGTATGCTCCGCCTTCCTCGACCTTCGAGAAGCTGGCCCGTAGTGCCGGGGGAACCTGCAGCTGCCCTCTTTCGTTCGGGAACCCATCCTCAGGTTGCAAGTTGTGGATCGGGACAATCCTGGGATACAGATACAATGACAGTTCTGTACATCCAATCGACCGGATCATCCGCATGTCATGTACGCGGCGGTCAGAAGATTCGTGTCCACCTGCGCGTCACTTATCAGCTTCGATTCTCCACATGTTCACAGAATATAGACCCACCCTTGAATGCCCGAGATTTGACCAAACTCAGCATGAACATCGAGTACTCCTTCAAATTCTCAGGCAACACCAACTGTCCCGGCGGATGAGACCCTGAGAAGATTCTACGGTAGCCACTAAGAATGTCTACAGTCTTCTCCGTAACGCTCGCCCGGATATCCTTAAGCGACTTGTCCAATGTTTTCGAGGCGGCTGTTTGGTCAGCAAGCGGATCAAGACCCTGGATTGACGATCTTACCCTCTTTGGCAACAAGACCAATAACCGCATCTTGGTCGATGCTCTTCATTGTGTCCATTCCTCCTTCGTTGGCAGCCGCCACCACGTTGATGCATCGCACCCGACGTTGCCCATCGGCTGACGTGTACAGAAGCGCGGCTTGGAAGTGCGCATCCAACTTGGGATCCAACTTGCCATCGTAGCTGAACAACACGCCAAGCGCCTTGTCCGCGTCAATGCTACCGATCTCCAAGTCGGCACCAAATGTGTGCTGCAAGAAGTTTCCGTGGTAATTCGAAACCTGGAGACCGTTCGAGCATCGAACCTTCATCAACGCTTGGTATCCGGTCTCACGGGTGACAGCATGTGTCAGTTCCTTTGATAACTTTAGCAAATCTCTGGGGGAATGGAAGTTCGGATAGAAGAATGTCTCTCCGCCGGTGACACCGGAGACGTAGCCTATCAACGTTAGTCGCCTCCATGACTTGGCGCTTGCGCAGGGCCAACTCACCCATGGTAGCGACATCCATATAGACGCCACCAGGTGCTGCAATGAACATGTCCACTCCAATGCCAGCCTCGGCCAGTTTGGAGCCAGTCTTCTTCCAATCCTGGTGTTCCGTGTTGAACAACTTTTTCTCTGCATCTGTGCCATGCAGTTTTGGATCTTCTCTCATGACAAGTTTCCCGGGGCTTGCAGTTGGCAGACTCGCCACTGAGCAAATGACCTTTCCGCCAGTGGCCTGCAGAGCAGACAGCGCAGCATTTAAGGCAGGGAGAACCGCGGGTTCGGGGTTCTTAACGTGGGAGAATATCGTCGGGATTCGTTGCAGGAGAGAGGATACCACATCCCTGACCAGTATTAGCCTTCATCACGCTCTTCTTGTCATCATGGACCATCACGCACTTGGACTCGTAGGGGTCAACGAAGAGCCCTTCGCTGAGAGGAACAAAAGGTTCGTCGAGGTCGGTCATCACCATCATCTGCGCTTGATCGAGTTGTGCCTGGAGGGTCAGCACCATTACCACACCGAACAGTCATAGTGGACCAAGACATACACTGAGGTTATAGAACTGCACTTCCCGATCAAAAGTGACAATACCGACTTTCGACCCTTCAGGTATGCTCCGCATCGGTTCCTCCTCTGGATTGTCCTGGTTGTCCTCGCCATAAAGAGCCTCTAAGATACCCTTGCAAGTTCCCTTCAAGACACCCCGGTTGATGGCGTCTTGACTGACATCAATCAAGAACAGCCATTGCAAACCAACAGGCTCCTTATTCCAATATTCCTTGGGAACCAAAAACTCCACTGTACCCATCATCAACTCCGGCCGCTGCATACGGTCGATACGTGCTCCCGTTTGATCAATTGGGGCAAAGTATTCCGGCGGTACATCGTTCGGGAAGGTGCACATGTTGCAGACATACTTGTTTCCTCCTGATTTGAATGTCATGAAAGGATTAATGTAGGCTCTGCATCTCCGACACCGCGGAGGGCCAATGTCTCCAAAGTCCAACACGGGTATCTGTTGTTCTCCCGGGCTCAAGCGCGCCAATGGCTGTAGGACCATACCCAGAGGTAAACCCGTAGAAGCGAGGAAGTTGGAGGTCGTCGGGATGTTATTGAGCGTCAAACGGGCATACTTGGGAGACGAGTTGCCTTGGTCGTGGGCGAAAAACGGGACTGCAGCCGGAGGAGGGTTATGCCATTCCATCGTCGGGTACACCTGGTTGTAGTAGTACTGCGTATAGATGTCGCGGGCCCGGGGCACACTGGGGATTTGCTCAGGGTCGACCTTTCCTTGAGTAGGCACAGAACCACCGCCCATTGTGCCCGGGATCCCAGGCTGGGGTATCATGCCTGGACTGGGGCCGGCCATGGCCTGAGGAGCGACAGCTGGCGACTCGGCCCGCGGGGCCTGATTCAAACCGGTATTCAGGAACTGCGACGCTGGATCTCCAGTGGCCGGCGAAGGAGTTGCTGGGCCACCAATATCATGGTGCGCATGTCGGTGTTTCTTCTTCTGTGTTCGGGGAGCCCCGTCTCCCATGATGCCCAACCCGCTCATTTGCGATGACAAACTCGCCATGTTCGGGTCGGCGGGGGCAGCTCCCATTGGCGCTGGTGACCCTGCATAGGCAAATTGGGGAGTAGGGGCGATGCTCGTAGGTTGTTGCGGGAATGGGTATTGCTGTTGCTGTTGTGGTTGAGCCGGAGAGCCATAGGCGGAGGGGGGCCACTGATTCGGAGCAGGCGAGCCGTAGCTGGGCTGAAGAGGAACGCTTCCGGGGGCGTGAGAGGAAGGAGGGTAAGGAGAAGGGTATTGTTGACGATTGGGATTCGAGGGGTCCTCGCCAGGTGCGGCGGCCTGGCCGTAGTATTGATACATCGGATTATCCGCCATGGTGCTTCATAACGCGGCGGGCAGCGGAGGGAGGGATTCGAATTCTGTACAATCAACACTGGACCATCGGTTGGCACTGACTGGAGCCGTCTGAAAAATAACCAGGCAGGAAAATGCCCAGCAGGCAGGGAACTGGTCGAGGAGTTGAAGTTATCACCAACTGACCACCTAACTCAACTCGGGACGGATTTATGTGGCTCCGGGCCGGTCATCTATGAGTTGTTCAGGGCATCGTTGACTGATACGGATTTTTATTGTCTTTTAGTGTCGATTGTCGGGTTATCATTGTCTATTAACTCTTCTATGAAAACAATTGAAGAATATGAGGTAGTGTGATGCTGGTATCCTACCCCTGACGATTGATAGTGAAATAGTTCCGAGTAAACAGACATTGGGGACGGTCGAATGCCGAAAAATTATCGCAAGACAGTGATAGAGATAGAATAATCTAATTCATCACTTTAACTATTTGCTTCTCGGACCGCTGCTGGCATAGATCTTCGGACATTCGCAATACGACAAGACTCTCGGGACATACCCCGGTCTCTGCATTTCCCATTCGAACAAAAGCAATTAATCAAGAACCGGTATGACAGGACTATCTCTCGCCCAGTTTCTGCATACTTGCACATCAAACTGCAGATCTTATCAACGTTGCTCCGATAAGCGGAGTCTGTAAGCGCTCATGCCACCATCTGCCGGTTCTGTTTGCGATCCTCTTTTTTTTTTTCTCTGACAGTCCTTTTCTCCTGTTTTGATGTTCTCGAGTAAGTGTCAACCTATTGTCCGCGTCAGGAAATGAAGTTACCGTAAAAGCCAATCACGTAGTCTGCTCATCGTCTGTTCATCCAAAGCACATGGACCATCCCCGTTGCTATACATACAAGACTAACATACCCCCAGAAGCCCCCAAAATGCCCCAGCCCTCTGACTCGGACACTCTCCTCCTAGCCCGTATTGGCTACAAACAAGAACTTCGCCGTGAATTCTCCAAATACTCTACGATCTCCTACGCCATCTCCATCCTCGGCGTCTTAGGCTCCGTTCCCGCAACCTTCGGCGCCCCCCTAGCATCCGGCGGGCCAGCAACAGCCGTCTGGTGCTGGTTCCTGGGTTCCTGCATGGCAATGTGCATTGGGAGCTCGGTGGCGGAGCTTGTGTCGGCGTATCCCACGGCTGGGGGGATGTATTTTGTGACCAAGTTCGTGGTGCCGGAGGAGAAAGTGCCTGTTTTTGCGTGGGTGCAGGGGTGGTGTAATCTGCTGGGCCAGACGGCGGGGGTTTCGAGTGTAGCATATACGGTTAGTCAGATGATTTTGGCTGGGGCGAGTATGAGGTCCGATTTGGTGGAGGGGAGGTATTCTTATGAGCCGTATGTTTCCTATATTTGCCCCATTTGAGCGCGACTGACCGGTTTCAGAACCGCGCTGCAAACTGTTATATTGTCTACTGTCCTCTTGTGTACCCTGGGCGTGATTAGCTCATTGACAACGAAGACCCTGCATCGAATTATCCTCTGGTTTGCGCCGATAAACAGTATGTCTCCCAAACCCTACATCCACGCATAGAAATTACCAACACAGAAAGTCTCCGCAACAATCGCCATCTGCTTCGTCCTCATATACGCTACTCCAGACAAACAACCAGCCAGCTGGGTATTCACCCACTTCACAGACGGCTCAGGATGGGGCTCCAAAATCTTCTCCTTCTTCCTCGGCTTCCTCGCCGTCGCATGGACCATGACAGACTATGACGGGACAACACAGTAACCACCTTACCCCCTCAACTATCTATTCTCTATTTTAAAGATACTAACCGAAAATAAAGTATGTCCGAAGAAACCCACAACGCAGCCTCCCTAGGCCCCCTCGCCATCCAAAGCGCCGTCCTAGTTTCTGGCGCAATGGGCTGGATGCTAACCATCTGCCTGTGCTTCTGCGTGACCGATCTGAATGATATCCTGAATACGCCGACTGGTCTTCCCGCAGCACAGATCTTTCTCAATGCAGGTGGGAAAACCGGGGGTACGATTATGTGGGGATTAGCTACGCTCGTACAGTTCTTCACTGGTTGTTCGGCCATGTTAGCTGATACGCGGATGGCGTATGCCTTCGCCCGTGACGACGCATTACCATTTTCCTCGTATGCCCTTTCCCGTCCCCATTATTGACAAAAGCAACCCAAACCCTAACAACCAAACAGTCACCTCTCAAAAGTCCACCCAAAAACCCACACCCCCCTCAATGCCGTCTGGTTCGTTGTAGCATCCAGCATAGCCCTCAATACCATCGCCATCGGCTCCACCCAAACCGCCACCGCGATCTTCAGCATCACAGCGCCCGCGCTGGATCTCTCGTATGCCTCCGTGATCTTCGCGCACCAGCTCTACAGGGAACAGGTGAAATTTGCACCCGGGCCTTTCTCGCTTGGGAATTGGGGGGGTGTTGTTAATGGGGTGTCGGTGGGTTGGGTGGTGGGGATTAGTGCGGTGTTGTTTTTGCCAATGAGGGTGCCTGTTACGGTGGCTAATATGTATGTTCTTTTTTTTTTTTTTATTCTGTTGGGATTGAATTGAGGTTGATGGGATGGTGCTGATGAGATTTAGGAATTATGGAATTTGTGTGGGCGCGTTTATTGCTGCTTTTGCGCTGATTTGGTGGCGGGTTTCTGCGAGGGGGTAAGTCTATCCATTCCGTGGTCCGGACGAGTGCTAATGGTTTGCAGAAAATACACCGGCCCTAGGACCAATGATTATTCACGACTAGATGGAGGTGACTACGGAACTGTACACCACGACCTAGAAGGATAGATATCAAAGACATAGATATACAGATTTATGCTAAACAATACAATACAAGACCATACCCCAAACTCAATAACCATACCTCATATACCATAAACCTAGATAGATACCACCAAAAAATAAAAATAAAAAGCGCATATGTGTTCTGTACTGTTGTGATTGCTGTATGTCCATGTCCAACCATAATCGCTAACGCGTTAGACGCCGTGTCAAAAAGATATCCTGTTTTCTCAGGCCCGGGTTCCCATTGCCTGCCTCCAGTCCTGCCAACCGAAATTGCAACGCCTGATACCATGTGCTAAAAAGGGATATAAAAAGTGACGATGTAGAAGAGAAGCAAGAAAACCAAAGACAATATCATACAAACTTAGAACATGACATGCAAAGGGGAATCAAGGAAATCAATCAGAATAAATGCAAGCAAAATGGGTAAAGAAGAAGAAGAAGAAGAAGAAGAAGAAGAAGAAGAAGAAGAAGAAGAAGAAGAAGAAGAGGAAGAAGAAGAAGAGGAAGAAGAAGAAAAAAAAAAAAAAAAATTGACAAGTGAAGATCAAGTGATAAGAAAATCCATGTTCATATCCTTGATAATCTTCTCCCAGTCCCAACTCTCGTCGATGTTGGTGTCCATTACCTCCCACACCCGCTGGACTACCAGCAAGGCCTGATCGATATTGCGGAGGTTGGAATAGGCTTTAAGAGTATCAAATCCATTCTTGATCCGTTCGCGTTGATGTGGGACGAACGCGGAGCATCCCAATAGGAACAGTGGCATCAGTACAATACTGTATGCTCCAGCATCTTGCGGCAACTGGTCCAAGTAGGCCAAACCATCATCGACTACCTGCGCTATTTTGTCGCTTGGTCGCGAAGGCCGGATAGTTCGATAGAGGTACACCCATGTCGATTGTCGATACAGCTGTGCCAGGTACCAGTTGGCCGTGTCGGGAATGTGCGAGGTCTCCCAGACGCGGATGGCCGAATCGATCGAAACGGCGTCGCTCAGGATCTCATAGTCGACGGCAGGCTCGTAGCCTTCCTGGTGTCGCTGCCGAATCCGGTCCCGTAACCGCGTGACCTCGGAGATGTAGTTGAACAAGCCATCAAACACACCTAGGAACATACCCGCCTGCGCATGAGGAACAAAGTCGGGCAGTCGCAAATCGCCATTCAAATGGGCTGGCCGTCGGTCCAGGGAGGTGATGGCATTCGAGACATCATGGTACTGGAAGAATTCGACGATGAATTGCCGGAACTTCTCGTTGCGCGGTCTTTGTGTCACCAGTAGGTATCGGGCGGCGTCCATATGCGGTCGGTACTCGCCATTGGTCTCTCCTTCACAAATGGTGTTCAAACTGAGCGCAATGGTGGACGCAATGATGGGATCCTCGACCAGGAGATCAGCTTCGCCCTCGGATGATGATGCTCTCGCTTTGGATGAGGCTGTGATGTTGTCTTTCAGGTCGCGAATCGCTCGATGGAAATGGTAGTATTTGCGCTCCTTTAGCATCGGCTCAGGGTCGAGGACAGACAAATGCGAACCGGCGAGACACATGAGCGAGTGCATGAGACCGCGATGTTGTGTGGCCATGGGGAGGAGGATTTCTTTGAAGGGATTGGAATCATCGTTGATGAGGGTCAAAACGCGACTGAACCCAAAGACGAAGTGATCGAGGAAGCGACGATCGATTTCGGTTTCGACACCATCGATGAGGATTGGGAGACCACGAGGAATGAGTGAGTTGGAATGGACCCGGGCGGCTAAAGAGAAAAAACCATCAGGTAAAGACTCCCTTCCGGTTGGCGCCCGGGACCTACCATCCTCCAATTTTTGTCTCCCACTCTTCCAGATCTCCTTGGGAGGATACCCTTCACAAACGACGGCATTTTTCTGACAATTCAAACACCTATAACCGGAGAATTCTTGTCAGTTTCAAATCCGGGGAAATAGAGTACCTGGCGGGGCGAAGTAAGGGGGCAAAAGGGAAATATTTACGCTGGTTTGGTCTCATCACATTTCTTCTTGCGTCGCCTGCAAGTAACACAACCTGTCTTGGAACGACCCTTTGTAATCTTGACCTGCCCACCCGGCACTGGCAGAGGATGTTTGCGAGGACGACCCCGTTTCCGTGGAACATGAACGGGAGCACCCGGTGGTTGATGCGTAGTCAGCGAAGAGTTGGTGGTTGGAGCGGTGTGGTGAGAGACATCCACCTCGTCGACTTCTTCAATCTTGGGAATCACAGCATCCATGGAGGAAGAAGGATCGAGATCGAAGTGGTGCGACTGATGAGGCTGGATTTGGTGGTGTTGGTGGTGGTGGTGTAGTTGTTGGTTTAGCTGATGGTGGTGATGGGCAGCGATCAGACCAAAGGTAAAAGGTTTTGCCGCGGCGGTGGGGGTGTATTCGACCACCGACTGGGATGGTGCGCCGACAGGGGGAGCGGTTGTTGTTATATTCGGAGGAGAGGTTTCGCCATCCCAGGAACGAGGAGAGTCATCATCGGTACTGATACTGGCGCGATGGGAAAAGGCGTCGTCTGTTGTGGTGGAGGTGGTATTGGAGTCGCGACGGTCTTCTTGTTGTTGCTGTTGAGGGAGAATGAAACCACTTTGCATGGATAACAAGGACATCTTGGGTTGTTGTTAAAAATAAAATAAAAAATAATAACAAAGATCAAATATAGAGAAGGAAAAAGAAAAGAAAAACAAATGTCAGTCAGAAGAACCGACTTCCCGGGAGTGTAGGAGAATAGGATATTGGCGGGTGAGAAGAGAGGGAGTCAAGAGTAGATGGAGGGGGAAGGGACGGGACTAGGATCTCAATAACACGCAATCATTCTGTATATAACCAGGATAATGACACAGCAGGGCTTCGTATAGTAGCAGTACTGTAGTCCCAGCAGTAGTAATTGAAAGAAAGGAGAGGAGATCAGTACATATACCCAGCGCAGTACCAACAGTTCTGATTACACCAATCAAGTGGCAAGATTAACAACTCTTTTGCAGTCGTCAGCCCGAAAAACCAGACTAATGCAATGAATAAGTATTATTACTCTGTACTTGTACAGGTATGTATAGGTGAGTCCCCTCCCAAAACTCTGTTGTCTATTACCAGGATAGCAGGATACTCTCGTTTGATTTGTGGTCGGCTAAGCGAGGACTGTGGCCTAAAGAGACCAAAAAAAGCAAATATGCCCAGATGCACGGGTCGAGTACGCAATACGAGGCTACTGTAAGAATGCAGGTCAAACTGAGTTTGGACTATAAGAGAACCAATCCATCCCACCCTCATTTGGGCAGTGCGGGGTGTGTGTTTCATAGAGTTAGGCCCATGCGCTACTCCATACATACGAGTATGCCTCGGTATGGAGTATCTATACCTCAACATGTACAGAGCAACCCATCTATGCCTGGGGAAGTGGATCGATCTTAGCACGGACATCGGGTTGCCAGCTGTACAGAGTACAGCCCATAGCTACGATCGATGCAAATATCCGTAGGACTATGTATCTATTGTCATCTATTGTCCAGTGTAAAAGGAGGAATTGTCATCATCTGCCCTGTGCTCTGCCGCTCAACCGGGCAATGCATCCGGTCCAAGCTTTTTGTACCGTACATGGTACCGTACGGTATCGTACAGTATCATACTGTACTTCACTATGATCGGCTGGTTGAATCGGGTTAATGGTGGTATTATCGGCAGAAGCCGTCTGAGGTCTACCTGGAATGTTCAGACTCGAGTTCTCCTCCTTAGGACTCCGGAGTAAGCATGTAGAGCAAAGAAAAGAAATATCACAACGCCACTAGTGGTGTAACGGTATGCACTCCAGATCAGAGGCCAGCATACTACAAGCATATACCTTGATGGGAATAAGGGTCTTACTTTGTTATAGTATTTGGCCCGTGACAGCGGGACCAGACGGGAGGGTCTTCCCGAACCAGATCGTACGGAGTTATTTGAGTTATTGTCCTACTGTCCTACACAAAGTTATTGACTTCATAACCATGTCTCTGCCATGCTCTGCCATGCTCTGTTCGTTATATAATCTGTACATACTTGTTGTGTACGGAGAGCGATGACAAACCCCGCCAGGCCACATGACCCCTCGTGTCGATTATCACCCAGCATGGAAACTGAGCCGGGGCGATCACTGCCTGTAATTACCGTTTTGTACGCAGTACTGGCTGTAAGTAAAGATGCACTACAGAGTACGATCATCATGATTATAACTGTTCATCTTTTATTGGTCGATCGGATGCTTTCCGGGGTTTATATATGCATTCAAGGGGGGGTTCATCCCGTACAACTACCTACTCCGCACACTAACATGCCTAACTGTCTTTATAGAACGCATAGTGATATATCTATTTATTCAATGCTCCTACGGAACACCCGGAGTATTATTGTACAAGTGGGAAAGATCCCGCAGGATCAGGGGCAGCGCAATATCCCGCTTCTTTGTCCTCTCGATGGTCTGAGCTCTCCATGCATCACATTCATTGCCGTGTCCGATGGGCGATTTCTAGTAGCGGCTCGTAGGTTCATCCGTACCATATCTTCTGCCAACTCACCGTCTTTCGGTCTCAGTCAGATGTACTGAGTGCTTGTCCTCTGTATGCCACGTAGATCACATGACAGACTGGCCGGCTCGAGTTGAACGCAAGTCATCTTGTTCACTCCGTACTTTGTACGGGACCCTCTGTTCTATCCAAGCCAGCATGAATGAAAGCTTCAATGCAGGGGATGGAAACTTTCTTCTGGAACATTTCTCTGGCGGTTCTGACAGATCGTCATTCCTGGCACTAAGCCATGGGCTTTTCTTCAGCTGAAGGGGAGATCTGCACGGCTGATGGCTACAAAGGTCGTTCGATGACTCAAATCCTGGAGAGAAGCAGTTAATCTGGTATGGAATCAATGGTTTGTCTTTGTCGCGATCAATATATCGATTCACGATCTGGTGGCACCGGCTGGCCCATAGTGTCATGGACCTAGATTTGAAATGTGCCACCTTTGGGTAAGACCATGTATCTCTTACGCTGCTTTCATTGGATAGTTTGACTGATGATCAGAGATGCATCGATGACCCTCCACGAACTCTAAATATAGTCGCGAACTCCTCCTGGAGGATTGTACCCGGCAATATTAGACGACGATCTGGCATGCCGGTCCGCATCCTCCTTGATCGATACATCGACGATAATACCCAGAACATTAGCGGGTCGGGGGTTCATGACAGACAGGTCTCACATGGGAACTCAGGATTTACATTCATGGAATCCGTTCGATCCGAAGCGGCATCCCAGGTACCCTGGACAAAATTGCATGAAACGATACGCTGATCATGTCTTTGAACAAGAATTTCTGATTTGCCTTTTTTCAATACTACATAATAAGTTGGTTTACAGTCCCAGCGCCATTTGATTGATTTGATTGGCTATGTGTAGGACATACCAAACAGAGATCTATGCATACATTCTCCATGCTCTTTTGAGAGTTTACTTGACCCATGTCATTTGCAAGGAACGGATCATTCCAAGATTATCTGTATAGTCACTGCCATCAGGAGTAAGGAAGCGATTTTACGATCACTCAAAAGATGCAGCCTCGGTGCCCCAACATGTCATATCAGCATAGTCATGTGCTTACCTTCTCCTTACATGCAGCGCTGTTATGGGATGGTTCTCGGAGACATGCATTCAATTGGTTTGGTTACCAGGAATGCTCGACAGACTTGGTACTTCCTGAGAATATGTTCCAGTTGATAGCATGCTGTTTGAAGGTGATTAAAACACGGCCAGTGATAACACGTATTGACCTAGCTATGATGTTGCCCATTGCAGATTGTGCAACATTCTGCGCCGTCCTATGTGGTGGAATGCTTAAGAAGACATAAGTTGGTTGACATGCTCATATTTATCCTTGCGCGTGTTAGCTCCTATAGCTCCTAGAGATTTGAACACAATTACATCTATCTATGTTCACTATGACATGATGTCGTCCTGCGGGGTGTACAAGTTCTGCCAGGTATACAAAGTGATGCTTATCGGGCGATACTAGATATAAGGCTGGCCTCTCTCACCTTTTCCCTCCTCTCTATTTACTTTTCTTTTCTCGTTCTTCTTGCACTGTGTATTACCCTCCGTTTTCACTCCAGTCCGTTATATAGCGTACTAGGGCATGGCATGCGGATGACTAATTATAACATCCTCTTCGTCCGAATCCGGTAATACTCTACAACACTCTCTACATCTCCCTCGTCTATATTTATACACTGAAAACGTGCCCCTTGGACAGTAAAAAGTACCTGACGACTAAAGGAGACCCGAAACCATACAAATATGTAGCACAATCACCATAACATCACTCACCAACGAATGTCTACATCATCGACTCTCCAATACCACATCACCTCCGGCCATTCCGCCCATCACCATAACAAAATGTTTTCCCAATTCTCACCTTTCCTCGTCAAAAACCCCTGCATACCCCCAATTGACAAACCCTAGCGGCACACAAAATGCCACTCCTATATGTCAGGGCCGTCGCCCCCTTCATGCCCGGCCACAACGCAACGGACGTAATAATCAACGAAATCCACTTCAACCGTACCGCCCTCAACCACTACAACTACACCCTCTACACAAATGGCACCCTCTCCAATGGTACAGACTGCTACCTCGCCTTCCAGTATTTCCGCCCCTCCATGTTCGCCAACAACGGCTCCTTCATCAACGGTACTTCCTGCTACGCGCCGATCCATGATATCGGCCGCCATGCGGGCGTGGGTATGGCGTTCGCGCTACTGTTTGCTATCTCGATTGTTTTCAACCTAGTTGGGTTGAGAAAGCATGGAAGGCGATATTTGCCGCCGCCGGCGGATGATTTTGAGAGGAAGCTCAGGTTGAATTTAAATTTGCCGGTTGACAAGCGCTGGATGCCTGTTGGGAGACGGTGGAAGTGGTATTGGTTGAACGGGTTGAGTGTGATCGGGGCTGTGGGGGCGTTTATGAGTATTGATGTGGATCGGGACCATGTGCAGAGTTCGCCGTTGGTTATTCAGAGTATTTTTTATACGCTTTTGACACCGATTATGATGGCGGCGGTCTGGGAGGGTGTACGGCATTGGTATTTTGTCCTTTCTTTGTACACTATCGATTGATGATACTAACAGGGTGATGTAGGGCAAGCTTTCAACACCGCCAAATTACATCCCGCGACCCCTATGCCTTCACGCAAAAGTCCACCCGTGAAGCACAAGAACTCTACCTCCCGCTAGTATTCTACGTCTTTGCGTTTATCAACTTCTTCCTCGCGGTCCCGCGCAGCTGGGACAGCATCCAGCTCCAACGAAGCCCCTCGCAAACCTTAGACCGCGCGAAACCTTTTGCCACAGATTCCCGGTTCAAAGCGGCGGGGTTCATGGCCCTAGTCGCGGTTGCTGTTATTTGTTATAGCCTTGAGCATAGTGTTTACCGGTACATCCCGAAACCTATCCCCAGTGGTGGAAACGCTGGAAGAGCATGGAGAAAACAGGCCATGTTCTACATCCAAGGCGCGCCATCCCAATACCTCATCGCGATAATTCTCCTCCTCATCAAAATTGCCTACGATATAGCCTCAGCCTGGGACTGGAACATCTCACCCCTCCGCTACGGCGTACATCTGGGATGGATTTACGGCCTAGGTTTCACACCCGCCATACTACTGATAATACTATTCAACATTGTTGGCCTCTGCGAGATGAATGAAGACAAAGCAATCATTGCGCAGCGCATGGAAATCGAAACCGCACTTGCCAGCGATACTCCTCTGGGCAAGAAAAGTAGGATTAATAAATGGATCGGTCGACTGAATTTACCCATGACCAAACACAAAAAACGGGAGAAAGAGGTTGAGATGGATAATATCAAGAAAGACGACGGCATTGAAGTTACTGCTGCAGAGAGGGATAGTCAGTCTAGTGGGACTGTAACTAGGAATCCATTTTTGGATAATAGCAGTGCGGAAAATTTTGTGGATGAGATTTTTAAAGAGGTCGAGGAGAGGCAGCGGGCTTAGTGTGATGTCGTGGGCTGGTTGTTTATTTTATTGTCGGGACAGGGCAGACTATGATATATACGTAATTAATAATGTCTAGTTTTTGTATGACTTTCCGGGCTTGCGCTACTGCTGAGAAAGAACGTGACAACAAACACAACACGATCAGACATATTTAGACTAGTAAAGTGTTGATCATCCCTGCTTTTTTTTTTAAAAAAAAAAGAAAAAGAAAAAGCCAAACATAGTATTATTAGTAAAGAACAAGTCGTCAGTGTGCATTGAGACCTCAGGTCTCTTCCACGCCAAGCCCTATCTGAGGAATGGACTATTACTTACTATAACCGTTGACGTGGTTTCTTCAATCTAAGGAAGCAAAGCTAACGATTAAAATCCATTGAAAATATCGTAACAGTAGTAATGAATCAATCACATCCAAAGCCCACGTCTAAAGAGGGTTGTTTAATACACCCCTGGCACAATCCTCCATCTCACAATCTTCCTATATCTCTGCCAATCACTTCCATATTTCTCTGAACAAAGCGCATCATCCCTTTTCTCCCTATGTATCAACAATACAGCAAAGTAGACGGCATAAAGATACGTGAACAACACCCCCCAGCCTCTCGCAGGACCTTGCACAACCTGGCGTCCGTCCAGCATTTGAAAAGCCTCCGGTGCCACAGCATGCCCCGCAGGAATGATCGCATATCCCGCGAGTCCAGTTGCGAGGCAAAATGGAAAAGATTGCAGCCAATCACCAAGATAATTTATATGACGTGAAATCCCCCACCAACCGGCTGTGAGTAAATTTGTGCCGCGTTTGGTCTGTATGTAGGATAAATGAGCCACGCGAGGATCACTGGGTCGTGTGCGGAAGATAATCTTCTGCGAGTTGGAGGCACGGAATATATATAATCCAAGGACAAAACATACACTCGTGGTGACCATTTGCATCCAGCTCAGAGGCGTAGGGTAGACCGAGAGATAACGGCACTGTGTCGAATAGAGAAATGGCACCCAGACAAGATCACCGAAAGTGAGCATGAAACCCAGGCCATCCGTGGTGATATCCCGCATGGTTAGGAAGCCAGCCTCGTTGTACTGACCCTCAAGTACATAGTAAGATTGTACCGAAGTGACAAAGATCATGCTGCTGGAGACATAGCCATAGCTGCGATATTGTTTTGCCATGAATGCCAAATCCACTAACATCCAGCCTGTCAGGCCTGGGCGCATCCCAAACCAACTTTTGAGGTCTACTTCACCGAAAATAGGCAAGGTGACTCGGGGGTTGAGCTCTCGGCCGATGAAGAAGTCATAGAACTGATTATCCGTGTGACCAGCGGGGGCTAGTTCGCGAAGCTCGGGGTTGGGATACCTACAATCGACGCCAAAACTGTGGATATAGAGATAGAGTGACGCAGTAAAGCTAATAACCATGTTGGCCATCAAAATCTCCACATAATGGTCGGTGATATATGTCCAAACGATGAAGTTCGCACCCTGACTATAGGTACCGATTCCGCAGATTGTCAGGTGAATCAAGCTTGTTGTGAAAGCTGAAATAGTAAGCACTGTTGAAGTACCTCGGCAAAGGTCACTTACCGTTTAGTCGATATTTCAATGGTCGGTCATGGTGAACTAGCTTCGTACCATACATTTCTTGAGCAGGAAGCATTCTCCAGAGGGCCATGTTGAGCATGTAGTAGGCAAGCACGACAATAGATACCCCGAGTCTAGGAAAAGACCAAATTCCATCTCGCCATCCTGTTTCCACTTGAAGAGTCTCCCAGGAGAAGCGTTTGGACTGCACCAACGATGGCACCGGACATCCAGTCGAGTCATTGCAAGTGACAGCGAAAACAAAAAGCAAGAGTGGGAGGCCAAACGTGATAGCGACGGTGGCCCAGCTTATAACGTTAGCAACGAGTGTTTTCAATTGGATATCAGAACACTCACAGGCCACCAAATTCGAATTTTGAGACAGTATTGGCCGGCATAGCATATAAACAGATGGATTGGTATATTCTGGGGAGTGTCATCTCGGGCCCAATCTATATAACCTACGATCGGATCCCGCGGCCGCGAGCATTGTCTTCCGTAATGGCGTGTCTTGCATGCTGATGCCGTCGCGGATTCCGCGGGCCCCATCTGGATGAGTGAGCTAAACCTCTTTCAACAAGGCACCAGCAAGGCACCAGTAACTTGATCGAATCGTTTCCTTTGACAGCTTGGTAGGCGGGTCAAGCCACAGGCGCTGACCAGGACAGGTAGCATGCTGTCGATGTCACCGTGCTTGTGTTGAAGGAGAGTAAGGCGAAGATCATTTCAAACATAGAGTGCAATTAACAATGTACTTGGAAGCTTACATACACACAGGAACAATCTAACCCAAGAAAAATACTGATTCATCATGCATATTCAGGTTAACTAAACTAAGTAATAACAAACACCACAGGATGCAAATGACCCGACCCATGCTATAGTAAAGTAATGCACCTCTGTACAACGCCGGATCCCGTCCGAACCAACAATCAACGATCAGCAATCAACAACCAAAGAGATCAAACGAAAGACATTCTCCATAATGCGGATAACGCTGAATATGCAATGAAAGAACAAGATAAAAGAGATGGAAGGTGGTCAATTAGGCGGTGAACACTCGATCCAACTGCCGGAGCGCACGCATGTCCTCGCCTCCAAAACCAATCTTGTCGCTGGGAATATCCCGTGGCCCTTCTACGCGGATACCAGCTCCGTGGGGGCTTCCCGATGCAGGTGTGATGGCGGGCAAGGGACCCGGAGGGGCGCCGTTGACTAGCGCTTCGATGCTGGGTACTGTTGTGCCCGTGCTTGCTTCTGCTGTTCTTGGTGGTGGATTCGGGCTGGCCAGAGGTAGTGTTGTCGGGGGCTGCTTTAGTAACCGCGGACTCGCGGGCCTTGGTGCCAGACCATGTTGCGGGGCGTGGAGCGACTGAATCCGGGGAGAGACGTTCGTGGCGGCTCCGTACCCCGGAGGGCTGCGTTGATGTGCATCGTCGACTGGCCGCGGAGAACGACCAGGGAAGACAGGCATGGACTGTGGACCGGTAACCGGCACATTAGGAGACAGTGCGGTTTCCATTTGGTGATGAGGCGGATGATGGTGGACGGGCCGTTCGTAATGATGAGGGAGACCGGGCTGTGTTGAGGGCGGCGGTAACGGGTGATGTGGCTGTGCATATGCTACATGACCATTGGCGGTTGTTACTGGAGGAAGATACGAGGGACTGTGACCATAAGCAACTGGCATAGCCGGGGGAGTGCCCATCGGTGTTGGGGGCCATGCATATGGTGGAGTATATGACTGCGGATGGCTGGCGCCATGACGCGGGTACCCGCCCATGGGATGTGGAGAGATCGTATATGCAGCACCGGGCATGGGGCCTCGCGTGACGACGGGCAAGTTCTGTTGGTCATTGACGGTCGATTCGGGATAGAGACCCTTTTGTGGTCGGACATGTCGCAGGGCGGGATCTGACGATGGTTGTTGAAGGTTGGCGGCGGCAGGATGTGATCGGGAGTAGTAGCTGATGAGATGAAGGTGTTGACCAGCGGAGGTGGTGATGCTGAAGGACTGCTTCATCAGACCGTCGGGTTTATATCGATAACCATCCGGTCCTTCATCAGGGCCTTCTCCCCGATCATCATCGCTTCCCCGTGTGCTCTCTGGTGTTTTGCCGGCTCTGGAGGCGGACTGCGCGACATTGCTACCACCACCTCCCCGCTTGCCCTCCATTTCACGATATGTTAGGAAACTGCCCGAGACCCGACTTGCGCTCCATGATTTGCCGTCTGTCCATCGTCGCATGCCTGCTTCGCGCTCATCCCATACAAAGACGGAGCCGGATCTGATGGATTGACGTTCTTTTTCGGAGAGTCGACGTTGGACGCGAGGAAGAAGACCGATGCGACATGCTTCGAAGAGAATGATGGCGTCCGCGGGAGTGCGGACGTGACCATAATATGTTTCCATTCCTATGTTTTCTGCTATTGATTGAGGCTAGACTAGAAAAGATATGTTAGTCTGGAAGTAAGGATAGGAGTATAGGAGAGAGCAACTTACTGAAAGAGAGCCTGTTGTGTCGGTGGGGTTGACGGGAAGAATCAGAGACAAACCAAAGGGGTAAAAGAGGGAGAGACAAAAAAGGGAAAGAAAGTAAGAAAGGGAAAAAAAAAAGCCAGTCCAGAGGAAAGGTAGATAAGAAATAAAGAAAAAAAAATTAAAATAAAAAAAGAAAACACAAGAAACAAAAAAGCTACGAAAACCAAAGAGGGGTGCTAGCGTAGTCAGCAATAAATAAGGCCCGACCAGCGAACAGACTCAAATAAACGAAGACAGGGAGGGTGGGTCTGTCTCACTGCCGAGAACAAGTTAACCTACGCTTGTCTGGTTGGCACCGGCGAACCATGGGATGTGATATTACTGTATATAGATACCTCCAAGATCGTGGATCTTATTCATAATAATAATATTATTATGATACCGTATTACGCGGTCTGATCGCGAATAGTGCTTAAGCTTAATTCTGTCGGACTGTACTCCGTACATCACAACAGTACTTTATCTGAATAGTACAGGCAGTGTAAATAAATATAGTACACTATAATAATATAAATATAACTATAAATGTTCATTTCTAATATTATATATTAAATAAGTGATATTAGTAGATGGAGTGTAGAATAGGCATCAACATACTGTACCCATACAGCCTTATGCTCGTATTCGCCGACCAACGGATGCGCGCGGATAACATTAAGCGTATCGCCAACAAAGTGTGCCCCACCCGGATTTAGTGGGAGTTTATTTACATACATACTCCGATACAATACTGTATTTCCATATCACAGGATCACGTATATTACAGGATAAGCATATTTAATATCACACGGAAGCGTGTTCCGTGGCTACTACAGGGTATTTGTGCAATCACCTGTACCTGTACACTGTACGCTGTACACTGCTCTATTACTCCTCGAAGCTGTGCTATACACTTGTACATGCATATGCATCCGATCATCCGAACGGCCTATTTGGTGGGGTAGCGATGGTGGATCTCGCGGTCCCTGCCGACTCACACACTCAGCAGTTCTGCCCATGTACAAGTACAATTACTCTGTACAATGATATCCCTTGCAATATACTAGTACTATGTTTGTATACATACCAATGCAACTCTGTGAAACGTTACATGAGCTTATCTCCACATAATCTGAGACGTCGATCATGCCATTTCGATGTCTATACAAGTACGGAGTACTCTGTATGTAGAGCCAGTATACCGTAAAATACAGCACCCTGAATATCCAAATAAAAATGCCAAGCGTCAATGCGCTGCAGAGCCAAGCATCCCCGCTTCGGGGTATGACACCTAAGTCCCCTAGCGGTAACATTATTAGGCCACTAGTCATATGCATCCTTTTTGCCGTGCTACCAAGAAGTTAATCTATGTGCTAATATATCTTGGCAATTTCCCACGCTGTATCGTAATATTACCTAATGTCCTGCATAGGTAAGATCAAGCGAGAATAGAGTTATTGCCGAGTCAACGCCGACTAACTTACGGGGGCGACTCGTACCTATCGCCTGGGTTAACGAGCCCCGCTGTCTCAGATCTGGCAGAGTACTCTGTGTTTTTATCTAGGCTTATCGGATTGCATTAGTTACCGTGCTTGTACTTGTATATTTATACGTACTACTTAGGTACTTGTACATACAGAGTGCTCCATACGTACGTACTACGGAGTACTCCCTCCGCGGAGCAACACAATAAAGTGACCCGCAGATCGGTGTCAACCATATTAACCTTACTCGCCCTCCCGTCTCGTCTGTGTTTAATAGCCCAGCAGCCCCCGCTTACTGCCACGTGGAACTTTCATAATACCGTACTATGTATCACCTGTTATTGTACTCCGTATCAGTTTAGCGACTGCCGACTTCCGAATTACCTCTTTGGGAACTCAGGGTCTTAGGCACATAGTACCCATTTCAGCATGGACCACGAGGCACAATTCTAGAATTAGACTTTAATAAACTATTTGGTTCTGTACTTGGTTACGGGTTACTGGGATTTCACGTCAATGGAGGAAATATGAATGGGTCTGCATAATGTAATGCCAAGCTCGTGTCCACGGTTGAGGTCGGCGTTCACCGGCTAAGCTTAACTTGTCGTCTGTTTACCTGTTTATGACCCCTATACATGTACAATTTGAGATTTAAATTTATACATACACTTCATAATCATGCTATTGCACAGCGCTAACAGTCCGCCCGCTTAAAGTGCCGCGGAAACGCCACCACATCCCGCACACTCGACACCCCCGTCAAGTACCCCAGAAACCGATCAAATCCCAATCCAAACCCGGCATGCGGCGCCGTTCCCCACCGGCGAAGGTCGGCGTACCACTGTAGTTGGCCGAGATCCTCTTCCGGTGACAGGTACGGGTACAACGGCTCCTTTTCTTTTTCCTTTTGCTTGGCCGACTTTTTGATTGCCTCCGGCGAGTCTTCCGGCAAATAGGGGCGCGGTTTAATTAGGCCGCTCGAGCGCATGTTGGAAATGAGGTTTTCGAGTCGGTGTTCGCGGAGGGAGCCTCCGGCGACTTCGCTGACTTCTGGTAGTAGAAGATCGAAGCAGGCGACAGTCTCTGCGGGAGTGGTTGTGTCAGGAGAAGATGGGAGCATGTAAAACGGCTTAACCGTTTTGGGATAATCGGTTACGAAGACGGGACGACCCTCGCTGAGCACGTCCACGATGTACTTTTCGTGTTCCAGCTGGAGCCCCTCTTCCCATACTGGCGGGTATTCAAACGATGCGCCACGTTCTTTGGTGGCTTCTTGCAGCGCCTGGATCGCTCCTGTGTACGTCATCCGCTGCCACTTCGGACCATCCATCAAACCATCCCATCTCTGTTCTAAGGAGCATTCATTTTCCGTAGAAAGGACCTCCTGTCCAATAGGCGAATCGTACAGTCGACGAGTCAAATCACGGAGAATATGCTCAACCGAATCCGTCAACTCATCCATACTGTACATGAAGTTCATCTCAGCCTCAAGCATGTAGAACTCGCTCAGATGACGGGGCGTATCGCTCTTCTCAGCCCGAAATGTAGGCGACAGAGCCCACACATTCCCCAGCTCCGCCGCATATGCCTCGAGATGAAGCTGCGACGATACAGTGAGGTACTTGGGCGCTCCGAAGAAGGGTTTCTCCTCCTTTGATTCTATTGCTTCCCGCGGTAGGACTGTAAATGTCTCGCCGGCTCCCTCGCAATCGGACGATGTGATCAATGGCGGTTGCACCTGTGTAAACGCTCCATCTGGGTGTGATCGAAAGACATTCCCTAGCTGGTGTATGCATTCTGACCGGAATCGCGAGAGGAGTGAGTGGGACGGCGTTCGGAGACGGAGATGGGGGATCTGACGGAGGAAATCGGGCGAATGGTATTTCTTTTGGATCGGATATGTCTGTCATTCACTGTCAGCTCGTAGTTCATGGGAGTACAGTTCATCTCGTATAGCAGGTAGCTCACCTCCGGCTCCGCCGCGCCCACACAACTCACGCCCGTCGTCTGAAGCTCATGAGTCTGACTCTTGCCCGGCGGGCAAGGTGTCCAATATCCAGATAACTGAACAGCTGCACCAGTCGACAATCTAAAGCAACCAGTCCATCAGAATCGAATCACCAATTACTCCGCGGGAAAAGAATCCTACTCCGCAGCCTGCTCCGGTTTCAAAATAGCCTGCACTGCTTCCAACGACGACCCATCCGAGACCTCTGCGAAAGCAAATTTCTTCTGTTTCCGTACCGATCGGATCAACCCCCTCACTTCAATTTGTTTATCCTCATGCTGGCTTTTCTCGCCATGTTTGCTTTCGCGGAGGAGCTGCGCGCATCGGAGGAACGTGGGGCGGGATGCGGTTGTCCGGGGATTATGGTTTAGCCTCGCGACAGACGTGGCAAAGGTGCGTCGCCATGTCTGCATTTCTTGAATTGGGGGTGGTGGCTGGTATCGGATCGTTGTAAAGAGATTGTGGGTTTGACTTTTGACGATGTCCGCTGTTAATCGGCGCGGTGTTCGGTCCGTTCCAAAGGCGGAGTTGAGATAGTACAGCTACGAACTTCAAATGGACAAATTGATAAACTATTACGATTTTATTTTATATCTAGAGTATCAAGCAAGCATTTAACGAGAGGTAGATTATCGACCATTCAAAACAATCCTATATAATTAACCTTTCCATACCCTATAAAAGCAACCCTAGCTCAGGGGAAGACAGAAAATTAAACATCAATATCCCGAAATCTGCTGTAGCCAACACCAAAAGAACAAGAACAAGAAATCATATCATCATTTATCGCCGTTGGGAGTACACTTTCCTCTCATCCTCAATCATTTCAATAGCATCAGCTACCTTGCCATCCGCTGCGGCTGCATAGACTTGGAGTCTCTGCGGCCCGCCTTCTTCAGCACCTCCATACCCCAAGCTAACAAGCGTGTCCACACAATCATCGACACGGCTAATGGTAGACGGATGTCTCAAATTGCGGTCCAAAACTGGGTATTGGCGCTCGTCTCCAGCGGGAAAGCTCCCAGGCATGTTACGATAAGAACTTCCTAAAGGAGGCGCCGACTGGTTATTTTGTGGATTAGATAGAAGAGTGTGAATCTCAGTTGCCCGCCGTCTGAGCTCTCTGGTTGCACTGGGAGTCTCCGTAGGAGCCATTGGATCAAAAGGACCCGCAAGCCTTGATGCTGGATGAGCAGGCATCATGGTGTTTGACCGACGAAGCGGGTGATTGTCGTGTCTCCGGTGTTCCGGACTTCGATGGGACCGCGACCTATCTGGGAATGGAGACCGCTGAGGAACAGTGTTTTCGGCCCCATTCGAAGTACGTCGTCTAGGATTCGACTCAGTGCCCCGGCGCTGATTAGCCACCATGTACGCATCCAACTGGGAGACTGGTGGGAAGCGGCTCATGCCGGACTCCATACTCAGGTGGGGCAGAGGGCCAGATGTTGGAATATTAGAGCAAGATGACCGCTTGCTACATTCTGGGATAAGAGAAGGATACCGCGCAGAAAATTCTGAATCTTCATTATCCCGATCAAGCAGCGCCGAGGTTTCAGCCAATTTCTTTGTAGCACGTGAGGTCTGATTCGGCCCTGTCGAATCATCGATAAGTTGTCGAGGTCCTGGTAGCTCCGGAGTGCTAGGAATAGCACCCGCACTGTTCGAACCAGGCCGAGAGGCAGACCGATCGTTATCATGCGAAGCATGTACATCTGTGATGGGGATGTGGTCATTGAATTCGAGATTGATCGAATGTCCATCGATGAGAATCCCCTGTAAGGCTTCCAATGCTGCCTTGGCTGCATGAATCGAAGCGAAGTACAAGTATCCAAAGCCTGCATGCTTCCTGGTTTGCCAGTCAAGTGGTAAATGTACTTCAACAAGGAATCCTTGCGAGGCAAACACATCTTTGATCATCTTCTCCGTTACGTTGAACCCCACGTTGCCGATAAACAGCGACTTCTTTGCAGCGACCCCATTTTGCAAGGAGCCAGACGTATCTGACGCAGATGTTTGATTATAGGAATCAGGTCTGGAGGCAGGAGCCCACCCAAATTGCCATGGTCGTGACTGTGGTGGTGGTGGGTGGTGAGGGACGCGAGACCACGGATGAGGATGATGGGGTTGCCAGAACGAATTATGGATTGGATGTGTTTGGAACGAAGGTACTGGTGGCGGTGGTGGAGGAGCGTGGTGATGAGGAAAGCTGGGATGGGGCCGAGGTGGAGGGAGATGGAAGGGATAGCGAGGACCGAAGGGATGGGGAGGAGGCCCTCTGTGAGGCAGATCAACAGGCTGCAAACCTGGACCTGGACGGAGTGGCGCCTGGGGTTGCTCGGGCTGCTGCGGCTGTGCCGAAGGACCAACATTCTCATGTCCACCAGGAGGTCCAGTGTTGCCCGACCCCTCCTTGACTTTATTCGAATCCAAGCTCTCCTTCTCGTCATCGAAAGGTGCGTTTGGACGGGGCTGCTGAATGCCGGGTGTAATTTCGGGTTGAGACGACACACGAGCGTCTTCATGATGACCTTGACCCTGACTTGTTGTAGTATTGCATGCCAATTCAGCCTCAAATGCTTCAAACAAGGTCTGACCCATCTCGCCAAGTTCGGATGCCATCGTTCGTAGACCATTCACAGTGCTGGCAGCCACGCCCCCGGGCGTATTGATGTTTCCTCCTTGAGCTCTTGCTGCTGCTGCTGTATCATTGAGAGCATCGCTCAGAGTCCTCACCCGGGATTCCATAGCAGTGAGGGCTAGTTGCAGAGTGCTCTCAACATGTTCAGGAATTGCTCTTTGCACATCCCGGACTTGCTGTTCAATGCCTGGCATTCTTGACCTCATGTCAGAGCCGAACGTCCATGCACCAGATACTAAGTGATGCAGAGTTTGAGTAAAAGAATCAGCTGCACTCTGTTGTCCATCACAGCCTGCTGTCTGGTTCTGGCCCGCTGAAGCCGAGAGGTTTTTCTGTGCATGCTCTCCATCATTTGAGATGTGCGACGCATCTAGGAGTTGGGCCAATTCTGTTTCGAATGCCGTCAAAAGAGGTTCAGGGGACTCTGTCGAAGCAGAGGTATGCTGATGGTTGGTATCGACTGTATTCTCACCATCGCGGAAAGGTGAAACACTCCCCTCTGACTTCTGTTTAGTACCATCCACTTCTGGGTTTCGTAAGACCGGAGACTGAGTATCAAGCCCATATTTCTTCCACAATTCGGTAACAGAGTTCGATCGACGGATGTCGAATATATGCATGGGTTTATCATCGTTGGTACTAGCGGATTGTTGCGTCAACTGCGACCGAATCGGGACATCGACGGCTTCGTCCAAACGCTGGGAGAGCTCAAGAGAAGATCCAACCTAGCAATGTTAGCAACAAATTCAAGGGAAAGAGACTCTCCAGTAAGCTTACTGTAATGACCTCGCCGTCATCATCATCCGGATAGGTCAGCCTGGCTCGAGGATGAGTGGAGGCTATCTCATCGTAATCGGAAGACGATAGCTGCACAATTCCATGATGTTTTCCGGATCGTGAAGGTTGTGTCTGGTGATCAATGACTGTCTGTGCAAAGTTCTTTAATGATTCATTAGAGTCTTCTTGTGGCCGGGGACCATGCAGGTCCCTTATCTGGAAAGGCTTGAGCATAGTCGCGATATACTCCGGAGTAGATGATGTTATCCAAAGTCAACCATGCGTTTTCGGAGATTGTTGCAAGAGGCGTCTTTTCAGGATATCGATATGATAGAAATATTAGCAAGTTGAATAGATCATTAAGTTGGATAGGATGATCGTCAAGGCGTTCAGGGACGATTGTCGTTGATGAAGCTGCTGCTGACGGTGTCGGGGGCGACGTTATCAGCGGTTGGAGACGTTCAAGCCAAACCACCAATAGAGGAAGAAAGAGTCATAATAGCAAAAAGTAGGAAGTTGATGAGAATAAAAAAGACCAAGTCCTCCTTTCTCGATAAATCCCGATGGAAAAAAAAAAAAAAATAAAAAGATGATGTAGGACAGGCAACAGGATAATATAGTAACGGTTGATGGGAAGTTGTAGCTTATCCCCGCGCGGTCGCCGAAGAAAAAGGACTGAAGTCACGACACCTGCTAACGACATTCCTACGAGAGAAGGAGAGAGACCGACAACTGGACTCATATGAATATGCGACTCGTTTACCACGTTGTCTCTTATTATTGACTGTCTTCTCTCTTCGTTGCCTGTGTTTTATTTAGAAAAGTTTTGAATCCTGATGTCAATGAACTTGCGACAATCTAGAACGCGACCCCTCTGTACGGCGCTCCACGACGCCGATGGCCTCAAACGACTACCAAAAAATATTGACTCAACACTCCTTTAAAGAACTTCAATGGCTCCGAACGATTCCCGATCGACGCATCCGAATCCCCCGGTCGAACTGAACGTAAAGCAAGTTGTACTTGGCGACCTATCATTCCAGACGTGGTACCAATCGATATACCCCGAAGACCTCGTGAAAAAGGACAACGAACTGCTGTACATCTGTCGCTGGTGTTTCCGATACTCCTGTGACGTTGATGCCTACGTGAAGCATACGCATACCTGCGAACATAGGACGACACCTCTCGGAACTCAAGTCTACGACCATGGAGGGTATTCGGTGTGGGAGATTGATGGGGAGGAGCATAAACTATTTGCGCAGAATATCTCGTTGTTCGCGAAGCTGTTTGTTGACCACAAATCCGTTTTCTTCGATGTTGCATCCTTCCTCTTCTATATCTTAACGTTCACCGATCCCAATGACCCCGAGAACTACCATATACTGGGATACTTTTCGAAGGAGAAATTATCGTGGGATGCGAATAATCTGGCCTGCATTTTGATCTTCCCACCGTACCAACACAAACAGTTGGGAAAGCTGTTAATGGGTGTGAGCTACAAGCTGAGTGGTTGGGAGCGTGACACGGGTCTGGTTGGGGGCCCGGAGAAACCCCTGAGTGAAATGGGTCATAAGAGCTATGTCCGTTTTTGGGAAGAGCGGCTGGCTAGATATTTCTTGACACGCTTGTGTGAGCACAATGACTCAGATGAGTCGCAGTCACAACGGCAGAAAGGAAAGACCTCCAAGGGTTCCCGGAAAAAGTACCCTCAGGAACGGATATCTGTTCAGAAACTTGGTCATGCAACAGGCATGTTGACCGAGGATGTGATTACTACTCTGAAGAGCATGGGAGCTGCTGAACCCGATACGAAACCTCCGCAATCCAAACAGACACAATCCTCTACAGAGGCTGAAGAAGACAGTGGTCAGACGGTTATTCTTCGAAAATCCAAAGTGTTGGATTGGGCTAAAACTCATAAACTCACCCTGGGAGACCCTGTACGAGAGGAAGGATTCCTGGGTGATTATGCCCTGACAAGCACACCGGAAGAAAGCACGATAGAAAGCCCAGAAGAGGATGAATAATGTTTTTGCTTTTTTTATCTCCTTTTCTTTTCGTTTATCGCAAGTGGCTAGATACCTGTACTATCGATGGTTTATATAGACTTAGTATTCCTACCCTAGGGTAGACTAATTATGCTCGAGCGCAGTTAATGAATTGTATTATTACTTTATACTGGATTGATTAAAGAGAATGTAGTCCATGAGTAGGCAATAATTGTATTTATCAAGTACATTCAGACATAGAATTTTCGATACTAAAAATATAAGGATGCCCAACATGAAATTATTCTTTAAGATCCTCTTTACACAAACCCCAATCTTCTATCTTTGACTGCGTTACTCCTCCATGCCACCGGGACCACCTGATTTACCCATCTGCCTGGCCTTCAGGAGCTCGTCACACAGGAGAAGGTTAGAGGCGATACCCGTGCTCGAGGCGATGCAATTACGCAAAACACGGAAACTGTCGAAAACACCCTCTTGCACGGGGTCCATTGGCTGGCCTGTTGCCAGGTCCAAACCAACCACGTTGCCCTCATCACGCTCATCCTGCAATGCGGCAATCGAATCCTGAATGTCGTGTCCAGAGTTGGCAGCGAGGGTCTTGGGAATCACCAGGAGTGCATCGGCAAAAGCCTTAACACCGTCCTTAGCCTTGCCCTTGACAGATTTGCGGACCTTAGACTCCAAGTAATCGGCACACGCAATTTGGAATGCACCGGCACCGGGAATGACGCAGCCGTCGACGATGGTGTTGTATACCGAACGCAAACCATCACGGACTGCGTCCTTAACTTGTGCAATAGTGTGCGCATTGGGCCCCTTGATCAGAATAGTGACGGACTTGGGGTCCTTGACCTCCTCAACAAAGGTGTACTTCTCTTCACCGAGTTGGTGTTCATAGACCAGACCAGCCCATCCTAAGACGTCAGGCGTAAGGTCCTCGACGCTGTTTTGGGCACTACCGCCACAGACCAATTGTAGACGTTCCATGTTCCTTCGCTTAGCTCTTCGGAGAGCGACAATTCCGTTCTTGACGAGGACATCCAAACTCAAGGGGTCAATACCCTTTTGGTTAATAACAACAAAGCCCTTCTTCGGGTCATTGCCGCAGACCTCCTTCTTGAGTTCAACAATCTTTTGCAATTTAGAGTCCACGAACTTGCGCTCACTCTCAACAAGCTTATCCCTCTGTTCAGCGTTCGAATAATAGAAGCCAGAGTTAATCTCAGACTTTTCATATTCAAGACTGACGTTTAGTGTCAGGATGAAAGCATTCTCGACTCGCTTAGGCATATCAGGGTGTCTCGCACCGTGGTCCAGGGCAAGTCCACGGATAAGTTGTGTGTCAGACGATACACGATGTTGCATTGTCATGATTTCGACCATGTGCAAATCTGGCTTCTCGGGAGCCCGGTGGATAGCAAGGACGGCATCGACGATATCAGGTGTGAGCTTCTCGGCAAGGGCGCCGTTCAATTTCGTGGAGAGAGAGGTACGAGCGACGGACAGCAACAGCTCACGATCCGCATTCCGCGTCAGCTTGAACTGGTCGAGGAACTGTACAATAATCCAGGTCAGCCCAGCCCCCAACAAGAAACCATATATCATCACTGACGTTCAACGCCTCTGTCTTTGCGATCTCATAACCGTCCGTAATGACACGGGGGTGCAATCCCTCTTGGATTGATCGATCGGCCTGCTTCAGAAGCTCTCCAACCAGCAAAACAACCGACGTCGTTCCATCACCGGTAATGTCATCTTGTGCGGTGGCAGCCCGGGCAATCATAACCTTTGTCACATCAGTAAAGGGAGTGTTATCGGATAGGGACAGGAGGGTAGCTCACGGCTGTCGGGTTCTGGATTTGCTGTAATTATTGTTAGTACTTGTGGTCAACCAAGCTTTGAGGAAATAAACCAACCATCTCTCGAAGCAACACATTTCCATCCTTTGTCAGTTTGATCTAATTGATATCTCCGTCAAAAATCATATTCTGCAATCTCAGGGGCGAGAAAAGTTCCAACATACTCCGCCAGCACCGTCCACAAGCCTAGTAACTTTTTGTCAGCTATACCACGTTTTCATACAGCCCGGGAAGCAGGAATATACATTTTCAGGGTTCCCGACGGACCCAGGTTCGATTTGAGAACATCCTGAAGACCTTCGCCGGCGGCGATGTTCACCTTCAGAGCCTCCCCTCTCCGCTGGTCATTGTCAGTGTGTGTTTTCGTGACTGAGGGGTCTGATAGAGGGGCGCTCTCATACCCTCGACTCGGCCTTGGGGTTAAGTAACTGGGTCGCGGACATCTCTGCAAAAAGGACAATGTATAGACAATTTATTCCACACTCAGAAAAATTGCCAAAATGAACAAGTTTGCTGGCGATATCGACACCCAAAAAAGAAGCCCGCGCTGGTACTGAATGGTGTGTCCCGTCGAAGGCGGTGAACGCTTAGTATTGGCAAAAAGCCCACATTCGGTCTTCGCACTAGTGCCGCGAAAAAAAAGAGCTCCGACGTCTCGACTCTGCAAATCTTGACCTCCAGCATTTTCACCTCCGCGTCGACGCCCGGTCAAGCATATACAGTCGCAGACTTTTGTGTGGTTCGCGAAGGGGATCTGTCGCTTAAATTAAGAATCACCTTTTTGCCTTGGTTTCTTTGAGTCCGTGACTCAATTTCGCCATGGCTGACTTCCTTTTGCTAGAGGGCCCTATGGGTTACTCGCTTTTCAAGGTCGCCTTCCAGGGCGACAGCGTTGGCAATCGCCTGAAGGAAGTTCAGGAAGGTGTCAATGATTTGGCCAAGTTTGGAAAGATGGTTGACCTGGCAAGTTTCATGCCTTTCGAGTACGTGCCTTTTTTTTTTTTTTTTTTTTTTTTTCCCTTCCGTCGCGACACCGGTGGCCTAGGAAATTTTTTTTTTACGGACCGCTTACAAAAAGAATAGAAACAACAAGCAGGCCCTTAGTGAGATCAACGATGTTTCAGAAGGTGTTGCCTCTGAGACTCTCGTTTCTTTCCTCGAGTTGAATCTTCCGAAGCCGAACAAGAACAAGAAGGTTGTTCTGGGTCTTGCTGACAAGGCTCTTGCTGGAAGTATCAAGTCGGCATTCTCTTTCATTGAATGTGAAACCGGAGATACCAGCGAGGTTGTTCAGGACATGCTTCGTGGACTCAGATTGCATGCCACTAAGCTGCTGAAGCAGCTTCGCGAGGGAGACATGGACACTGCCCAGCTTGGTCTTGGTCACGCTTATTCGCGCGCTAAGGTCAAGTTTTCCGTCCAGCGTGATGACAACCACATCATCCAGGCTATTGCTATCCTCGACCAATTGGACAAGGCTGTTAACACATTCTCGATGCGTGTCCGCGAATGGTACTCGTGGCATTTCCCTGAGCTCGTCAAGATCGTGTCGGACAACCAGCGCTACGCCCAGCTCGCTTTGTTCGTGAAGGACAAGAAGAACTTGACCGATGAGCACAAGCACGACATCGCTGCTCTCGTGGAGGATGATGAGGGTGTCGCCCAGAGCATCATTGACGCCGCCAAGCACAGTATGGGTCAGGAAATCTCCGAGTCCGACATGGAGAACGTGATCGCTTTCGCCCAGCGAGTCGTTAGCCTTTCTCAGTACCGCAAGTCTCTGCACACTTACCTGATCTCCAAGATGAGCGTCGTCGCGCCTAACCTTGCCGCGCTGATTGGGGAAATTGTCGGTGCTCGTCTTATCTCGCACGCTGGTAGCTTGACCAACCTCTCCAAGTACCCTGCATCGACTGTCCAAATTCTCGGTGCCGAGAAGGCTCTCTTCAGGGCTCTGAAGACTAAGGGCAACACTCCTAAGTACGGTCTTCTGTACCACTCCTCGTTCATTGGCAAGGCCGGTCCTAAGAACAAGGGTCGTATCTCGCGATTCCTTGCCAACAAGTGCTCCATCGCTTCGAGAATCGATAACTTCTCCGAGCAGCCATCCACTAAGTTTGGTGAAGTCCTCAAGAAGCAGGTTGAGGAGCGCCTGGATTTCTACGCCACCGGTGCTGCACCTACTAAGAACGAAGTCGCCATGGTATGTCTTGACCTTGGCCTCCTCCGAACTAGAGTATTTGCTAATTAGTATAGAAAAACGCGATGGACTCCGTTCTTGCGGACATGGATGACATCGACGAGGACATGGAGGACATTGTCGAGTCCCCCAAGAAGGAAGAGAAGAAAGAAAAGAAGGACAAGAAGGACAAGAAGGAAAAGAAGGAAAAGAAGGGTGAGAAGGAAGAGAAGAAGAAGAAGAGGAAGTCGGATGCTGGCGAAGGCGAATCGGAGAAGAAGAAGCGGAAGCACGACAGCGAAGCCGAGCCCTCCAAGAAGAAGAAGAAGGTCTAAAAGCACCATTTCCCGGGACTTCGAGGGCGTCGTTGTGGCGTTGCATGGGTGATTTGATTTGATCTGATATATTCTCTGATGTTTTGTCGCATTTGGTTTTTTCCTTTTCTCCACGACTTGTTGGGCTGGGTACTTGTAAATTATTCGATTTAGGCCTCTCTGTCGTGCTAAAACATGTCTGTAGTTCCGTAAAATCTATTATTCTGGCTTATTCTATATGGGCTGCACCTTGGTCACTTATGCTGTGTTACTCTCGCGTCTCTGTAGTCTAATAAGCGGGTTTCCGCCCAAAGACAAATGCTGACTCCTCGTCCCCAACCCCTGGTGTCAATCATAATACTCACGTTGGCGCCTCCAGCAATGACACTCTCGTTATGGCATCTCAGGAAGCTCACAGTCACACTGGCTGATGAACACATTTGATTGTTGAAGTCTGCTTAAACATTCGCTAAACTTACCATCTCCTTCCCGAAACTTATCGGTGAGCGCAACCCCGCGATTATGCCAACGACTTTACCAATGGCCTACAGTTCGCCCAAGCGCAAACGAGTCTCATACGAATCTAACGAGGATGGTCCATCAGCTTCTTCGCCATCACCGGCTGTACCGGAACTAAAGCTTCGGGAGGAAGAGAGCCTGGGGGGCAATAGTCCGCGAAATACTGTCGCCAGCCGCTTCGGGGAGTTGACATTACGAGGGGACCCATTCTCTGGCATTTCCTTTGCTGAGGAGCCAACGGCGGCGTCTGTACAAGCAACATTCTGGGATGGTTCGCATAGCGACTCTTATGGCTTGTCCCGAGCGCTTTCTACTGGCGAAGGCGACGCCAACTCGAGTGAACCATCTGAATCCCCTGCGAACATTCAGGGCCAGTCCGAAAATGAAGTTACAATAGCGCCTGCTCCGTCTACCCCGCAGCAGAGTCCCCGCAAGAAAAGAGCCCTTTCAGGGAAGCAGTCGACACGCGCCAGACGGGGATCACCTCCACTTATTAGCGATGAGGACGAGGGCCCGCTAACCTGGCATGACTCCGAAATTACCGGTCACCTATTATCCGACCCTAATGATGATGGGTACGGCATCAACGGGGTTGGGTTCAGACCTACAACGGCAATTGCTTGGGCCAGATCGCAGAGAAGGCAGAGGCAAGTTGCAGACTGGAAGAGTCGCGAGGCGCGGGAAGCGCGAGAAAGAAGAAGGGAAAGGAGAGAGGGTATTGAACAGGACAGGATGCGCACCGTACAAAATGGTGCAATACAGAAGAAAGTAAAATTCGATGTCTAAACCCTCAACATGACATACGATAATCCTACACACTTTGCTGCATTTTTAAATCGAGCCTTTTACTTGGGTATATTCGTTCTGGCGTTTTTATAATGGAGTTTAGACGAGTTTGGGGCATAAGAACAGTCAGGCTTTGAAAAGGCTTGGGGTGTCTTCATATACATATCGTCTATTTTTACAGTTCATCCGCTCAAATTATACAGTGACGATGACCAAGTGAACTCCATGACTCCCTGATGATAACCATAAAGCCTACCAAAATTTGTAGTTCGATGGGTTGGTCCAGCTCTTGCGTCGTTTTTCTTCCGCCAAATGTGCGGCTTCCTCAAGCTTCTGCTCTTTCTCCCGTTGTTTCTTGACCTTAAGTTGGTGCATCAATTCGACTGCTTGCTTCATGCCATCCAATTCCTGAACACGCCGCCGTTGGCAGAACTCGTGCGATCCTAACGAAGTGATAGCGAAGGTGCCGACAGCCCAGTTAGAGGCAGTCCATAATGAACGCATACCTAGACACAATGCCATCAGCCTCAAGTTGGACTATGTAATCAGAAGGTCTGTCATTATATACCTCCCAGAATAGCCCTGATACCCCCCACGCCAAACGCCACACCAATTCCCAACATCAAAGCATCGCGCGCGCAAGGCATCTTGTAGAATGTCGTCAGGTCTTTGGTGGATAGTGACTTCATAGCTTCCGTGACCGTAGCTTCCTCCTTCTTGGAATTGGATACTGTTCCTGGCAACATATTGGCCTGATCCTCGGGGTTCCCGAATGCGTCCCATAGCTTTCCGACTTGCGACTTCGGTGCTTCATATTTCGGCTTCCGCTGCGATGGTTCTTGTGGGTTGTTGCTCTGCGTCAACTCTGCGACCGGAAGGTTCGATTCCCGTGTATCTTCCGCCATGGTCCAGGTATTGTTTCGCAACTCCTTCGCTTTCTGAATCACAACAATGTGAATATCTTGAACCTCCCACCGCGGGACAAACTCATGTGGATCTCACGGATTAAATTATAATCCGAGAGTATCAATTCATCCCAAAGCGGATGGTTATACCGGCCTTTCACCAGCGCGCGTAGAAACACGAAACGCGTCGGGATCGCCCGCAGAAAGGCGTAAGCTAGATTCGGAAGTCCTGGGTTCGATGAGATTGTGTCCAACATCTTATACCGTTTGCACCTGTTATTTACTCCTGATGAGGCCATTTTCAACGATATTTATGCTCCGCTAATACCCTCGCATCTTCCATGTCCAACGAGACTCGTCCCTACACCTCCTCATAAGCGACCCTAGGCCCCGGCTCCGGCGGGCGAGCGCACCGTAATGCCTTCATTACGAAAACCTACGAAGTATGGGAACAACAAGTTCCGGTCTGGTGCTGCATCCTTCAATCCGAAACGAACAAAAACAGTTGAGTTCTCGTCCCTTCGATCTACAGAAGCAACATCGCAAGATGAGAAGTTCGAGTGGATTCGGTTGGCGAACAATATCGACGAGGCCATGGGCTTCCCGCGCTTCGAATCCGGCGAAAGGAGAGAGGGGTGGTTGATCAACATGCACAGCACCTCGATAGAAGACTCGAATGTCCCTGGAGGTCGCGCCGGTGTGGATTATTATTTCCTCGAGGATGACGGTGGAACGTTCAAAGCAACTGTCGAATATGATCCCTATTTTCTTATCGCCGTGAAGAAAGGCCGTGAAGTCGAAGTCGAGGAATGGTGCAGGAGGATGTTTGAAGGACTCATAAAAAAGATCACGCGGGTAGAGAGGGAGGATCTCAACCTGCCGAACCATTTGCTAGGACATCGCAGGGAGTTCATGCAGTTGAGCTTTGCAAATGTGAGCCATCTGCTGGAGGTTCGCAAGACCCTTCTCCCTCTCGCAGAGAAAAACAAGAAGACTGTGAACGTGATGGATACATATGTGGAAATGACCAGGTGTGTTAAAGCTTTTGAAGACTCGTTTTTCGTGTGGCTAACAAATTGAAGTGCGAGTGCTGGGTTTGACCTCTTTGACGACGAACTAATTAATGAGACACGACCTAATGGAAATATAAACGCAAGTGATTTTATAATTGATATTCGAGAATATGATGTTCCTTATCATGTCAGAGTCGCAATTGACAAAGGTATGTATCACGACCGCCTACTTCACATCTGAGTCCATTAACTTATAATCTTTAAGACATTCGTATAGGAAAATGGTATAGCGTGGAGGCGAAACATGGCGTCGTCGGATTGAGCTGCATTGAAGAGCGACTCCAAAGAGCCGATCCTGTTGTTCTTGCTTTCGATATCGAAACGACGAAGCTGCCACTCAAATTCCCCGACTCCGTTATTGACCAGATTATGATGATTTCATACATGATTGACGGGCAAGGATTCTTGATTACGAACCGTGAAATAGTCTCCGAAGACATCAGCGATTTCGAGTACACGCCAAAGTCCGAATATCCTGGACCATTTATGATCTTCAACGAGCCAGATGAAAGGGCTGTTTTAGAGCGCTTCTTCGAGCACATCAAGGAGGCCAAGCCGACGGTCATTGCCACATATAACGGTGACTTTTTCGATTGGCCTTTCGTCGAAGCCAGAGCGAGCGTTTTGGGGATCGACATGTACACGGAGATCGGCTTTCGAAAGAATAGCGAAGACATCTACCAGAGCGACCACTGCGTGCACATGGATTGTTTTGCCTGGGTCAACCGTGACAGCTATCTCCCACAGGGAAGTCGTGGTTTGAAGGCCGTTACCGTTGCGAAGCTGGGATACGACCCCGATGAACTCGACCCAGAACTGATGACACCATACGCAAATGAACGCCCGCAGACGCTGGCTGAATATTCAGTTTCCGATGCTGTCGCTACATACTACCTATACATGAAATACATCCACCCTTTCATTTTCTCGCTTTGCACGATTATTCCTCTGAACCCTGATGATACCCTGCGGAAAGGAACTGGTACCCTGTGTGAAATGCTTCTGATGGTTCAGGCATATAAGGGAGAGATAATCCTGCCGAACAAACACAAAGATCCTCCAGAATCTTTCTGGGAGGGTCATCTGCTTGAATCCGGAACTTATGTCGGTGGCCACGTCGAGAGTATTGAAGCAGGTGTCTTCCGAAGCGACATCCCCGTTACTTTCAAAGTCGACCCCACTGCCTTCGATGAACTGTTACGAGACCTAGATGCGGCCTTGAAATTCAGTATCGAAGTCGAAGAAAAAAAGTCGCTGGATGATATTGCGAACTACGACGAGGTCAAAGACCAAATAGCAAGACTATTAATCGACTTGCGAGACACGCCAAATAGAGATGAGGTGCCATTCATCTATCACTTGGATGTCGCGTCCATGTATCCGAATATTATGATCACGAATCGATTACAACCCGACTCCATGATCCAAGAGTCCGATTGCGCCGCCTGCGACTTCAACCGACCCGGAAAAACGTGTGACAGGAGAATGCCCTGGGCATGGCGTGGGGAATTCCTTCCTGCTAAGCGCGACGAGTATAACATGATTCGACACGCTGTCGCAAACGAGAGGTTTCCAGGCAAGACAAAGAATAGTCCGATGAGGTCGTTTGGAGACATGAACGCTGAGGAACAAGCGGCCATAGTCAAGAAACGGTTGCAGGATTATAGTAAGAAGATCTACCACAAGATCCACGACAGTAAGACGATGGAGCGGGAGGCCATTATCTGCCAACGAGAGAATCCGTTCTATGTGGACACTGTCCGAAGCTTTCGTGATCGGCGCTACGATTTCAAGGGTCAACAGAAGGTTTGGAAGAACAAGACTGATTCCCTCAAGTCGTCAGGTGCACCTACAGCGGAAGTCGACGAGGCCAAGAAAATGATCATTCTTTATGACTCTTTACAGCTTGCCCATAAGGTCATTTTGAACAGTTTCTATGGCTATGTCATGCGAAAAGGATCTCGCTGGTATTCCATGGAGATGGCTGGTGTGACCTGTTTGACTGGTGCTCGCATCATCCAGATGGCACGGGAGCTTGTTGAGCGCATTGGTCGACCCCTGGAACTGGATACTGACGGCATCTGGTGTATGCTTCCCGGAACATTCCCGGAAAACTTTTCTTTCACTCTAAAGAACGGCAAGAAACTGGGAATTTCTTATCCTTGTGTCATGCTGAATCACCTTGTCCACGGGAAGTACACAAATCATCAATACCAGACACTTGTGGATCCGAAGACGTACCGGTATGAGACGCATAGCGATAACTCCATTTTTTTCGAAGTCGATGGACCGTATAGGGCTATGATCTTGCCTACGTCGAAGGAGGAAGACAAGAACTTGAAAAAGCGTTATGCTGTTTTCAACCCTGATGGTTCTCTTGCAGAACTAAAGGGTTTCGAGGTTAAGCGGCGAGGAGAGTTGAAATTAATCAAGATCTTCCAAACGCAAATTTTTCGTTTCTTTCTGGAAGGCTCAACGCTCGAGGAAACGTATGCGGCAGTGGCGAGAGTGTCCGATAGATGGTTGGATGTGCTCTACGATAAAGGTTCAACCCTCGCCGACGAGGAACTCATCGAACTTATTTCCGAGAACAGGAGCATGACCAAAACACTCGAGGAGTATGGGTCTCAGAAATCGACATCTATCACCACTGCGAGACGACTGGCAGAGTTCCTAGGCGAGCAGATGGTTAAGGACAAAGGTCTTAACTGCAAATACATCATTTCTTCCAGACCAAGGAACACGCCTGTCACCGATCGTGCTATTCCAGTTACGATTTTCTCAGCCGAGGAAAATGTGAAACGGTACTTTTTGCGGAGATGGTTGAAAGACGACCCTGGCGACATGGATCCCCGAAGCGTGATTGACTGGGACTACTATCTGGAGCGATTGGGCTCAGTCGTCCAGAAGCTCGTCACGATTCCTGCCGCTCTTCAGAGGATTCGAAACCCAGTCCCACGAGTCTCCCATCCGGATTGGTTGCAGCGGCGAATCAATGTCAAGGACGACAAATTTAAGCAGAAGAAAATGACCGATCTCTTTGGGAAGTCAGAGAAGAACCCTCTGGCGGATATATCAACAAACATCCTTGAGCATCGTGTCCAACATGCTGGTGACATGAACGAAGTCATTGCATCCACGCAGAAGTCGAAGGCGTCGCCAAACGAGAAGACATCACAGAAACGAAAGCATCCTGAAGGCCTTCCCAAGACGTCTCTCGACCCTTACGCCAGTCTACCGGCGAAGATGCCGTCAATTACAGAGGACTATGTCGGATTTCTCAAGTACCAGAAGCAGAAGTGGAGGATTCAGAAGCAAGCACGTGTGCGTCGCCGTCAACTTTTTGGCGAGAAACCTAACCTTGCCTCTGATTCTCTGAGTAATTACTTCCGAAACCAGGCTGAGTTGCTTTATATTAGTACTTGGCAAGTGCTCCAACTCTGCGAGACTGGCAGGCCTGGCATTGTACGAGCCTTCGTCTTGATCGACCAGAAAATCCACACCCTCACCGTCAAAGTTCCACGGCAGATCTTCATCAACTTGAAGCGTGACTCCCTTCCCGATGTCGACGTTCCAGACTGTGAGGTTGAGAAGGTCAACCACACGTTGCCCAATGGACATCCTTCGGTCCATTTGTTCAGGTTGACCTTGTCTGAAGATGTCTTTCTGCAAGAATCCGAGAAAATCGGTGCGCTCCTACAACATCCAAGTATCGAGGGTGTCTATGAGAAAAACATCCCGTTGAATGTCCGTGCTGTGTTGAAGCTTGGTAGTGTATGCACATTTGACGAGGAGCAACGAGGAGTGCTTGGTGACGGATTGGACAAGGGCTTTGATCTCTCGGCGCTATGCCATGCCAACTCTGAGCAGCCCTACCTGTTGGATTCAAACATGGCTTACCACTACTTGTATCACGTTGTCTCTGGCGACAGGCAAATATTCGCTCTTTTTTCGACCACTAAGAGCGAAGCGCACATTGTCATCCTCAACCGCACACGAGACGTTCAGGGTTTGCCCAATGTCGACAAGATTTACACGGAACTCCTTGGGCGTAGAGCGCAGTCCATGGAGGGTGACCCAACGGAAGGTGCATTCCTGTACCAAGATAAGATCCATTTCAGAACTACGCAGGTAACTACTCGGAGAAAAGCTCATTTGGAGATTGGAGACCTGGTCAAGAAACTCAGAAGCGACGAGAGCATGCCCGCCATCCTTGTGATTCAGTCACAGCAGAGAACTCGCCTGTGTCACGACATCCCCATTTTGAAGGAGTACCCGGTTTTGCCGGTGAAACCTGAGATATCAGATATGGATCTTCCTCCACTTGGGTGGCAATCCTTCATCGCGAGACGAATCGTTACTCACTATTTGTATCTCTCTGCCTGGATTGAACACCTGACTCTGCTTGCAAGATACGGGGACGTTCCTCTCTGCAACCTAGAAAGCGACGACCCTCGTTATCTCATTGACATATCCTACGCAAGACGACTTCAGCAAAGCAACGTTGTTCTCTGGTGGTCCTCTAGCCCACGGCCTGATCATGCTGGATACGAGAAAGACGATATTCTCGGCCCTCTGGAAAGGGTCAACATGCCTCAAGTTAACATGCCCGGGGCTTACTCAACCGTGTGCATTGAGCTAGAGGTCCGCAACCTTTCCATCAACACCATCCTCACCTCTTCCATCATCAGTGAAATGGAAGGGGCTGATACGCTACTGGCTTCAAACGAATCATCAGCAGAAGCTAACGGCTCTGGCGTGCTCTACTCGGAAAAAGCTTTTGCTTCTGCCGGTGCTCTCGTCCTGCGTGAGATGGTGAAGCATTGGTGGACGGAAGCCTGTGAAGGGAATAGTATGGCCGATATCATGGTGCAGCATCTGATTCGATGGGTGGAGAGCCCAAATTCGTGTCTTTACGACCGCTCATTGCACCATTATGTGCGGATGCTGTCGCGAAAGTCATTTCAGCGCCTGATGGTTGAATTCAGACGCGTTGGGTCAAATGTCGTTTTTGCAAGCTCCACGCGCCTTCTCCTTCAGACTACCAAGACCGAAGTGGGCAATGCCTACGCGTACAGCCAATACGTTCTGAAGTCCATCAGGGCGAACCCCTCGTTCCATTTTATTGACCTTGAGATCAAAGAGTATTGGGACTACTTGGTTTGGTATGATGAGTTCAATTACGGAGGCAAAGGCTGTCGGGAGGTTGTCGGTGATGACGAACAGGAACTGGAAACGGTGATGCATTGGCAACTTAGCCGTTTTCTCCCAGCACCAATGCAAACCATTTTCCACGACTGGGTTGTTGAATATGTCGAGCTGATGCACAATGTCAAACGGCCCGACGACGATGAACTCTCGTCGACCCCTCGACTAACGCAAATCCCTCGCCGCTTCATCGAAGCGGAGACCGACGAGCTTACTTCAATCCTGACGGACCGGTTTTCGAAACCGCTCAAAAAGCAAATATCCGGCCTTATCCGCCGCCAGCGTGATGAAATGCTACACCCCGAGCTTGCATCCGACTACGCCTTCCCGGTTCTCCCCGGAGTGCTGGTGGACCCTAAAGACGACAAGCGCAACCCCGCATTGGAATTGGTGAAACTTCTCATGCAAATCCTGAGTCTATCCAAGATGACCACTCTGGAGTCAAGACTGCTCCGACGAGAGTTGCTGGCACTATTCGAGGTCCGCGAATTCAGCAAAGAAGGTCGCTTCGAGAACCCCAGTGCAAGCCTGAAACTTCCCGAGATAACGTGTAGTGCCTGCTGTCTAATCCGAGACCTGGACCTCTGTCGCGACGAAGACGTTCTCCCCGACCCTGAGTCAGATACGAGCAAAGCTACTACTAAGCCCTGGCGCTGCCCCTTCTGTCAGACCGAATACGACAGGTTGGCACAGGAGGAAATCCTCATCGGTCAAGTTCACGGTATGATTGCCGGTTGGGCCGCGCAAGATCTGAAGTGTGGCAAGTGTGGCGGGCTTAAGATTAGTGATTATATGGAGCACTGCTCGTGCAGTGGTCCTTGGGTCGAGACTATGGATCGGAAAGAGATAGGGAAGAAGCTTCGGGTTCTGGAGAGTGTAGCGAAGTTCCATGGGCTCAAGTTGCTGGAGAATGTTGTGGAGGAAGTGCTAGCTCAGATATAGTCTGCTGTTTTTATTTCTGTTGCCCTTTGTACAGTTGATTGGAGTCATATGGTGTTTTTCGGTAGTATATACAGCATTGAACCTGGGCGTTCAGGAACGGGTTATTTGTGGGTTATTGAACTCTAGATACACACAAAATATAATGCATCAATCTATTCCTGCTATTGGCGTGCTACTTCTTCACATTGCTGTAGAGAATGCCCTGATAGAGTATTTGGATCAACCGGGCGATCCACAAAAACAGCCTTCAAGACCCTCGGCGCTTGGAACCATAATCTTATATCCAGCGGCAAAACTCCTTTCTTCCGCTGTGTTAATTAAATCCCCCCATTTTCTACTGCTGCCGCTTTTCACTGCTTTTCGTCCGGTTCTGCTTCTTATATATACCCTCGACTACGTGCGAATCGCCGACTCGTTGTACCTTCCTTCCATCCCACCCACCACCCCGCAAAAGGCTGCTTCCGCCGCACTGCGATTACGAATCCCGAAGAGGGAAGAAGGCGATAACCACTACGGAATATATTGTATATAGATCGGGACCGAAGAAAAGCAATACTCGCTAGTGTTTATTGTCAGAGGTGAAACCTCCAAGATCTTCGACGCCCGATTTGTCAGTGCGCTCGTGATTCTCATCTGACCGATTTCGCTGACGGAATCCAAGATAACAGGAGAAAACGAAACGAAGCAAAACCATATCATAACACTCTTACGCGCGCGCGCGCGCAACAACGATACGATACGATTTATATTCCGGTTTCGATACCGATCCCTCCTCCCTCAAAAATATACTCCTGTCCCAGTCCGTCCGATAAATGGCTTCGCAACCACAACGGCCCAAGGTACAGCCTTGTCGATACAAAACTGGAAAGACGCTAGGAGCTGGCTCCTATTCCGTCGTGAAGGAATGTGTGCATGTCGATACGGGTCGGTATTATGCGGCCAAGGTTATCAATAAACGGTTGATGTCTGGTCGGGAACACATGGTAATTTCGCGCAGCGCTTTTGTTTGATCATATTGAGACTGGGAAGAGGCTGATGGGATGGGCTCGCTGAGGCCGGATGATTGCAGGTTCGAAATGAAATTGCAGTGCTGAAGAGGGTTTCTATGGGTCATCAGAACATTTTGACTTTGGTTGATTATTTTGAGACCATGAATAATTGTACGTCCTCTCTACTGGAGTGTCGTGTTAGCGGATGGCGATAGCGGTCTAACAATCTCCCGGTTTGCAGTATACCTTGTCACCGATCTTGCTCTCGGAGGAGAGCTGTTCGACCGCATCTGCCGTAAAGGCAGCTACTACGAGTCCGATGCTGCAGACCTCATCCGCGCGGTCCTCTCTGCTGTGGCTTATCTGCACGACCATGGTATCGTGCATCGTGACCTGAAGCCAGAAAACCTACTGTTCCGCACCCCAGAAGACGATGCAGACCTGTTAATCGCAGACTTTGGTCTGTCGAGGATCATGGATGAAGAGCAATTCCATGTCCTCACAACAACATGCGGCACGCCGGGATACATGGCTCCCGAGATTTTCAAAAAGAGCGGCCATGGAAAGCCAGTGTATGTCCTTTCACCCGGTCCTTCTTATAACACTTGTTCACGCAATATAATAGTGATATCTGGGCCATCGGTGTGATAACCTATTTCCTCCTGTGTGGCTATACCCCCTTCGACCGCGACTCCAACCTGGAAGAGATGCAGGCCATCCTTGCAGCCGACTACTCCTTTTCCCCCGCCGAATACTGGCACGGCGTTTCCCAAGCAGCCCGCGACTTCATCCGACACTGCCTAACCATCGACCCCAATGGCCGAATGACCGCCCACGAAGCCCTCCAACACCCCTGGATCGACCCACCCCACAACACAGACGCGACTTACGTTGGCTCCGGTCAAGACCTCCTCCCGACAGTCAAGAAGAACTTCAACGCACGACGGACACTTCATAGAGCTATTGATACCGTCCGGGCTATTAATAAGTTGCGTGAAGGTGGTGGGCTTATGGTTGATAATGTGATGGGTGTTGATCCGAAGCCGGAGCGGGTTAATGGTAATGAGATTGTGGAGGAGCAGCCGCCACAGCCGCCGCCGCAAACTGTGAATAAACATATGGATAGCCGTGGAAATGCACGAGGTCAAACGGAGGAACAGATTAAAGAGCAGGAGCGAAGGGTGAAGGAGATGGTGACTGGGTTGTGGAAGGGTTCTGCTAGGAGATGATGGTTTTGTTTATATTCCAGCATTACTGATTTATGTTTTGGGGCTTCTTTGATATCAAATTGGCTGCTTCTGTGATGAAGGCGGTACAAAATGGCATTGGAATTATATTGTGAAGGATCGGGTCTATACGAATCAAGGCATGATATTACACTGAAGCCATCTCTACAATAACTGAGTGAGGATAAACGCTTGACATTAAGATAATCCAATTAAACACCCTAATCGTTCCATAACTTCATAACCATGAAAAATAAGGCGGGTGTAGTTCTATCCTTCTATATCAGACCGGCTGAATAGTTCAGTTCTCCAACAGCTTCTCCCGGCCATCATCCAAAGACAAAACCCAGTTCCTCCACTCTTGCCATTCAGCGTAGCCGGCACTAGCTTTGAGTCCCTGGTACTTGACTGTTCGGAAATCGGAGACCTGCTCCCATGGTCTACCAGAATTCGAGCTAGGTCTGCTACTTCTAAGCAGTCTTCTAGCAACGCTGCTTGTCGCGCCTGTCGAGCCATCCCACCCAGCCTTGCGCATCAAGCTTTCCAGGGTCTCTTCTTTGGTCCACCCTTGTTCAACCGGGACGTCTGGGAGGTATGTCGCGCCATAGCGTCTGCCGCGTTGGATGAAGGATATCCGTATTCCGTGGGTTCCGAGGTCCCAATCCATAGCATTCGTGCAAGGCTCGAAAGAGCCCAAAAGGGTCAAGGAGCACGACAACGACGGAACTAGCGATTCAGGGATTGGATTGAAACGGTGATCATCGAATGCCCTATTCTCCTGTTAGTGTCGCTTGCAGGAGAACTTATTTGCCAGTGTGTACATACGACGTGAGAGCGTAGGACCTCAGACCTGCAGAAAGTTCCTGTGCCTCGAACGTGCCAATACATCCACGCAAGGACTTGTTGCCATTCTTCGACACGGTATTCCACGTCACAAACAACGGATGTCGCCGGTCGCTCTGCCTCTGCTGTCTCTGGCCCGCTATATCGGAACTCGGAGTCGTCACAGAAGTAGAACCAGACGAAACAGACTGGGAAGACGGCGTAGACGCACTGGACGAGTTCGATGACATCTGGCCCTGGAGACGGTTGATACTGGGCAGCTTGATAGCATTGGGCCGGTCCACCTTAGCATTTGAAACGCCACCTTGGACTGCATCGCTTTCAGCATCCTCGCAGTCATCTTCGGCAATCTGCTGAGGGTCGTCGTCCGTATCTTCGAGTGTGGCGAGTTTCTTGGCTTGTTCATATTGTTCCCAAAGATCCTCTAAAACTGGGAGACTGATAGGCTCATAGCCCCCAAAAGATGCAGAAAGACTCTCAAAGCAAAAATAGCATTGTGCTGGGTTTGCCATGTTCAAATAAAAAGATACCTCAGGTATATATCCCGAGCTATGCAAGCGAAACAAGGAAACAACAACACCTCAACAACGCAAAGCAATTCTAAAACACGTTTCTAAGTGAACAGGACACCTATAGATTCCCGTGCATGCAAAACACCTTTTCTCTGAAATCAGACCACAAGGTCAGGTCCGGAGTAGAGGAAGGAACAAGAGGCGGGGAAGAGAGCGGCAAATGATAAGATATTCACACGTGACACATTCGGGGTATTATCCCGTGACAGAAGTACAGTAAGCATTAATTATATATATTTACATTGGAGAAAGAAGGTAGCAGACTTGATAGTATCCAATCATTGATTATGCCTACTTTATTCGTGGGTATAATGTTGTGGCATCATCTGGTGGCAGTGGCGAACTATACGCGGATGTATATACTCCGCACTGTGCTTCAATCGCAACCAAATGGTAGGACCAGGACGGTCCCTTAACTAAGAACGTCTCAGCCTGTGTCTTCGAGAAGAGGAAGATCTGCTCGGGCACAAGAAGCCCCCTTCTTTTTTTTTCAACCAACTTCTTTAACCATCCGCGAGTTGAGCCAGATCGTGGATAATGCCCGCACGCGAGAGCATGGAATGTATAGCCGTAATTCGTATTCTGGAGGGCAATATTGAGCCCTTATTTCTGAGAAATACTCAAATCATTCATGGCGATCGCCTTTCGGTATAGGAAGGTTCAACATAGAGAGCATGTTCCCTGCAGGACCTGCAGCTCCCCCCTGGCCTTCAAGACTTTCCAATATGTTTTTGGCGAGATTGATGTTGGGATCCTCATCCTCATTAACACCTTGCTCGTTTTCCTGCTTATTGCCCTCTTCAACGGCTTTCTTTCCGGCAGCCTTCTGAGAAGGACGATTCAAATCGAGTACACCTGTACCCTTTAGTTCGGCTTCCATTTGCCTGGAGAGTTTCTGGATAGCATCCGTATCATCCTCTTCCGAGTCACTATCCAGTTCTTCCACCCTCTTGCTGGAGGATCGCCCGCCCTGGAGACCGGGCATCGAAGATCTGCCCATCATTTCTTTCATCATCTGGGAAAGCTTTTCTTCGTCCATGGGGGCTTCTTTGTCTTCATCACTGCTTATTTCATCATCATCGTCTGCGATATCAGAGTCAGAACCAAAGTCATCAATGAAATCAGCACCATCAAAGCCGGCTGAGTTATCACCCAAGAATTCTTCGAAACGAGCAACAATGCGCTGAAGATTCTCTTGAGCATTGGCATCTCCAAATGCACCTTCTTCCTTGCTCTCGTTTCCTTGGCCCTTATTCTTGCCCTTCAATTCCCTGTCGAGATCTTCAAAACTGATATCCAGCCATTTTTCGTCATCCTCTCGTTTTTCCCATTTTCCCATTTCCCCGTCTGTAGGAAGGCTCTCATCGCCAGAATCCAGATCCTCCAGCAAAAGCTTGATCTCCCTAACAGCTGGTTTGTCTTGGCTCTGGGGGTCTGAGAGTAACATTTCAAATCCACAAGAAAGCTTCATCCCTAGCTCTGCACGATCGTAGGTCTTGAGGTCATCTTTTAAAGGCAACGTCCCCAACCAAGCCTTTGGCGCTGGAAAGTCTTGACTCCTGAGTTGTGCATAGCCAACTCTCGTGAACCGGACGCTAACCGTAACAAAATCTTCTGGCTTAAAAAGTAGATCGCTGGTATCCTTAGCTCGTAGAGGTCGCAGCGCAATCGGATCACGTAGGTAAAAGGCCTCGACAGCCGCTGAAATATAGGCTGGTTTCTGATGCAAGAGAAATGCGACTTTACGGGGGATTGTCACCAACGCTGAGTGGAGGTTCTCGCTGATTTGTTTGGGATAGTTTCGTAGTCGATAAAATGCTTCATTCTGGATCACAGCAGAGCGCATGAGTCGTTGGGGTTCTTCCACGATAACTCGCCTTGACTCTGGAAGCGAGATCTTCTCTGCCACTTTCTTCTTCGACGGGTTCTTTGGTTGAATTATGACAAGTTCTCCTTGGTTGATCCATACCTAGCCAGGCGCTCCTTAGTAAAGAAAAAATCACATGCATGGGGATTATAAGCACTCACCCTGTTGTCTGCTATTTCTGGCTCAAGCCAAGCAGGGAGTACGCCAGCGGCTTCGACCAAAAGAAATTGACCGTCGCTGTCGACAACTTGAGCCCATATGCTCTTATGCTTCTTTGTTAATTCGCGCAACAAGTAAACGATGACCCATTCATCTTCGATCGAGTCTCCGTAATTTGTACGCCCGTTTAGTGAGGTGATGCCTGCGTATAACATCACGACGTCAGTATCCTATCGCTCAGTCTTAATAAACTGAAAGACGCGTGTTGCACATACCGTCCTGCTTGGTAATCCCCAAGCAAAATCCATCGCGCTGCCAAATATAATCCTTCAAAAGCTCCCTTGTCAATTCTGCTGCAGATCGTTGTACCTCGACTAATCGCGATCGCGTTTCCGCGGCCTCATCAACGGTGGCGGGGGCGGGGTCGGAAGGAGTGTAGTATAGAGAGTATTCGACGCTATCATCAGGGAGCTGAGGCTTCGGAATAGGACGGAAGGTGGACTTGAACCAATCGATATCCTCTTGCGACGTGGGCGCCATTGCAAATGATTAATAGTAGTGCCTCTTGTTTTCTGCTGAAGATAAAAATTACGGGCATGACTTCATACCAGGCCATACGCGGCGAATCACGATCCATTCATCCCGTGACTCTTGGAACTAAACTGTTTTAGGCTAGACATCAACATAGACATGTCACCGCCCAAAACAACGCCCGGCAAAGCGATTCTCTTTCCGCATGCTTTGCTTTTCACGGTTCTGGCACTCCGTCTCGGGAGGTTAGCAAGATTTTATATAGCAATGGTCGCGTGTTGAATGGTATTGACTACTCGATTTGCTTTTTTTCAGCCATTAAATCGCGTCTCTCGCGTCGACAATGGCTTACCCATACATCGATACTCCGCGCACCGAAGTCGACGGCAACGCGACTTACCTCACGAACGGCTATCGCAGCGCCGGAAGAACGAACCTTTCAGCATTAGACTCGGTCGAGAACTCGTTTCAGACGCCCTCGAAAGATGAAGATGTTCTCAAAGTCCTCGATGCCGGGCGACGACGGAGTTCCGGAGGGTTCAAACTCAGCACGCCGCGTGCTGGTAGTGGGCCGAAGTCGACGAAAAGCGCGTTGAACGACAGACGAAACCTCCCTTCAGCAGCATCAGCGAAGGGTGAATTCACACCGATGATGAAGAGCGCTACGAAAAACAACTATCTTAAGAATATATCCTCGACGCGAGGGGCAGGAGGCCCTAAAACACCAGCTTACCTCAGAGCGAGTTATCGAAGCAACATCAACACACCAGGACTACCGCCTCTCGAAATGACTGGCATTGATGAAGAAGAGGAAATGGACGACCCCACACCACTCCCCCAAGTCGCGAGCAGCAGTCCACAAAGTACGCCACTACCGTTTTTATCAGGGAGAGACGGGGGAGGCGGTCTCAACGATGGTCAAAATATGACGCTGAAAGAGCAGGAGAATGTGAGTCCTTGTGTTTTCTGCTCTGTGCTTTGTGGTAAGCCAAACAGTGAATAGTTGGCGCTAACTTTCCATAGATCATTGACAAGCTCGATAAAGACAATTTCGGTCTGAAATTAAAGATTCACTACCTACAAGAGCAACTCGAGAAAGCCGGTCCGTCGTACAACCAAGCAGCGCTCCGCGAAAATACCGAATTGAAGGTGTCGAGAATGACGATGCAGCGAGACATATCGCGATACAAGAAGGGCCTTCAGCAAGCGGAACGCGACTTGGAAACGTACCGCTTGCAATTCCAAGAGCTTAGGGAGAAATATAAGAAGAAGAGCATGGATGATACGATTCAGCGCGACATGGACCTGATGCGAGAGGAAATCGAGACAAAGGACGCCCAACTCAGAGACATCCGAGAAGAGCTGCGAACCGTAAAGGATGACCAGTCGCAAGACATGGACAAACTTCGCGATGATATCGAGGACCTCGAAGCGTCGTTGAGAGAGAAGGATCGCATGATCGATGAGCGTGACGAAGAACTCGAGGAACTGAGAGACAAGGACAGTAAAGAACACAATGCCGTCACTGAACTCGGGGTTGAGCTCCAACGCGCGAGAGAGCAATTGGAAGAACTCCAGGATATTCTTGATCATGCAAGATCAGAAGCAAGAGAAGCGAAGGAAGCCGAAAGCCGTGCGATAGAAGAACGAGAACGAGCCGAGAAAGACCTAAACGAACTCCACGAAGAAATGGCGAATAAGTCAATCAGCACGAAAGGTTTCAATCGTCAGCTGGAAGAGAAAGCGAATAGGCTGGAAGATGAGCTCCAAGAGATACGGCAAGAGAACTATGCTTTGAAGGGAGAAGTCGAGCAAAAATCCCAGAACGAAGCTCATCTGGAGGACCAACTCGAGAAAATCCAGCAAGATATGGAGTCTGACGAACGGGACTTGCGACACGAACTTGAACAAACACGGCGTGAATTGGACTTGGTCCAGCAAGAGCATGAGAAAACGACCGCGCACTTACAAGATGCCCTCGATGACCTACAACGCCATAGCGATGAGAGAGAACTTTTGCATACCCGGCATCATGCGTTAACGGATGAGTCCGGTAGCTTGCAACGCGACCTCGCTCAAGCGCAATCTAAGATTCGAGAACTTCAGCAAGCTGTAGAGAACGAGAGACAACGCGCTGTTGATAATGGGCATGATGCTAGAACGCAATACGAAGACGATATCGAAAAGCTACAGGAAGAAATCGAATCGCTGCAACACGAAATCGAGGATAAAGAAGGCCACTTTGCACTCGAGCAGGAACAATGGGAGAGTACTAGGCGAACCTTGCAGCTACAAAAAGACAGGGCAGAGGACCAAGCGGCTGGATACAAGCGCACCATTGATAGATTGGAGCAAATGGAACATTCACTTTCCGGGAAAGAAGGCAAATTGCAGGAAATAATCGATAGTGAGAAATCTCGCCATCAGAATGCGGAAGCCATTCTCAATCATCAACTTAAAGATTTAAATGATGAGCTCGCGTCCAAGAGACAAACCATTGATGGCCAGCGGAGCGACCTTCTTTCAGCCAGGGAAGAATTACGGGTCAGCAAACGCGAGGAGACGACTTTGAAGGACAAGGTACAGGCTTTGGAAGATGAGGTTGTCGTCTTGCAATCCAGCTTGCAAGAGGAGCAAGAATACGCCCGGGGGCGAGTGCAGAAGGGATCCTCGGACCAAGAAGGTCAGGTGCAAAAATTGATTGCCGAAAAACAAAGACTTCGTGATCAGTTGGCCAACGCTCATGTTGAGTTGCATGATCTGCGGACTGCCCTGTCAGAGATCGAAACAGAGCGTGACGACCTTCACAATCAACTGGATCAAGCCCAGAATCCAGCTGAAGACACTACGCGATTCGACCGAGAGAAGCATGAACTTCGGAAGGGCAATCTACGCGTTGAAAATGAGCTGAAACGACTAAAGGATGACAAGGCGGCGCTGCTCGAAGCAAAAGAAATGCTAGAGAAGCAGCTTAATGCTGAGATCGAGCGTGCTACTGTCGAAGAGAACCATATGTCAGCAGAAATTGACCGACTCCAAGACAGGCTGCGATTACCCTCCGGCGGAGCGGATCGGGAGCTCAGCTTAGCGAAGAGTAGAGTGCAGCGTCTTGAAAAACGCGTGCAGGAACTCGAGGGCCTTCTTGAACAACAGCCAACGCTTTCGGAGAATGAGCATTCTGCTACAAATGCGGACCTTTCGATGCTTCGCCATAGTCTGGATGAAGCTCGGAAGCGCGAGAGGACTCTCATTCAGCGCGAGACTGACCAGAAATCCTCTGTCCGTGCCTGCAAGTCACGAATTGCAGAGCTCGAAAGAGAGCTCCATGATGCACTAATGAAGAAATACGACACAAACTCACCACAATCATCACCATCCGACAAACTGCACCATGAGTTGCGCACACTCCGACGACAACTTTCCGACGCCCACAAGTCGCTCAAGGAAGCGAAAACAAAGAACCGCGACTTCGAGCGTGCCGCAATGAAAGAAGAGGACCAGCGGGACATCCACGAGCTCCTCAAAACCTCCACGCTGGAGGTAGAAGCTCTGGAACTCAAACTCTCGGAGCGAGACGCCAAGTTCAACGAATTGAGGGCCCAGGTCCGCAGAATCCGTGAGGAACGTGCCTTCTGCGTGAAGAAGGCCGAAGCAGCCGCCAGCCAAGTAGAGATTCTTCAGAGCCGCTACAACCAAGTCATGGAGAAGCTTTCAAGTAAAGGCGACAGCAGCAGGACCCGTCACGACAAGGAGATTCTGGGATTAGGGAAAGAGATCATGTGGCTGAGGGCACGGTTGAAGCGTGAGGAGAAGTTCCGTCGTGATCTTGCCTGGAGTAAGGGTCTGATGGAACTCGGAGAACGTGTCCGTGTTGCATGGTACGTCAACATTCTTTCTCCCCCCCCTTGGTTTTCTATCCAAAATTTCAATGCTAACTTGTTAACTACAGCAACGATGCCGACCTTCGCATGATCGCCGAGATGGGCGTCAAGCCTCGCGATGGCACTCAGATCCGCAGTCCACGACAGAAGTTAAAGGCTGCCATTTCCACCGTCAAGGCTGCCGTACGCATGCAACGAATGGGCCAGGAATGGAAGAAAACCAAAAGACTGGGTGAGGGTCTGAAACGTGCGAAGAACGAGGTGCTCAAGAGAAGAGACGGCTCGTATAAGTCGATAACGGAGTGAAAAAAGGGGCATGATGATCCGGTGACTTGGTGTTCGATGGTTTCTTTGGTATTCTTTGGTTTCTTTGGCCTCCCTCTTAATGATTTGTCTTTTGTTCGGACTTGATTGATGTGATTCCCCCTATACGCATTTTGCACGTCAGTTACTGCGGGTTTTTGTATTTAGGCGTTCGTGAACTGGATGCAGGGTTTTTTTGTAGTCGTTTTTCTGTTTAGCTCGTAGAATGCATTCCTCATGGAACATGTTATTTGGATAAATATTGGCACATTTCAAGCATGACGTGTTTGGATCGCACCGTTTCATGCCAGAAATCACAGACTCTATGGGTACATCCTCACAGATGGATTGATAAGGATATTCCCTGCTCCAGCCTTTAGGGTAAGCCGGAATCATCCAAATTAGGTAATCCGGGTCCTCTAGGAGCCGGTGACGTTGTATTATACGCACTTTTAAAAAGACAGCAAGTGCTATTGAAGAATAGTTCATGATATCAGCCCAGCACTCTTTACTAAATAATGTCAACACAGATTGATAGTCGACCTCGAAAATAATAGTATTCCTCAGGCACTAACAAGGTATGCGTTAAGTAGTTTCATAATAGATCAAAGTGGCCACCGCCTCGGGCCACAAACCATCACAAATATTCTAGCTGAGAACCCGGCAGCAGCCTCCAGGTTTCCAAATTCTATGCCATCAATGACAGGCTCACCCTCAGCTGAAAATGGAGGTTCTCGGTTCACCTTTGTCCTTAACGGGCACCATTCTGGGACACGGAACCATGCCATGCGTGCTCACTGGGCCGAACGACAGAAAGCCAGAAAGGAGAAAAAGCGGCAACAGACTAGGCGGAGAGCGCTCCCAATTCTTGCAAAGGAGGGACTTGTGAGCTCAGCATCGTCTTCTGAATCGCAAGGCACAAATGCATTCGCTGTCACCGTGCAAGAAAGTCCAGCAACAGAACAAGTCGCAGACGTGGACAATGTCGAGACCGGACAGTCTGGAATACCAGGGGTCCCTGCTCAGCTTCTTACCGGAGTCAACCATGCCTTGGCATCTACACGACTTGATCCCTTTGATTCGTTTCCAATTAGGCTCACAGGCCAACACCACAAGCTAATCCATCACTGTACTGTCTACCAACCAGCAAATCGCGAGTTAAACCAAGTCTAACTTATATCGGAACAGGGTTGAGCACACACGCTACTATGATGTTTGAAAATATGCCGGCATCCAATTTTAATCCCATGAGGGACGTCTGGTTTCCCCTTGATCTCTCGAATCCTGCATCGTTCAATGCTATCATGGCACATTCCGCAGCGCATTTGGCCCATTACTATGGGGGAATGACCCCGACTCGAGGGACAAATTCCCCCGAAGCCTTGAAATTCAAGGCAAATGCCGTTCAAATTTTGAATCACTGGCTAAATGACTCCGAAAAGGCATTGAGCAATGATGCATTCGCAGCTGTTGTCCGGCTTTTGACGTTTGAAGTAAGTCCATTATTATCGTTTTCTCCCTGCTTCCAATTCCTTAAATGGCAATACTAACACTGACGTCGTGGACAGAGATATTGGGGAACAGAAGAAGAATGGAAGATCCATCGGAATGGCCTCCAAAAGATGATTTATGCTAGAGGGGGTCTCCATCAACTACGTAGCGACTGGAGACTGGAACTGGTCGTTGGTCTGTAAGTCTATCTACAACTAGGTCTATATACTTCCGAAGTATAAAACTAATTAGCCTAGTGTTTCCTTCATGTCCAAGCCGTCATGGTTTGAGTCTACAAATGATCTTTCGGAAATTTCAGAGCATAGCATTAGACGAAGCATACTAGGGAGCTCCATTGATTTGCACAAAATGCGCTGTCTATGGCTGATTTCTTTCATCCAGGATATGCGCAATCTGATGGGTATGTCATCACAATTGTACATGGGCGGACTGTCCGTCTATCCCTCGTTATATGATGCAGTCCTCTTCATTCGGAATGACTTTCAAGTTGAGAGTCAAACATTCAAAACCAAACATCACGAATCCAATTATGACAGACTAGCATGTCTGTTCGCGATTACTATCATGGTACAAGAATCGATTTCTTTGGCCTATTCTGCCCAGAGCAATGGATTGGCAATTCTGGACATCTCGCTCCAGACATACCGACATGCCTGGGAGAGCTCAGTTCATTTGTTGCGACCCTTTCTTCACAATCACTTTGCGAATTATTATCCAAACGGTGAACTGAAGATAGACTATGTCATACAAATGACGGATATCGTCGGTCACCTCAGCCTGGAGGCACATCAGGGAATTGAGAAATGTCTCCTTAATATGCTCTGTCGAACATGGGACGGGAAACTGCCATTTTTCTTAGATGACGGAGGGACTCCGGATTCACTGCTGTCCACTGTGCGTGGATACTGATTTCTTTTTATACTGGCCCAAGAAGAGAGAAAATCAACGGCTGTGGGAACTTCTTTTGCTAAGAGATTCTGGCCTCAATACAAGAGATATCATGATTCAATCATCTTCTAAGCTAGCAAGCACGCTGGCAGATGGCGCAAAGAAAGTTGTACCTGTCAGTGGCCTGGAGAAATCGAGTATACGATCATGCAGCCCAGGAGGATTTCCCACAAACATGCGCTGCATCATCCGTTCAATAACCCATAACCGCGCCGTATATCCGATGAAGTATGTCCCAAACTCGCCCGACCCCGGAGACCCGAATGGCATATTATCTCGAAGGATCTCGTGCTCGCCGCTTTCGTCCTCGATTGTCGTCAGCGTCTTGTGAGATTGCTGCCCTGACTCCGCGTCATCCAACTCAATATTATCCGACTTGGTTCGTCCGATGATAGCCTCTTGTTGCTCTGTTTTGAGAGATTTCCACGCCGTCAAGTCATGTATGTATTTCTGTACAACAACGTAGCTGCCCCCGACGCCAGATTTATCTTCCTGGTTGACGAGGACCGCTTCAGGCACAGCAGGACCAATAGGATTTGCCGTGCCATCAACGAATCCCAGTAAGTCACGTATATCAAAGTAACGGAAGCCCACTGTCTCGTCAACAACCGAGACCGCGTCACCCAGGCAGTCCATCAACTGCCGTTCGAATTCAAAGCATAGGTCCCGGCGTTCCGCACGAATATGAAACAAGATATCTCCCGGTGTCGAGATGGCCGTGTGAACCTTGCCCTTCACCTTCTGGAAAGGACGCAGCTCAGCCGGTCGCGGGAGGCCGGTCAATTTATCCCAAATGTTGCTTCCAATGCCAACGGTACATGTGAACAACGAATTGAGGTCGCGGATAGTGATGTTCTTGGTGAGGTCTTCGATACTAGCGATGGTCGAGCGGACTTCTTTGATAGCGTCTGGACTGTCGTTTACGGACAGGACGAGGAAGGTTGCGAATTGCGTGAGCGGCGCGTCTACCCTCTGCGGTTGGATGTTGGCGCGCTCACCCATTGTTGTGTCGTTCGCCGGTTTACTGGTAGAAAATGGATGGTATAAAACGCGATATGGATGGTTATCTCGAAGACACTGCTGATATGGCGAAAGCAATCGTGATTGCTTAGCAAAAGTAAAATACAACGCTGCCTGCGTTCGCCCTGGTGCTAACGGCTTCGCGAGACGGTGGAATTGACGCTGGAAACCCGGTAACAAATCACTGCAAACCGTATTACCAATCCGATTCATCTTCATTCCTGCATCTGAATCTCGTGCTGAGATTGTTTCTCGCGCAAGTTATGTGGTGATCCGTCTACTCGCCGTGCATGACATCTTCGCAGCACACTACCCCATGTGACCATGGCCACTGGTTCGACGAATGAGTGTCGGTTTGTTGGTTATTTCCCAGCTAGAGCAATGGTGAAATCATGCCAGAGCTCCTTTTGGAGAAATTGCTGAGGAGGTGGCAATCGACGTACCGTTTTTGAGCGGCGCGTTCATTGGCCGAATAGTATTTCCGGATTCGGCAATGCTGAGGTGTGTCGACATCATGCATTTTTGTGGCTCATTGCGGAGGTCGAGGTTCAGGCGTATTGTATTGCCATGAGATATGCCGGGTTTTACAACTGTATCGGCCTCCATACCTGAGTCTTAGGACATACAATACTACGGAGTGCAGTTACGGGCTAGACCTTAACAATACCAGGTAGAATATTCGATCATGCAACTATTGACAAATTTCACATATGTGCATATATCATTCAGAATAGTTAAAAAAAAAATAGCATGAAATGATAATAATCACATCAATCCTCCATAGGTCTTCCCTTGCTCCTCCAATTCCTCGTCCCGGTGATAGTAGTCACGGAGCTTGTCCATCTCGCTTTCCTTCTGTTGAGGCTTCTGATCCCGCGCTTTGGATTGATCACTGTTGCTGTTGCCATTGCTGTCCTTATCGTGATGATGGTGGTGGTGCTCGAAGAATCTCTCCATGAATCCTTCTTTGTGCTGGGGTTGTGTCTCTGGACAAATGAGCTTGAAAACAGGATCAATTGTTACCGGTTTGACTTACCCTGAGGCATGTTGATTGCTTATAAACGGATTTTTTTTGAGAGGTTAAAGATGTATGTTTCAAGGAATACTTGTAGGTTGTCTAAGAGCATAATAGTGACACTGAAATATTTATATCCAGGGCCTTCGTTATGCTTCAAGGCCATACATAAAATTTCCCCGCAGGCTGACATCACTATCAAACAGAGCCCATGGCTGTCCCATCCCATCTAGACGAAGTAAACGTGATTGGCCAAGTACAATTTCCTAATCGAGCCACCGATCAGGGTGGGTCAAGATCTACAAGTCAAGCTTTTTTGAATCTTGGTACTATGAATGAATGTTGGTGGCAACCGTAGGAGTAAAAGACAAGAAGTAGATTTTATGTTCATTATACCCCGTACACGGTCACTAAACAATTATTCGAAAAGATCCCTGTGGTCTGCCTTGAGCAGGTCCGCACATTTCTCACCAATCATGTAGATCGAGTTCTGGATCCGGCAATCCGGAATCACGGGGACAACAGAGGCGTCCGCAACGCGAAGGTTCTTGATGCCGTGAACCTTCAGTTTGGGATCAACAACACCCTGCTCGATGCTCTTCGACAGCCGAGCAGTACCGCAAGGGTGGAATGCAGTCTGGCACCGGTCCAAAACTGCCCGCTTCATTTCCTCGTCCGAGTCGAGCGGCATTTCCCATGGGTATTCGTCGACGACTAGGTCCTTGAAGCCATCACCTTTGGTGAGGACGTCGTAGCTGAATCGAATTCCTTCCCGCATGGCGATGATGTCGAGGTCGTTGGCGAAGAAGTTGAGGTTGATGTTTGGCTGGACCAAGGGATCGGCACTGTTTAAAGTCACCTCTCCAGGCTCGGAGATTGGACGGACCAGGTCGACGACGACAGTAAGGTAGTTGCCCTGTTTGGGGACCGGATAGTGCCACTGAAAGGCACTGCCGAACATGCAAACAAAGTCAAGTTCGAAATGGGGCTGTCCGTATGGCGAGAATGGGTCCTTGCCGCCGTTGGCAGCCTTGGCCTTGCGGTACTCCTTGTCTTTCTCGAGATAGTCGTCAATTCGCGGGAAACCAACTAGCTCCAGGAGTCCAGAGGCGGCGGGTCCCGTGTGGTTTTTATTGTAGGCCTTAATGGTCGCATCATTCTGAGGGCCTTTGCGTAGCAGGTGGTCGTCCATGCCGTAGCCGTCTTTGACGCGAAGCACAAAGGGCACACCCGGGTGGTCAAGAAGGTGTTGGCCAACGTGGCGCGAGTCAACAACCGTGTTAATGCCATGGTTTGTCAGCTCGCGAGAGGGACCAACGCCACTCAACATGAGCAACTTCGGAGTCTCAAAGACACCCTGGGATAGGATGACCTCACGGCTGGCGTAGAATTTGAGTTCGTTACCAGAGGGGTCGATGACAGTCACACCCTTGCAGACGCGGTCTGCCTCGTTGATAATCAACTGCTTCGAGTGAACCTGAGGAAGGATGGTAATGTTGGGCTTGTCCTGCACGAAGAGGAAACTTCCAGAACGCACGCCCTTGTAAATACTGTCACAGCAGTGAGTGAGTCCAATCATTTCACCATCGTAGATGTTTTCGGTAAGATTATGGCCGCGGGACGTCCACGCCTTAGTGACAGCGTCACGAAAGGGCCCCATCTCGTCAAGAAGCTCAGCATGAGAGATGTGGATAGGGCCACCTGCTCCGATCTTGGACAAGTTGGCCTCATAAAGACCACGGTCGTCATGGTAGGTTGCGCTCTTCCGGAGGTAGGGGACAAGGGGATCCCATGTCCATTCTTCGCCGCCATATTCCTCCCACATATCAAAGGTTGGCTTGCAGCCGGGGACCCAGGTAAAATAGTTCAGGGATGAACTACCACCGAGCGTTTTACCACGGGTATTGGGCTTTTCGATTCGTTCGTAGTCGTCGCGCTTGACCATCGTACTCTTATACGCCCAGTCATGCTTGCTGTTTCGCAGGTCCATGGCCGAAGAAGGCGTAGTGATCTCCTCGACTTCTAGAGGATTTCCAACGCCCGCTTCGACAATAAGGACGGTAACATTGGGGTTTTCTGCTAGACGGCCGGCGACGGTGTTACCTGCCGTGCCGCCACCGACAACCACGAAATCGAAGTAAGAGCCATTCTTAACCATGATGGGAGATATAATTGAGCTGAAGAAGCTTGGACAATCTGGATAGTGGTGATGAGGACCGAGTAAAGAAGGAAGCAGTGCTTTATAGCTTTTCCCTGAAGCCTGATACAAGGACATGCCGCATTGCAGTTGCTGGTTTTCTTTCTTTAACCCCTCCTCATGAGGGGTTATATGACGTCCGTTACATCTATTCTGACGGGTGGAGTGGCATAATGAGGAGCATCTAGAACAGCTGGATTCGATTGGAGACCTACTCAGCTGGATAAACCGGTGGAGCTTCTGGACTGGATAGAGAGGACATACTTGAGATGCGGACTATCTCTGGTTATGCAGAGAATTCGTCATGTGAGACTAGAACAATTGACGTTGCCATGATCCAGCCATGGTCTCCTGTGCTGTGTAGATCCTTGTACGTTGCCATTTTGGGAGATACTAACTGACCAATCAAGAACTTCCCGAGCACGGCCCGATTCGGTGTCGACTTGACATTTTGCCCTAATCGCCCCACATGCCGTCAGTCCCGATCGAAGTACATACGGAGTACCACTGTGTACTCGTCGACGATATGCGGGGAAGATATGTTGCTATACAAGGCCAATAATTGCCCAGAGCGGTGATGCAGCCAGTATCATTCAAAGAGTATTCGCCTCGGTAATCCATGAGCTATTATTCGCCATGTTGCGTGCGTTGGAGGTTGTATCATGATTGGAGATCAGTTCTAGGGAAGGGTCGCTCTGGGTATAAAAGCCGCTGGCTACTTCTTAACACATTAATCCTAGTTAGGCGACCTGAATCTGCTCGCAAAAGGATTACCGACAATACACCAGAAGCAGTCAATAATGTCTTACTACACTCTGGCCGAGGGTAGGAACTGTCAAATCTCCAAAGAAACGGAAGATGACTGACGACGTTCAGGCTGTCCCTATGCCCGAAACGATACGAGCGTTCAGGTTCGGAATGGATCAGGTGGTGGATTAGTTCTGCTCCAAGACACCCAATTGATTGAAACTCTGGCTCATTTCTCTCGCGAGAGGATCCCAGAGAGGTAGGTCCCACAGCCTCTAGATGAGAAGAATAATTTCTGACTATGCCCAGGGTGGTTCATGCTAAAGCGGCTGGGTATGAGGACTATACCAAAGTCAATTCACTTCTGCTTTGTCGAGCTAACCCGTCTCAGAGCATACGGCGTGTTTGAGTGCACTGATGATTGCACCGATATTACATCAGCTAGCTTCCTCAACACGGTTGGAAAAAAGACTGATGTCCTATTGCGTGTTTCTACCGTCGGGCCTGAGAGTGGCTCTGCAGATACCGTCCGTGATGTCCATGGCTGGGCGATGAAGCTTTATACCGACCAGGGAAACCAGGATTGGGTGTTCAACAACACGGTGAGTTTTCTTCAGTGTATCTACGCTATTGCGGGACCATCACTGATACTGCGATATCCCTCGCAGCCCACATTCTTCGTCCGAGATCCGATCAAGTTTCCATCCATGAATCGATCGCACAAGAGGCACCCAAAAACCCACAGACCTGATCCAAATATGGTAAGCCGCTTCGATTGCAAGTACCTGGCAATTTATTGACAAATAGCAGTTTTGGGAGTACGTAGTACTGATTGTCCCGATAGATCCGGGCTAACAGACTATTATTTAGCTTTCACACGGGTAATCCTGAAGGTATTCATCAACTCATGCACCTGTTCAGTGACAGAGGAACCCCTGCGTCGCTCCGGCATTTGAATGCCTACAGTGGACATACATACAAATTTACCAAAGAGGTAGCATCCCTCAACCAGCTTCTTTCGTCGTACTTCGCTCATTCCTTCCTCAGGATGGTTCGTTTAAGTATATTAAGGTTCATATCAAAACCCAGCAGGGTATCAAGAACTTTACCCGCGAGGAAGCTACAAAGATGGCCGGAGAGAATCCAGATTTCCTGTTGCAAGACTTGTTCGACGCAATTGAAAGCGGAAACTATCCTGTTTGGCATGTCTATGTCCAGGTCATGGACCCCAAGGACGCTGAAAATTACAAGTGGAACATCTTTGATATGACCAAAGTCTGGCCTCACCAGGACTATCCACTCCGACAGATCGGCAGACTGACCATGAACCGTAATGTAAGCAATGGAATCCTGCCCAAGGTCTGATGCGCTTGCTAATCAATTGTAGCCCCAAAATTACTTCACAGATATCGAACAGGCCGCATTTTCGCCATCGAACATGGTCCCAGGTTTTGCACCTTCTGCCGATCCAAGTGGGTAAAAACGTTCTAAAGATCAACCAACCAGAAAGCTAATAATCACTTAAATATAGTGCTTCAGGCGCGCATGTTCGCATATCCAGATGCTGCCCGCTACCGACTTGGTACAAACTATCAAATGCTTCCCACCAACGCGCCCCATGCTCCGGTATACTGCCCCTTCCAGCGAGATGGGTTTATGAATTTCTCATCCAACTATGGTGATGACCCCAATTATGTTGGCTCATCCCTCCGGCCTACAAAGTTTGCTACGAGCTCGGCAACTCAGACAAGGCCCGTTGCTAGTACTATAACCGAACATGAGAAATGGGTTGGGGAAGTGTGCAGCTTTACCAGCAGTGTTGACGATGCGGATTTTGAGCAAGCTGCTGGGTTGTGGAAGGTCCTTGGCCGGGAACCAGGCCATCAGGATAGATTTATCGAAAACGCGGCCTCAACAGTTGAGGGTGTTGAGAGCAAAGAACTCCGATCTAAGGTTTACGGTATGTTAAGATCAGCATTCCAAGTTTTAACAATGATATATGCTAACTGGAGTTAGACCTATTCGGACGCGTCGATCCACGACTGGGTGCTCGTCTTGAAACTGTGACTGAAGCAAATATCAAGAGCTCATGAAGAAGACGTTGTGTTTTAGTGTTGAATCGGTTTTTATTCACCTGCGAGTTGAAAATATTGTCGACATTGAATAGGTATATTTCTTCTTATCAAGATGTTCCTCTTCGTGCATGGGCGGTGCGAGATCGCAGCAAAATTCAGAATAAATTGCACCGTGTGGGCAGTTAAAGGAATCTCGTTAGTCGTGTAGTATCAACGAGGGCACCTTGCCTCCCCAACGTCACCGCTGATGTAAGCACCTTCGCCTTCGTCCTTGGAGAAGAAAACCCCTACCACACCGTTCTTTCTCCATCGTGCAACTTTATGCAGACGGAATATCTTTGCAGATGGCGCGTGGGAGACCTAAAAGCTATATCGCCCCATGCCGTTTTTGTGATAAGCAATTCAAGCGGCTGGAACATTTGCAGAGGCATGAGCGCACACGTCCGTACTTTCTACCCCAATTCATAGAAGGGGAAGATATTCACTAATTTGCTCACCATAGATACCCAAGAGAAACCATTTGTTTGCCAGTGCGGTCGCTCGTTTTCCCGACAGTAAGCAAGGCCCAATTCATCCCCCAATCGGTTCACCAGCTCAGTGGAAGACACGTAGGGATCTTCTCAGCCGCCATGAACGGCTTTCTCATGCGACCACAGGCGTAACGGAGACTCCTCGTCAGCTTTCGTCATCACTAACCAATTCTCATGGCCGAGACGGAACCGATCTGGTGGCAGATTCACTGCCTCAAGTTTTGGGGGACAACAGTATCATGGAAAATACCAGCTCGGCTTTGGATACGGGCAGTTCAACACAATCAAACCCTGCATTACCCGTGACCCCTTTCATGTTTGGCTCTTCCACCGAGAGCTTTTCTAATCCGGGCTTTATGCAACCAAATGGTGACAGATTGAATGAGCTTGACCTGCTTGATGAGAATAGCTCATTGGCCTTTCATGACTTCGTCCCTTCTCAATTCTTGGATACAGACATTTCATTATCTGAACTTCTTCATCAGAGCTCCCTTCCGGCCAACCTGGACTTTATGAGACCTGAGTTCCCAACAGCGCTCGCTGAATCGAGTCCCCAGGCTCAACCACACTCTCCGACGATACACCCGGGCCAAGATTTGAACTCAGCCGCATCGCCTCCTCCCAGAATCCCATCTATTGATGACCAACCAAACACCAGTCACTCCGACCTGGCAAACGACACAGCAGAAAAACCATGGGCAGTGTCTGCTTCAGCCTACCAGGCGATTTCCAACAAGCTGTCCCAGAGCAAATCCATTTTATCTACCCCGATAGAGTTCTCGCTTCCTTCCAGACATACCCTTGCGCGCTATCTCGAAGGTTATTTCCGTGGATTTCATCATCATATGCCTTTCCTTCATTTACCAAGCTTTGACCCGGAAAAAGTCGATATGGAACTCTTTCTTGCACTGACCTCACTCGGTGCGTTATATCGCTTCGAAAAAGCAAGGGCCTACCAAATGTACGGGGCCTGCCGGACTCTGATAGACGAATGCATGCAAAGCCACCGTAAGCAAACAATAGCACAATTGACCACGCTAGCAGCAAGTGACACGGTAAGGCCTGTGTCGTATTCGCCCTATGATGCTCACACCCCTCGACATACCTTGGGGGCGGAGGGCGCCGTGGTATGGGAAGCTCCGTATCCAACTCTGCAGCAGGTACAAGCCATGATTATCCTTATGGCTATGACAGCATGGTGCGAAGAGCCACTTGTGCGGGAAAGCCTTGCCATGAGCAGTCAGGTTGCTGTATTCGTACGGTGTCTGGGAATACACCAGGATGACAACATTATTGGCCAGGAGGTGGAGTGGTCAGCTTGGATCGCTCACGAAGAGCGGCGGCGTACTCTACTGGTAGCTTATGTCTTCTTCAATCTCCAGAGCATCACATTTAACATCCCACCCATGATATTAAGCCAAGAGGTCGCAATTTGCCTACCGTCGTGTGAAGCGGAATGGAATGCCCCTTCCTTTACTACCTGGCAGCGGCACCGTGCACAGTCCCGCTTGCGCGAGCGTCCCTTTACCTCCACCCTTGACCAGCTCCTCATGGGACAAAATATTTCCGACAAAGGAGCTGTGTCAGGATTTTCTAACTACGTCCTCATTCATGGGATTGTGCAGAAGATCTTTCTTGACCGTCAAGCGGAAGGCTGTCATGCGCAAGAGCTTTCTCAAACATGGTCGATGTCACTTAAATCGACAGAGAAAGCCTTACGGGCCTGGCAACGGTCCTGGGAAGCGACGACGGAGTCAACACTTAATCCCTCTTCTCCAAAAGGTCCTTTAGGGTTCAGTGCAACCGCATTGCTCCGTCTGGCGCACATTCGACTTAACGCCAACCTAGGGGCGTGCCGTGATCTCGCCTCCGGTGAACCTGAGCGCATTCGACAAGCTTGCACCAACACGCAGCTATGCCCGCTCGCTCGCTCACCTTCCTTGGACCGAGCCATCCTGCAGTGTATCCATGCCCTGAGTATTCCGATCCGTATCGGTATACCATACGTGGCACATACGCAGGCCCTCCACTGGAGCACCGAACACACTATTTGCTACCTAGAGTGTGCCTTTCTCTTGACAAGATGGATGCAGGAGGCAGCAGAAGTTGTCCGCATTGGCGGCATGGCGGCCTTACGCGATGATGAACAGAAATTGCTTGGTATGACGCGCAACCTCGTGGGAGAAACCAATCTAGAAGTGGTCGATTCCACCGAGGAACCCTCTATACAGATTCGCCGGCTTGCAGCTGCTACAGCCCGGTTATGGGCGGATATCTCTAGTGGAATACATGTATTTCATTTCGAGCATCGAGTTGGTCTGTCTTTATCGATCATTGCTGATTTCCTAGAATCTGAACTGTCTCGTTCCTAAACACTTTGCCCCGCACATATAGATAATGAAATACAGTCTGAGCTACAGTTTATATATTAGCAAGACCAAAATCATACTGGCTTCTCATACTCGTTATAATATGTCTTTTATCTTGATATAGAATTCTATGGTATATTGATTGAGATATCATTAGGATTGAGACCAGTCTGTGGCCATAGAGATACTTCAACGTCCAAGGTTCGTTCCAGGTCTTCGAATATCGTTCAAGCTTGAGGCTTCCATCCAAAAATTTTGGACGCTCTTTGTACAGAGCCCGGATTGATCGAGCTGGTTTTCATCTGTCCACCATACGAAAACCTGCTAACTGCTTGATTGGTCAACTCGTCTGGTTCCGGGGAGTCAAAGTAACCCTTGTCGAAGCCAAGGTAGGCAATCTCCCTGCTCGCTTCTCCACAGAAGAACTCCTTTGCTCGGCAAAATAGTATCGTCATTATCCCACAGCTCACCAGGATGTTGATTCATGGCCGCTTCGGTAAGCAGTATATATATCTCCGAAACGCCCTGGGTATGGATCATATTCCGCTTGTTCTGGTTGCCCTTGATGGTAAAATCCCGACTGCGTCGAAGGAACACATTTAACATGCGGGGAAGTTGAGTCGAACGCGTAAAGAGAGTAAACAGAGACGGTCCGTAGACGGTAGGAGGGCAAGCGATAGCGGTGTGCACGTCATCGCTATCGCTGATGTTGGAAAGAATTGCGGTATGCCTTCGAAACCCTTTCCAATCATCGTACCGCCGTGGAATGAACTCTCCCCATTTCTGAGGCCGATTCTCCATCTTCCACACAATGACCTTGGCGCCTGAGGTGTGAATTATAAAGCCTGGTTGGGTGCATCCAGACACTCCTCACAAAATGGCTTCTGTGGCGAGTAAGTGGTCGCAGTCGGCAAAGTCTATGTTCAAATAGGCGTTAGCACGAGGCGAAGCGGACGTAATAGAAGGGGGTAGATGACAGACTTAACACAACATCCACCTGTTTGCTTTCATTTTCCAGAACCTGTCATCGAGTGTACCTTGAATGGTCTCGACGAACGGATAGTGCTCACGGAAAACCTTTGCCTTTTCGAAATCGCGGACGAGAGTTGATGTATGCCAGTCACGATGTCGCTACCGATGAGGTGAGGGTGATCGTCGCTAATAAGGCCGATGATGCCAGGACTGGTGCGTGGTATTCAGTTCTCTGTCATGGTTTTTCCGTCATTTCAAGTGAGGAACTGTACAAAGTACAAGAAAAACAAGGCGGCAGGATGCATCGACTTATATCGAAATCTTTGGGCTCATTTTAGTTAGGGTCTACATTAACAATTAGCAACGGTGGCCGGAAACACTGAACAATAGAAAATTGCAACTGATAGACATTCCCTTGTACTCGTTAAGTGATAAGAGGCCAATTTTTTCTAGACAAATCACTTTCTAATGCAATTGATCACCCCAGCCCTATATTTGTCATCATTCGGGGTAAAAAAATTGGGGAGTCTTTTTTATCCCCAATTCTGCCGTGGATGAGATTTCACTCTCGACGTTATTACCATTGGGGAAGAAATGCTGATAGATTTGGCATTTTCCCTATAAATACCCCAGTAGACCTTTCGTCCCTATATAGTCTTCCACTAAAGATAATTCACTGTATTTTTCCTATATCCTCCATTTCAAACTATATTCTTCCTTCCCATCTTTTGTCACCGCCCATCATGAGCACCCAAACTGTCCTCAGATTGACTGCCCAGGACACCTGGGAGAAGCTTGCTGAATATCAAGAATCTATTCCGTCCGCTAGCAAGCACGAAGTCTTGATCAAAATTCGGAGTGTTGCCCTGAACTTCCGAGACGTCGCCATCTCTACTGGGAAGTATCCATTTACCGTCAAAGATCAAGTCGTCCTTGGCTCTGATGCAGCTGGCGACGTGGTTGGAGTTGGCGAGGGGGTTTTAGGTTTCTCGCAAGGCGACAAGGTGATCATTACATTTGACCCGGCGACGTTGTATGGTCCCATGAAATCTTGGACTACCGGTCTGGGTGGTCCTGTTGATGGGGTCTTGAGGGAGTACATCTCCGTCCCTGCCCATGCTGTTGTCAAATTGCCGGAAACATCCACCCTCAGCTATTCGCAATGGGCCAGTATGGTTTGCACCGGGGCTACTGCTTGGAACTCGCTGTATGGAATTGCTCCCCTCAAGCCGGGACAGACCGTTCTCTTCCAAGGTAAGCTCCGAATTTATATTATTTTCTTTCTACCTCTAGGAAATGCATTGACGAGTTGTCTTATTTAGGAACGGGTGGTGTATCCACCACTGGCCTTGTGCTGGCAAAGGCCGCTGGTGCACGCACCATCATCACATCCTCGTCTGATGAGAAGCTCAAGTATGTCAAGGAAAAGTACGGAGTCGACCATACAATTAACTACAAGAAAACACCCGACTGGGCCGCCGAAGCACAGAAGATTACTGATGGCCAAGGCGTTGACTTTATCCTGGAGAATGGAGGCTCTGGAACCATCAAGCAATCTATCGAGGCTATTGCTTACGGTGGTGTGATTTCTGTTATCGGTTTCCTGTCTTCGGCACCGCAGGAGGAGATGCCAGATGTTGCAATTTTGGCGCTGAGCAAGGGTGCTGTTGTTCGTGGAATTATGGTCAGTTCAAAGCAGCAGCTTGAGGAGGCTGTGCGCTTTGTCGGCGTTCACGATCTCCCTTTGCCCGTCGAGAAGTCTTTCAAGTTCGGACGTGACTCGGTTGTGCAGGCTTTCAACTATCTCACTGGAGGTCAGCATATCGGTAAGATTTGCATTGAGTTTTAGTGTTGAGCCTCGCTGGGGAAGGGTTTGTGATACTTGAGTGTTTGTGATACTGTGAAATATATGTAAACAAGATTTGTCTGTTCTTTATGGGCCCATTCCAATAGATTAAACACATACTATAAATAAGCCTAATTCGATAGATGTCATAAGGGTGAAGTCGGACTTCTAGCTTTGTTCTATAACCCGGCCATAATTTGTATATGCACCTAACCCATGGCACAGCTCGCATAGAACAACCATTGCTTTTGTGGATCCTGCTTCATCTAGTTGAGATGGTTACATACTTCATTAAGATGGCTCAGAGCCTTCAGGAACACTACAACAATCGAACCTTATCTTCGGCATACGTCGTTGCAAGTTGATCCTTTTGTCTATCCCATATTGCTCCGGTACTGAGTCAATGGGTACAGATCTTGAGCACGTATTCTATGTTCATACTTGTCAGAGATGAGAGAACTCATCAAAGCACCAGCAGTCCGGGTATAGAGTACATCGTCGTTAGGGCACACGTAGTACACCAGCCAATCGCCATCCGCGGCACCTTGTTATTGCAGTAACAGTTTGGTATTAATCGCCTCGCTGTTTGCCGCCGACGTGGTATTTTCCGCGAACACGGAGAGCGCTGCGCCATAGAGCACTGTTGCTGACCGCGGACATGTTATATTGAGATCAATCGCCTGAGACGTGCATCCCACATGGCTGTTATTGAGAGATGAAGCTTGGATAAAGAGTCCTATGTTAACACAAGTTATGCTCAACCCAGACGGCAGCTTTCTCCGACAGGGCCATATGGATATGGCATTTGACAGTGGACACTTACTTATGCCAAACCAGGACCCTTTAGTGTTCTGGTTTGAGCCTCGATTCCTAAAACGCCTCGAACATGAATTTCAGGATGAGCGGGCATTAGCAACCTCAACATATTTAAAGGATTGTGATTTTCATTCTATTTAAATGAGTTGTGCCATCTCTTCAATGCACGTCCATATATGTGTCTAATGAATTGGATTATTAGTTGAATAAGTTTGGTAGATATAGGCGAGTTCACGGCCGTTTTCGGAAGCCTATCTGGGAGAATTAAGAATATCTGGCATATTCTACTCAATTAACAACGAGAGTGCAGGATGAGTGTTGATTATGGGAAGTGGTTCATCTCAAATACCTACGTGATGTTAATGAATAGGGTAATTATTTTTAGTTTAAAACCGCAAAAAAATGCATTCCAGTATTTGCGAGATCGATAGTCAAAATAAGAGAGACCAAAAGAGAATATGAAAATTGCAACGCCTTCGCCGTTCCAATCGGATATACCGCTTCTGAACACCAAGCTCACTCGAACAAAAAAAAAAAAAAAAGCAAAATAAACATGGACATAGCCCGTTACAGCCGTTCATTCGCTCTCAAGTGGAAAATGAGGGACGCAGGGGAGGAAAGACGTCTGAAAAATCAGCGATATCAATAATCATGCAATTCATCAACTCGAGGTCATGTAACAACCACAAGAGGCATAGAGAATGTAATTCGTCATGCTCCTTCACTACCGAATTCCTCGGTCCATTCCGCGTTCCTCTTGAGGTCGTCATAACTAATTGTTGGTCTGGAGCTGCGGACAGACTTAACAAAGTCCTTGAGTACAAGTGCGGGTTCGAGGAGTTGGTCTGCTTCGACTTTGACCCAGGACATCTCCATTGCACCTTGGTCTCCTGGTGAGCATGGAGTGACCTTCTCTGCGCCATCGAGGATGACCTGTATTTGGTTAGTGCTGTTTCAATATGCACGAAGAAGCCACGGACCTTCTTGTAGTGTGTTGCAGTTTGGATCTTACGAATAGGTTGCATTAAAGCATCCTGCACAGCAATACTGATATCGCTGCCGGAATAGCCCTCGCTCATCTCAGCCAGCGTTTTATAATCCGCCTGCGTCATTTCGCACGGCGTTGAACCGACAGCTAGCGCGAACATCTTCATCCGTGCATTAAGATCAGGAAGACTGATGTGCACTCTCCTTTGGAATCTGCGACGAATGGCCGCGTCAAGCTGCCACGGGATATTCGTTGCGCCCAGAATTAGGACACCCTTGGAGTCTTTGCCTACACCGTCCATCTGGACCAGTAATTCAGTCTTGATACGACGGGAAGCCTCTGATTCTCCCTCACCACGAGGACCGCAAAGTGCATCAACTTCGTCAATGAAGATAATAGCCGGTTTATTCTCCCGGGCCATATTGAAAAGCTGCTTCACAAGTCTGCAGAGGCGTCAGTTGTCGCAAATTCTCTCTAACTAGAATCAAGCAGCCGAGGACTGACCGTTCGCTTTCACCCATCCATTTCGATACCAGGTCACTGCTGCTGACACTGAAGAAAGTACTGTTTGCTTCTGTCGCGACGGCTTTAGCGAGATACGACTTTCCGGTACCTGGAGGTCCGTAGAGTAGGATACCCTTCCATGGTTGTCGCTTTCCAGTAAACAGATGCGGGAACTTGATGGGCAAAATAACAGCCTCTTTCAGAGCCTCCTTTGCACTCTCGAGACCCGCAACATCCTCCCACTGTACATTGGGCTTGTCCGTCAAAATAGCACCGGCCAGCGCTGACCGTAGCTTCTTGGAATCGGCGTCTTCGTTATCGTCATCTTTTTCCCTACACAAAGAAAGCGACAAGTTAGCACAAATCATAACCCGAGGGGTAAAGGACAGAAGCGCAAAACATACCCGCCCTTCCCACTTCCTTGCGCCACTTTCCCATTCGCGCCCACAGCACTCGGCTTTTGTCGCCCGTCCGATTGAGCCAGATGATTCTTGAGTTTCTCTGCACGATCCATATACTCGCCTGTTTTTGCGCGGATCATCTCCTTGGACTTTGGGTTTTTCTCCCATTTCAAGGCGAGCATGAACAGCTCCAGTGCGGAGTAGTAGGTTTGATAAGCTTTCTCGTACTCGCCCTCATTATCGTTCTCGATGGCCTTCTTGACAGTGTCGATTGCCCGCCCGAGGAAGTCGGTATTGCTCATGGTGGATGAAGAACTCGTATATTTCGATCGTTTCGCTGTTCAGGTACGAGATGGATGAAGGCGAGAGGCAAGGGTAGGTAGGAGGTTGTGCCCGCTTTGCCGCTTGGGGGCGCGTAATATAAGACGAATAACCAGACCAGAGTTTTCAAATGCAAACAAGCACCGTCTCAAAGAAGATATTAATCTGAAGCGTCAAAGCGAGCAAGAAGTGTGCGATTTTTGCGGGGTCCGGACTGAATGAAAGATGAAGTGTTTACGCCGTCCGGAGGTTCTGCCGCCCATTTGGTTCTCCCCGCCAACGGGCCTCTTCGACTCCGACGTCGTCCATTCCTTCTCCACGATCCTCTTTTGACTCGCGCATAATCCCCGGTTCAATAAAACACCATGGCTGAAGCACAGAAGCAGCTCCAGGGCCTCTCGGAGGAATTCCAGAAGCTGCAAACTGGTATGTGCAACTACGCTACCCCTCCATCCTCATGACACGCAACATCATATCACCACAATCACTCTCAGATCTCCAACGTCGCTAACAATCAAAAATGTTCCAGAACTCGAAGGATATGTCGACGCCCGTCAGAAACTCGAGTCGCAGGAGCAGGAAAACCAAGGTGTTCAGGATGAATTCGCCTCGCTGGACGAAGAATCCAACATCTACAAACTCGTCGGGCCGGTTCTATTGAAGCAGGATAAAACCGAGGCTGTCATGGCTGTCAATGGCCGTCTCGAGTTTATCGAGAAGGAGATGTATGTCTTTGAAAATTTCTCAAATAATAGCTTCCACGACCACTGACAACACACCAGCAAACGGATCGAAACGCAAATCCAGGAAACCGAAGAGAAGGCTGATAAGAAGCGGACAGAGGTACATACTTGATCTGGAATATCCCTCTCGCGAGTTTACACATGCTTACATGATCACCCAGATCATCCAATTCCAAACCAACATCCAGCAACAGGCCGCTGCCGCGTCTGCTTCCGCATGAACACCCAGGTCGATAACGCCATCTCAAAAAGTTCTATAAACAGATACCCCCAAACACTTCATGATAGATCAGAAAAGGAGCGCGTTGTTCTAGGAGTAGCATAGGGACCCTTTCCTCTTCTGCGGAGGCCAGCGGAATCTAGTTGTTAACGACACGGACAAACATCGTCCTAGGACGATAGTAAGGCTTGCAAAGCTGGGCCTTTGGGCTTGGGATTTCCGGGATGCCTTAGCAGGGCACTTGTATTTTATCTCAAAAATTATTTCAGTAATGAAAGAACTAGGGCCAAAAACCATTTGAGGTCTCTACTTGTAGCTATGCTCCATTGCCAGTCATAATGCCACTGAGGGCATGTGTTCAAACAGCAGCGGTGTCAAAGCTGACAATGGCATCAGGAAGCCCTGTCTGAATTGATGCAATCTAATAAGTGTTGGAATAAATCCCCTAGAAAATTCTGTGGATTGGCATCTGTGTTTGGGTTGCAAGTAGGACATCAACAACAACAGCAAGTTCGTCCATACAGGCGACATGAAGTGGTAGTTTCTGAGGATGGTCCCTGGTATTGAGATCAAAGCCCATCTCAAGCAGTACACGAACAATCTCCGCGCTGCCTGCAAAAATAGCATCAAAAATAATGTTCATGCAGAGGATTTGCTTTTAACAGCATAGATATCAAAAGCTGGCAAGGCTGAAGCAACGAACTCTAGGAACAAATCGAATATCTCCGGTGAGCTACCAATTACCGCACCATTGATTAACATATGGATATCATTCTCATGTTTTCTTCTCTTGTTTTCATTGTTGACGAATCTGTCAGTGCTGTTGATGTCTGCCCCAGTGTTGAGAGCCTTGCGCGCAGTCGAGGGCTTCCTATAAAGTGCTACATAGCTCAAGGCTGAGCCATTAGATTTTTTGAAGTTCTACTCGTAGAGATATGGATCTAAAGTGTTACGAAAGCGACGGTTAGCTTAGGACAAGAATTTGATATCTATCTCTGCTTTTCATGTGAGACGCGATCAAGAGGAGCATTTCAGCTGGGAGGTTTTGCAGAGCCATTATGCCAATATATGTGGCCCGTCCACGCTAGAGGATGCCTACCACTTGAATATGATGAAGAAAGGTTGATCTCGAATAAGTGAGACTCAAAATATTCATGTAACTGTCTAGACAACCGCGAGAGGCTAAGTTACATGTATACGGATCCTAAAACGCTTTCTACATATACATTATGTATTCACCATGTCCCAGAGTAGAAATGCACTGCTTATTGCAAAGAAGCCTTATCCCTAAACGGCAGGTCTACATCCTGTCTCCCATGGAACGATCTCAACATCTGATATTATGGCAGTACGATGATGTCGATGATTCTGATGATAGTAAGCGAGGGTATATCAGTACAAAGCCAGCATGTGGCTGTAGTACAAACAAATTGACGCATTCCAATATCAGCAATCCATATGACCCCATAAATGCTTTCCACGCCGGGAAAGATAAATCCCAATGGAACCCTAACCAACGTTCAACAGAGGATTAGTATAACTCAGCTCCGAAAATGCGCGATAAACGCAATTAGCCGAAATTTCCCCTTGTTCTATACATAAACGACTGCGACACTGAAATACGACTTGATGACATCTGTCTTGGCACCGTCCGCCATGGCTCTTGGCTCCAGCACGTGGTGGGAGAAACCATTGTCAATTCGCTTCATCGCAAACGGCTGTTTATAGATAGCAATTTCCAATTCCTTTGATGAAATGTGCCTAGACTGGAAATTTCACTAAACCCAGTCCCTTGGCAGTGCTTAAAGCAATGATAAAAAGGCGACGGGACGCCCAGGAGTACTTCTCCTGATTGAGTTCATCCACCAGCCAACCTAATCAATTAACCACTATGAGGTTTCTCTGGATCTCGAGTGTTGCGCTTTTTGCGCCGGCTACTGTCCTAGCGCAGACCTTCCAGCGCTTGGGTGGTTGTCCAACATTGGGATGTGTTTTCCCTCCAGACCAGGCGGATTTCTTGGCCGGGCAGTACTTTGATATTCGACTGGAGGTGCACTCGCCTGTCAATGGCTCTGAGGCTCGGAAGGGCGAGCCAGATCCGGACTTCAAGTTCACCATTGCCAAAAAAGGCGAAGATTCTAAGGCGGCGACGGAGTACTTTGGTGTTGAGGAACCTGAGCTGGAACGATGGGACTTTTCATGGTATGAGGGTGAGTCTAATCTATCTGGTCTATTACCTTGGGGGCTTAGTATTAATTATATATAGATCTATTCGCAGAGGACGCAGGAAGGGCGTCTCTCGTCAACGTGACTTCCAAGGCATACCGCAGAATTGCGCTCGACGAGCCTGGCGAGTACGAAGCGACTTTGACCTACTACGGAGACCAAACGACAACGGCCACCTGGACCGTCCGCGACATGCCCGCCAAGCGTCGTGCAAAGAATGTCATCTTGTTTATTGGCGACGGCATGACCACCAACATGATCACTGCAGCTCGTCTAATCGCCCACCGCAGCATCAACGGCAAATATATGACCAAAATGGCAATGGACAAGTTCCCCGTCTTGGGCCACCAGATGACCCATTCGATGGACTCATTCATCACAGATAGTGCCAACTCTGCGACGGCGCTGTACAGCGGTCACAAAACGACTGTAAACGCATTGGGTGTGTATGTCGACTCTTCCGAAGATGCCACGGATGACCCCAAGTTTGAAAACATCGTTGAGATCTTCCGTCGTCGGTATCCCAATGCTGGTGTTGGTGTTGTCTCCACGGCGTTCCTGGCAGACGCCACCCCGGCTGGGTTGACCGCACACACGGCAGACCGGAGTGAGTATGAGCATGTCATCAACGCCTTCTACGAGGGCTTGACAGACTACGAGTGGACAAAATGGGGCGGTCCAGACGTCCTATTTGGTGCTGGAGCCGAGAACTTCCTCGAAAGCCAGGACGCCTCGCAAAACTACTATACTTTATTTGAGGAACAGGGTTACAACGTCCTCTGGAACAACACTGCCCTACACTCCGCCCCGAATGATACCAGATCCCTTGGTGTCTTCCAAACCTCAAACCTGGCAACATGGCTCGACCGCAACGTCTACCAAGCCAACCTTCTCAACCAGAGTAACTACCCCGACGGCTCCGGCCGCGACGCAGAAGACCTCCCAGGGCTCAAGGACATGACTTTGAAAGCCATCGACATCCTGAACGCGCGCCACGAGAAAGACGGCTGGTTCCTCATGTCCGAAGCAGCCAGTATCGACAAGCAGATGCACTCGCTAGACTACGACCGCTCGCTCGGCGAACTGCTCGAGCTCGATGATACCGTCCGCGCAACAATCGAAAAACTAGATGCCCTAGGCGAACTCGAAGATACCCTAATCCTCGTAACCGCAGACCACGGCCACGGCTTCGACGTCACCGGCTCCGTCGACACAGAGTATCTGAACGCCCAGAAAGACGACCGCTCAAAGCGTCGCGCAGTCGGATACTACGAGAACTCAGGTCTCTCAGGGTACACCATGAGCAGCGGTGGAAGCAGCCTTCGCTACTCCGAGGGCGTACATTTCCCCTCGCGTTGGGATCCGCGATACTCCCTGCACGCCGGCGTCGTAGCATTCCCAGACCACCGCGAGAATTACCAGGTTCACGCAGATGGCCCGCGTACTCCGGCAAATGGCCCCGTTGCTAACTACAAGGATGCAGTTACCGGTTTCCTTGTGAATGGGACGTTGCCGCTGGATAGTGACCAGGGGGTGCATTCGTTGACGGATGTGCCTGTGTTTGCGCAGGGGCCGTGTCAGGAGTTGTTTGGGGGGGTGTATAATTCTGTGGATATTTTTTTTTATATGGCTGAATGTCTTGGGTTGGCGAGTAAGGGTCGGGAGGCAAAGTCTTAAAATGTCGTTGGCTTGTGATGTATGTGTGCATCCCGGGTTCAAGATTCTGAGTTTCATACATTATTGAGAAAAACTCATTTCAATTGTTTTGACATGTGTTGATTAGGAGTTTGGTTTAGATGTCTCTCCGAAGTGTACATATGATTGAGAAAGTCGACATCCTCAAGTATATAAAACTCCAGTGCCTTCACATATCTCCATCTTCCATCAAGAATTTGCACATGTATCAGACGGACGATGAATCTCGATATCACAATCTACATTCCCAGTCAGCACTACCATCACACCAAACAAATTCCACATAATCCAATCAGCCTCACTCACCTCTAATCCTTAGTTCTCATAACACTCCAAATACTTCTCCCCCCTCGTACAAGGACTCTCATCCAACGCCTTACAACAAGCATGGCTCGCAGACTTCGTACAAGCCTCACTCGTCCCATTCGACGCAACAGCCATAATCACATTCCCGTCACTGAGCGTCTGCCCGGGCTTGAACGGCGATACGCCGCAATAGTCGTTGCCGTAACCGTATTTGGATTTAGTCCAGTCGCAGCCGCGGTTTTGGTAGATGCAGTCGTAGTCATCTGGGTTCAAGGCAGACGAGGAGGCGGAGGATGAGGGCGTGAGGAAGGGGGTGGAGGATGGGGATGGAGCTGGTGCGGGAGAGAGAGGGAGGAGGCCGCCGAGGAGTTGGGCTGTTGTGGTGGCGGCGAAGAGGGTGAGTATAATAGTTGGTTTGAGGTGCATATTGGCGGTTGTTTTGATATTGGTATGAAGTATTGAAGTCAGAAGAAAGAGTTGAGGTGCTTGTTCAACTATGGCGGGAGCGTGCTATTTCTACTCTACATTTGTAGCTATGGCCCGATCTTTAATCTCGATGACACGGACCTGCGTGGCCAAAATGGATATGTGCACAGCGTGCAGAAGTAACAACCTATCTATGACCACTCGTCAAGGCCCACGGCCCGCTTAGGTGGGTATGGGGAAAAGTTCCGGCCATACAAGTGGACCGATCGCATCGATCTGGTGAACAAGATGAGATGGATGGGCCCGGTTAACCCCAAAATGTTAACCCAGAATGAAAAAAGCATGATTCAAGTTTTCGGGGGGTGGGAGGTGAAACTGGAGCGGTGAAGAGTCGATTGCCGGATAATTAGGGTCTTGGGGTGAATTGGACATTCAGCTGAGGTCGGTTTGGTGGGGATAAGCTGTAGCTGGTCGTATTCAGACTTTGATAATTCTGTCGATCATGAGGTTCTGAGATCTGGCACGTTCTGGCACGTTCTACTTGTTCGGAACACATAGTAGATCATCGATTAATTGTTCATTTCTTCATACCACATCATACAACCCTCTATAGGGAAAGATCTATTATATACTTATCTATGCCTTGACCAAAAGGCTCTTGCCAGACATCTCCTCAGGCTGCTCAATACCAAGGGCAGCAAGGAGGGTCGGTGCAACATCTCCCAAAACACCCTCGGCATCCTTGTTGAGGCTCCAGCCCTCAGGGGCATTGGCCAACACGAAGGGAACCTTGTTGAGAGTGTGCGAGGTCTTGGGGGTGCCCTTCTCGTTGAGCATTTCCTCGGCGTTTCTATGACGATTAGTCAACTAGCTAGGGGTACTATGTTAGGAAGACTCACCCATGGTCGGCAGTGATGAAGAGAAGGTAGTTGTTCTTCTTGCAAGCCTCATAAATCTCGCCAATGGCCTTGTCGGTGGCAGCAACACCCTCAATAGCAGCGTCGTAGACACCAGTGTGGCCAACCATGTCAGGAGGAGCAAAGTTGTTCATGATGAAGTCGAACTTGCCCTCGCCAATGCGCTCGGCCATCTTCTTACCAACACTGGCGGCGCTCATCTTAGGGTCCTGGTCGTACGTGGCGACCTTGGGCGAGGGAATCATGTCGCGCACCTCACCGGGGAATTGCTTCTCAACACCACCGTTGAAGAAGAAAGTAACGTGGGCGTACTTCTCGGTCTCAGCAACGTGGCACTGCTGGAGGTCCTTCTTACCGAGCCATTCAGCGAGGACGTTACCCATGTGCTGAGGAGGGAATGCAACGGGGAAGGTGTAGTCGGTCTTATACTGGGTCATGGTGGTGATATGGATGTTCTTGGGGTAGGGGAAGTCGGCCTTGGGGGAGCGGTCGTAGTCACCCAAGAGCTGGGTGATTTCACGGACACGGTCGGAACGGTAGTTGAAGAAGAAGAGGGTGTCATCATCTGATCAGTCAGTCAATAAATCATGCACGTAAGTTAACGCAAGCTAATCAATCATACCCTGAACCCGGCGGTCCTTGCCTCCGACAATGATGGGCTTCAAGAACTCGTCCGTCTCGCCTTTCTCGTAGCACTCCTTGATGGTCTTGACCGGGTCAGAACTCTCCTCGCCCTCACCCGAGACAATACCCTTGAGCGCGAGCTCAACTCGGTCCCAGCGCTTGTCACGATCCATAGCCCAGTAGCGGCCAACAACCGTGGCGATCTTACCAATGCCAATCTCATTGGTCTTCTCAAGAAGATCCTCCATGAACTTGGCGGCGCTCTTAGGGTCGGTGTCACGTCCATCACCGAAGAAGTGGATGAACACCTCGGGGATCTCCATCTCCTTGGCGACACGAAGAAGACCGATCAAGTGGGTGATGTTAGAGTGAACACCACCGTCCGAAACCAGGCCCACCAAGTGCAGACGACCATTGCCCTCCTTCGCACGAGTGAAGGACTTGGAAATGTTGTCCACCTTTTTCAGTTCATTCTTCTTCAGAGTCTGGTCGATGCGAACACTGTCTTGCCAGACCACACGGCCGGCACCAATGTTCAAGTGACCGACCTCACTGTTACCCATGAGACCCTCCGGCAAACCGACAGCTAGCGACGAGGCATCCAACTCGGTGTAGCCCTGGGCGGTCTTGGAATTGGCCTCAGCGAAGCCCGACATGAAGGGAGTCTCAGCGGCGGTGATGGCATCGCCCTTCGAGCTCTCGGAGGGAACGCCCCAACCGTCGATCACAACTATAAAGAAACCATATGAGTGAAACTGCCAGCGTTCGTAGAGCATTTTTCGAGCTTACTCAGAACGGCTTTCTGGTCGACCTTGGCCATGGTGAATCGAGAGACACCTGCAAGACAAACAAAAAAGGTCAATTGTTGAATGTCAACAGAACAAACAGTTTTTTTTATAGCACTGGATTAGGGCAGGTTCTCGGTTTAAAGAGATAAGAGAAGACTCACCACTAATAATATAAAAAAGGGGGAAGTGATGAAGAAAAGAAAGAAGAAGAGAAAAAAAACGACCGGTGAAGGGAGAGAAATAATAATATGTGTATGGGGAGGGGCAGCGCTTCTTCCCGGTGACGCTTTTGGTTGTTCGACGTCACGGGAAAACCTCCGTTCTCGTCCGCCGCTGCGATCGAACGCGTTCCGACTCTTTCCTACTCAACAGCCGAAACCAGGAACTGACAATCACACCCGATCAATTATTATTCAGGCCAACGCGAATTGAAGTAATTTGTCAGTGGAAAATATTACTCACTGATTACCCCACGCTCCCGCAATGGCGTCCCGATCCCCCACTGCCGCCATCACTCCCCTGCCAAAGCTGTCCTCCGCGCCCGAGACCCCTGCCAGAGAGCCGACAGCCACCACTACCACCACAACACCGCAAGCCGTGCCTTTTCCACCTCCCCAGACCTTTGATATCATCCCACCGTTGCACGGACTTCTCCTTCGGTTGCTTTCTCCCTCGAACAATGCCACGGGTCCAGGAGCTGCTGGAGATGCCACGGGCGCGGGAGGTCCTTCAGACGCTCAGTCTCAACAACAGCAACAGCAGACAGTGACGGGAAGCGGAAGCGGCCAACATCCTGCAGTAGGACCTGCCTCCATGGCCGCTGAAATTGCTGCCCTTAGTTCCAACGCACCTCCTCCGCTTGACATCAAGGACCTGCCCACGGAAGCCAGCTCCATAAAGATCCGGATCCAAAAAGCACAAGCAGTGGTGGAAGGACTTCCGGATGTGCAGCGTTCTGTTGCAGAGCAAGGCCAGGAGATTGATGAGCTCGAGGACCGTACTTCCAAGCTGCAATCGGTCATCTCTGACTTTGGGAGAAGAGCCGGCCAGTCGAGGTCTCAGCAATCCAAGATGCACCATACTTGAGGAGAATGTTGACATATGTGGACAATACAATCAAAGTTCTCCTAGCACTCTCTGTTGGGCAGAAGGCTATTGTTGGGCGGCTCGATCACTGGGAAGGGACCTTGGCCGTCAACGGACAGATGCACTGGTCTTGTGACATAACAGGCATATTAGGGATTTGCCAACTCGATCAATAAGTTATACACAAGCTCTGTGGCATCAACACCCCGGAACGATTCACACGAAGCCAGCGCGATCACACATGCTCTTTGAACGTAATGTATGGGTAATGTGACAGCGACAACCGGTGTAGCCCAATTGACATGTGCAAGAGATTGGGACCACGGCACCTGCAAGCATAATAACTGATTCGAGGTCGAGAGGTTCTGTGCTACAGTGAAATGTGCTTCGCGGGAAATGGATCTCAGCACTGATCGCTTAGGGGCTCCCACGGTCCTCTTACTTGCAGAGTAGCTATGATCCACATCACATCATCTTCCTTACTTGCTTGTGCTTTGTACTGCTAGGTACCAATACATTCCAACCGCAACACTTACAATAGATGAGCATTCAAGCCAATTGTATACATGGAATAACACTAGTCCGCCAGCAAGTATGACTGTTTCCCGGTGAAACGCTCTTCGCCGATATCGTTCCTGGGCGGGGCGCTTATTGGCCAATCAAATCCTGCTGATCCCGCAAAAAAAAAAAAAAGGCATATTCTGCCTGAGGCGGCAAAAACTTGTCAACCCCTCTAAGATTCTCCGCCGCCCGCCATCAGTTATTTTCTCTTTTTTTTTCTTTCTCATTTATCCTCTTCTTCCTCTACTCTCTCTTCTTTTTTCTCTTCAAACGTCTTTTTGTTTACTTCTATTCCTTTCGATCTGTCCAATTCCTTGACCTATTTCCCCCTCTTTCATCAAAGATACCCCTTATCGCAATGGCTGCTTACGCTCTGTCCGCCACCCACCGGGAGGTGAATACTTCCCCTCTATCACAGAATTTTCTCTTTCAAAGGGACTTGTCACTGACTTGGATGGTATAGCAAATGGAGAACCGTCTCGTGGACTCCGACCCCGAGATCGCGCAGATCATGGAGAAAGAAATCCAGCGTCAGCGTGAATCCGTCGTCCTGATTGCCTCTGAGAACTTCACTTCTCGTGCTGTCTTCGATGCCCTTGGCTCGCCCATGTCTAACAAGTACTCTGAGGGTTACCCCGGAGCTCGTTACTATGGTGGTAACCAGCACATCGATGCCATTGAGCTCACCTGCCAGGCTCGTGCTCTCAAGGCTTTCAACCTCGACTCTGAGAAGTGGGGTGTCAACGTCCAGTGTCTCTCTGGTAGCCCTGCCAACCTCCAGGTCTACCAGGCCCTCATGCGCCCCCACGACCGTCTCATGGGTCTCGACCTGCCCCACGGTGGTCACTTGAGTCACGGTTACCAGACTCCCGCCAAGAAGTACGTTTACCATTCTAGTTATACATGTGAAAAAAGCAAATGCTAACCTGCTGTATTATAGGATCTCTGCTGTCTCCACCTACTTCGAGACTTTCCCCTACCGTGTTAACCTCGACACTGGTCTCATTGACTACGACATGCTTGAGCACAACGCTGAGCTCTACCGCCCCAAGTGCATTGTTGCCGGTACCTCTGCCTACTGCCGTCTGATCGACTACGCCCGTATGCGTAAGATCGCTGATAAGGTCGGCGCCTACCTAATTGTCGACATGGCCCACATCTCGGGTCTCATTGCTGCTGGTGTCATCCCGTCGCCCTTTGAGCACGCTGATGTCGTCACTACCACCACCCACAAATCGCTCCGTGGTCCCCGTGGTGCCATGATCTTCTTCCGCAAGGGTGTCCGCGGCTCCAACCCCAAGACTGGTGAGGACATTCTGTACGACCTTGAGGGTCCTATCAACTTTTCTGTCTTCCCTGGTCACCAGGGTGGCCCCCACAACCACACCATCACTGCACTTGCTGTTGCCCTCAAACAGGCTGCCAGCCCTGAGTTCAAGCAATACCAGGAGCAGGTTATCAAGAACGCCAAGGCGTTCGAGACCGAGTCTAAGCAGCTGGGCTACAAGCTCGTTGCTGACGGCACTGACAGCCACATGGTCCTTGTTGACCTCCGTGACAAGTCCTTGGATGGTGCCCGTGTTGAGGCTGTTCTCGAGCAGATCAACATTGCCTGCAACAAGAACTCCATCCCCGGTGACAAGTCTGCCCTCACCCCCTGCGGTATCCGAATTGGTGCCCCCGCCATGACCACTCGTGGCATGGGTGAGGAAGAGTTCAAGCGTATTGCTCAGTACATCGACCAGGCCATCAAAATCTGCAAGAGCGTCCAGGCTGAGCTCCCCAAGCCGGCTAACAAGCTCAAGGACTTCAAGGCCAAGGTTGCCTCCGATACCGTCCCTGAGATCCTCGCCCTCCGCAAGGAGGTTGCCGAGTGGGCCAGCGCCTTCCCTCTGCCCGTTTAAATTAGCTGGCATTGGTGATTTTGATTTTGTCTGGTTATGTATCACGTTTTCCTTCTCTTATTTCCTTTTGCATCTATTCTATTTCTCTTTTATTCAACATCATTGTTTGGGTTGCTAGAAAGGGCGAAAAATTGTGCTTTTCAAAGGGGTTTTGTACAGGGGTACCGGTCTGCTTTTTCAACCATACGCGGGTCATGGGATATGTATGGGATACGTTTATGCGAAACGAGTTTCTTCAACACAGCGACGGCTATTTGCATATAAAAGTTCAACCTCATATTTGGGGAATCTAATCAATTCATCTTGATCCTTCAGAATTCTTGTCTTGATTTGCACTAACTAAAGTAATGGACAAGTAGAAAGAGTAGAAATATACTTGTTCAGACACGTAAATCATGAAACCACCTGATAACTCATTCACAGATTATCCCTTCCCTGCTCAGACGAGGTAGTATCCTGGCCCTTCCACGACTGCACCATCAACGCAGCCACATTCTTTCCCATCAACGAACTAGTCTCCATAGTCGAGATAAAGCTCTCAATCCCACCCGTATACCAAATACTAGGTGCAACTTTGAGTTCCTCAAATGTCACCCGCGGATACAAGAACGGATACGGATGCCAGATCTTCTCATAGAACCAGCTGATATCAGGTTTGGGGAGGTCAGCGATTGTGGACTCGCTATTGACGGTAGTAGAGTTCTGAAATCCTAGGACTTGCGCAACAAACTCTCCTGTTGGTCGTTTCGGTGAGAAGATCTTGTAGACGTAGTGGCGTTCGTTGTTTGCTGTCTCGACGGTCCGTAGGGTACTGATACTCCAGAAACCTGCAGGTCCTACGCCTGGCTTTTCGGTTCCTAGGTTTGTTCCTCTGGGGAGCGTGGTGAGGATCGTTTCGGGTATTTGCTCGTTGGGACCCAAGCCGAAGAATTGCGGGGAAAGTTTGTGGGGCGAGGAAAATAGCGTCACATGGAGTGTGACATATGGGATTTCATCTGGGGTGTGTTCGAGTGGTGGGGAAATATGGATGTCGGAGTACTGCACGGGACCAGCGATGACGACTTCGTCAAAGACGTTACTGGAGTATTCCTGCTTTTTGTTTGCGTGGTCTTCCGAAACGGACTTGATGGTGAGGGTGCCATCGGCGTTGTTACGCTCGATAGACGTCACGGTAGTGTTGAGTTTGACATCTGCGCTGGATGACTTCAGCATCCCGTCGAATATACGCCAATTCCCGCCTTCGATGGAGACGGCTCCCTCTGCGGCCATACAGACCATGGTCTCCAAGCCGTGGATCTGTGGAAGATTCTGTCCATAGTTGACCCGTGTGCTGGCTTGGATGATTTCCCGGCTAAAATCAGCCGAAATGCCATTTCTCTCAAGGAAGTCCTCGCCAGGAGACGCAGTGGCATTCAGCAAGCCAACTTTCTCTGCTGCATCAGAGAGCGACTGGAACGGAAACATAGGCTCCTCGTAGAGCTGAAGGAACTTCTTAACGGTAGTCTTCATCAGATTCTGTGCCTTAATCGGCGCCAGCCAATACCGCCAGAGTATCTTGCCGATATTCCACCAGCTGCTTGTGTTCTGTAGCGTCACTACGAATTCCTTCCCGTCCCAGATGCCAATGCTATCTTCAGACTCCCTGGGCCGGGCGATATTGGTGCTCTGGGCTATCAGCCCGAGGTCCCTGGATGCATTCACGAGGTTATAGTTGACTTCCACGAAGATTGAAGCGCCTAGTTCAATAGGGTATGCTGGGTTATCGAAGACATCTACTGTTGTTGAGCGGCCGCCGATGTAAGAGGACCGTTCAAAGACAGTGATGTCAACGGGCGTTTGGGAGGACTCTGCGTATTTGCGCAGGAAGTAGGCATTGGATGATCCTGCAGCTCCGGCTCCTGTATAGTGTCAGTTGATAGCGCTTGGCCCTGTATGGAACGAATCTCACCGATTACTGCCACTCGTTTCGGGGTAGCTTCTGCCGTTGCATGTAAAGGTTGCTGGTCATCGGCGTTTATGAATGGAATGAGAAAAAATATAACTTGATATATAAGGAATAAACGAGAGAATAGCAAAGAAGTGGCGTATCTATGGAAAGCCATCTTGCCTAAGCTATCGATGAGCTACCGTCGACAAGTGACCTCATGAGGATCACAGCAGCTGTTCAGTATCAACGAGAATGACAACAACTTATAGGATAGTCATTCATAAAAGTTTAACGGAGATGAGAGTGAGACATGAAGATGAAGTTATTGAGAAGCTTATTGAGAGTCAATTGAAGCGACGGCGGTATGGCGTTGTATGCTGCCCGTTAGTATCACGCTATTCCCGATTTGGAATAGAGGCGGCTATCGCTTATCGCATTCTTTTTTTTTTTTTTTTTTGGAGGTCACCACCAATATACATCGAGGTATTTTGAAGCCTCTTCCCTCGAGAGAAAGGACATTCATACTTTACATCTCAGTCACATCTCCCGTCTGGGCAACACTAGCAACACAATGGATCCATACGACAGCGACTCTTCTCTCGAAGACGAGGACTTCACCGAGACCGCAACTCTCCTGGGCTACCCCTCAGAAGAACTCATAGAAGACACAATCAGTCATCTCGGAGGCTGGCCTGTACGTGGATTGACCCTCAAAACTTCAAAAATCGAATAAATATTACCCTTGTTAACATCTATCGCAGTCATGGCCCGACGACGCTACCCCACCTCCCGGCGAATTCGCCAACTGCAAAGTCTGCAATCGTCCCATGGCACTCCTCCTCGAATTGCACGGCGATCTTCCCGCTGATTTTCCAGCTGACGAGCGACGGTTGTACATATTTGGTTGTTCGAGGAAGGCATGTGTCCGCAAGCCGGGCAGTGTTAGGGCTCTGCGCGCAACGAAGAAGGTGAATATTGAGGAGCAGGAAGAGAACAAGGAGGCGGAGTCCGACGAGAGGAAGGAAGATGAAGCGCAAGAACCTACCCAGGCTCCTCCCAAGCAAGACTTGGGCGCTAGTCTGTTCGGAGCCGGCGCTCTCACCGGCAACATCTCTGCGGACGCTAATCCATTCTCGTCGCAGGCCGGCGACAGCACCAACCCCTTCGCAACACCCGCCCCCAGCACCGCACCAAAGCCCTCATCCACGGCAAACAACCTCTCTGAATCCTTTGCCGATAAAGTTCGCATCTCAACCCCCAACCAACTCCCCTCCACCCCGCCATCAAACTTCAAATTAACCACACCGCCTGAGGAATCCGGTCCCCTCACCCCCTGGCCAGACCAATCCGCCTTCCCCCCTCCATACCCGAACTACTACCTTGACGCCGACTACGAAACCCTCGACCGCACCCCGCCCCCAATCCCCGAAAACGTCACCATCGACAACTCCGAAGATCCCGCTGCTGCAGGCGGCAAAGAAGCCGAACTGAAAGATACCTTCGAGTCCGAGCTCGACAAGGCCTTCCTGCGCTTCTCCACCCGTCTCGCGCATAACCCGGAGCAAGTCCTGCGGTATGAATTCCGAGGAGAGCCATTGCTTTATTCGTACGTCGATGAGGTCGGGAAACGTCTTTACCACTCGCACCACCAAAATCAGGGCCATGTAAAGACCGCCGGTGGTACCAGCAAGATCCCCCGCTGCGAATACTGCGGCACCGAGCGTGTGTTCGAGCTGCAGCTTGTGCCTCATACGATTAGTGTCCTGGAAGATGGGCGGGAGAAGTTGGGGCTTGATGTTAAGGAGGATGGGGGGATGGAATGGGGGACGATTATCCTGGGCGTTTGCGGGAAGGATTGTGGGCCGAAGGAGGTTGGTGTTACGGGGTGGAGAGAGGAGTGGGCCGGAGTACAGTGGGAGGAATTGATGAAATGATTTCTTTTGAGTCCTCATAGAGTACGGTGGACATACAAGTACATAGATATTTGCTTATGATTATGATATTGATTGAAAATGATACACCGGTTTGTCTAGCAACTGTACCATGGAGGTAGTATTGAAAAAATAAAATTCGTGGAGATTGCTACGCAGTATACTACGATAAAAAATGTTCCAGGTCCTCAATGGACGTGTGCCATCTCAGCATCAAGAGATACTCAAAGACACAAATCTAGTACGTCGCTGGCCAGAGTGAAAACTTTCCTCAATATCAGCACTTCTTCGGCACAACCACAGTCATTGGAAGGACTGGATTGCAATTTGACATCCGTGCTAAGCAAAACGCGAAAAGCGAATACCCCAAAAAGTTGTTGAAGATGTTTCAAAAAACTTCGTTTCTTCCCCAAATCTATCACAATGGTATGCGACACAAGTAAAACGCCAATTGCGCCGGCAGCCTCCCTCCAATTCTGATCCCCGTATCGTCATTATTTTGGTTCTCTGGACTCGTTCATGGACGTCATATACACATGCTTTCTTCCAGGTAAAGCAAAAGAAAAGTTAGAAAGTGAAGGGAAAACAAAACATAGCTCTTTCGGTGGCGAAGATAAGGTATCAGCACAGAGGAAAGAAAAAAGGACAAATAATTTTTACATGTCAGAAAATTAGGGAGATAAAAGAGAAAAAGAGAAAAGAAAGGGTTTATGCAGCCTGCTCAAACCCCCGTCTGAGCACACGGCCGAACTGCTCGATGCCGACGCGTTCACTCTTGACTTCACTGCGGGCCTCGTTCTCTTTGTTGGTGGGCACCTTGACAACAACACTGGAGCCGGACTTCTCGATCTCCCAGTTGCAGACCTCAGTGACGAACTTCTCAAGAGCTTCGCCATTTCTCAGGTCAAGCCATGCCTCGAGCACATCGGCGTCAATCTGGCGGAAGGTCTTGCCAACCTCAATGGCAATGCGGATGCGCACGAGCTCCTCAAACCCGGCGACATCAGCAACAAGGTCTGCGTACAAATCATCCGAGTTCAGGGTCGACCAGAACTGGGCGTATTGTGCAGACTCGAGGAGAGTGGAGAGGCGGGCAAGCTTTTGAACGGATTCGACAAAGTCGGATGTTTGAGAGGTGTTTTGTGCTTCTGCGAAAGGCTGGGTGTGTGCGGGAAGGAGAGAAAGGCAGAGAGAGAAAGCCGGAGAGGGGAAGACGGTGAGAGCCTTAGCGAGGACGTTGGTGACAACCTCGGGCTGGAGGAGATGAGGGTTGAATTGGTATCTAATAAGTCACGCAGGTTAGCACATGAAATTCATACATCCAGATGCTATAGGCTTCAATGCATTTGCAAATCAAAGGGCCTTTCTCAGCGCCATGGAATATCAACATTATCCCGAGGGCTTATTCTGTCGGGAAAAGAAGACAAAAAATTTAAATCCACTTCATCATAAAAAGGTCCAAGACTATTTTATAAGGGAGGGAGGGAAAAGGAGGGTAAAAGCTCTCAATCGCTTCCAGCCAGGCTTAAAAACAGCCCACAGCCAGCCAGCGAGAGAGCTACCAAATATGGACAAAACACACACAAAGGTAAAAACAGGCAAAGGGAAGACTCACAGCTTCAAAAGAGCCAGGTTAGCATAGCAGTCAAACGTCCGTTCCTCACACTGCTGAGAAACATAGTCCTGGAATACTGTCGTAGTCTCTGGGTTGTATCTGTCGAGGCCGTTGAGGATGGCTTCAATGTGAGCCGGCCGTGTCTCGCACTTGTCAAAAGTGACACCCATTTTGCCCTTTTTATAATGTCAGGTGCTTTAATTAATTAATTCTTAGTGATTTCTTCCCCTTTTTGTATGATATTCAGGTCAAATGAGGCGGGGAGGGCGAGGGTGAAAGAGAGCGGGATGAAGGTGTGTCGTTTTGTTCTTGTGTGGTGCGAATTTTCGAGGTGGTGGTGCGGTCGGAGCGGAATAAGCCCTTTCCGGCAGGTTTTTCCGGTGGTCAGGTGACCTGATGGCGGAGTAGTTTTCCTGCACCTCACAGCTCTCTCTCTATGCAAGAGAATATGCTAGCTTTCATTATATCTGAGCATACGCCTAAGTATTAGATCTCGATTCCCGCTAAATAGCTCGTAATGCGCAATGCCCATGGTGATCATCTCCCTTTCCACTCTGCAACTTAGGGCTTGGCACAAGACTCGCCTATATACATGCAGCATGATGTATAAGTGTAAAGTGAAAGCCAGCGATGATTAAAATTTCTGATGTATTCAAGAAGAAAGTGGTATGCTTGTACAATTATGCATTTTTTTGATAGTATCCACATGGCGAACAAACGCATCACCCAAGATCTACCTGCGGTACAAATATATATCCAAGACATTACTGCACTTTGTCCATACCCAAGCGAGTAAACACCACAACACCGGAACATGAACTTTAAAAAGTCAATTGACATCATTACCATCGCCAAGTCCAACATCACATGTAATCACATGTCGTTAACATGGTAAAGGATGAGCTTAAATTTCTATCATAGTACAGACAGAGCAGTCGCAAAAAGCGGGCCGAACCTAGCGAAGTATGTCTGAATACGGAGTACAACTGTCCGATTCTGAGTGACGGAGTACTCCGTATTCTACCATCCGAGACAGACGACATACAATCTGTACGGATGCTCTGCAAAGCCAAGTTAGGATAACATCATATCCGATCTGACATTTGGTTCACATGTGGCACGAATTGAGTTCACGCATGACTTCAGCCGACAGATTTTCGACGTCAAACTAGCTGTAGTACTTGATGTACCAAAACTTTACTTTTTTTGATGAGGATAAGGACTGGGTAGATCCATATTCATGACCCAAAGGAAGAAAAAAACGATATAAAATACATTGGCTGGAGAAGCGCGTCGTCGCCTTCGTGACGGCATTCGTATCATCATGAGCGCTCGCGTTCCAGCAAAATTAAGAATAGAAATGAAACGAAAGAAGAGAAAAAATAAAAAATAAAAGAATCGCTAGCCCCGCAAAAGTACGCTTGACAATGAAAAGACAAACTCCGGTCCCATGTCTAAAAGACGCCATAGTCTATACCAGATCCCCCATCAAAAAAGACCCAAACCGTATGCGATACAGAACACTGTCAAAAAAAATCGGAAGTTGGACAAGTACAAAAGTGGTCATTACTCGAACAGAGGTAATGATGGGGCCAGTGTTGGAGGGCCCAAAGAGATCAGACAAGTTGAGTAGGAGTATGTATGTCGAGGGGTTCAGAGAAAAAAAAAAAAAAAAAAAAAAAGAGACGGATCTATGCGATAACCGTTCGACGCGGTGCAATTGGGATCGGCTTCGGACTAGAAATTTCCAGCGTGGATAATCCAAGGTCATCATCTTGTTTCTCTTGTGTTTGGCCTTTCCCGTTGGATAAGGAAACACGCCGCTGCGTAAAAGTCTCATCGTCTCGTACAGTACTGCAAACAAATTGGTCCTCTGAAATAGGAGCACCCCCGAACATCGCACCCAATTGCTGGAGAAGAGCGGTGAGATTTGCATGTAGTTCAGCAAAAATGTACGGATTCCCGGCGATTTCGGCTAGATTTCGTGCGCGAATCTGACCGAGGCGGCGGGGCTGGCCGTCTGGGTCCAGAGCACGGCCGGTCAGAAACGAAGAGACCGGAGTGTATTGACGGCCACCAGCCCGGCTGGCACCGTTTTGTTCCTCCTCGCGGCGCTTTTCTTCTTCTTGGTAATTCTCTGCTGAGCTGACGATGCTCGCGGCGATGCGGCCAAAAGCCCGCCAGATGATTGGACATGCGCGGAATGCTCGTCCGGCGTCTTTTCCGGCAAGGGCCACCAGGGCATAGCTGCGCCGTTTCCCGCGCGCCATTGGGTCGGGAAGACGGAAGATGTAAGCAATCGTGTAGCCAGCGACGGAGTCACCAAAGCAAATAGGGCCAGATGATAGACCGCGCGGCAGAAGTTCGCAACTGAGTGTGCGGATGGAAGAGCGTCTCAGGAGAGCATAATCAGCGGGGTTAGGTGGACCGCGCAAAGAGAGGTATGTAAGCATGTGAGTGTGGCAAGAGGACGAAGCATCTGATGCGACAGAGGAGGAATGCATGGAGTCGGAAAAGGAGGTCTGAGTGTCGCGAGCGTTGTCGTCATAATCGCCGTGGCTATTCCCGCAGGAGTAGACTACCTCGCGGGATCGAAACACGGGGCTTCCATTTTTCCCTTTACCATCATCTGCAGTAGTACCGGGTGCGCCAGGCGGAAGCTGTTTGCTCAATTTCTCAGGAAGGGTCAAGCTGCAACTTGCGCAAGTATCCCCACCATCAGGGCCAGGGCCAGCACGACTGGGGCGCTCTTTTGATGGCTCAGCAGGAGCGGGGTTGGGGTTGCTTTTCATAAAGTAGGGATGATCTTCAATCTTGGGTGTCGCAGATGTGTCTGCGGAATCTTCATCTTGTTTGGTATGGGAGGAGGAAGGAGGTTTGGTATCATGGGGAGTGGCGGGGGTATCGTCGGAGGAAAGGTCGTATTTATCGGGAAAACATTGTGAACAGGAGAAGGGGAGGACTTGGGAACAGATGATCGAGGTAGGGCCATGCACCTCGCAAAAATGCGTTAAGGAAAGCTGTTGCGATAAAGGCTGTTAGAATTGGGGATATCCCAGAAAGGAGGAAGAAGAGAGGCATGCGACGCGACGACTGCTCCCACAGATGAGGAGACAAGGTACTCACAATGAAATCCATCTCCGCAGATAATTACGGTCTAGCAGGATCAAAGCAGCATATTAAAACACTGTCACGATACATGCTTTTCACGCAGGGCTGGAGAGGAGAGGACGGGTCAGAATGGTGACGATGATGCAAGTACCGCGGAAGAAAAGTGGCAATAATAGTAAGCCGGACGGGAAGAGTGGAGAGTAGAAGGTAGAATAATAAAAAGAAAAAGAATAGATTTTGAGGAGAATTAAAGAAAATAGCGTGTTATGCAATCCTGCGTAAAGAAGAAAAAAGAGAGCAAAAAGCGGACAGTACTTCGTACAGAGTTAAAAAAAAGTACTGGCAGGGAGTACGAGGAAAAAGAACCCCCCCCGGGGAATCGATCGATCGATGGATCAATAATCAATCACTATCACACTGCAGGAGTCCTGTACAAGTGTGCAAGAGATGCAGGTGATTGGAAATGTGGAATTCCAAACCCGAGGAATAATGAAACAACGGATCTGGGGGAATGTTCTTCTTTTAAATCAGAAAAAAAGGGAAAAAAATAATAAATAATATGGGATTTCAGAAGAGGTTAAGTCGGAAGGGGTCTCGGTGGGGATTGAACCGGTCGCAGTAGGAGAATAAATAATATTATTAGTCTGGTCAGAGCCCATAAGCAATTAAACCACTGATATAACAATACTAATAAAACAATACCGGAGAGCGAAAAGGAAATAAGTCTACCTCCCGGTGAGGTTTCGGTCTATTCTCTCTGTAACAGGCCGGGGTAGCGGTGGCGGCTGTCCTCGTGCCGCAAACGTATACAAATCCTACAGAGTAGTAGTAACTCCCATCTTTCCGATTTGTCTGCCCACAAATCCGTCGGAATGAATCTTGTTCTGGTCATCTTCCGAAAATGGCCATGCGGAGAGTTACTCGATATTGTCTCGTTCGTTCTACGATTATCCCGAGGAATGCCGTTCCATCTAGCCGGGCTGGGATAGACAGGAGTAAAGGATCAGCAGGAATGGGGCCGGTATTATTGGACATTTGGTCATGACATACAGAACACTTGATATTTCATACATCGATCGTCTTCTGTTAAGAACAACAACAGGCAAGCAGACACACGACACTGAACTACAGTACTCCACGTGGCGTTCGTTGCCCTGGATCCCAGTACCCAATCCGGTAATTTCCACGTTTTGTACATTTCTCTATGAATAACTCGTAAGTACTTTATCCTTAACTTCTGTCTTTTGCGCTCTCTACGCTGGTCTGTGCATATTCAACGGTTATTGACAATTTTAACTCGGTTCATCGGTTCGGTACGGAGTACTCTCAACAATAGTATCTACTCCGTTGACCATAGCTCCCTGCATTTCATCCTTCGTCTTGTTGCTAGTGCTAGATAGATATACACAGGTCAGGCACCAATATCTCCGTGTCTCGCTTCGGTTCCCACTTGCTAGCCTTGGATTATTAACAGACCTCTTCCAGAACCGGCCTCGAACGGCACAGGCTGAAAGAGAGTTTGCCCCGTCGGTTTCAGTCCCGCCGGGCGTTGGGCTAAGGCTTAGTGTGTTCCGTCCTGGCGCTAAGAGGCACAACCAGTGCAAAATGCATTGACAATCGCTTTTCTTTCATTGTTGCTGACTGATATTTGGGTCGGATAAAACTCGCGTCATTGATCATCCGGCTAATACTCGGCCGAATTTGGATATTCCCGAGGTTATATCCGCTTTTCTGTTTGTATAAGCATAAGCATTCGGGTAGTGCTGCTGTTGGAGACACATAAACAAATACATCCGTGAAGCCTAGAGATGAGTACGAGTCAGTAGTTACCCCTGAGCTGTACGGAGTACATAGTACTATTGCACTCTGCATGAAATCCTCTACTATGTACAGAGTGCAGTGTACAGCCCCATCTCACGTGGCTTCACATGACATTTAACTGCAATATCAGTCCCGTGCTTGTATGTATTCCGGCCCTCCGGTCAAGAACCCCGTCGCATCTGCATAATCACATATCCATGTGAATTCCCTATCTTGAGACAATTCCACACTGAATATGCCTCAAAGTAGTACCTCGTATCTCGCCATGACTGATCACATCCACTATCCTGGTCCAAGGTACTTCATGCATGTACGGTGTGCAAGCCCAGAAAAGCAATTATCTAGTTCTATATCACCGGACCAGATCAGCATCCCTGTGAGGCTCTCGTATCGAGATAGATTCATCTTTATTTGTTAGAATAGTGCGGAGTACTCCGTGTTATATGCCTGGACTGAACCATGTTTGTTATGTACGCCGCCTAGTCCATCTCACTCCCACTTCCGGGATACGCCTTCTTCCGCAGTTTCCATAGCGAGCGTTCTCGTTGCGCCACCTCGCGCTGCCGTTTCCCGTCGTCTTCGATGACTGTCATCCATGGCGCCTGGCTCGCTCGTCGGATGCGCTCTTGCAGTTTGTCTCTTATTTGCGCCTGCTGTTTTACATCCGTCACGGCCAGTGTCGCGCCGTCCTCATCATCATCGTCACTATCACTCTTTTCTTTTTCCTCCTCGTCATGCTTGGCTTTCCGCACCTGGGCCACGCGACGCTGGTGGCGTTGCGCTGTGGCTCGCGCGGCATAGTATTCCTCACTGACCGCCCAGTTGGGGTTATCCAGTTGTCCGCGGACAAGGACGATTCCATGCCCCTGTTGTATAGCATGACGGATCTGGACCCCGGGAATAGGCGTGACGAGTTCGAGTTTTCGGGAGTTGGTGTTGATGGATCTGACTAGTGCTAGGCCCAGACAGTGGGATGCTTTAGGGTCGAGCGGGCTGCAGCTGCCGGAGCCGACGAATAGGTATGGGAGATCTTCATTTGCAGTGCGCGCGACGTAGGTTTCCATGCTAGTTCTTGCGTTGGGGGTGGCGGGTCGTCTGAGCGCTGAATGTGTTGAGTCGTCCATTTCAATATCAGATAGATCGTCTTCGTTTTCTACAGCTGCATTTGGTGGGGTTTCATTCCATAGAGAAGTGTCGGTCTCGCCCATGATTGGGTTGGGGGTTTCCACCGCTACAACGCCAACAATGCTTCCGTCGAGAGCGTCGTGCAACATATTAGGCTGGATTTCTGAGCCCATAACCATGATACCTCGAATTCCTTGCCGCGGGCCGGCATAGTCGACGAGCATGGGCCGCGCGCGCGACGTTGGCGTGTCAAGCCACAACGGGTTCTGCACTGCTTCCGGCCGAGTCTTGTGGAAGTACGACTGGACCTGCATCGTGCGCAGCTGCGCGCTTGACCTGCTCACGAAATCTGTAGGTTGCGATGGCAGCGTAACCAGGGGAATCCGTGCTTCGTATGCGGCTTGACCGAGGGGCTCGACCACTTCAGCTGGTCCCTTTTCACTCATGTATACGACATCTGATAGACCAAGGGACCTCACAAGCCACGTTGCAACCTCCAACCCAAGTCCAAAAATCCAGCCAGGATAGTTGATGATCAAGGGGCATTGCGGGTAGCTAGCCAATAAACCTCGATACCGGTCCATCAGGTCCATAGCGGCAAGTACGTAGTGGTCTGGGTCTTCCTTTGGTGACGTTGCACCAATGTGATGTGCCCGAACTATAGATGCATCTGCAGGATTATCGAGCGACGGGTGAGTAAACGGGGGGCCAAAGAACGGCGAGCGTAAATGCGCCAGGTAAACCTGGCCCATGGGCGAGAACTCTGGCTGCCCAGGGTCCAGGTCAAGGAATGCCACACCGTCCGCGCTGCTGCGGGCACCTTCGGTCTGTGGTGCTGGACTGAGGAGGTGGTTCAGGAGGTAGCGACTAAAAGTGGATTTTCCCGATGCTTTGGGACCGCAGACCAGCGCTCGAAGCTGTCCGCCTCGCTGGGAAAGGTGCTTGATTGAAGAGCTCCACTGTTTCTCGAGGTGAAGGGGCCTCAAGTGCCGTTTCAGAGAGTCCTCTGCAGACGTATACAACTAGACAGGGTTAGATCTCCCAAATCGACTGACCTGTGACTAGGGGACTTACCACTGAGAATGTCCTCTTGTGATTCGCTGGTGCATTTTTCAATGTGAGCTTATCGGCGGACGTATTATTTCCATTCCATACCCGTTGATACAATGGCGAGATATCACGTAGACGATAGATGCCGCTATGGCAAGACTTGACTTCGATTTCCGCCTCGCCCTCCACACCCGCAACGCATTTGATCACAGGCAACGAGTGTGTCGAAGGGGCGAAGACCCGATATACCCGAGGCGAAGGGTGTAGCTTTGCACCCATCAAGCTGACCACTCCTCGCTTTACCCAGAGGTCGTAGTGTCCGAGCAGCGTGAGGTTCTGGACAATGTCAGTGTTGTACATCTGTGCCATTGAGACTGCTTCACCGTACCATCTTCTCTTTTATGCGGACACAGAGTTTATTTTCATCGTTGTAGACGATATTGTTCTTGTTCAAGCGTGTCTTGGAGAGAGGGAAGTTCTGGATCTCGTCAGGTATTTGCGTCGTCGGGGATTCATATCTGCAATTGTTAGCCGGTCATACCAGAATATATACCATATATATCATACCCATCAGCATCACCATTAATCGAAGCAACAGCATCATCAGGATTCGCCTCCATGACACTCGTCTGCTCAATCTCCGATTCTATCTCAGGCGGAGCCTGGACCTCCTTGACCGCACGAGTTTCCTCCCTAGACTTTGACATTGTATCCACAGACTTCTTGGCCTTTCCCGAATCCTTCTTTTTGCGCAAAGCCAGTCGTTTCTCACGATCATCCTCTCCCACAACAGACTGGGACGTACTCTCTTTCTCTTTCTCGGACCAACGTCGCGCCTTCTTAGACGGGGGTTCTCCTTGTGATCTAAGCTCCAATGCCTTATTCACCGTAATCGCGACATCTTCCTGCTGCGAATGCTGCTGCTGCTGCTGCCGAGCTTTGCGTGCTGCGAATGCGCTAACCGGTGCTGTTGGTGCTGCTAGAAAAAATCAAGTTAGTTTCTTGCAAGTCACCATACGCGAACAACAGGGAGACGGGACTGTACCGGCTGATTGTTGCTTTTCTGCTTTTCGTTTCATTTTGTCTTCTTTGGAATTGAGGCTGTGGCCTCCAGAATGCTTCATGGTAAAATGTGACCGGCGACTATTTTTGCGATGATAATATTTCATCGGCGGGTCTTTGGCGATGGTGGTCTGTGCTTCCGCAGACAGAAAAAAAGTTATCGTCTCCGACAAGCAACTTCGCAACAAACGGGCCCGACTGGACTTTGTCTAAGCTAGGAGCAATTATATTAATTTTGCTTTGATATTACTTTCTATATTCATCTTTGAATTGGCCTGGGACATTCACACCCAAAACTTTCTGCGAATTTTTGGCTCTCCGCATCATCGCAGCGGAAGCAATTTTTTCTTAACTTTACGACTGCAGCTATACCTCAAAACACACTTTCTTGATAAACATAATGGCTGTGGCCAAGCAAGAGTCCAGATCGTCATCGCCGGCGTCGGAAAGCGAAGAGAGCGGGTCGAGCAGATCGTCGTCTCCGGCCAACGTGAAGCAGGAGGCCGAAGAGTCGTCCAGCGGAGAATCAGAGTCGGAAAGCGGATCAGACGCCTCCAGTGAGAGCGGCGAGAGTGGTAGTGAGAGTGAAAATGAGAGGGAGGCCTCCCTGAAGGAGGAAGAAAAGAGCGAGGAACCTACCAGGAAGAAGTAAGAAAGAAACTATGGGATTGGTGGTTGGGTCCGCGACTAACATATTCTGCTTGAAAAAGGTCTAATATCTCGTTTATCGAACCGCAAGCCTTCAAACCACCATTGGGCTTCAAGTCCGCGAAAAAGCAGTCCTCATCCTCCAACGTCTCATCCCTCCTCTCCAACCTCCGCGGCAAGCAGGTCTTCCATATCACCGCCCCATCCTACCTCCCTATCTCAAAAGTGAAAGACATTTCGTTAGCCAAGGTCATGCAAGGCGAGCCGGTATTGAAACATGACGGCGTGAATTATGGGATACCGGCGGACAGCATCAGCCAAGGCGAAACGGACGGAAAGACACTCTTTCTTCACGACTCGAGGACCCAGAAATACCACAGCACGCCTGCGAATAATGTCCAAAGCTACCACGTTCAGGAGTTGATCAGTATTCCGGAGAGCAATGGCCCGGCATCGATTGCGGCGCAGGACTACGAAAAGCCCCCGAGGACACAACCCAAGAACCTGAAGATGCGCTTCCGGCCCGTGGGAAGTGGAGACGGACCCGCGGAGACGCTTGGTAGCTCCGAATCAGAGGAGGAGGACGAGAAGCCGAAATTCAAGGTTCCCAAGGGGTCTTCTGAGAAGGAAGAGCGGAAGCGGAAACACCACCACACTGAAGGAGACAGCACTCAGGCAACTGCGGCTCCCCGGAAGAAGTCGAAGAAGCATTCATCTGGTGATAAGATGGACGTCGACGAGAAGACTGAGAAGAAGTCCAGCAAGAGTAAAGATGAGAAGAAGCGGAAAAAGACGGAAAAGGCTTGAGCGTAGCTCTTGTTTGGACATTTCATCTGTGCTTCCAAAAGTTGATATAGATGGGGATTGCTTGTATCTTACTGCATCATGGCGTATGAAATGGTTGATTTTTAGTTGTAAAGTACTGTACATACCTAGTCTGCTAGAATGCATCGGCTTATTCAGACTTCTACTCCGTAACTACTGACTCTGGTATCTAAACTCCATATCAGACTCTCATATCGGCCCACCGTATCGGGTCGATCATTCTGATATGATCCAACCCAGTCTCCATACATTACCCACGCAGTTAGATCAGATATAAGACAATGGAGCCAGCATACTTGTATTCTCAATATACAGCAAAACATACAACCCCAAAGTATCACAAATATGCAGAATGATACTGTAACTTACAATGTAAGTTACAACACCATAAATGTTGACTCAGCACACCAAAAGTGGCGCAATCTATGATTGGCCCAATCCCCATCTTCAATCACATGCGTATTACGTGATTGGTCCGTTGCCGCCTCCACCCGAGCAGCAGCTGATACAGGCGAGTGACGCCGTTGTCACCCTGTCGATTTCCTCAATGTATTTTCTTTTTTCCTCTTCGTTGTTATTTTGGTCACCGGCTTTTTTTGGCTTGTCTTCATTCTTGTCGTGTCCGAAAGATGTCTTCCTTGGTGGTGTATTAATCATTGTCCGTCTTATCCGTCTCCCTTTCTGATAACTGAGTCTCCATCTTTCAACGGTGGTGGCTTATCATTTAGCTACTAGCAAGGTGTCTGTGAATGCCATCGTGAGTACATTTGCTTCTTTATGTGTTTCTCTCGACGAATAGTATCCAAGCTAATGGACTGCGATCATATGCTACACAGCCTTACCAGGTTCTTCTTTGTTGCCGCATCTGACTTGTTCGTCGCCAATACAAGATCGCATACCGCTCAACTAACTCCCTTCGATCGTAGCCAACACCTGTTCGTGCCTGTCACCTGGCTACGTCAGGATTTCTTTCGGCCTGTACTATATCTCTATTTGTGTATCATCACTCACCTTTCTTTACCACTACCCTGGCCATACTTCCTCCACGATGGCGCTTCGGGACGATACGAAAGGACGACTAGAGCAGCGGCTCAGTCCCGGCAAGAAATCGAAATCTACAACCCGTCTTTATTCACATCCCTTACCGGAACGACTGAAACACGACGGCGATGATGCACAGGTTGACTTTACAGCTCCTCCTGGTGTTTCTGGGTCGAAAGATGGTCACATGCACTACATGCAACAGTCGATATTCTCCATGATTGCTGCTGTCGGTTCTAGGTCGGATTTCCACACGCGGTTTGACGAATCGAGTGAGAGCGAAGGAGAAATAGAAGAACGTCAGCAGAAAGACGGATCGTCGGATAGACAAAGGAAAGCTGGGATACCGGAGAAAGAGCTACAGAGTACATTGGAGGAGCGAGGGCGAAGTCATCGGAGAACGACATCGGAGAAAAAGCTCTTGAGTCCTCTTGAGAGACTAAATCTCAAGCACGGAGGAGGGAACATGTCTGCCAGTCAGACGGTGGGTTCGCCACCAAGGCGACCCCGGAGTGCAACACCCAGAGCAGCCCCGGTACTTAGCCGGATGGTGGAAGCGAAATCACGCCTCGAGAAAACACCGTCCACAGAACGTCTACAGCCAGAACCCAAAGACAACACACAAAACGACACCGAACAGCAGTCTGCGTCGCTGCTGTCAACGCGTTTGATGGAAATGTTTGGCTTCCAGAAGCCAGAAAAGGTGGTTGTCGAGTACGCCTGTGCTTTGCTGCAGAGCATGCTCTTACAAGGTTATATGTATGTCACTGAAGGGCATATTTGCTTTTATGCCTACCTTCCCAAGAAATCGACAGTTGCCATCAAATCCGGGTATCTCTACAAAAGTGGCAGAAAAAGCCCTAAGTATACCCGATATTGGTTTTCATTGAAAGGAGACGTCCTCTCCTACTATGCAGACCCGTCGAACCTTTACTTCCCCAGCGGACACGTCGACTTGCGATATGGGATTTCCGCGTCGTTATCTGAAAAGGACAAAGGGAAAGAAACGAGGGACTTCCAAGTCACCACCGATCAGCGGGCATACTACTTTAGGGCAGACAGCTCTGCTAATGCTAAGGAATGGGTGAAAGCTCTCCAGAAAGTCATCTTTCGAACCCACAATGATGGCGACAGCGTTAAGGTGTCATTCCCAATTGAGAACGTAATAGACATCGAGGAGAGTCCTATGGCGGAGTTCGCGGAGACGTTGAAGATCCGAGTGCTCGACAGTGGTGACACGTATGCAATTGACGAGGTATGTAGCATTTACTTGGTAAAGCAATTGGTGTTTAGTGACTAATAATCTATAGTACTTCTTCACATTCTTCGAGTTTGGCCAGGAAGCTTTCGAATTTTTGAAAGGTCTGGCTAGTGAAGCGTCAAGCAACCGTGCTTCGCAGCTCCCATCGCCCCAGCGAGACCATGCCCAGAAGAGACTGTCAGTAGCCAGTGGGACTGGACTCCCAGATAATGACCAAACTGGCAGGCGCCGGAGGAGCGTGAGTGGAAGTCATTTCAGTAGTGTCGGCCAAGGCATACTAGACAAGTCCCCGCCGGTAAAACAGCAAGACTCGTCTGGGCTGTTTGGCAGTTCTATCGACCAAGAGAGTGAGTCACCTTTTTGGCACTCAAACACAGTGGAATCTGCAAGCCAGATCCTAAACCGCAGTGATGTCTTCCAAGCCCCTACGATACACAGCCTGGGAAGGCAGCCTTCTGATGCAGAGGGCGTTACTGGTCGTCGGTACTCTGATGATACAGCTCGTTTCACTTCCCCACACGCCAGTCATTCATTCTCTCCAAGAAAGGACGACTACGAAGCTCAGGACAGCGGGCTCGATCATACCGCACAAGATCCTACCAAGGTCCAATCATCTACTGCCTCATTGAATGAACTGGTGAAAGTTGGTGTCTATCCTCTCCAGCGCGCTGCAGGGCTTGCCGGATATCTAAGAACTCGATCAAAAGCGATGAGCAATCTTTTGGCAACCGAGTCGATGGGTTATCTTGAAAAGGTCTCTGGAATGTGGGTCGGTGGTGGAAGGCATTACGGCGAGAGGGAGGGAATTATTTCAGAGGACCAGGCTGTTGATCCCGAAGACAAGGAAGATGGCTGCAAATACGGTGACCGTTTCCGCGCTCACTTTGCCCTACCACCGTCGGAGAAGCTCCAGGCTACCTATTATGCATATCTGCATAGGGTGCTCCCGCTTTATGGCAAAATCTACATCAGCCAGAAGAAGCTTTGCTTCCGCAGTCTTATCCCAGGCACTCGAACGAAGATGATTCTGCCACTTAGGGATGTTGAAAATGTGGAGAAGGAGAAAGGGTTTAGGTTCGGCTATCAGGGACTTGTGGTCATCATTCGGGGCCATGAGGAGCTTTTCTTTGAGTTCAACACGTCTGACTCTCGAGACGACTGTGCGGTGACCCTTCATCAGCATCTCGAGGCTGCGAAGTTCTTGATGGAATCCGGTATTCTTGCGGAGCAAGAACAAGACGGATCGGAGGCTGCACAGGCCGAACATCTCATGCTACAGGAAGCTAGGCTTGGTGGTGCAGACGAGCTTGAATCGCGTGGATCGCTAAACGGCTCTTCAGAGCTCAATCCGATTTTTGATGATCCTCGTGCATCGATAATTAACTTCAAACCCACTGAGTCGTTGAGAATCACATGTTTAACTATTGGTTCTCGTGGAGACGTGCAACCATATATTGCCTTGTGTAAAGGGTTTATAGCAGAAGGGCACAGGCCCAAGATCGCAACGCACGCAGAGTTTGAGCCCTGGGTGAGAAAGCATGGGATTGACTTTGCTCCTGTTGATGGAGATCCAGCTGAGCTCATGCGCATTTGTGTGGAGAATGGGATGTTCACATATTCATTCCTTAAGGAAGCATCGTCGAAGTTCCGAGGATGGATTGATGATCTCCTGTCATCTGCGTGGGCAAGCTGTCAGGACAGTGATCTTTTGATCGAATCTCCAAGCGCGATGGCAGGAATACATATCGCGGAAGCGCTTCAGATTCCTTATTTCCGTGCATTCACTATGCCTTGGTCGAGAACACGGGCATATCCCCATGCGTTTGCTGTTCCGGAGAACAAGCTAGGCGGTGCTTACAACTACATCACGTACGTGATGTTTGATACCGTATTCTGGAAGGCAATTGCAGGACAAGTGAACAGATGGAGGAATAACGAGCTCGGCTTAAAGGCAACTACTCTGGACAGAATGCAACCAAACAAGGTCCCGTTTCTCTACAACTATTCGCCATCGGTTGTCGTGCCGCCTCTCGACTACCCGGATTGGATCCGCATCACCGGCTATTGGTTTCTCAGCGAAGGGTCCGATTGGACGCCACCAGCGGAGCTTACTGAATTTATTCAACGTGCCCGTGCAGATGGTAAAAAGATAGTGTATATCGGATTCGGGTCGATTGTCGTCTCAGACCCACAAGCGCTGACGCGGACTGTCATAGAGTCCGTCCAGAAGGCTGATGTTCGCTGCATCCTTTCAAAGGGATGGTCAGATCGTCTTGGAGACCCTGGCAGCGTGAAAGTGGAAGTTCCTCTGCCGACTGAGATCTTTCAGATACAGGCTGCACCGCATGACTGGCTATTTTCGCAAATCGATGCTGCTGCCCATCATGGCGGGGCTGGAACGACGGGGGCAAGCTTGCGCGCCGGTGTCCCGACGATTATCAAGCCGTTCTTTGGCGACCAGTTCTTCTTTGGAACTAGGGTCGAAGACTTGGGCGTGGGCATTTGCATGAAGAAGTTGAATGTCAGCGTGTTCTCGAGGGCTCTATGGGAAGCCACTCATAGTGAACGAATGATTGTCAAGGCCCGTGATTTGGGTGCACAGATACGAAGCGTAAGTTTTACCTCTGCTATCTGAAGATGAATTTTTGCTAATACTTTCTTACAGGAAGATGGAGTTGGCACTGCCATCCAAGCCATATATCGCGATCTTGAATACGCCAAAACCCTTGCCCGACAACGCTCGATCGCATCATCCACCCCCTTCTCACCGAAGCCATCTCCCAAGAACGCGGACGAACCAGAGGCTAGCGACGATCTTGATGACATCGAGGAATGGACCTTTGTTGGCGATGATACGGACATTGACATCTCCAAGAGAATGCGGGATAGAGCCATTTCCGACATTGATATGTTGCCGGGTCGGTTGCATGAGAACATTGGAGTTGGGGAGTCTTAGTTCTATGACTCTTCCAATGACTGATTACTCGCAAAACTGGTCCATTGATTTTGTGCGATGGACATAACGATTTACGACATGAACATTATGTTATAGTTGTTTCTTTTTTGTCGATTTTTCTTTTGTTTGGAAGCAGGCCTAGATCTTCTGAACTTTAGCCTTTATTTCATATTGCATACAGAGCGAGTTGGGAGTTTTGCGGCCCTCCTCTTCTCTTCTTTGTTTCACGTTTTGATTGAGTGGTTATTACCACAATGCCCTGCAAGATTGATATTGACGCATGATGATGACAAATTGGGTTGATACATGGTGGCTTCATTTCTGTTTTCGATGGTGCAGCAGTTATTTACAATTCATAATTGGATACTTTCTCATTCCTTGCGTTGTGTTGGCATGCTTCGGTGTATGGCTAGGTCCTTGTATCAACACAAGACCGATTTATATCCACTATAGTGTTTTTATGGCGTTGAACAATAATATCCGACTTCAACCAAATTAGTGCTGTAATCTGATTTGATTATGTCTATCCTCACCATGCATGAAATGGATACACGAAAGGAAAGCAACCAAAGATATGAATCTCAATTTGCGCCTATAATACACTAATCTAACCACCCGGCTTTTCAGGGTTATCATCACCTTTTCCATCTGCCTTATCTTTTCTCCTTTGCACAACATCCCAGTTGTACACGCGAGCAGTCGCAACCTCCAGGGTCTGTAATCATCAATACCAACCCAGATAATGACGAACGGCGTAGTAGGGTGGAGTGGACATACTGTAATCTGCTCCCTCAGAAATTCCTGATCTTCCTCACAATTCGACAGCGATAACTGCGCCGCAGAAAGCTTCTCTTGTAGCATCTCCTCTGCTTCACCAATGGGATAGGCCAGCATCACATTAGCGCCGAGCCAGAGGTACACTTCCTCGGTGTCAGCGGGCGAAATCGAAGCGCGGGCGTAAAGAGTGTCGTTTAGTTCGAAGCTTGTGTCGAGGTTGGATTCGGTTGACTTTATTCCCCGTTGTCAATATCCAGTGTTCAGTATCCCGACTCGTGTGAGAATGTTAAGTGGGTGGACGTGACATACCTCCCTCCTCACTTTCAGAAACCGAACCATCTCCAACGTCTTCTTGATATCGGGGATTTTGTCACGAAGACCAACCGCGCGCCGTTGCGCGTTGACTTCCATGAACTGGTATTTGGAGATCATTTCCTGGAAGCGGCGCAGGGTGGGCTCGACATCTTCGCGGGAGGCGACATATTCGGCGACGTTGTCGACAAAGGGGGCGACGGGGATTCCGCGGGGGTTAGTTTGGGCGGTTACTGTGCTGGTCGTTGTTAGATATCTGGTTTGTTTTGATATGGGGATGGCATGGACGAGGAGGGAGGAGGGGCAGTGATATTTTTTCCGCTCACCTTGAGGTGGATTTGTCTGCCATCGTGATGGGATGGGGAGCCGGCAGACAGGCTCGACTCCTAGATCTATTGAAGAGAGGGAATGGGAGGGAAAGCGAGAGGATAGAGAGGTGGAGTGGTGAGGAGAGCGGCGACGAGGCCATTCGGTGACAGCATCGCGTGGGGAGCTCTTTTTCCCGATCGGGAAAGGTTCTTTTCGACAAGTATCGGAGAGTCAATCTTTCTCTTACCATCACTACCACTATAGCCTGCACTTTATGATGATCCAGAGATGAATTGACTGACATATTGCGCTATTCCTGCTCTTTTTTTTTTTTTTTTTTTTTTTTTTTTTTTTTTCACCTTCAATTCTTCTAGCATGGTCCAACTCGTCGTTACCACTCGCATCCTTTCCGCGATTGAGGCCATTCCGCCGTCTCGTCGCGAGGATCTCGACCTTCCAGACTTGATAAACTTGAACTCTCCTATTTCACACGAGCAACTGATTGGGTTATCGCGATACCTGAAAAGCAATCCGGATGGCCACGATAGCGACAGCAACACCCCGACGTCCTTGAACTCCCTCCTTCACGGAACTAAAGTCTACGTGCCTCCGCCGCCTAAGAAGCCAGAACCTGTACTTCCTCCTTCATCCAAACAATATATGACCACTCATGATTTGCTAAATGAATACAGACCCCTGAATACCTCGCCCAAAAGGCTCGCCTCCTCGCCGCCGTCGAAGCAGACGCCTACAACCGCATGACCTTACCCTCCTCAACCTCAACAAAAGGCCCATCACCAATCTTCTCCTCAACCACACCCATCGTCTCCGCAATGCATGATCCAAACACCTCCGACACCTCCGCAAAGGATCCCCTAACCCCCTCCCTCGTCCTAAACATCTTCCTCTCCGTGCTCTTGACCGGATTCAGCACCTATTGGGCACTAAGCAAGTTTTCAACACCGGATATACTCACTTCGACTGTTGCGAGTGCGTGGAGGGGGAGGGATGTGCGCGGGGCATCGGAGCCGGTGCGCGTGTTGTTGAGTCTTTTTGTGGCGCTGCTTGTTGGGTTGGCGGAGGTGATTATTTATGCTATTTATTTGGGGAAGGCGGAGGATGCGAGGGTTAAGGAAAAGAGGATAAGGGAGAGGAAGGAATTTGTTGGGGGTGAGCGGGTTGGTGGGAGGGCCGAGGAGGCTGAGACTGATGGTCAGCAGGTGGATGGAGATGAGGAGAAGATTTGGGGCCGTGGTGCTAATGGAGGGTTACGGAGGAGAGTGAGGGAGAAATGGGAGGAGCAGGAGAAGGTGCAATAAGGGAAGGGCGTGACTACTCAAGCAGAAAAAGTAGATACCCACTGACATAAGAACAACGGAGTATACTGTACCATCCGTCCAATGACTGTTCTCCCACACATATATCTCTAGACTATCATTTTTACAGTGTCTTGCGATCTCTTACTTCAGTCATATTCGAATAAATGTAGCTCCGCATCCAGCATGGAGTATTAATATCTAAATGCCACTGTTTCTCAATTGGCCCAATGACATCGTAAGGCATATCCGTCTGTACCCAAACAGAATACCTGCTCTTGCAGTTATACAGAACGTTCTGGATAAATACTTTTTGCAATGATATATAAACATGACCATTTGCCTATTTGTATCCTAGTTCCGCATCAATACATCGTCCTTTTTCTATATATGTAATTGTCATAGGGCTTAAGGGGCGTACTAAACCATCCCTTGCCAGCATCTAATGCTTTATAGGACTGCATTTATGAAAGATGCGAGATGGAAACATTCACTGTATGTGGAAAAAAAAAAAAAATAAAAAAATAAAAAAAAAACACTTTCCATCCACTGGCAAAATTGATGTTTGAAGCTTCCACTAGTGAGTTATTTTATATTGTAATTTTTTTTAAGGAAATTTCTGTCTACATGCCTTATTTCTGGAATTAACAGTGAATGAATCTTGGCTGGTGGTCTATATAAGAGCCCTTATTTTATATCCTTTTACTTTCTCTTTTTCTCATCTTTCCATATACATCATTCTGTCACAACCTGGCTTCTCTCGTATTGTACCTAGGGTTCTAGTTAGTTGTATTTCGAGACAGGACACTTACCCTAAGTGTCTTCCAAGTAATCGTATGCTCAATGACCATCCAGGTCCTCTGTATATCACGTCGAAGGTATATCGCCCCCTCCAGGCTCCGTAAGATAATCAACAAGTAGAAACGGTAAAGGTAACGAATAGAGAAACAAGGCCAACCGAGCACGTATGCTGGGTTGTTGGTTAAGTGCGGACGAGTCAGAAACTAGAAGGTAACCAATGCTTGATTAACTAGATTGATTGCAAAGAACTAAACTAAGTACATGAATGAGTGTCCTTATATATCCTCCGCTTGTATACCATCTACCAATGCCAAGCCATGGTATATGGTAGTTGATCACGTGATGCGCTCGTTAACTACCATCTCTGATCCCTGTCCTTCCTGCATTATTACCATAGCTTACAGTCCAATGATTCTGCCTTGACTCCCCGCATAATCACGTGAGATTAGTGCATTAGGGATCTGTAACACCTGGTTGCTTGAAAGATGTCGGCAGAAGGTCCGTTAGATTATATAGCATATTTACCTTTGGAGCGAAGGCGCTTTTGGCTTCCCCCGGAGAGACTTGCGATTGTGAACCTAGTTGTATCGATGGGATTACCGGCAAGCAAAAGACGTGTATCAAGTTTGAAGAGTTCCCTGCGCATTCTTTTCGGTTCATTGAGGGTGGATGCCCGGAGACTTCTTGCTAGATTGAGTTGACCAAATGTTAAGGGTTCACCATCGGCTGGTTTGAGTTGATCTTTCAGATGCTTGTATGGATTTGTGTTTGACAGCTTTAGTTATGGAGATCAGTTTATGTAACGAGGAGAGCATGTCGATGGCAATGGTACAAGATTGGTTGAGGGTTTTGTCAATAGAATGCATGAAGGAGAGACATTCCATGAAACTGTTATTATTAAATCTATCTAATCAAGATATCTACGCTATGATCTTGTTACTATATTCTATCTGCCAAGTTATTGCGATCCTAACGAGTGTCATAACAAGGAACCATAACCGAGATCATTATGTCGTCAAATCATGTATAATGTCGAATTGGTCGTCTCGAAAAGTTGACTGTAACTTTGTCAACAGCCCCGTTGATCGAATGGGACAAACGGAGGGGAGAAAAAGAAACCAAGAAAAAAAAAAAAAAAAAGAAACAGAGGGGCGATAGGGTCAAACCCGTTTATCCAACAGGAGACTACCCGAAGGAGTCTTGTTACTGAACCCTGTATTCCGACTGAAGACCTTTTCACCGCGAAGCCAGGTTTCGCGAACCATGCCGCGAAGAACACGTCCTTGGTATGGCGAGCATTTGTTGCGGAAGAGCATGGTGTTGGGTTCGACGGTCCATTCAGCCGTGTCGTCGAAGATGCAGATATCCGCGTCGTAACCGGGAACCAGATCACCCTTTCGTGATTGCAGACCGACCTGGGCGGCGGTGTTGGCGCAGCAGAGACGCACGATATCCTGGAGGGCACGCTTGGTATTGGCATCGTCAGGTGCGGCAGTAAGGCCCTTGCGACGACTGAGTTCTGTCCAGAGGATGGGAAGGCCCAGGCCCACGGACGAGATACCACCCCAGGCTGAGAGAAAGCTGCCGTTGTGGGTGCTGTCGGCTTCTCCTGGGGGGATGTGCGCAGGAAGATGTTTGAGATCGGGTGTGCAGGGTGAATGATCTGAGACAACGGTTTTGATGACACCTTCATCGTCCCCATGGTGTTCCAGTTCGGTCCAAAGGGCGTCCTGGTTTAACTGGGAGCGAATTGGTGGGCAACATTTGTGGCGCGTGTCTCCATCGCGGATCTCCTCTGCCGCCAGGGAAAGATAGTGGAAGCATGTTTCGGCTGTGATGGGGATGCCTTGGGAACGAGCCTTGCGCAGAAGTGGAATGGCCTCCATGGCAGATAAGTGAACGATGTGTAGGTGAAGCTTAGGTGCAAGATGAGCCAGGGAAAGTATTTCTCCGACGGCACTGGTCTCCCAAGAAGATGGCCTGGATGCCAGGAAGGTTGAATATGCTTCGACAGGTCCGGATTCCTCGTGTTGTGTCCTGCTTTCCTGACATGTATCATGTGGTTGCATCTCTGCGTGGAACATGAGGGTGGTGGGTTGATCTGCTAATTCAATCATCGCCTTTTTGATATCCTCCGAAGTTACCATCGGAAACTCTTCGACCTAAGACGGGTAAGCCTGTGACACGCTAGGGATAAAAGAAGGGCAAGGTGCATTTACACCGCTGTCACATAGAAACCCTTTGAAGCCACGAACGCCTTCATGGACAAGGGCCTTGAGCTCGGAAGCATTGCCAGGAATGATACCACCATAGAAGCCAACATCAACCCAGCACTTGCCCTCAGCCGCCTGGAGCTTTTCCTTGAAGGCGGAAACGGTAGTTGTGGGTGGGATAGCGTTTAGCGGCATGTCAATGACGGTAGTGACGCCTCCAAAGGCCGCAGCCTGAGTACCAGTATAGAAGCCCTCCCATTCAGTACGGCCGGGTTCGTTGAGGTGAACATGAGCATCGACCAAGCCGGGAAGCAGAACATGGGGCGAATAGTCGGTATACGGGGTTCCCTCAGGGAATTCATTGGCGGGAATGACCGAGTCGAATACAGCAGTGATCTTGCCAGTTCGACGAGAGATGACAATGGTGGCTGAAGTCAAACGACCGGAAATCACAGCGCGCGACGAGGTTACGACGGCGATGGTATCCATGGCGGTGGTTGTGGTTGTGGTTGAGGCCATAGCGAGTGTAGGCTGTAATTGAAAACAGAGAATGTATAGAAGCAAGAAAGAGAGGCGAATAGAAGCGAAAGAAAGGAATAAAGGGGAATAAAAGAAGAGAATGCTTGTACGCCACAGGAAAAGAAATCCAAAAGGAAAACGAGATAAGAGGCGACTTTATCTCGGAAGATCCATCGGTTATCGTTTTCTATCGGAGTCTGGAATTACTCGATGGCAACGGCGAATTTACTCGATCGAATCCACACCGCAATTGGGCTAAACTCTATGCATAATTCCCTCATATTCTTTGCTATTCTTACGATCAGGATATAACCTATTGGGTTCAATCAATTTTAGAAAAAAATTGTAGATTGGAGTTGAGATCTTGCCACGTCCACGTGACCATGACTCAGATAGCTTCAATATTACCCGTTTCGGAAATGTTGTGCCAGAGCAATTGACCAGCAATCGTAGGTTCTACTGCTATTATCTTGTGATACTATGCTATCTTCGAGGTAACTGCCCAGAAAATGACTGTGTCGAGTTCGTCACATGATATCGTAATCCGGGTCACCTGCTCTCTGACATACCACCACCGCTTTTCCATCTCACCACATTCCACTCAGAGCTCCCAGATCGTCCCCCATGAACTGTCCCCCTCCACTTGACACTCAATCCTGCATCCGGGATGATGTATCGCCGCTCAGCCTGCGCTTTGTATTGCATGGCGGGGACTTTTGCCCCGTGCCAACTGGTCTCTCAAATAAGCGTCAACAAGCGTCAGTCTAAGATCCTGCATCCTAAGGCTAGGCTGACAGAGCTTGGGAAATATATATTATACTCTTCTCGCCTGCTCTACGGATGCCCGTCGATTTCTCTTCTCCAAAGATCGGCTGACCAGCAGCATCTCCCATCGAGATGACTGTCCAGCACGTCTCCACCCCCGCCAGCAACTCAACACCCACTAGCCTCGATGCTGCCGCCAACAAGGAAATATCCGCCATCTGGGCCCAGGTTCAAGCACGGGTTATTCAGCTGACCGGCGGGGATACCAAAAAGATCAAAACTAATTTGTCCATTGATGATGTCCTCGCCCGGCTTGACCTGGCGCAGGAGGCCCGTGAGGAGTCGTCTGCCTCCAAGTCTAAGGTCTATAGCACCATTCGTGCTACGTTCAACACCACTTTGCAAGTCATCCAGACTGTCGGGGAAATCGTCTCTCAGGGAGCGTCCGAGGTGAGATACTTCTGTCTCGTCAGGCTTCCATTGCACCACTGCAAGAACGCTATCTAACTGTGTTCCCTGGCCCAAGGTCTTTGGTCCCACAGACCTTTGTTTCAATGTCATAAGCTACGTAATATCGGCCTGGAAAGGCTATCAGGGTGTCTTCGAGAGCCTGGCTGACCTCCTGGATCGGTGTGCTCAGTACCTTGGCCGCATGGAATATTATGTCCGGGGTGGCATGGATACCAAACTGACCAAAGTCGCCTGTCAACATCTGCAGCTCTTTGTCGAGGTTTGTGACCGGACCATTGAACTCAGTCGCTCCAAACGCAAGAAGCTACGAGTCTTTACGAAAATTCTCTTCCTTGACGACAATGACATCGACGACCTGCTGCAGAAGATGTCCAGCCTTGTGGACCAAGAGGGTCGATTGGTCACCGCACAAATGTTCAACTTTGTATCCGAGGCCGTGACCAATACCCAAAAGAACTTAGCCGTTAGCCATGAGATGGATGAGAAGATCGATGTCCTGATGGAGGATCGGTTCGACCAGCGAAAAGAACATGAGATCAAACGTCGACGAGATATTGTCTTGAAGACCCTAGCCATTGACGAAAATAAACTTGATCCCGTAAAGAAAGAGCCCGATCCGTACTGGCACCGGAACTATCACAACTATCGCAAATCAGTGGTCCCCGGCACTGGCCAATGGATATTTGACGACCCAAGATACGCCGCGTGGGAGAGCAACCGTAAAGGCCGATCGCCCATCCTGGCTATCAAGGGCGTCGAAGGCTCCGGCAAGAGCTACCTGACCTCAACAGTTATTCGAAGTCTCCGTAACCGTAGTGCCGCGGAAGACTCGGGCTCACGGACACTGGTGGCTTTCTACTTCCTTGAGGGCGAGTCTAAAGAAGAAGTCCGAAAAGCCAACCATTTCGACGTCATCGCCAAGTCTATAATTTGGCAGCTCGTTCAGTCCGATGCATCTTACCTGAAATCTGTTGCTAGCATCTGTGAGAAAACCAAAGACTTGGATCCAGATGAGATCCTGTCGCAGCTCCTTTTCGATAACAATGACCTGGACCGCATGGATGCAACATTCTTCATTATCATCGATGGCCTGGGCGATGTGATCGGGGATGGCTTCGTTAGGTTCCTTCAGAAGGCCTCTAAGCTTTGGAAGGACCGACATATTCGTATCTTGCTGAACGGCCATACAAGAGCATTCGAGCAGCTGGCAACCGTTAAAGGTGTTTTCTTCCAAAGCATCCCAATTAGCGCCAGGAATCGATCAGACGTAGAGCTATTCATCGAGTCGCGCATGAACAGTATAGACGCACTCAAGGACACCTCACGGATGGGAGTTCCAGCACTGCGAAAGAAGATTTGCGATACTCTATGCCAGAGGACAGCAGGTGATTTTTTCAGAGTTAACACAGTCTTAAAACGTATCGGCTCGTTGGATTATGTGAACGATATCGACCGTGTACTCGCTGACGCCGGGAAGGAACGGTCCCAGCAGATTCTTGCTGAAATCGATAAGCTTAACAATACGAGGACTCTCAAAGAACTCTCAGAAATTAACGAGATTATCCTCTGGATTCTTCATGGAAGAGAATGGTTCAAGCCCTATCAGATGGCGTCCGTGCTCTACTTGAAGAGCGGAGAGCTTTCACTTTTACCGCTTGAATCAAAGCTCTCTCTAAAGTATCATTTGTTTGACATTGACACCGATGGCGATATTGACTTCAGTTCCTACGAGATCCCGGAGTTGATTCCCGAGAAAAGCCAGGTCATCCAGGAAGACTCTAGCTCTGACACTTCAGCACGAGTTCAACCCAATGAAGTGTCAATCGTTAGACATTTTCTTCGTACAGTTTGTCCGCCGGAAGTTTATGGCAAATTTGATTTTGAAACGTTTTTTGAACAAAAACTCAGCGGCAAGCGATGTCGCATTTATCGCGACGACAAAGATGCGTCAGAGATCAAGATGGCCCTAACTTGTCTACGCATCCTTACCGAAGAGAGAGACGAGCGATCAGAAATACTACGTCCGTACGCTATAAGTTACGTCCTTCAACACCTGTCCTCTGTGGATCTAGCGTTTGCAGACCGCGAATTGAAAAGTGCCGTTGGACCTCGCCTTTTGAAACTATTTACCGAAGATACTGCAACAGATGCATTAGTCTGGGCTGATGATGCTACCAAAGCTGTGCAGTTGGGGACGCAAATCCGTACTACATGGCTGGACAGTGATGCAGGTGTAGAGCAGGTCCTACGATGGTTTGGGGATTCAGCGGTTATCTCTGAGATCTTGAATTTGAAGGATCGAGACTGGATCTCTGAGCTTATGACTAGCCCGGACCCGAAGAAGGTGCTGCTTCTACCTTTTGCAAAACGGATGGCAGTGCACTGGCTGCGGTGTCCATCTATGCGGCCGTTTGCCCGCAATGCGTTCTTCTTCCTTTTTGATTTCCTTGACAAGGTTTGTATTTACTTGGTCTTATGAGCGAGGAATCTGGCTAACTTTCTCAGCTCGAGGGCTCCAACGAGTATTTAGCAGGTGGCACGTCAGTTGATCTAATGGCACCCAGTCTGGACAGGATCCATGAAGTTGAGGAATGGTCGCAGCGGCTGTTAGATATCGAGGAGAAAGACAGTCTGTGGGAAGTCCAAGTAGCCATCATACTTGAGAGCTTTTCTTTCGCCTCTGAGTCCCAAGCGAGATGCCGTCGAGCATTAGAGCTAGACCCCCAGAACTGGCGAGCTTCTTACTACTTAGCACACGCAACAACATCCAACAGCGAAGCCATCCAAATTCTGGAAACTATCGTGAAACGTTTCGAGACAGACAACGAACTGAACGGAAAACTTAGACTCCAAAAATCGCTAACTGAAATTCTATTTGACCTGGGACAGAGATACTGGGTAGTAGGCCAGTTTGATCGAGCTATCCATTTTCATACTCGGTCAGTCAAGGCACACTATACAGGTGGTGATCGTACTCTGGTGATAATGGAGCAGTATCGCTCCCAGCAACGATGGAAAGACATTGTCAACTTGTTGAACACAATCCAGAAAGAGCCGACAGGAGATTCACAGAATTTAGCAGATATGATGGTGAGTCTTGCAGCTCACGAAAGCCTCCATGATGTTCTGCTGCAGACCGCCATCGAAACAAGCCAGTTTGATCTTCTGGAAAGGATATATGAAAACGCCATCAACACCGCTGTGAAACGTCAGGTGTGCACCAGTCTCTACTACCTCCGCTACTATTACGCAAATGCCGTCTATCAGCAACCCGAAAACGAGGAACGGGCCATTGGCTTATGGGAACTCGCACTTAAAGACGATCTCCCCCGAACAGTCCTCGAAGTCGAAGCTATCCTTCCAGACCTCACCCGGAAATTGGCACCCCTCTATCTCCGGCGCGCGAGAGCAGCCGAGCGAGATTCCGATGTAGCCAGGTCTTATTTGGAACGAATCTCGACTATCCTACCAGATGAGACATCCGAGAACAACATTGTATTCCCTGCAAAGTTGTACCTTGCAAGATACTACCATGTGCAGGGTGACAGACTCAGGGCCAAGCAAATTGCTCGCAGCGTGGTGAAAATGGCTCTGGAGATCCTGTCTGACGGTGACTACGACAACGACTATCTCGCATACTGGCGGTTGCTGCTCGTGTTCTTACCCTTAGAGGACGACAAGAACGCACGCGCTGCCGTTGTCATGGCAGGACTAGGCGGCGACCAGGAACTTGAAGACACCCCCGAAGAGCAGCGAACGGTCTTCGACTCCAGCAAGAGAACAACAAGCCCGACTTCCATGCCCAACACCCGAGAGGCCGATGTCCAGAAACCCACCAAACCTACCGAAACCAGGAAACACCGCCGCAGCACCCGACGAGACACCGAAGTCCTCAACCGAAAATACAACACCGCCGGCAAAAGCAGCATTGACAACTACAGCAGCACCAAGAAGGAAAACCAGCAACAGCAACAACAACTCCAGCAACAGATACAGGAACTGCAAGAACAACAGCAAGCCTCTCATTCACATACTCGCCCGATCTTCGCCGTCTGCGACGCAAACTGCGGCTATGGCTGGACGACTGCGAGCGAAATGTGGTGGTGCCGCGATTGTATCAATCTAACCTTCGATCGGGACTGTTATCAGCGGTTGAAGAACGGGACGTTGCAGATGAATATCTGTGATAGGGCGCATGACTTTTTGTACATTCCAAAGTGGGATACGGAGAGGATGAAGAGGGTTCCTGGGTTGTGCGTACCATATGGGGATAGGATTATTTCGTTGGATGAGTGGAAGAGGGAGATTTGGAGGGAGTATGTAGAGATTGACGTGCCTGTGGGCCGACGTATAAGTAGGTGTTTCTTTTGATAGATTGGAATAACGAATTTATTATTTCATGTATTGTCTTTCTTACCAAATGATATGTTCATCTTGATAACCCCGCTAGATACGCTGTGCCAAATACACAATGAGAACCCTAAACCTCCCCAATCGCAACATTATTATTATTCTCACCATCGGCACCCGCATGAACAACCTCAACACCACCCACTGGACCAAAACCCCCCTCAGCATCAACAGTCGTCACATCATACCGATCCTCACAATACTCCGTATCCGCATGCACCTTCTCAAACCACTGCATCATCTCCTTCCAAGACGCCCCCATAACACACTCGATATTCAACTCCTCCCCAGACGCAAAGCAGTTACAACCGTGCTCTTCGATCCCGGGGACGGGGACACCAAGGGGTTCGGGGGAAACGACATATGCGCGGCCGCGGGCGAGGAGGAAGGAGGCGAATGAGTTGGGGTTGGCTTGATTGGTGTTAGAGTTTGAGTTGGAGTCGGAGTCGGAGTCGTTGTCGTATAGGCTTAAGTCGATGTTTGCGAAGTGGAGGGGGCTAGCGAGGCAGATTGCGTTGATGTAAGGGCTCCAAGAGGACCCTATTCAAAATATGAGCGACTAGTCACAAAATTAGGGAACGGAGATCATACAATTACTCGCCAAATACCGAATAACACCAAGCCCACCCTCAGAAATACCAATGATATCAATCTTAGCATCCTCCCTAACAAGCCGTCCCCTCGCAGCCAGAACCTCCTCAAAAACACTCTCCACATGTTCCTGCCAATTAGCATTTCCTGGAACCGAGTTACGACCCGTCATCGTGTACGGTGGATCAACAGCCGAACGCCGCGGAAGAGCCATCCAGCTAGCATGGGTGATAACACGGCGGCCACCACAGTGCCAGATGAGCTGGCCTGTGTTTGCGAGAATGAGAGCTGTGTCAGAAGTGACGCGCTGCGGCTTGCCGTTAGATTCTGGAGTCTGTTGCTGGTGCTGATTCTGGTCGTCTTTTTCCTGGGGACGGAGGATCTCCTGCGCCAGCGAGACTGCTGAACCAGCACTGATGCCTTGCATGCTGACGCTTCGATAGGCCCAAATGCCAACGTCCTGGATGGGTTCTCCGAAGACGACGATGATGCGTTTGGCGGTGGAGAGGTTGGATGAGACGAAGATTGGGACATGTGGTTCTTTGGGACTTGCGGTTAGCGGGAGACATAGGGTTGTCATGCCCTGGTCGCGGAGACGGGAGTAAACGACGGTGCGAATACAGGCTGTTGAAGTTAGTTAGTTTCCTCTATTGAAGTGAAGGAGAGTAGAGGAAAAGGCTCACCATTCATGGCTTCTCGTTGGGCGTCATTCCAGCGAGAGTTGCGATTGATTCTGAACTGGAATTCTTGCTCTGGGTTTGAGATCTTCTTGATCTGGTCGTTGTCGGTGATGAAGTATCTATGCTCTTGGTGAGGTTCTATTCATGCTTTGAGAGGGGAGATATAACTTACCCTAGTTCCTTGAGATTCGCAGGATAGACAGGGTCAGGAGGGAGGTCCTTGGGGCGAAAGACAAACATTTTGCTCTGAAGATATTGTTGTTTCTGTCTGCGCTTTTGGGATTTAGAGAAGTGGGAAGATGTAGAGATGGATGAGGTTAGAGAGGCAGAGAAAAGGAAGAGGCGGACGAAAACAAAGAAAAAGAAAGGAAGAAGCTGCCAGTAGTGAATATCAATTGTATATATCAACTTTTTATGCGTGGTGAAGTTGATAGGTGAAAGCAGTTTGTTTGCTAGAATATCGATACTCTGCAGTCTGTTTGTCCCCAATATGAAAGTCCAGAAGTACGCCTTTCCGGCCAATAGTCACACAGACCAAGAAATGGAAGATTTCGAAGATCCATTGTAATCCCACCAGTATTTATGACCTATTGTACACTTCTCATAAGGTATGAATGGATAAAAAAACGCCTTTTGTGCGAAACCGGTTGACCCAAATCGTATTGCCTGATCACCATCATAATATAACAAAAAATATATCCCTTTTACCAACTCGCCTTCTTCACACCCGGGAGCTCACCAGCCAGTGCTTGTTGACGGAATTGGTACTGTAAAACCCAGGGCGTTAGCTGTGCTGTTCCGAAACCCCGGAGACTGCCAGTGCCAGCTGCAGAAGGATAAAAGGACACTCACCCTCGCAATTCTGAAGTCCCGGAAGACACTCCTAGCAATTCCACCTGCCACACAGCGGTTCTTGATCTGCGTTGGCCGCGTGTAGGCGTGCATCTGGGAGAGCTGAAGCTGGGCCTGGGCACGGGCACGCTGGGGGAGGGTGGTGTTGCGGATGATGTAGCGGAGCGCTTGGCTATTTTCATAAAGACAATGGTCAGTATCCCATCCCAATTATTTCCAAAATAACGCTGCGAATCCGGGGTGATGTCGTGGAGTTCATACCGCTCGGGCTCGTACTGCTCGTACACCTTGCGCTTGGTATGGTCACGGACCACACGGGCATTGATGAAGCCACCAAGATCTAGTCTCTTTGCTCTGAATTGCGACATGATGGTGTAGTGTTCGTCGTGCGTTGAGGTTGTCGGCGCAAAGGCGAAATGGAAGTTGAGGTTTGGCCGGCGGAGAGAAAAGTCGCCTTCCTGATTGGGACTAGGGCGGGTACATGTGCCACTGGTTCCATACTACTGCTGTACAACATAGTTCTACGCGGGAAATCATGATGAGAGAGTTTGCTAAGGTTGTTTCCTGGTTGAAGTAGCAAACTTGATTTTTCCGAAAGTGTCTAAAATGTAGTCATGGTACTCCAGGTCCATGAGAAGCCAATGCTCCGTTATCGGCTCTTTCGGATTGCATACAAATCGCAGAACTGGAGCCTTTCCACCAGGAAGACATCTCGAATTTTCAAATGGGCGAAAGAAGGATATCATATTTGGCCATAGATATAGGCTATCGTCAAGGTGCACAATCTTCAAGCATTACCGAGGTCACCGACAGAAAATCGACTGTCGGACAAAGAAACAGGATGGGTATGGAAGACGGTAGTGGTACAATGTCAATTCATCAAAATGTCCGTGACAGGACTATCTATATGCTTGTACAGAGTAACTGTCCGCAATATGTAGACAAACGCGAAACAGCAATCCGGGCATCAAGCCACCCACAACCATTTTCATTCCTCCATAAAGGTATCACCAAGTCGACTAATTCAGTGCTTCTTGCCGGCGTTGGGGTTGCGGGGGTCGTTCTTAAACTCGTCGGCTATTTGGAGAGTTAGCGATGGTCACATCTTCAACCGTCTCCTTCGACCAGTCACGGGAAAGATTCCAAAGAGCTTGTTCGAAAGAAGACGGAGTCGGATTGGGGTCACTCACTCTGCGACAGAGTGTTGGCGAGAGAGTTGATGCCGTAGAGGACGACAACGCCTATAACCCGCATGTTAGAACCGCATGTCCCCGCAGATACTCGCTCCCATTGAACAGTGTATCCAGTATTCCCATCCGATATTCATAATGGCGATCCAATCTAAATAAGGACGAGCAGTCGATCAAAACATACCGGCAGCGAAGAAGGGAGCCATAGGCTTGGCTATATATGAGCACAAAAGCAGTCAGTCTCTAACTCCTATCGGAACGCAGCGCACAGGCGCGGAGGGGAAAAGGGACCAGAATAACTTACCGACAGGCGCCGGGAACTTCTTTCCAAGGAGAGACATAGTGACAGAGTATTTAGTTCGAGACAATGTCCTGTCTTTTTTTTTGTCTTGAGGAGGAACGTTTATGATGCGGCTAAGAGGACGGTTGGACGAAGAGCGACGAGGTTTGTCCGGAGGTCCGACCCGCGCCGCTTTAGCCTCACCGCCTCATGCCGCTTTAAGCGAGCCCCTCTGTCGCTGTAAACAACAACAATGGCGTCAAGTCGAGACTTGCACCTATAAATCCTCTAATATTGGAAATAATCTCTATTTTTGTTGCCATGACTGCTCCTGTGGCTCTCGCCTCGTCCGTTTCCTCCCTCCAATCTTCCCTCCAGCTCCTTGATTCCTCCATTAATACATTGGACTCTGGTGTGAACGACTTTCCCCGGCTTTGCAAAGTCCTCCAAAGCACACGAGTAAGTACTCAGAACCATATACGCATTTGAAACGTTGCTTAACATTTCCAACAACAGCACTTTGAGCTCCTGCCGGAACCCACGCTCCGCGAAGCCCAACAATCTCTCCTCGATGAAATCACCCCCAGCATCGCCCACTTACTATCCCTCGCCTCCAACCACGTCGAAAAGCTCTCCCGTCGCGAACAGGGTCTACGAGCCAAATGCGAACTTCAGGAGGGAAGACTCTCGGATGAACCCCGTCAGTCATCGACAAGTCGCAGTCAGAGCAACGTCAATCGCAGTCGACAAGGAAATGCCGCAAAGGCAACCGAGTTGAGAAGGTTGATTCAGAAAAAGGAACGGTTGCAGTATGCTGTTGAGCGATTGGAGTTGCAGGGGAGACAGCGGGAGCGGCAGCTGAGGAAGAGTATGGCTGCGCCGCATTGAGCCATTCGTGCGCATGAGCATACTGTTGATTCTACATATTGAAACGGCCGCTACGATAAATAATACTACGACCCAGGTTTAAAGCCTCACACCGCTGTTCGCTCGTTTGGATTGCTCAGTCCAGAAGAGGAGCACCTACGCTCCAGAGAAGATCGGCTTTCTTGGAAATCATTGATTCGGCAGGAGGGACAGGGACCTTTTCCCAGTTGACCACGCCTATGAAAGGGCTACCGCACCTCGCAGACAGGATGGAGCATGAAGGCTCGATTAGAGCTCGTCTCCACCACATCCCAAAGGAGATTCTTTACGAAGTTATGAGTGCAATTTTATGAATACATATGCAAATAAAAATGGGATCGCCATTTGAGCGAAGATCTTTATTTACAGTATACTTTTATCCCAACAGAATCGACGTATCGTACACATAATATACAAACCCAATGCTAAGTCCGGTATGCTGGTAACCCCATCACAATGCGCCAAACTGCTCGTAAATCATCATTTACCATTCCCAAACCATTATTGTCAAGTAGATCACTGCCAGTTATCATCCGCCAACTGAACGATAGAACGCTTCTTCGAAGCCTGTCTCAACGTCTTTTTATCCGCATGCTTCTTCCAACTTGGCACAGTTATTCCCTTCTTCTTAGTTGGAATCGGCAAATCCGGCAATTTCTTCGAACCTTCCTCCGGGTCTTCACCCTCATCAAATCCTTCCTCTTCATCGCGCATCGCTTCCTTCGCAGCAGCGCGCTTCGCTAACCGCTCCTTCTTTCCGTCACCGTGCTTATCGCCCATCACAACTTTTCGGGGGATTCGTGTCTTCGCTCCTAGAGCCCAGAGGTCACCCCAGCGGGCTTTGCGGGCATCTTTGTATGCCTGGCGGCTGAATGAGCGGGGGACGGTCCAGCGCTCGATTTGACCTGCTGGCGTGCAGAAGTCGAAGACGACGTGGCCGCGACGTTTGAGGGGCGGGTAGACGACGCGAGGGAGGGAGAGGGAGTGGAAGGGATCGGTGGGTTCTGTCGATCTCTGCTCAGCCATGAGAACGTTCGTGTCCTGTGGTGCGGATGAAGCTTCAGCTTCGGTTTCGGAGCTCTCTTCAGGAAGGCCCTCTTCGGCGGCCATATCGTAGAGGTGTTCGTAGCCAGCAAAAGCGGCCTCCACGGCCTGAGGACCCTGCACGATCCCGTCTCTTTGGCGCAGATCTCTACCGCGCTGGACAGCGACGTAGCTGAATTGGACATCTTCGTGGTTGCGATCTCTGGCTCCTATGATGCGCTGCAGGAAGGGTGGTCGGATGTATCGTTGTTCGAAGTGGCAGTAGTCCTTACGGCCCTTGTTTCCCGGGCCGTTGTACATCGGGCACTTTTCGTGATTTGTACAAGGAGCAACAATCATTCCGGTTTCTTTTCGCACTGTGGTGCTGTCGTTGGGGGAATCTAACGTGTTATCATACACTGTAGACCCGGGGCTGGAGATGTAGCGGTTGAGGAGCATTTCACGCGCACCAGCGATAGCCTCGAAGCCTTTTTGGCGGCCTTTTTCGAGGAGGATCAGTACACCACCATTGGGGTTGAGGAGAGCCCACAGGTTCTCAACGTGTTGCCTCCGCAGATATTCCTCATCGATTTCCATCAATGTGTGAGGTGCGATAATGATGTCATATTGTTTCCGCCTTGGAGTTCTCTCGTCATCCAAAGTCGGCTTCTCACGCGCATGGACATAGTCCGGAAGTCGAGGGAGGAAAGTCGTATCTTCCAGCATCAAACTTGCACGTGCTTGAAGAGATTCAGACCCAGCAATCACAGTTGACCTACCCATAAGGACAGGTTCTGTATTCGAGCGATCAGGGTACATGGCATCCCATTCAGCACGGAGAACATCTCTCCAAGCTAAAATACCAGCACCTCCACCACCCGCATCAAGCACATTCGGGCCACCGTCCTGTGTCATCAAGCGGCGTATCCAATCCGTTCCCAGGCGCTTGCGAGTCTCCACCAAGGTGCTCAGCGCAGATGCATAAATTCCAGGATAAAGAGCAGCGATGTATGCGTTTGCCTCCATCTCACCCATGTGACGCTGGGAAGCCTGCAGAGGGATCGGAAGCTGGGGGATCTGTGCGCGCGGAGGGGGCGTTGTCGTAGAATGGGGAAGCAATCTTCCACCAAAAACGCGATGCGCAACTTCTGCAACGTGTCTGTTGGAGTAGTTGGAAAGGACAGCAGTGATGGGGATGGTCATGCTGTCCTTTGGCATATTCACGGTTTTGGGATGTGTCGCAAATTTCCCTTCGGTTGTCAGAGGGTGCAGACGTGGCGTAGAATCCGCTGCCTCGTCTTTTAATTCCTCCAGCATGATCTCTCCACCAAGCTGTTCGGCCACCTCCCTTGTCCGCTGCATTGAAATGGTCTCCTTCACTGGCGGACCAACTTCCATGTCGTAGACCACCTTGGGCTCGTCTGACTCTTCTTCCGGCTCGACTTCAATTTCCTCCCATCCACCCTCCCCGTCCTCACGATAAAGTCTATCGGGCTCCTCATCGACATCCTGTTCGACTTTTAACTGTTCCGCTCGAATGATTGGCTCGCCATACAGCTGTGTGTACAGTCTCAGTTCCGTGGCATTCAAATAATCATCCGGTAATTCATCACCAAATTGTTGTCTTGCCGTCCTAACTCGCGATTCTAGCGCTTGCTCGTCTCGATGGCCGATAGTCTCACTGAATGCATTGTCTAATTCCGGACCGTCGATACTGAGAGCTCCAGAATATTCATCCGGAACACTCAGATCCTCCATTAGCTCAGCCAGCTCCCCATCTGTCTCATTGATTTTGTCGATCAAGCCGTAGATCTCATCTTTGCGATTTTCGTGACGGGCCGACTTCGTAAATTCTTCGGGCGCTGTAGGTTCTTCGGGCGCAGCTGCAGCTGCAGTCGACGCTAATCTCTTCCCAGCTTGCCATTGTTCAAAACGAGGGACTGAAGGTTTCGAGGATGCTGTTGACGATAATGTCTGTCGAGAAAACTTCTCGTTTATGAAGCTCGCCGTTCCGCAGCGGGGATGTCGCGGAGAATTTGCGACAGATCGGAAACCGCGCGAGCACGACCGGCTGGCCCTGGTGGCTGGATATCTTGAAAGCATGCTCAACCCCTTCCACAAACACCAGAAGCAAAGGAAAACGAGCGGACAAGTAGGAAGAGCCGGATTGCCACTTGAAGAGATGTTGAACAAGGCATGCGCCTATCGGAAATTCCTGACCTTTCATTGGCCGTTGAATTTTTTGGTATCTTATCTAAGCTCTATGGATCTCTGGTTACCAATAAGAGGCTTTCTGGGGCGACATAGATCTACATTACCGATATGTTGATATGCTATGCTCTGCTTATATTCAATAATATTCCAGGTGAGGAGGGAGCTATGTCTCGCTTTCTGTATCATCGTTTCCCATAAGAACTTTCAGGGCAGATGTCCATTTCATCACTTCATGTTCAAGCGCAGTCAGCTTGGCCATTACAGCCATCAGACTGGGGTCCTGGCTCTCTACGCGAATCTTTTCTTTGACTCTCACCTCCTCGCCCTTCCATGTAAACAGGTCGTTTGCCTCGTCGTGAGGGCGTTGCCTAGCCCCGAAGAGTCGGTCTCGTATGTTGAACCCAGTTAACGAAATGTCAGAAGCAAAGGCTGTTGGTGCATGCGCAGTTGCAGTAGTTTCCAAAGTTCTGAGGCATAGCAGAAGGGCCGAATCGGCAATAGAGAGGTGGAACGAGAGATAGGGCGGTAGTGGGGGATTGAACATCTATATATCAGATTAGTTATCGCTGACAAGCAAAAAATTGATAAATCAGATACTCACGTTCTCGTCTGCACTTGTCTCCCACCACTTGCTCTTGACATCATCTTCACCTTTCAGCATCTGCCGCGCCTCCGTGATGGTTTCATGCAAAAGGTGCAATTGACTGTAAATAAAGGTAGCATTCAACGGGTCACCAGTCCAGGTGCTAACGTCGACTATATCGAGGCACTGGTTGACCGAATCCCTAACAGCAACCATTTGGTCGAGCACGAGTTCTGGGGCGGCGGGGGAGGTCGACAAGCATAGTCGTGTACCTGCCGCGCCACGGGATGAGGGAAGGGAGTTTAATCGAAGTTGGATATCCTAATACGACCCTCTTTTAGTGATTTTGCTCCACTGTTTGCATCAGGATGAATAATCATTCATGTACGAAACTCGGAGACCGATGCACAAGTGCCAAATTGTAATCCATATGAAGACATACCCCTTTCACAATCTTTGTCCCGACTCTCGTCACGAAGCCTTTCACATTTTCAGACCGTAGCGATGACAGGACCAATGTCGAGCCCGGTTCTTTCGGAGCAAGCAATGCAGCGCAGTCACGGAGACCTTCTTTCAAGGAAGCGAGCGAGTCTTGTAGGGAGCGCAGGAGCCATTCTAGTTCTCTTTCCTAGGCCATGAACCTCAATTAACAAGCTATTCCGGCACATTGCCAGACAATAGGTCCAATCTTACCAACGCGCGGTTTGCCTCATGCTCCAGCTGCTCCGGGAGTATTGGTGGATATGCCCAAGTGGTCATGATAGCTGGCTTATCAATGCAAAGTGACCGCTACAACGAGTGGAAGGTGTTCCATCAATCTGCCAAGACTGAAATAAGATCAATGGAATAACACAAAAATGCCCCCCTTATGCTATGGAAACAGAATGTCGTCGCGGCATCATCACGGGTGTCTATAGGACAGACAAACAACTGACCGCGTTCTCCACCGCCTACTAGTCAAGATAATATCTTCAATGTCTTGGAAGTCTTTCACGATATCAGACAGAATACTCTTCGCAGAAAAGCCACATGACTATATATTCTGGCCGTTGGCATATACTCATCAGTATTATTTTATATACAAGCGGGCTTCGGGTACATATCAACTCTCTGTTAGTTCGGTCCATACTGCGGGGTCCAAGAAATCCAAAACACAATGCTACCTTTCGGATAAGATCGATTGATAGAAAGGTGGGTCAGTAAATAGGCAGCATAAAGGTTAGGTTCAAGTCTATGCTAGCCTCGAGCTCAGCGTTGGAGACGTCCCCGGAGGGCGTATGATGTTAGCAGAGGGCGTGTGATGTTGTCAGAGGGCGTCGATAGCTGACACAGATATATTGCTGTCAGAAACATTATATTGTTCTGAATGTAAAATTGCTTTGTTTTATTTTTGAAAACTGAAGTGCAACAATGTCCGAAGCGCGAAGACCTGTCTTTTTCAAAAATTATGATAGCACTGCTGTTGATCACCCTCGTCCAAGCTCACATAACGATGCGATAAAACTACACCAACAGCTCCCCGGATACTCCCCTACGCCTTTGATTTCGATTCCTAAACTGGCAACAGAACTTGATGTTCGTGCCGTGCTCGTCAAGAACGAGAGTAACCGACTTGGACTTCCCTCATTTAAAGTCCTTGGCGCGTCTTGGGGTCTATATCGCGCGTTGACGGCTCGCCTTGGGCTTTTGCCGACTATATCATGGGCGGAATTGACCGAGAGGATTAAGATGGCGCCGAGCCCTCTCACTGTCATCACAGCGACAGACGGAAACCATGGACGGGCTGTTGCATATATTGCGAAACTGCTATCCATCAAATGCGAAATTTATGTGCCACGTACTATGGATGCTCACACTCAAGCCCTAATCAGCGGTGAGGGTGCCACTGTCCATGTTGTGCAAGCAGACTATGATTGTGCGGTGCAGACAGCCGCCAAAGCATCCCAGGCTGTAGATGGTGGGCTATTGGTGCAAGATACCTCGTTTGAAGGCTACGAGGAGATCCCGGCATGGATCGTCGACGGATACTCGACTATGATGACCGAGATCGACTCACAGTTGGCCGACATAGGTTTTCAGAGCACCACCGTGGTTACGCCCGTTGGCGTGGGGTCATTGGCACATGCTGTTGTCAAGCACTTCAAGGCTCGTCCTGAGGGCCCGAAGGTGGTTACGGTAGAGCCAGACACAGCGGCGTGTTTATATCAGAGCCTTAAGGCTGGCCAGATGATACCAGTTGAAACTACACCAACAATCATGGATGGCTTGAACTGCGGTACTGTTACACCAGTCGCGTGGAACGACCTGCGTCGACATGTAGATGCAAGCGTCACTGTGTCTTGTTACGAGAGTCACTGTGCTGCGCAATACTTAGCATCCGAAGGCGTTACTGCAGGTCCTTGTGGAAGTGCAAGCCTTGCAGCATTGAGGCGAATTGCAGAATCGAAAGAAAGCTCACGTATTCTGAAAAGCGATTCAGTCGTGGTTTTGTTAAGCACTGAAGGTTATAGACCATACCCGATTCCTCACGATGTATCCATCGATGACCCAGTATCTCTCACCCAAGAACTGACACGAATTGACTCGTCAAACGTGACTCTATCCGCTGCAGATGGCGCTGGTGAGACAGGCATAATCGAGTATATCTCAGCATGGCTTGCGCATCGCGGTATTGAAACTCACCGCATTGAAACTGTCTCTGGTCGTCCTTCAGTCGTTGGCGTTCTTCGTGGTAGCGGTGGCGGTAAGTCATTGATGCTCAATGGCCATGTGGACACTGTTAGTCTGGCCAGCTACGACCATGAACCGCTGTCTGGTAACTTGGGAGAGAGAAATGGCTGTCCTGTTGTGTTTGGTCGCGGTAGTTTGGACATGAAAGGTGGGCTAGCTGCAGCTCTATCGGCCTTTGCTGCGATTAAGACGAGTGGATGTACCCTTGGTGGCGATGTGATTCTGGCTGCCGTGTCCGACGAAGAAGACGCTTCCCAGGGAACTCGCGACCTCATCGAGGCTGGATGGAAAGCAGACGGTGCAATTATACCAGAACCGACAATGTGTGCGATTGTCCCTGCCCACAAAGGGTTCCTTTGGGTGGAAATCGATATCCTCGGTGTTGCTGGCCACGGCTCGAACCCTGCCACTGGAGTCGACTCGATCCTCTTGGCCGGTCATTTCTTGACTGCTCTAGAGAGGTACCAGCGCCAACTTCCCGTAGACGACGTACTTGGGCCGGCGTCTCTCCACTGTGGTCTAATCAAGGGTGGCGAGGAGCCATCGTCTTATCCAGCAAAGTGCACCATTACAGTGGAATTCCGAACCGTACCAGGACAGACAGGCGAATCTATTTTCCGGGATATGCAAAAAATTCTGGCGGATATCGCCAAAAAAACTCCGGGATTCAAATACGCAGACCCCCGGGTCACCATCTCTCGTCCAACCCAGAAGATCCCATATGATCACCCTTTGGTCCAGAAGACGGCTGATCTTGCGAAGAAATCGTTAGGACGATCGCCTTCGGTTGAGGGCGCGGCGATCTGGTGTGATGCAGCTTTACTCACTCAGGCTGGTACGCCAGCCATTGTGTTTGGTCCTTCTGGCGAGGGTCTCCATGCGAAGGAGGAATGGGTTGATGCGGAAAGTGTTAGACATGTGACGGACATCCTCACTGGCCTGGTTAAAGATTTCTGCCAGTAATAGGTTTCATTCCTATAGAAAAGAGAAAATAGAAGTATAATTTTTGCATTCCCGTTCCTGTATGTCTCAGTAGTCTAATAGAGTCAGATCGTGCATTTCTGTCCACAGCTTCCGTAAGACAGACTACCTCAGTGTATAGAATGATATTAAATAACGAGCAAGTGAATCTCTTCTGCTTTTTTTTCTCATAAAAGTCAAGGGCGCGCTTTGGTCAGGTGACTCGGTTGGGAAAAATCATCTCTTATCGTCTTCATATCGCCTCCATACTCCGAAAGACCTACCAGCGCTGTCTACCATTTTTGTTTCTCTCGACTAATATTGCTGGTATGGTATTTTGACAATGGAAAAAGACTCTAAGCATTTGAATGATCTGCTAGTACCGTTCGATCACACTCAGAATGCGCTAGAGACGGCGGCAACGGAGCAATTCCCGATCTCCGATGGAATACGGTGGGATGACTGGACGGTAGGTCTCGAGTCAACAGCGTCTTTGGATCACCATAGTGGATTTGGCCTTCAGGTAGATTCCACGGAGGATTATACATTCGACTTTACCGAGCTGCTCGCACACCAGAGCTCTGGTGACTTTGACCAAACAATTGGCTACGACTTTCCTGTCGGGGAACAACTACCTGGACTTGCTGAGATCGACAACAACGAATCCCCAAACGACTTCACCAATGTCAGTCTCTGGCTGAACGGTGCATATCGTCCACCTATACCATGTAGCCATTGCAGTGTAAACCGGCTACAATGCCTCATTATCCAGACTACACAGGCGAATCCTAACCCGGCTACTTCGTGCTCCAGCTGTGTTGCATTGTTCAGAGAATGCAGCCTCGCTCGGGGAGAGAAACGCCAACCGGCAGGGTTTGAGACTGATACGCCGGTTCTTGGTCATCTCCATGGGGTTCCGGAGCAGACAGAAGGACAGCCTAGCCAGACACAGGCACCGGGCGATCACGATAACACCCAGGAAGAAGGTATTTACCCACGAAGCAATACCGGCTTTCATAGACAGAATTTCTCGAAAAGAGGCGCGAAAATTTTGAGGGACTGGTATTACCAGCATCAGGAATATCCATATCCCTCTAATGAGCAAAAAGCCGAACTTGCTCGTGAGACCAACTTCACCAGGAAGCAGGTGTCTGATTGGTTTACCAATGCACGGAGACGCCAGAAACAGACGATACAATTCTCCAGACCAGCCCAGGTCTTCCGTGCCGGCTCACCCATGCCGACTAGCGGGATCGAGTCCTTGACACCCCTGGAGAGGTGGCAGCAGTCACCACCCGAGGACGAACCCGTGCCTGAATCGGCCATTAAAAACGCAATCGCATCAACATCCACTGATATGACCCGGTCAAGTTGGAACACCTCGCACAGGGTAGATGATATCTTCCAAAATAGCGCAGACGATGTTACCTCTGCGTCCAGTGTTGGCAGTAGAAATTCCTACGCATCCTCCGACAGTGCCGCATGGAGCTATCATTCTGGAGAGAGCTTGCCATTTCCACTACTTTCTAGAAGATCATCTATTAGATGTCGAAAGAAACGGGTGCGGAGCCAATCATCACAAAAAGAGCGTCGATATCAGTGTACGTTTTGCACTGACACATTCGCAACAAAGTACGACTGGAACAGACACGAGAAAAGCGTGCACTTATCCCTAGTGTCGTGGATTTGCGTCCCAGAACTCGCAGAGACCTGGCATACAAACGATGGACAAGCAGGATCAACATGCAAATTCTGCGATACCCCCACTCCATCAATGTCCCACATCGAACTGCACGAGTTCGACATCTGCGCCACAAGGCCCCAATCCGAGCGCACGTTCAGTCGTAAAGACCATCTCTGGCAGCACCTGCGCAAATTCCACCGCTGCACTAAACTGCCCAGTATGGATGTCTGTCGGACAGAGTCTAACAATGTGCATAGTCGGTGTGGATTCTGTGGTATTGTTTTCAAGACTTGGTCTGCAAGGGCAGATCATCTGGCGGAACACTTCAAAAGTGGCAAGCAGATGGACCAGTGGACTGGCGATTGGGGACTGGAGTCGTCCGTGCTAGCGGCGCTGAAGGATGCGATGTTGCCGGGTGATAGAGCTGGACCGGGATAGCCCGATTTGTTGGGGTCTACTAGCAATAGTGACGTTGGTTGTAAACACCACTAGACATTTCCCGTGCTTACAGTATACATGGTTGATCTATTTATCATCTTATTGTATTCCAGCACATGTCCTAAAATGCTCCAACAAATAATTTCGCCCTGCGGCCTCCGTGGAGACCCAAACGGGACAACGGCATAAATCGCCTGAATCGGGGATCTTCCGATCACCATGGCCCATGCATTGTAATGACAACCGGACAAGGAACCGGATTCTTGAAGTCTCTTAAGCGCAAACCGAGCCGGATCACATTCTCAAATTTGAGGCGCCTTTTTTGCATTTGTATCATATGCACTGTTGGACAAGTCCCACACCATTAAATACAAGTGTCTGCATCCGCTTAGCCACTCCGGTTCCAAACCCCTTCATCCGACAAAAGTCAAGGAATTGACTATTGGGGATTAGAGTGTTACTTAACCTTATGACGGAATTAACCAATCAAAACTCGACTGATATGGTGGCGCTCTGCTCTCTACACTTTCTGTCCTTACTCCCTTACTCCCTATGCCGTATCTGTGCACCGTGCTGTGGCTAATGATAATACTAAGGAATGCAGTGTCAAATGCAAGGTAAGTCGTCCCGGTCAATGCTCCAACTAGGAATATCCGGACACATGGCAATGGCGGTGCTCAAGCATGAGTACTGGATTGGTTATACCTGATATCTTCCATCTCCTCTATTCGCTCTGTTTCTTTTAGGCAACAGGTTTCGGCAATACAGCAAGGATGCAGCCCAATTAGGCTTGCTCCGAGTGCAAGGGTTATGTATCCGAGCAGATCATGAGATACTGGGGCTTTAAGAGTAGTCTTTGCTTGACGATCAGTGACGATAGGTGGAAACACCCGCAGTAGTGAGCCAAGGTCGTCGAGTCAGCGTTCCTGGTCAGACCTGCACCAGGTCAGGCAGAAAAATTCTATTGGAGTGTAGAGTGGTGCAACGTCAGAGCCGTGGTCAAACTCTCGACGAGGAAAAAAAGACAGAGTCGCCATGACCGCAGAGCAGACGTCATGGACCGAGGCTCTCGTTGGCCCGATCAGGACTAGTGTGGGTCACGTTATGGAACTAAACCCAATGCGGCTAAATACAATGATGACGTCAAGGAAACATAGGACAGCCGAAGCAGCAGAAAGAAAGTTCATACTTCCCCGAGAATGAGGAACCACTTAGCATTCAGCAGGGAAACCTAACAGCGACGATGATGATGCCTCACTCACGATTATATCACTACTCTCGTGCGCCAGAAGGAGGCCCGCGCCGGGATCTCCGGATATCCGCTTTAATACCACCATCCTGCCCTGACCTTTGCTTTTCTTTTCCCCTCGTGCTGTTCTAATAACTTTTTCTTCTTCTTTTCTCTCTTTCTTTACTCCTATTAGTTGCTACTTGTACCTGCGATTGACCATTGGTCTGCTTCCTGTCACCTTTGATAGTTATACTAAACTACTTGCTGTCACCATACAATGTTGGGAAGTATGTATCTCTCTCCGAGCAAAGCACAAGAAACAGAAGGGATTGAAGAAACTGACTTCTTTTAGGAGCGGGATTAGGCTTTGCAGGCCTCTTCTGGATGGCTTCCGGCCTTCTATTGATGTGGTTCACATTCCTGGGAGGCACAAGAAACAGCAACCCGCTGAACAGGATTTACTTCCTCGAAGCTGCCACCGGCGACATCCCAGGCGCTCCGGCGACATCCCGATGGACTCTCTGGAACCTTTGCCCTGTTGTTGATGGAAAGAACGACTGTGGATCGAATACACCCGATTTTCCCTTTGACCCTGCGAGCCACAGGAACTTCGGCACTGATGTCAATGTCCCGTCTCGGTTTGTTGACAAGTAAGTTACAACACCCCTCAATGACAAGCTGTTGATGGCGGGTGAATCTGACTGTTGGAAGCCACAACCACTACTTCATTACTTCTCGGTTCATTTTTCCATTCATGCTCATCGCCTTGTTCTTTGGCGTTTTGTCCTTCTTTACGGGATTCTTCGCCATGTGCGTTCGGGTCCTTGGCCATGTCTCTGGCGTGTTTGCCTACATCGCCTTGACCTTCCAAACCATAGCCACCGCTATGATGACGTGAGTGCTCACAAGTGAACCCATGGCATGATGTGATGCGGTTGCTGATACACGAAACAGTGCTGTCTTCGTCCAAGGCCGCAACGCCTTCAGCAGTAACGGTCAACCTGCCAAGGTCGGTCCCATGGCTTTCGGTTTCATGTGGGCCTCAGTTGTCTTGCTCTTCTTCTCCGCCTTGTGTTACTTCTGGGGAGGAAGTCTGAAGCGGGATGATGGCGGCTACAGTGGTCGGGAACAAAGACGGCGAGGCTTTTTCTCTTCTCAGCGCTCGTCCAGCGTGAGAAGCAACAAAGAGACCAATGTTTAAGGAACTCGTCCGGTTGCTGTAGACGGAAACACCGTCTGGATCAAATGCCAAATTTGGTCCGTCGTCACGAATAAAACGACACCGTTACGGATACTATGATTTCTTCGGACTACTTAATCTTACCGCGCTCGATCGCAGTAACATCGTTACATAATATCGGAGGAAATTCGGATGACAAGGAACATGTTCAATTCGGCAATTCATGCTTATGAATATGTTGGCACCAACACATCTTGAATCTCCCTACGCCTTTCTTGCGCGATTAGGAATGATTCCTCGCGTATCAGTTTTTTTTTTTTTGTGCTGGTTTTTGACGACACTTTCATGATATCTCTCAGTTGGTTTTCTTACTTACCTTAATAATAAGTGTAATATAATAGTCGAATGTGCTCTTAACTTGATTTCAATAAAAGCTGGTGTATTATTAGAACTTTCAGGTTAACTCTCAGGTTAACTCTCAGTTCCTTTTCCATCTTACATTTCTAGATCTGCTTGTGCTGCTTGCTGCCAGATGTTTATTCATGGCATAAAAACCATTCATTATTACACTAACAGCCAAAATCGCCTGAGGAATTCAATATATCATAGACACGGGCCAAGAGGTGGTGTTCAGCTTTATGGTTACTTTCAGTCCACACTTTGGTCATTGACATGTCCATCTAAACACCCACAACAGAGGTCCACCTGGGTTTTATCCATTCACAAATTTCTCCAATGTTACGTGGGAGGGATGTATTTTCTTCCCTTTCCGATTGATGCGCATGGCTACCCACATGTCGTATATTCAATATCAGTGTTCGTAGTGAATGTATATCCCAGGGCTAAGTTCCTAGCAAACGGAAAGGTACTTCCTCTTTCGCACTTCAGTTGTCAATGAGGAACACCTGCAAGCATCCACCATCGCTACCCCTGATCCGTCAAGGCAGAATAATCTCCCATCGACTATCATCTTTTCACCAGCTTCACCATCTCCAGGCCAAGATACCGAGGAGAAGTAAGTACAACTAATCGCCCTGTCCAATTTTATTTCTGCTAATAACTTCCGTTATAGACTGGCGTATAGTATATAGCTTCATCCACGGGGATCCATGGAAAGAACGAGCGATCGTTCTGAACGACGAGCTTTTACTAGTGGTAAATTAAAAACAATCACCATAGGGCCCCCGTGGGTTCGAACTCCGGGGTCTCTTCCTCCGGCGCCTCGAAGTGGTGGTGTTTGATGCTTCAGAAAGCATGTCACCTATCCTATAAAACGCCCATACGGCCTCTAACGTATGAACCGTCGATCACAAGATATTCATACAGTAACTCCCATACTATATAAACCGCAGAACAGTGGAGCAACAGGCACTCATATCCTAACTCCAGCGCTTAAGCTGTGGCTCACGCTGTATGAGGCCTCTTCGGGTCAAATTCGGAGAACTTGGTATAGCCTATCGACTGTCCTTCCTCTCAATTTTGCATTTGTCATCTCGCAAAATATGCAAGATATCTTGAATTGTCGTCTTATTCTATAAATATGGTCAGCAAAGCTTTGGGCCCGGTGCGAGTGGCAAGCTATGCGAAACGATTTCAAGGAGACGTATAGGCTTTACAGTAGAAACGATATACATCTCGATGGACCTAGCCTTTTCCGTGCCATTACTGTTATCTAACGACATGGAAACCTTCTAAGTCTTGAGCACCATCACAACAGGACCGGCTCTCCTGTTGCATTTATATACGCAGGTCGTAACAATATACGAGAATTACCGCAGGTCTGAAAGCGTTCGGTTGGACCCAAAATTTGGTCATACCGAACAATTTGCGCGACTTTTATGAAAAGACTCAAGTGACTTGTGATAACTGGGAACGAACTGGGCCCTTTCTCTATTGATGTTGTCTTCCGACAGCCTCCATCTGCACCTTTTAACACGGTCTCATCATTGTTGCATTTAATGTTCAGACTTCAGCAATTATTTTAATGATGGTCTGGATTTATACAAGCGGTCCATGGTAAGCATTCGTTCTGATACTCTAAATTGCGTCGCACATACTTATGTTCATTTTAAAGCCTGCTTCACCCTCATCCTCAATATGGACCGGACAGTCTCCTATATGTTTGCAAATCAAAACATCGTAGCACATGTCTACGAGCGACTGTACCTGTGGGGGATATACCAGATATTTCTGTGCAAAGATTACCTGGCGAACGCAGTGGCCATTTACGCAATTTGCTGGTATCGCCACATGGAATGAAATTGGGCTCAAGCTGTCCTTGTTTGGTACCAGATGCCCCTGCATTGACAAAAGTCTGTACACATGACGGTAGCCACAGGCGAGCGATAGAGACTGTACTCGTATATCAACAACGTTGTCTCAAGAAAAATGTGATGTGACCATTTCGCTGTCGTGTGGACAGGAAGTCAGCTCGTGGTCATGCCCGTGCTCAAATTAAGTTAACCTCGGAGAACGCCTATCTTTCTCAAATCGATTGAGCTTTCTTGGTTTCACTATGCTGCTAGGTGACAGGAACTACCTGAGTATATGAAACTCTCAATGCTGCTTAAATAGGTCCGAATAACAGCTTTTGGAGCTTGCAGCATCCTGGATAAACCTGACCAGATATCTGATATCCGGGATGACATCTAACATTGGGAACGTAGGAATGTTCCAAACAAATCGACAGTGCGGGTACGACGAAATGCAATTTTGAGCAACTCTATTCCCGTTGGACTTGCAAAGAAAGATTACAATCAGGCGTCATTCCCCGTCGTCGTCCTTCTCATCCAAGTCAAAAGCGGTAGCAGAGAATTGACAAGCAAGTATAAGAACTTATTTCATCAGTAAATACCAACCTACCACATATTCAAGCCTAACATACTAGCTAAAATTGCAGTTGAAAGTATCTCAAGGTGTCTCAGTTAAGGGAAAGCTCTTCCATGATGCTGCGAAGCCTGGGATAAAGTCAATACACTTCCAGGCTCTAGGTGGCTTTCCAGTTACATGTATATCATCAATGGTGGCTATATCAAGGACATTTGCGCGTGAATGCTCGTTCTTCTATGGTATCGTCAAGTACTTGGCTAGTTACCACTACAGCTATGGCGAGACTCATGTCGAGATCTCATCTCACCTATCAGTCCTCTGCTAGAGACTACCCTCGCTAAATGGACATTTATTGCAAATATAAATATACATCTGTTCCATGATCTCAAAGACCGCTACTATGTCGTGCATTCCAAGAGAGCCTCAAACTAAAAACTGAACACTGTTGTCCAAGCTGTCTTTGAAGAAGAGAAAGCAGATTACAAAGTTGTTTGATACAAAGAGCAAGGCTCATAAGGCCGCAGGGGTTAGCATTGGATGCTCCAGCTCAATCCTTGAAACGATGACATAAACTTCACTATAATGCTGGAGCTATGGGAGGAAGCTCATTGATGGTCTGCGCAGAGACATCTCTTGTGGGATATTGGGAGAATTCCTGCAAAAAGGACATTTTATCAGGGAGATAATCGGATAACTAACTTGCTATATGCTTTGCTGAAGGGCAGTGACGCGATTCTATGTCGAGCTAGTCAAGGATGCCCTTGTAGACGTGCTCACCGACTCTGATTCTTCCTTTTTGACGCAAAGCAAATTCCTTTGGATATCTCTCAAATCATGAATACCATAATCTAGCAGTTGTTGCTGCCCCGAAAGTTTAGGAATGGTAATATGATACGAGCAGAATTAAAGCAACGAACTCGAGCAAAATGCAGCTAAAGGAAGGTAATATTGAGATCCTTATCAGAAGTAAGAACAGGGCATTAGCTAGCAAAAACCTTGCTTCTCAAAATCAAGTTCTTCTTGCTCTACTCAACTAATGCGCTGTTTTTAAGCATCGAGCCCACCTGGTTCTCACCCTCCGTATTAGAGATATATACGCAGTCCGTCGAACCTTCCAAGTATACATAGATCCTATGACCATGCGCGTCTTCATCTTCAAGCAAATTTAACCTTCCCATATGATCTACCGGATAATCAACACCTAGTCTGATTTTTAAGCCTACTTTAGGCTTGATACCTTCGTACATGAGGATCTTGGGGCCTTGCTCTTTTGAGGAGTACCTGTCTGTACCCACATCTCGTATTTCCTTGATTGTGAACTTGTATTCTGCACACTAAAGCTCATGGCTCTACACTAATGCACCTACAAGCACCGGGCCGAATTCTCTCCGTCCCCTATTCGTATTCCTAGTACTCGGTAGTAACCGAATGATTGATAGGGCCAGTCGAACAAAAGGGGCCTAGAGCCTTATGCGCGAAAAAGCAAACAACAATGGCCGCTTTAAGATGGGATCTCTCCCTTTAAAAATTAGGTTATACTCCGTAGCTAGTCTGTCGATGAGGAATAAGGATACGGATCTCCCTGACCTCCTTGTCCGCATAATAGGGTGATTTTGAGTTCATAAGAATAAGGTGATTAAGCGTATTCCGTAGTTAGCGCATCAAAGTGTAATGTGTGTTTCAGAAATTTGGCCTTTTGATTGTGAAAAATGTTTGCTGTGGTTGCTTGAAAAGGAGAATTTACTTCGTACTCCGTATGTAGTTCGGGGATGTGGTTCTACCAGAGACTGACTGCCTGGAGTATCGATCGGATGGCAAATCCAAGCACCGAACCGAAGCACCGGAGCACTCCGTGCCAATAGGAAAACATCCGTTGGCAGCGACAATGCCATTACGCAGACTCCATACACCCAGCAGCGCCATCTGGTTTCATCTGTCAAGTGCTGATAGGCCGAACAGGTGGTCTTGACATCGACACCGAGTCATGTGACCGAAATCCGTATTCGGGTTGCGTAAAGTGCAGAGTATAATTGGCACTAAGAGAGCAAGCATAACTTGGATGAGCTTGTTTATCAATTGTCATCATACATAATAGCTAGTTAGGAGCATGGTATTAATTGCACTCCGTACGAAGAACGGAGAACGGAACATATTCAGACAAGCACGTCCGAAGGCAGAACTCCGAACCGAGCTATTATAGTAGAACCCCTGGGGTAAATAGCATAAAAATAATATTAGTACCCGGTAGCGCTCCATACATAGCGATACCATTTAGAATACCGCAGACTAACCAAAACAGAGAAACAGACGAAAACAACCTCGACGCCATCGCAGACCAACTACCGTTGAACCTAATGTGTAGAGTGTTTATTTACCAGATGCGGTAACATCTGCGACTAGGTGGGCGATCATTCGTTTAGATTCTGTGAGTGTCTACTGCGGACATTAGACCACTTACAAATTTAGAGACACATGTCTACAAGTGCAAAGATGCTCTGTATGTCGTATGTCTTATGTCTCAATCTATCAATTCCAATTATTGTGTATCCGCAGTTGGTACGAGTACGATACATCCATCCCTCACCACGAGGCCGGCTGAACCGGTGGTCAATGAGTAATCCACAAACCAGGAGGACCTGTAGACGAGATCATCGTTGGCCATTGCGCTGGTTAATATTCGGCAGACTACTAGTAGTGTCCTCGACCAGGCGAAGCTGAGTCTAGCCGTGAGGTTGTCTGGATTGAGTATGGATGTTCATTTCTGGATATGGACACATAGCAAAGATCCGGTTCAACGGGCGTCACCCAAACATTGCGCGTTCCCACTGCCCCACTGCATCCAGGACTTGTATTTCTGTACAGAGGACATGTAAAAATATTGACGGTCTTTGTGATGGACGTACAGCAGATACAGGTACAGGGCAGAAGTACGTGATAGACACAAGGATGACTGCAGCGCATCTGCAGTTTGACAGGATCTGTAGCATAATCGCATGTATGCACAGGGAGAAGTTCCTTGTCCAGGTGTGTGTGCGGCACGAAAATCCCCAACCAATCAGCAGGTCATGTGCGATTAACTTTACAGCCGGAAGAGTTACGCGGAGGGACAAAAGACCCGACACACCCCTCACTGCATCACCACACATACACATATGTGTACACACATTGAACCGTACTTGTGTCTCAATATATTGCGCCGATTATAGATATAATCTACGATTCTACCAGTACACTGGAGCGTAGATGTGATAGATCATCTGACTGGGTACGCTGAGGAAAATACGGAATGCGAACCCTGACCGGGAAACGAGTCAAGACAACCAAATTATTTTATTGGCCACCAGGTATCCGGAACGCCCCATAAACCACCCGAAAGGCGAGAGAAAAAGTGGAGACTGCTGTGGAGACCACTATGGACCTGGGACGGTCCAGCCCCGGCCGGGTAATATTACAGTACGTCGCATTACGGGCTGCCGCTCAGAGAGAAATAAAAATTTATATCATCCCAGCATCCCAGCATTGCTCGTGTCTTCAGAAGTAAATACTACTTGGTACAGATTTCACTCGCTTTGATAGCGGTGGTCATTCGTTATTATATCATTGTTCATTTTAGTTATACGACTCGGTGCAACTTCGCAACAATTCAATTGACTGACACCCAGGTCGGTGATCTATCATCTCTCATTGCCATCATCAGCCCGCGTTTCTTTTTCTTTGATATTATTTCGTGGCTTCGACTCAATTCCCCCCATAAAAAAGACGGCTTATTTCTTTTTCTTTCATTTGAGAATTCCAACTATCGATCCTTTTCCCGGCCCTGTGGATATAAAGCAAATCATCCGCTGGCATCCCAGAGTCCCGGTCCCTCCCCAGTCTTGCGCCGGAATTTCTTCCTGACCATCCATTCCACAACATCCTCGTGTCGGATGGAGACATCTCACGTTCCACGCGATTCATCAATCTATTGAATTTAGAAAAAGGCCAGCCTGTGGCTTTTTCGGACTCAAATTTCCCGGATTGCAGCTTTCTTTATTTTTTTTTTTGTTGTTTTTTGGTCGGTTGCGTTGCCGTCACAGTCGCACATCCTCCCTCCTGTGTGGCGCATTTGGAATCCCTCTTTCTTCATATAAACACCCCTCGCCTGCTCTCGTTTCTTTACATTTTGTGAATCATAGAGCTGTGGTTACTGTCCTGTCTACTCTTTCTATATCCACACCACACTACACACAATGGCGCACGCGGAAGAAGTCCTCGGTGCCCCCGATGGCTCTGCCTTGACTTGGATCTTGGATCATTGCCTTCGCTACCCCGGCACCTACGAGATCCCTCTGCGGACTATGTACGCTCTGAACTCCAACCCGACTCGTTACGCCAACGAAACCACCCGCTCCAACCGTTCCTCCGGTTCCTCCAACCTCTCCATCTCCTCCGCCCAGAACCAAAACATATCATCATGGGACGCGGCCGCCGAACTCCGCGCTCAACTGTCCCACCAGATCTCGCGTCTCCCTACCCAGCCTTGCTCGCTTCCTCCTAGCTTCATCACAAGCTTCCTGCGTCGCTGCTTTTCTCCCGTTCTGGACGAGGTGGACTTCCCTCAGGCCTTGACTGCGTTGGACTACCTCAAGGACCTCGACAGCCGCCGGAGAAAGGAAGTTGCTGCGACCCTGCGTCGTCTGGGTGTCGAGACTGACACTCCTAACAGTCAGGCGGAGTTGAAGGAGACCAGGCCTGCGACTCTCTCGTGGATCGAGTCGATGAATGTCAAGATCCGCAGGGCGGAGTCGCTTTACAGTCAGATCTACATTGGCTTGCGTCGCTGGACCTTGCTGAACGAGATGCTCCTCAGCGAGCCTTACAACAAGGCCAACTGCATTGCCTTGCTCAACACTCTCTTCCCTCCTGTCACTGAGTTCACCGTCACCCCTACCCCTCAGCTTTCTACCAAGACCCTCAAGGCGCAACGGGACGGTTTCTTTCGCTACATTACCGCTGTCGACACCAACGGCAAGCAAATCCTTGAGAAGCTGATGATGCAAGGCGCGCGCGAAGGCGAAACCAACAACTGGACCGTCATCCGCGAAGCACTTGACAAGTACTTGCGCCTCGCCAACGAAATCATCGATGAGTGCACCGCGGTCACCGGCCCGGCAAGCCTAGGTGAAGATGAATTCCGCAGGGGTCGCAAGGTGGACTCTGGTATCAGCTTTGTCTCGGCCCACAAGCCCATGTCCTCTGTCAGCAGTGGCCCTACCGCGGAAGATCTGGACAAGCCGCTGCCTCCGTCGCCCAACTCCAAGAGGGGTGGCTCTACCTTGGAACGTCTGGCTCGTGAGCTTCGCAAGCTGGGCGATTCCGGAGTGTCTAAGAACTTGAGGAAGATGAAGTCCAGTGCTGCCCTCTCCTCCCGGCCAGGGACCCCCAGTCCCACTGAGCAATCGTCTTTTGACATGGACGACCAAAAGCGTCGGCGATTCCTCTGGGAGGCTTCAAACCGCAGGACGCATTCCAAGCAACCCAGCTCAGATTCTCAATAATGCGTCTATTTCTATCCTTTTTTATTTTTATTTTTTTTTATTTTTACATCTTGTTTGGAGTTGGTGATATTCTTCCGGTCGGATGAGCGTTCATTATTCCCATTATTTTTTTTTTTTTTTTGTTACTTCTACTGCATTGGTCGGACTGGCATATTCCCATTTGTTTGAGTTGGTGTTGGATTGGCGTCTGGAAAAACATTCAAAAACGGGCAAATCTGGTGCATGCTTTTTTTTTTTAACTTCGTTATGATTCCCATGTTTGACGAATACTTGATTTTAGTACAGGAATTGAGTTATTACTCTTCAAAAAAATTTTTTTTTTTTTTTTTTTTTTTTTTTTCGTAAATACGTACTATGCTCCTGTGTATGCCTAAGGTAATTTTACATGTTTACTCTCGGAAGTGCTGCGCAAGTGGCCGCTGCGCCCGCCGGAGCGTCATCTATCATAGCCTCATAGGTGTCCAGATGAGGCATCATTTATCTCAATCCAGACATCACCTTCGATATTACTTTGATATTGACCTCAATTTTCAGAAATTTCTCTATCTGCCTGTCTGCATTCTACATCGATTGTGTCGTTATCTGATCATTCCTCGCGAACCATACCAAATCCGGCCCACTCGCCGTCACCCACGGAGTATGCTGGCTACCCTCTGTCAAAGCGTAGCTAGCAGATAAGATCGTCCATCCTTTGTGTGGGGATAATTTACTCATTGATTGGCACAAGGCACATTCTCTGCATGGGAAATGGTGTCGACTAAGTCGCTGGTCGCCTCATGGCGACTGTATGCTATTGTCGCGACTGGGCTGACCGGCCTGGTACGCACAAGTCCATCAGTCAACGTCGCTCTGCAGGCATCATTTGATTCGGCGCCGTATCTTCTGGAGCTTCTGTAAGCTGTCTGATATTTCATTTTATATTCGATTGATGACTAACTGTCGCTCAGAGAAACAGCCGCAGAAGAAAACACAACCGCCTACTTCCCCATCCTCGACCGCATCGCCGACGGTACCTTCGACGACCTATCAACAGACCAAGACCTCTACGAGCGATTCTTGAAAATCGTCCACGATGATGGGCACCTCAGAACCCCCGAAAGCCTTTCCTCGTTCAAGCTGTCGCTGGCAGTTCGGTCGGCGGCTCCACGGATCTCGGCCCATTACCAGTTCTACAATACGTCTGTCCAGCATTCGTTGATGGCGGCGCAAGACGCGGCGTGTCCGATGTGGGTGCATTACGATGGAAGTCAGTATTGCTCGTCTGCTATGGAGAGAGCGCAGCAGGATGTTGAGGGGGAGTCGAACTTGCGAGTGCTCCCGTTTGATCGCGTCTTTGGTGATGAGTCGTTGCCGCCTGCTGTGTTGTATGCGGATATTGCTTCGCCTATGTTCAAGGAGTTCCATCAGACGATGACTGCTCTTTCGAAGGAGGGGCAGTTGTCGTATCGTGTGCGCTATCGACCACCGCAGCATTGGGCTTCGCGTCCTCTCTATGTGTCTGGATACGGAGTGGAGCTTGCGTTGAAACGGACAGACTATATCGTTGTTGACGACCGTGATGCTAAGCAGAGAGGTGAAAAGGATATCGCACCAGGCACAGAGGGTAAGGAGGACTCTCCAGACGACCTCAAGCCGTTGTCCTCTTCCGAGGTGGACCGTCTCGGTAAGAACACCGTCAGCTACGTGATGGACAGCGACACTCCACTGGACACACTGGTGAAGCTATCCCAGGACTTTCCCAAGTACTCCGCCCATGTAGCATCTCACAATGCCACCGGCGAGCTTTTGGAGGATATCCGCGAGAAGCGTGGTCGCATGCTTCCACCAGGAGCAAACCTTATGTGGATCAACGGCGTTCAGATGCACCCGAGCAAGATTGATGCATTCACCCTCTTGGACCACCTGCGTCGGGAGAGAAGACTGATTGACAAGTTCCGGGACCTTGGAATACCTGCTCAGGAAGCTGTAGACCTGCTCTCTCATCCATTGCTGGGCGAGGCGCTCGTGCAGGATACAGCACAGCGTTTTAATTACAATGATGAGATTGAAGGCGGCAGCGTTATTATCTGGATGAATGACATCGAAAAAGACGCGAGATATGAGCAGTGGCCGGATGAGATCCACGCGGTACGTATTCTACCATCGACATCATATGCTTAGTGCTAACATGTTGTCCATAGTACCTACAACGCTCGTATCCTGGCCAATTGCCTGCCGTGCGCCGGAACCTGCACCACGCTGTTTTCTCGGTTGATTTGACCGATGCCCAAGACATTCAACTTGTAATTGAACCCATGCAAATGTTTGTGAAGCGGAAGATTCCCGTGAGATTTGGCTTAGTTCCTACTGTTTCGTCACCAGGTGCTATTGCGCAGGCCAAGGTTGCTCATTATCTTCAAGACAAATTTGGCCTATCAAGCTTGCTACAATATTTGGAAGAGGTACGTAATGACACGGTTGGGCTTTTGGTCAGTCACTGACTCGACTAGTCTCTCAAAAAGAAAAAGACAGCGTCTCCTGATGCTTCCTGCTTTGAGTCCACGACGAAGGACCGGAACATTCGTCCGGGAAGGCAACCTCTCTCATTGGAAGAAGTTTTGGCAACCGATGAGTATGAAACCATCGTTTCCCAAACAGCTAGCTACCAATCTCGACTGGGAATTAACCCCGGAAAACGCGACTTCTTCGTTAACGGTATTCCGTTGACTCGCGAAGAATCATGGACGCAAGAGTTGAGCATGCAGGTCAACCGGGACTTGCAGATGGTTCAACAGAGCATTTTTGAAGGCACCATTGACGATGATGCATCGTTTGCAAAGTTCTTGCTCTCTGATGCTGTTGATCGACGTAATCCGTTGATCATTCCTCAGGATCCCAAAGATGTCCGCATTCTGGACGTTGGGAAGATTGCGGATGCGCATAAAGATGCTTTGAACGAACTCCCCCGTCTGGCGTCGAGCGCAGAGAATGTGCTAGGCAGTGCTCATGTTCTTGTTGTTGGCGATTTTGACTCTGAAAGCGGTGTTCAATTGCTTACTGTGGCTTTGAACTCCCAAAAAGACCATGGCCAAGCAGAGGTTCTTTTCTTGCACAATCCTGATGGACAGAAGGTCGCAAAAGAATCTGCAAGACTTTACAAGTCGCTCAAAGAAGGCAAGAAGATTGATGCGACGCAGATTCTTGTTGACGTACAGAGGTCTGCGATATCAGATGCAGAAGCTGAAAGGATCTGCCAGACCTGGGCAGCGTTGCAGCCTCTTGCTCGCGATCTTGGTTTCGCTCCTGGAAAGACTGGCGTTGTTGTCAATGGACGTGCAGTTCATATTCCAGACGGATCTGCTCTTGACTCAGAGGACGTTAATCTACTTTTGGCCTACGAACGCACGAGGCGAATTATGCCAGTTGCCAAGGCTGTTGACGACCTTGCATTCGGCGCAAAGTTCTCTGAGCCTTTGGAATTCGCGAAGCTTACGTCTTTGGCTGCTCTGTCGACCATTTCAGATGTGCCTGAGGGCATGTTCGAATCTTCTTCTGATATTCGGCTGAACTTGTTCGGCAAGTGGACTGCGTCGCCTTCGGTACTTACGGTATCCAACTCGGAAGATCCCACGATCAACATTGTCGTGTCCATTGACCCAACATCGGAATTGGCCCAGAAATGGCTTCCTATTCTGAAGGTTGTTTCTGAACTGGCTGGAGTGCAGCTCAAGATCTTCCTGAATCCCCAAGACAAGATTAACGAACTTCCAATCAAGCGTTTCTACCGCTTCGTGCTGGACCCCAAACCCTCGTTTGCTGCTGACGGATCTTTGGCACAGCCTACGGCGTCCTTCTCTGGTGTTCCTCTGGAGGCGCTGCTTACATTGGGCATGGATGTTCCGTCATCATGGCTCGTGGCTCCTAAGGACTCTGTCTACGATCTAGATAATATCAAACTGAGCGCGGTCAAGAACGGAAATGTGGACGCTATATATGCACTGGAGCACATCTTGATAGAGGGGCATTCGCGAGACCTCACAGACCGCTCTCCCCCAAGGGGCGTTCAGCTCAATCTTGGCACAGAGGAGAACCTGGAGTATGCGGATACAATCATCATGGCTAACCTGGGTTACTTCCAATTCAAGACGCAGCCGGGATTGTGGAAGATCAGTCTGAAGCCGGGGCGCAGTCAGCAAATCTTCAACCTTGACAGCGTCGGAAGTCTTGGTTATAGCCCTAAGGTTGGTGATGATAACACCGAGGTAGCACTTCTTTCTTTCCAGGGCAAGACGCTTTTCCCGCGTCTCTCGCGCAAGAAGGGTCAGGAGCAGGAAGATGTCCTGGAGACGGGTCCTAAGCCGGGATCTGCGATGGACTACGTGTCCAAGGGACTCAGTTTTGCCTCTGGCATCCTGTCAAACGTGGGTGTTAGCACCGGAGCCCGTGCCAACGAGCACGCCGACATCAACATCTTCTCCGTCGCCAGCGGCCACCTCTACGAACGAATGTTAAACATAATGATGGTTTCCGTGATGAAAAACACCAACCACAGCGTGAAATTCTGGTTCATCGAACAATTCCTCTCTCCCTCCTTCAAATCCTTCCTCCCGCACCTCGCCGCCGAATACGGTTTCACCTACGAAATGGTAACGTTCAAATGGCCGCACTGGCTGCGCGCCCAGCGCGAAAAACAACGCGAAATCTGGGGCTACAAAATCCTCTTCCTAGATGTTCTCTTCCCCCTCTCCTTGGATAAAGTCATCTTCGTCGACGCAGACCAAATCGTCCGCACAGACATGCACGATCTCGTCACTCTAGACCTCGATAACGCACCCTACGCTTTTACCCCGATGTGCGACTCCCGCACGGAAATGGAGGGCTTCCGCTTCTGGAACCAGGGTTACTGGAAGACCTTCCTACGCGGAAAACCATACCACATCTCGGCTCTCTACGTCGTCGATCTAAACCGTTTTCGCGCGCTCGCTGCAGGAGACCGTCTCCGCGGCCAGTACCAGATGCTCTCTGCGGACCCGAACAGTCTGAGCAACTTAGACCAGGACCTGCCGAATCATATGCAGCATAACCTGCCGATTAAGAGTCTGCCGCAGGAGTGGTTGTGGTGTGAGACGTGGTGCTCGGATGAGGCGTTGGGGGTGGCGAGGACGATTGATTTGTGTAATAATCCGCAGACCAAGGAGCCGAAGTTGGAGAGGGCGAGGAGGCAGGTTCCTGAGTGGGGGGTCTATGATGGGGAGATTGCGGCTTTGGGCGAGAGAGTGCGGCAGCAATATGTGAGTGAGGAACAGGGGGGGCAGGTGGATGCAGAGAGCAGAGAAGGATCCGGGTGGGATAAGGATGAGTTGTAGGCTATGATCATGAAGCATGGGGCTCATTATCTAATCTAAATTATATACATGCATTTTGACCCTTCCTTCCAAGACATTTCTATACCAGTCCTAGACAGTAGAAGCATTAATCAAATAAAACTAACAACACAAGAAAAGAAGAAATCAGGGCGGGGAGAAATTTCGTAATATGTTAACATATTAAGGGGCAACCAAGATCACAGCCATGATCATTATCATGATTATTTACCGTCCTCATTCTCACTAGTCATCCGAGCCAGAGTAAGTTTCTTCGGAGTCACTATCCGCGTTTTGCTTCTCGTTTACTCCATTTGTTTCACTTTTGGCAGGCTGACTCTTATTCGTCTTGGGGTTGGGATTGGCACGTGGTCTGTGATCTGACTGTTCCTCTGACTCTGATTCTTCCGAGCCAGAGTCAGTCTCAGATCCTGATTCAGACTCGGAGCCGAAGCCGGATTCAGACTCCGATTTTGGTTCTTGCTTATTTTTGGCGGGTGCCGTTTTCCTGGGATTGGAGTTAGGCTTGGGTTTGGATGATGCCGGCAATGCCCGCAATTGCGGTTGTATCTGGGGTTTGGTGGAGTTGGCCTTAGCGTTAATGCCAGTGCTAGGTTTGGAGTTGGTCTTGCTATCTTTCTTCTTGGTATCCGAGTCGGATTCAAATTCAGACTCAGAGTCTGACTCAGATCCTGACTCCGACCCTGACCCCCATTTTGATTCAGATTCAGAACTCGAGTCTTCAGAGTTCGAAGCGTTGTTCTTATCACCAGTGGGAGTATTTTTCTGCTGCCATCCTTTTTGTAGATCCTTTTGTTTAGAGTAGTCTGTCGGCAATTCAGAACCTGATTCAGATTCTACATCTGAAGCACCGGAGTCGGAGTCAGACCCTGTTGAAGTCTCTGTTCCTTTGTTTGACGGCTGCTTTTCACGGTTTTTGTCTTCTGGTTCTGGGGTTGCTTTGGTATCTTTCTCATTGTTGCCTTCGTTTTCATCGTCCTCATCACTTTCGGATGTGGAGGCATCGCTGTCACCTCTACTATCGGATGTATCATCATTTGCGGGTGCTTTCTTCATTACATTTGACTGTTGAGAGTTGTTGGCTGCGGCATTGGTAGACGCTGAGGGTCTAGGTTTAGTTGCTTGTTGTTTTGTGCTTTGCGTTGTCTTTTCATCTTCAACTCCAGACTCGCTGCTCGAGTCTGATCCAGAGCCGGACTCCGATCCGGACCCGGATTGGGATTCATCATCAGATCCAAATGAGCTTTCACTCGCAGACTTTTCATTCTTTGAAGAAGCTTTATTCTTGCTCTTTTCTTCTTCTCTAGGACTAGTATATTGTCGCTTGCGATCTGATCCCTCTGATTCAGAGTCGGAAGAGTCAGAGAGTGTAGACAGTCGTGTGCGCTTTTGAGGGGTTGATTTTTGGCCTTTGGAAAGAGATGGTTGGTTCTTGGATGCGGGTTTCGGTTCGGGTGTCTTTGTAGACATGCTGTTTTTGCCTGAGGCTGTTTTGATATTGTCTGTAGAGGGTTGGTTTGCGTCGTTGCCGTTGTCGCTCGACTCCGACACGGAGCTTGTGTCTGTTTCGGAGCTGGACTCAGTTTCAGACTCAGGCGCCGGTCCTGGAACAGCCTTGGACTTCTCCGGAGAACCATTCGCCTGCCTTTTCACAAACATATTGATGGCAGAGGGTTTCTTGGACTTCGTCTCTTTTGAAGGCGACGGTGCAGCAGTGCTCGCATCCCGATCACCTTCCTCATCCTCCTCATCAGAGTCCACATATTCAGCACTCTTGTACTTGGAATCCTCCTTAGGCGTGTCAGTGGTAGGCGACGACTTGGGGTTTTTCTGCTTCTTAGGCGAACGCAGCTCCGCCGTAGGCTCATATGTAGCATCGGGATTGCCTCTGTTCCGCTGTTCGAGAACCTTGCGTCGGATTCTGCGCCATTTATCCGCGCACTGCTGTCTCGAGCGGACATGCTCCATACGAGTGCTGATTTGTCCCCATCCGATGAGCGTCTCTTCCATCTCGTAAATATCTTTGCCCGTGTCATACCCGGCTTTCTTATTCGCTTTCCATGTATCCCGAAGCGCATCTTGAAGACAACGGATCTCGTCCGCGGACCACGAGCCGCGTAGCATGGTAGCTCGATGCTCGAGACGGTTTTTCCATCTCTGCACGACATCATCGTCGCTACGGCCGAGAAGCTTGGCAATGTAAGCCCATTTCGGTCCATAGCGTGTGTGCATTGAGACGAGTTCGTCGTCTTGTTCGTGGGACCATTGATGCGGCTTTTGGGTGGATGCCTGGAAGTGTCGTCTCATGAAGCGGTAGACTGATCTCTGATCTCGCATGGGAATTGTCTCGTAGATGTTCTTCCAGAATTCCGGCTTAGTGATAATATCTGAATCGCAAGGAAATTCCACGCCCTTATCGCGATCGGAATGCTGGACCATCTGGTCGAAGCTGTCTGCTGAAAGTCCATGAGTGTTGCAGAAATTGAGCTTGAAGTTCTCCAGTTTTTGCACTTCCTCAGAGGTGAAGAAGCCCGTCAGCTTTTCCTTTCTCGCAGCACTTTCGGTACGATTGGGCTTTATGGATGATTGGCTAATGAGATTTCTGCCTGGCAATACTGCAGTGGTTAATTTCGCCGGCTCTATCGCGCTCGATAGTGGTGGCAGCTTTGGTGTCGAAGGTCGTTCCGGTAACGACGTAGTTGCTTTGGTGGGCTCTTTCGATTTGTGCCGCGACCCAGAGCTTCCTTTCGCCTCGTGTTTTTCAGTAGAGTGCGATTTCGAATTTGTGGGTTGTTCAGGAACTCGGGTGTCGACAGCACCATGCCCCCCGGCTGGACGTCCCCCATCTACCTTACGAGAGCTCTTCTCCTTCTTCGCTGGATCAGGTATGCGCTTTCGTTTTGACGGACGAGAGTTGTGTTCATGCTGCGGCTGAGGTGGTGGAATGGAGGCCCGTTTGGTGCCATTTGGAGAAACCTCTCTCTTCCGCTTCGATTTCGACTTGGATTTATCCTTTGGAGGCTGGTCGGATTCTGGGCTCATATAATGGCCGTGATCTACGCGACAGGAAATGTAAGCATCGTACTCAAATCAGAAAAGAATATTGCGGCTTACAGCGGTGCAAGCTCCACAATCTACTCACCATAGTTCTTTGGAGACTCGATGGTCCCGTCAGGAACCTCCTGAGACTGTCCTTGGCCCATTGAGACGGTTTAGAGGAAGAGCGCAACCGCGCGAGTCCAGCTAAGAGGAATGAATGGGCTATCGGGAAGAAAGCAAAGTTGCTTGCGGAGCGGCGCGTCATTTTGCAGGCCTTACCGCTTTGGGAAACGCATCTCAGATGTTGCGCCAATAGCCGAGATGACAGTACATATGACAGGAGTTAGTTCTATGGGTGTTGGCACATTCTTCGTGCATTCTATGCTCTGGATTGTACAGGAATGATTATGCAGTGTAGGTATTCTCTTAGAAAAGAAAGTAGAAAGCGACAAGGTATTCCCTCAAGTATTCAACGCTATCATTCAACACGCATTTCTCGTAATATCCTCGTAACCAGCTTCCTCTGATCTATCGTGTTAAGCTCGTGCTCGTCAACCATAGTCAAGCATCGTCCAATAGCCACTGTCGCCTTGACAGCAGAATCCCCTCCATTCGAAGAATCCACCCAGACCTTTCCATTCCTCCCAATAGCAATCTCAAAACCTCCAACACTCTCCAGCTTCTTCCCTAATTCATCTAGCACAACCAATCCTTCGACACCGTCCTCATCGTCTCCCTTGGACGAACTCGCCCGGATCAATCTCGCAGCCATACCCGTGGAAATGTCAAACACCATCCCACCCGTCAACGGACCCAATCCCCCAGGTTCAGCTTTCCCAGTCGCAGGGTTCACACACGTTAACTCGACTTCCGCACCAGCACCAACACCAACTGACAGCACGCGGGCATAGACTAGATCCCCACCCTTGAGCATCGGCCGGGTCTTCTTCGTCGCGCCTTCAAATGCAAGCTGTGGTAGGAGGACTTGAGGCGCTTGAGGCGTGATCATGCAGTGGAAAAAATCGGCACTGGAGTGGTGCACTTGCGCAATTACTAAGTCGTTTGTGGTGGGGATATAGCGGCGGTTAGGGAACGAGGCAATTGATACTCCGTTCTTCTTGGCATCTGTCGAAACAAGACCGGCTTGAGTCGCTGTAATCACATGGCTTCCTGACGATTCAGAGGATGAGGTAGGTACTTGTTCAGAGAGGAGACGCAGTCCAGGACCAAGTCGCAGAGGAGCGGAGGAGTTGGAGGGGAGGTAATCGGATGGGACGTCGTCGCCCGGGAGGAGGATTAAAGGGGTTGTCATTATTGCAATTGATCTCGAGAGAGAGCTCCAAAAAGGTAGAGAAATACGTGGGCGATGGCGATATTATCTTGATCTTCCGTCTGCGCAAATCTCGACTTATCGTTATCAGCACGTGATGAACGTCTCTAGACTTGAGTGTACATTGGTGAATTCCTTTCAAATATGGAACCAGGTGATAATGATGTGGATCGGATTATATAATAGTATTCATTCAGTAGATTCCTAGCACTATTACCAAGAAGATGTCCTCTTCATGTGTGGTATAGTAAGTAGAGTGTATGCACCGCCACCGCATATCGATAAGCACTAGCCACAGCGCCTCCCGAGCAAAAAATCTTTTTTTCTTTTGATCCCCGCGGCGTCGAAGAAGGTCCGGTTCCTGCTTTTCTTCTTCCATCCTATACCCCTTTTCTTTATTCCTTAAAACTACACACCTTCAAAATGAGCGCTGAGACCCCCGAGCGTTTCGCCATTGGTATCTCCTTTGGCAACTCCTCCAGCTCGATTGCCCGTCTTACTCCGGTATGTGCAAATTAGTAGCAATTTGGGTTATTATATACTGGTTGTTAGAGACAGTCACTAACGGACTATTATTACAGGAGGGCAAGGCTGAGGTTATCGCCAACGAAGAGGGAGGTTCGTTGTCCCCCGTTCGGGTTGAGCACACTGGAAACAGCACCATACTCACAGCATTATAGACCGTCAAATCCCTACTGTTCTCTCGTACGTCGATGGAGAGGAATTCCACGGTACTCAGGCCAAGGCACAGCTCGTTCGCAACTCGCAGAACACCGTTGCATATTTCAGAGACTACCTCGGCAAGGACTTCAAGTCGATAGACCCCACACCCTGCCAACAGTCCGCCCACCCCCAACAGAATGACTCGACTGTCGCTTTCACCGTCCGCGACACCGCCAGCGAGACCCCTAACACCCTCACTGTTTCCGAGATTGCTACTCGCCACCTTCTTCGTCTGAAGAAGTCTGCCTCTGACTACCTCGGTAAGGAAGTCAACGCTGCCGTTATCACAGTCCCTAGCGACTTCACAGATGCTCAGCGTGAGGCCTTGATCACTTCCGCCAAGGGTGCTGGCCTCGAGGTTCTCCAGCTCATTCACGAGCCCGTCGCTGCCGCCCTGGCCTACGATGCTAGACCCGAAGCCGTTGTGGCCGACAAGCTGGTCGTCGTTGCTGACCTTGGTGGTACCCGGTCCGACGTCTCTGTTCTTGCTTGCCGTGGAGGCATGTACACGACCCTTGCTACCGCTCACGACTACGAATTGGGTGGTTCCACTCTGGACAAGATTGTCATCGATCACTTCGCCAAGGAATTCATTAAGAAGCACAAGAGTGACCCCCGCGAGGACGCCCGTGGTCTGGCCAAGTTGAAGCTGGAGGGTGAGGCTACAAAGCGTGCTCTCAGTCTCGGTACCAACGCTACCTTGAGCATTGAGAGCTTGACGGATGGTATTGACTTCAGCTCTACCGTTAACCGGACGCGTTACGAGCTTCTGTCCGGCAAGGTGTTCGGCCAGTTCACCGCCCTGATTGAGCAGGCTGTCAAGAAGGCTGACCTGGATGTTCTGGACATTGACGAGGTTATCCTTTCCGGTGGTACCTCGCACACCCCCAAGATCTCCCAGTTTATCCGCAACGCTTTCCCCGAGAAGACTCGTGTCCTTGCTCCTGCGACAACCCCCACCGCCATCAACCCCTCCGAGTTGGCCCCCAGAGGTGCCGCCATCCAGGCCTCTTTGATCTCCGAGTTCGAGACGGAAGACATTGAGCAGTCCATCCACCCCGCGGTCACCGTCACCCCTCACCTCCGCAACGCCATCGGTGTTGAGTTCTCCTCGGGTGACAACCTTGAGTTCGCCCCTCTCTTGAACACCGAGACCGCCCTTCCCGCCCGCCGTGTCGCTCAGTACAACGCCCCTAAGGAGGGTGGAGATGTCTTCGTGCGCGTCTGCGAAGGTGTCCGCGAGATCAAGGTCACCAAGCCCGAACCCAAGGCCAAGGAGGAGAAGCCCGCCAAGACTGAGGAGGATGACGACTCCGACTTCTCGGATGATGACGAAGAAGAGGAGACCCGCGAGGTCATCTGGAAGACCGAGAAGCCTGTTGCTGAGCTTGCTGTCAAGGGCGTCAAGGCCAACGGCAAGATTGAGCTCATGGTCCATGTCAACGCCGACCTGGGTCTGCAGATCACCGCCCGGGAAGTTGGGGGCCAGAGTGCCGCCCGGGGTGCTGTTGAGGCTCCCAAGGCTTAATTTGGTGCCTTGAGTGCTTTGAATATGTCGGTAGTTTGGCGTGACGGGAAAGAAAAACTTGGTAATGCGTGACGTTTGGATGAGGATCATGGTGTTTTTGTCCTGCGGTATTAGAATAGATCTAGAGGTCTAGGTCTTTATATCAGCATCTATAGAGTACATATAAGTCTGTTCAAGTCAATGTCGCTTTTTTCTAGTCAATCATGAGTGAAAATATCTTGAAGTTCAAGCAGTTGAGGATGTATAGGACCCACATTCCGGGTTGAGATAAGTTCCTCTTTATCCGGAGTACCTATTGGTCCCCGGGCCCTACTCTATTTTCACCAAGCCCTATGTAGGCCCGGTAGTCGAGGACTGTTAACGCATCGTACATAGATTGCTAGCTACCATTGGAAGCGCACAGATGGTCTACTACCTCAGATCCAAAATCAAAAGGTAGTCTAGAAGAAGAAGAAGAAGAAGAAAAA